CTAGCTTGGGGCTGGCAAGAACTACTTACTCTGCATTTTGAAGGTTATTCGTTCCACTTCTGATTTGATTATTGTTTTCAAAGTGTGGAAATCAGCTGATGAATTCCCGCTGTATATGTAGAATCAGAGATTCTCCAAAGTGACGCCAGTTTAAATAACCAGGAAATGCGCTTTGTGCAGGGTGGCGAGCTGTGGATTTACTTCGAGAGGCCAAGGCGGGGGGGGAAAAGTGGGGGGTTGACGCAGACTGGGGGGTTCGTTAGTTGAGAGCCATTGCGGGTTTGCTTTTTCCTCAGAGCTGATCGAAATTGGCACAGGGCAGTATTTCAGGTGACAGGGTAGCAAGGTAGCACCGAAGTACTCGTTGGATCCGGGGAGGAACAGGTGACTGGAACTCACTTGGAAGCTGGCGAGAGGAGTATAAAGCCGCAAAGTATACAGCAGAAAGGACAGGAGGCTAGCTAGGAGCTAGAGAGGAGCTCTCTCACTTTATACTCGCCCGGCAACGCCCCGGAATGATTTCAGGAATCCACAATGCAGTTTCCATTGCTCACATGAACCACAATTCCTCATCGTGCTGCTTCCTCGTTGGTCTGGAACGGGAGCAGCTCGGATTACCTTGTGCGGACATCCCGCCAGGCACAGTCTTATCGCCCGAGTGGCCACACACCGCCGATGTCATTCACTCGAGTCTCCATTTTATCCTTCCCCCCCGAATGCGGTATTCAATATAAACCGTACCAATTGTCTCGAACGCTACCCGGGGGTTCCGCGCACCTCCCATCACTTTGATCATGGTGCCGTTCTTCGCTACCCGCAAAAAAAAAAAGAATCAGAGAACCGGCATGGCGACCGTAGATGTTTGGACTGAACATTGTGCCTTAAGAGAGCTACCCAGCATGGGTAGGGGTCTGGGCAAAGTGGAGGCATAGACGCATCATGGGACCAGCAGGAAGGCCTCGCTCCAGGATTTATGGGGCCCGATGGATCTGTTGTCAGATCGTGATGTGGGGGTTCATTGCACAGAATCCTATAGCTTCCCGGTGGCAATTAGCCTTCTTTTTGACCCTTAATTACGGGAAATTGGCATCAATTCACTTCCATTTTTCATTCAAGTCATAGCTTCACCAATCCCTTTTTGGAAAAGAGACTACACCGAGGCTTATAGACAAACCTCCACCCCTCCCGGGGCAAAGCGGCCGATCCGCGGCATGGATACGCTGTGGGCCCGGGGCTACCCCGATATTCCATTTTCCTTCCGAGGTCCGTGGAGAACATTGTTTGAAAACATTTGAAAGGCATGCCTAGGCGGGCTAAGGCTGGTGTAGATAGATACTTGGAACAAACTCAAATGCTGAAAAGATGAAAAGCATATTTCAATTGAGACTGGGCGGTGGCGGCAATCACTACGGAGTTCTTGATTCCACGGCAATTCCAGATACTCGCCTCGGGGATTATTCGGTGAATGATAGATACACAAGGTCTATGCCACATAGCTGTACTTGTTGCCCTCGACCCGTTCCATATAGTCCTTCTCGATTAGTCTGCAGGTGGACCAGGTTAGAAAAAGAACTCGCCAGATGCGGGAACAGGGATACGTACTTCTCGATATTGGTCTTGATATCGGCAGGCTGGAGTGCGCCGCGATGCTGGGTCGCCTTGATAACCTCCGCAATCAGCTCGGGGTGCGTAATCGGCTCCTTGGTGCCCTTCATGATCCGCACAATGGCCGCCTGCGTCTCGTAGTGCCGGTCTGCCGCTACCCGCTCATGCGTTGTCTTGTTCTCCTCTTTGGTCTCCTTCAGTTGAATTTGATTGATCTTGATGCGCCGCTTTTCATCGGTAAAACCTGCATTCCACAAGAACTGGTCTGTTGTGTTGACTTCTTTGCCCTTAGGGTTCTTCGTCAGGACTCGATACTTGGCGCAGGCGAGCGATTGCAGAGTTCGCTTCAACTCCGGATCCGCTGTTGATGAAGTTAGCGCTATTTTGTTTGAAGCATATCGAACAGACTGACATAGCCCCACCGCTTCCTTGATGTCAGCATAGCTCATGCTGTCGCCCTCGGCAACGTCATTGAACAGCAACAGCACGATGGCCTGGAAGGAACTGACGACCAGATCTTTCGGGACCTTTTCCTTGGGGAAGCGAGCACGTAGTTGGCAATGCGCCAACTGGTGCTTCCATTGAAGCTTGCGGCCTGTGTGCTTTTTGCTGTAGAATTTCTCAAAATCGCCGATAGCCGATGCGACGATCGGTGGGATTGTCACCGGGACGTCGGGGTACGATGGCCACGCAGAAGCAGAGATTACGCTGACGTGCAAATCAACGGACGAACGGCCTCTCATAATCTTATCCTCATTGTAAGCTGACATCTCGTCACGCGCCACGTCCATGTCCTTGAACATCGATTCCAGGTTATGCGTGAAGCTTGAACCGCATTCTGGGAGAGTTAGAACCATAGCAATTCAGGAGGATATGATGATACACCCACCTTTCTTGAGTCGCACGAGCATGCTCTTCTCAGCGTCGTCGTTGGCGCTTTTTCCCATCAACAAACGCCTGGCCAGGTCGTTCTTGTAGAATGCTTCGAACACTGCCTTTCCTTGCACGAATCGGAATAAATCAAGGACTTGGTCAAGTTGCCGGTCGATCTCAGCATCTTCATCCGCCATTGTAACATCCTCCTGGCCGACTACACCGGTTGTCATTACCTTCAACCCGCCTTTGAGCAGTCGATCGACGTGCTTGGCAATCATCTCGCCAGTCTTTGTATTGTCCGTGCCACCGCTAGATTCAGACTTCTTTTCAATATTCATGAACTTGGCAAAGGCCTCACGAAGAGCGTGGCTGAGGTCATCATCCCGATTAAACGCTTCTGCCCAGGTAGCATCAAGCTGTTGTTTGAACCGGAGTAAGCGTACGACCATTTCTGAATCATTGGCTTCGTCAAATACGATGCTGGACCCTTCTTCCATAATGAAAGTATTGAAAGCCGGTTTCAACTTGTTGGTCAGGCCTCTCCGGTCGAGAAGAGAGTAGAGCTGCTTCAAAGCGCTCTTGTTACTTGATCGCATCAAGCCAAGGACATCATTCATTGCAAGGAGATCATCTTGCTGCTCAGAAACCAAAACTCGGTCCAGAAGCTCTGATAGCTTTTGCTTTGTGCTTTGGTTGAGAGAGAATAGCGCACAGCGCTCGATTTCACGCTCAATCAATCCGTGGCTATTTGCAACATATGATGCCAAGTATCCTGCAGTTTCCTGCTGAGCCCAAGCAGTAACGAATTTCTCGGTTTCGTTAATGAACAAAGGCTCGAAATCACTATTGTAGACATCGAGGTTGTGGAAAAGATCGATGGAAGCCCGCAGCAAAGCAGGATCGGGCATTCCACATCCTTCCCCACCTCTGTCTGCAGTAATGAGGTCACAAGCACCTTGTAATACCTTGGGCTTGAGGCTCCGGTCCGCGAATATGTAGGAGCGGAATTGTATTAGTCCCATTTCCTGAATCACTGGGAACTCCTTGGAATGCAGGAGGAAGGATTGATCCAGGTAATAGAAAACCCAGCGAACAGTAACCTGCTCACACGTTAGTTCCCCATCGATGTCCTTGACAAATGCCAGTCACTTACTAGTCGTGAATGCCACGCCGACCATGCTTCGATCACTGCCCGCAATGTATCGATGTTGGTCCCACCACCTGCTCTTTTCACCAGATTGTCACGTAGGGTTCCAGCAACGTAATCTTTGCACCTTTCCTGGACTTTCTTGGCCAGTAGGGCGGCCCGCTCTTGCCGACAGATGTTCTCGGCGCCCTTGTATAGTTCTTCCAAGGAGATATCCGGCTTCTTGCCCTCGAATATAGCTGACAACGCCGCATCGAGCTGCGCCCAGGTCTTGTCAAAATATGGCTCCTGGCTGACCCGAGGTCCGGTGCGCAGGTTCTTGACAACGAGCTTCTTGGCACCGGCATGGGGACTGAAGTTGTTCTGTCGAGCGTTCGAATTCAATGCTTGCGGCTTGACTGAGGGGGGATTCAAAGCTGGAACGCTCCGCCCGAAGGCAGCCCCGTTCTTGGGTGGCGAGCCGGAGAAGTTATACATCTTGGTGGGCGAGACTGGGAGAGCTGAAGATGAGCGCGAGGGAGAGAGGGAATAACGGGAGCGTTTGGAGATCGGGGAGTTGGTTGACGGCAGGATATCCCGAGGGCGGTTCGTCGACAGGAGTTCAGAGATGGTCCTCTGGGACTGCGGCTGCGATGGCTCTCCGTGATCAGAAAGCTTCCTCTTGCCGATCGATTTGCGCTTACCGCTCCTCTCGGTGTCGCCGCTCGAGTGCTGCTGCATCTACCCGGTTCAGTCCGACACTAGTTGAGGAACTCTTTGCAAGGGATAAATCGCAAGTGTTGATCGAGCATCACCACCAGGGCGGGGGGAGGAGGGCGGAGTTCGGGTGTTGTTGAGGGGAATTGACGTTGCTCTCCCTTCGAACCTGGCTCCGCATGGCGATAAGATAGGAGCTCCGGCACTTCACGATTACCATGGGCTATGTAAAGGTTGGGTTTCTTTGGTTCCAGTTTATTCATGGACTGCCTAGGTAATTGATTTTACCTACATCTATTCGTTAACAAGACCGCTGTAGGTGAGATACTTCCAAGGTTCCCGTGTGAATCAAAGTGCTCAAGTACGCGCGTGGACCATCTGAATATATATTAAGTACTAAGAGCTCACCTGGCGTTGGGAACCCCTCACGTACGTACCCAGGTATGCAAGCTCTACGATATCAAATTATTGAAATTGCTTAAAACGTTGATCATTGCAAGGTTATAGCCTAACCTGAGATGCATTTATGATAAGAGACTGCAAATCGCTCAACCTTCCGCAAGAAGCCTGCACTCCGCATCTATGTTACACGCCATACCACCCAATCAAACCCGAATCCATAAGCTCATGAAAAAAGCGTGGGCCGAGCGCTTTGTTGCACTTCCTGATCTTCAAACTATGCCAAAGTTAGCGAGACATGACCCAATGAAGGAATACAAGGAATACACACATTTAGGTATTCGGTAGCGGCCACAAGGGCCATGAACGACTTGACGAGTTCGCACAGGGTGCCTTGGTGATCGGAGGGGGCACTACCTCCAATCTTTGCAAATCGCTTGAAGACTCCCACCATGCATGGCCGGTTCTCAGCGATGAATGTCACTGTTTGAGCCTTGATCTGTTCATTGTGGGTCCCACGAGAGAAGACTGCCGAGACGATCACGCGAATCACGGACAGGAGAAGATCATAATACTTTCGAAGGGCGTCGGGGTTATCAATGCCTGTTAATATCAGCGAATGTTGGGTAGCAGGATGAAATTGAAAGTGGGAGCGCACCGATGCCGATATCCGGATCAGCAGCGAAAAGCTGCGAGTCACGAACCGACTCGAAAAGACCAGACTTGAGAACTGAAATGGCTCCGTTCTTAGTCTGGCACAGCTGTTGAAGAAGAGCGAGTAAAGACTCGTAGTATGCCAGTAGAACGATGGTGTCTGGAAATAGAACGAATTAGCAACGATGAAAGCCTGAATGTCAAAGGAGATAACATACCTGCTGCCTCGGCATTTCGCAACTCGAGGGGCAGTGATCTGACTGCATCCAAGAACAGACTGAGATAGTTGGACTGTGAGATCGCCTCAGCCAAGATGCAGTCAGTCCGGCTGTCCAGAATCGCAAGACAGTTCAGCAGTAGCAGAGCCGCAGCTCGACACGTTTCTTGGCCAGTGTATGCATCATCACAAATCGTCTCAATGAGGCCCGGACCGGATGCCTTGACAACTTGCTGGCTGTGACGTCGCAGGCCGTCGTGAGTCTCATCCGAAGATGTAATGCGGGTGATGTAGAGAGAGCAAATGCTGTATAAAATTTCTCTCAATTCCACATTGCCGGTTGCCAGCGTGATACCACGAGAAGAGACTTGGAAAAGCTGATGAAGTTTTTCGTCAATGACATCGCCACTTCGGGAAGCAGGGATTGTAGAGATATCGGAAGCAAGCTTGCCAACCAAAGTCTCCGCCAATCGTGCCAATTCGATGGCTTCTGGCGAATCGTTCTCGATCGCTTTTTCGATCTTGGGGAGAACCATTTGAATAGCGTGAAGGATGAAGGTCGGTCGGCTTGTGTCATCAATGACAGAGCAGGCGATGATTGTCGTGATGAGCTCAGCCCATGATCGTAGAGCGAGGTATCGATTGCGTTGGATTTGGCGGCTTTGGTTTGTGGCGAGAAGGAACATCTTCAAATTCTTTGCCTCTACCAGGAACTGCTCCTCGTCCTGAGGACGGAATGGACCACTGGCCGATAGCTCTTGTCTCCGAATCTTGATTAACTCTTCGACCTCGGTGACACTATAGAGGATCAAAGAGTCACCTTCTTCCTTAGCACATGCATCGACAGCAATTTGATCCAGCAACGCAAGCTTAGGCATAGCAATTTCGCGACCAACATCTAGATCCGCAAAGTCGAACAGATCAAACACAGAGGGATTGTTGATAGAATCTCCATTACCCAAGATGGAGTTTCCGAGCAGAGTTGACAAGACGTCCGTCTGAAGTGTTGGAGAGCCGATCTTGGCCGCTGAGCGGATCTCAGTTGCAGCATAAGCAAACAGATGACTGCGATATAGTAGGAATTCTGCCAATGCCGAGGTAGCATCGCAGTACCAGAAATCCTTCGACGCAATCGACAGACCGTTCCAGGCGGTATCAGGACCCACGATGGGTTGTTCTGCAAACATACTCATCAGGAAACCCTGAGCACGCATTTCTCCGAGGGTGAAATAAGTCGCCAGCTTTGAGGACCAGAGATGCTTCAGAACCTCGAAAGCCATGCGTTTGAGGTGCACAGTCCATGATATGATGCTACCACCGATATAATCAGGATATCTCTGCAAAAATCCGACAATGGCATGCAACAAAGACATCTGGTTTGCGAACAACCCCTCGGATGGAATATCGAGAATGTTGCCGACGCAGCTGAAGCCGAGAAGGAGATGAGCCACAGTAGGACGATCTGTGATCATTGACAGACAGCTATTCAAGAGAGCGAGAAGGCTTTCCCGAATAACATAACCTGCTGCTTCCGCACCGTACTCCAGCTCTCTCGGATCCGGATCCATTTGTGAGACAAGGGAGCGGGATACGCTGTCAACGTCCACCTCACTGGAAAGCACCTCGACAATTTTGTTCGAAGATTGCCATTTGAGCAGTTCTGGTGACGACATCTTGTTCAACTTACGGGAGCTCGTAAGCTTCTCCAGCAACGCCATGGAGGTGACAGTCAGTTGTTCGTGACCCGTACCACAGTATAAGCAAAGAGCGGGCACTAGTGTTAAGTTGTTCAGTACACTGTCTTCAAAAGAAGCAAGTGATGAGTTTGCAACATTCGTTATGTTGGGCCCAGCATGAGCCTTGACCAAAGGCTTGACAACGTTGAAATATGTCGACTGAAGATCCATGATTAGGTTCATCACTTCAATACTTCGAAGTAAGGTCAGGACCAGAACAGAGTCGGACGGCGCTTGAGCGACCTCGGCAATATCCTGCTGACTGGTTGCAAACAGAGCCTTTAAAACATCCTCGTTGAAAAGCCACTCCATAACCCGAGCAAAGGCATGGAGACGAACGTAGCCAAAGAGGACTGACGCGGCTGGAGAGGATTCGGCGAGGGAAGGTTGGCTTAGGACAGCGACGAGGTCTTCACTGAAGCTTTTCAAGCTCGTCACAACGAATTCTAAGCAATTGTACGTCAGACGACGAGACTGATATTCATTGAGGTCCTGGACCTTGCGAGACAAAGCATGACCCAGAACGAAGTCGACATAAGGCTCGATACCAGGCATGCGATACGTTGCTCCCAAGATCTCTGGGAATGGCAGAGCCAAGTTGTTGCCTGCAAGATCGGAAGCGGGCATGATCAGAGTATTGATCAGGAGAATGAACGCATTAGATTGGTCAAAACTCTCCCCGATTTTCTGCAGAGTTTGTTGCTCATGCCACACCATTTGTTGGGGAGATGGTGGTTTGCTATTGCTTTGAACAGGAACCAGTGCACCAGACAGATACTGATCAATGGAGTTCCACATCTCGTTGCCATGAGCAGATGTCTTGTCGGTCACCAAGGCTGAAAGCGCGGCAAACGTGGTGGCTCGGAGATGAGTGGGTATCGGCCCCTTGCACAATGTCAAGAGGGTTTCAACCACCTTAAAAGATTCATTCTGCAACATCCATTCTCTGATGGCCCCGTTTTGTTTGCAGAGGTGCCCCATGAGGCGAAGATAGCAGGTCAGCATGACTGGACTCTCTGGCTCGCTCATATCAACGGGCTCTGGCTTTCGACTGCGCATCATCCCTTGAGGGGTATTGCTCGTGGTAGATTTCTCGGCAGTGACACGGCCCGCATAGAGTTTGAGTTCGGCAAACATTTGTGTCCAATTCATTGTCGTGGAACGCTTTAGCTTGGAGCCCATGAACTTGTCTTCCTCAGACAAGAATCTGTAAGCAGCTGCAGCGTTTTCTTCACCTTCTGAGATGGAGCAGAGCATCTCACAGAAGGCACTAACTCGGGGGACAGTTTGACGCTTTGAAGCCCACTGGAGGAATCCGTAAAGATTTCCATCAGGGTCGGCCCAGAATTCCTGCGCAGCTTCTTGTCGACGCTCGAAAGCGAAAGAAATGACCATCAAGAGAGACTCGAGATGAGTTCTAGCCTCCACCAAGCCGCGATGAACATTGGTTGTCAGACCATCTCTCAGAGCAGTGATTTGTTCCAATCGTTGAGTGTCCTCTTCGGACTTAAGCTTGCGAACTGCGTCAGGCATGTTCGCAACGCATAATTCCACAAAGACCTCGAAGTTTTCCATTAAAAGCTCCTTCATGTAAAGGGCACACGAGTTGGCTTCGGGTAACGAGATGACACTCTCCCTCAGAAGAAGCGCCACGAGCTCACTTCGCGCGGGATCAGCCCACTCTTCACTGTTCACACAAGAACAAACAGCGAGCATGAAGTCAAGGGCGCCGTCATCGAGTGCAGTCATAAATAACTTTGTCCGCTCGTCAGCCTCTTTCTCGAGATCGACTCCGGGATTCGGGGCGTCATCGAAATAGTATCCACTGTATACTGACAGCCACAGGGCAATGATGGCAGCATGGAAGGCTGGGAGCTTCCAAGTCAGACCATCCTTTCCGGTGGTGATGACGGAGTTCAGGTCTCTCGCCTCCTTCTGCGAAACATTGCCCTCCATAGAACCGTGCTGAACAAAGGAGGCAATTGTGACGGGAAGATAGTGCATCAACAACCCATCAAAGCGCTCCAATTTTTTCAACTGGGTGATGAGTACCCGGAAGTCCTCCTGACTTGTGTATGTGCCCTTAAACATGTAGAAAAGAATGGCGCCAAGCGACTCATGCTGTTGTTGGAGACTTTGGCGTTGATACTCTATAGCCTCCATGATGTCGCGGTCTCCTTCTTCACCAACAATGGAAGCTTTTTGAACCTGGTCACCAAGAAGTGAGAGCCATTTCTCGATGTCTTCCATTGATTTGAGGCCCTTCCTCGCGAACTCCGAGGCGTTTCGCAGAGGACTGTCCTTAATTTCCAGAATATAGGCGAGGGCATTTTGCATGGTGCATTGGGTGACTTCGCGTTGGAATGCGTAGGACTCGCGGAAAATAAGGCGCAAACACTCGAGAAGGAAATGACGGCGTTCGTGGAATCGCATGATGGCGGTAATCACAGGAGGTCTGTCTAGCACCTGAGAATCTTCTTGAGCTGCAAGAAACATCATTGCAGCATCCAATTCGTTGAGATTGAGCGCATCGGCCAGCTGTAACGTGCCCTGCTGGAAATCCTGATTGATCTCATATTCAACGTCCTCGACCATGATCTTCCCTACATTGTTGCGTCCTGGGTCAGCGTGCTCCCTGTGCGCAATGAACAAAGCCGCGTTAAATTAAGTAGATACGCACCTGAAAGTACCTTCTGGCGACTGTCGTTGGCCTTGGGGGGTTTGTCTAGGAGTTTTCGGAAGTCGTGAATATGGGTCTCCAATTCGACGCGGAGCCGTTCGATGCTGGGGAAGGGAGAATCCGTGATGGCAGAGAGATCCTGGTACAGGCCGCGCAGGCCTGCCAGGTTATCGTGGAGCTCTGCCATGTCGGCGCGGGGTGAGAGAGGTAGGAAGGGAAGCTCTGAGCTCTGTTTGTTCCAGAAAAGCGGAACGCGATCAAAATTCCGGGCGGTCATCATCTGGGCAATACTGCCGCTCCACAAAACAACTGCGTCAACAACGATTTACGTGCGACTTTGTCGATTCGAGTATGGCTAATTGAAGTCTGCATTTACGGATGGTCGGATTGTCGCTGTTGTGGAAGCCTGAGAGCTTTCGCTTCGCTCGCCACAATGGGGGAGATCTTTCTTGACCGGGCACTCGGGCTCCTGGCATCGGAGAAGCAAAAGGATCGAAGTGATGGGCTGGCAGGTTGGTTGAAGATGTCCAATCTGAAAAACCAGTACTAAATGGAAAACCCAGACCTGAAACATATCCTGCAACAAAACAAACAGAGCTCCAAACTGTAAGAAACCCACCGCGCCGATGACAATCAACAGCTAACGTCTGACTGGGCCATTTTAGTTTAGATCTCAATGATAAAGCCTGCTTCAAGATTCTTGGGTCTCTCTTCCAACTGGTCGCCTCGGAGAAAACCGGTTATGCCCGAGCCCAACGGTCGAACTCCAAGAGCCCTTCTATTACACGCCTGTCAGCATGTGCGTCGGTGATGCGGATTGCGGTCGACACCTTCCTGCGAAATATCAGAACCAAGACCGTCCGTGCCATCATTGAACATATCACCGAGACCATACCAGTTCCCGGAGAAGGCCTCTGGGAGCTCATGAGCGTGGACTATACCAAATGCCTGACATCTCTACTTCGCTACCCACCCCACACGGAGCATCTTGGAGATGGAGAATGGGAGAAGCTCATTGAGTTCTGCCTGACTGCATTGAGCCTTCAAGAGGGTGATGAGAGTCAACTCAGTATTCGCAGCGGGTATCGATCTGCTGCCGAAGATACAAGCGATGGCCGTTCCACCCCAGCAAGGATGACTCCCGTTCCAGCAGCTAGAGAAAAACATGTGGGCGATAGGAATGCCATCGGAGAGGTTGTAGTGTGTATTCAGATTCTGACTGCAAGCCCAAGTGCCCCCGTTCAAATTGCTGCCGAAAATATCCTCCATGGGCTTGTGGAATTTGTCAAATCCACATCAATGGTGGCTGGGAATGCACACCAGCTTGCGTTCAATAGCATCAATACAGTCGTTTCAAAAGTGTTGTTTGATCAGTCTCAAATGACTCGATCAGCTCTCTTGCGCCTCATCCCGGTAATTCGACGCTTGTGGGTCACTAAGCTCCAAAGCCTGAAGGATGAGTTACTTGTCACTTTGATGCACTGCACAGTTGTCCTTGCGGATACAGCTCGAAAAGATCCTTCCGAGTCGCTGGAGCGCTCTATCGAGGGACTCACCAGCTCCCTTATTTCAGAGTACGTGAGACGTCCCGAGAAAGAATTGTTGCAGGTCGACGATGTGGTATTTCACGAGGCAGCGGAGATAGAGAATCGACCGCTGTATGGACCTCGCTTAGGGTACTCTCGATCAGAACACAACTGGTCTCTGGTCTGGGTCATCGCGAGCTTGCTGAAGCTGTCGGAAGACATTTCAGCCAATCGAACAGACCGGGACTCACTTCGTGAGGCCTCGGGCAAAAGGCAACGTTTGAACTCCGGAATCGAGGATATCTTTCGAGATGCGATTGCAGCTATAGGAGCGCGGAAGATATGTGCCCTGCAACTGGTACCTTTCCTTGAACGCACAATAAACGTGGAAAGAAAAGAGTCTTTCCTCCGGCGACTTACTCCTAACATCATAGATGACAATGGCGCTATTTCTTCCTGGACGATGATTGCATTGGCAAGGTTCGTTGAATGTGCTCCTGGGGTTTGATTTGAGCTAATTTATCGATCTGAGTAGCATTGCAACAGGCCCTGACTCGAAAGTGGCTGCGTTCAAAGGCCACTGGCCAAGGACTGTGGACCTCACAGCCCGAGCATTCTCTTCTTCAGTCACATCTAGAGCCGCTTGCAAGCTCATGAGTGCAATAATAGAAGCTGAACTGCTGGATTATTCCACTTTGACCGACATCACGCGGTCCATGCTGTCTTCCGCTAATCTGAATGGCCCCTCTGCAATATCAGATACGTCTTTGGGTCTTTGGGCATTAATAGCACGGAAGAGATCCCAAATAAGCCCCGGGTCAGCACAAAACGCTTCAAAGCAGATCTGTAGTTGGCTGAGGGAAGCCTGGACTATTGGTATAACCTTTCAATGTCTCCATTTGATGCTCCAAGTTACTAATGGTGGACTCTGCAGGCTCAGTCACTGATCGTGTTCAAACAGCTCAAGTAGCTCTCTTTGCGCGCCCGTTCGACTTGCTTAACCTCTTCATGGCCTGCACCGATCGATCTTTCAGCCCTCCTCGTCTTCAAGAGACAGGGCCTACAGGACCCGTAGCAAGGGCGTGGTTTTTCTTCCATGAGAACCAAGGCCTTTTAGAGTACCTCTTCAACATTACACCTGACCTCCGTAACTCCGATCCATGGAGTAGGGAAAGCTCATGGCGCCTAGAGACATCAACACGACAAGACGCCGATGATTTAGTGATCATAGAGTTATTGCGATCAAAGTCTGACATTTTTGTTCAAAACTGGAATACATTGACTGAAGACAGATCGCTTCATATTACTGCAGACATTCTGCAAATACTCACTTCCTTCTGTATTGTGTCTACTCTGTTTGGGGCATGTCTTCCTCAGCAATTGGAACCACGAATGCAAGAAGTTCACAAGAATTGCCATCTCATGTGGAATGGCATTTGTGAGTTTTTTGCAGCCCACGGATCAAATTCTTTACAACCTTGTCTTGAGACGATATTGCCATTTATTTCCTCGGCACCAAACACCTGCGCCGTCGCATGGACTGGAATCTCGTCGCTTATCGCTCCACTTGCTAAAGTGCTCGAGAAGTTTCGCAAGGACTCCAAGCAAGACAGTACCGAAATGCATGATATCATGGATTTGGATGATCGGTTGACGGCTCAGGGCGATCAATTATCAGCCGACCAGGGCATCATTTCTATGAATCGGGAGTCCATTGCTCTATTTCGAGACGCAGTCACATTCCAGCGGTGTATCACTATTCAGCTTTCCGTCTTGTTAAAGGCACAGCCTGGGGCTGGCCCGCAGAAAAACCATTCTTCGGGCCTCATTGAGTACCTGACGAGCTTGAATGAAGCAGACCTCTTGTCAGCTCAGCACGTATTACCCGATGTCTATCGTGCTGTTTCGAAAATGGACCAGGAGGACCTACTTCGTGTAATGGAAGACCTGGGCGAACGATGTCTACAGTCATATGAAATGGAGCGATGTGAGGCTTCTCACGGCATCTGCATTGGCATGATGACCGGATTTGTTGCTTCTTGGACAGACGAACAAAATGGAATCCTGAATGAATCAGCCATGGACCTGTACAGCTGGTTCATGGAAGCCCTGCTGGCTAGAAAGAGAGCCTCGCCGAGAACCTACATTGTCTTGTCCGAGCTCATCCAGGCTGTGCTTGATGCTCGCCCTTCATACGGCAGCGAACAATCACTCCCGTCGCCCCGTACAAGCCTCTTCACAATCCTCCAGGAAGGCGATGTCCAGGTCAAATTTAGTGTTGCGGGCTTCATACCTTCCTTGTTTGAGCGGTTCCTTCTCAAAGACCATGATGCTATCTTTGACGATGTTCTGGGAAGCTTGCCTAGGGACCCAGACTGGGTTGAAGGCATTGCTCTTCGCCTTTTTGTCTTGTCTAAACTAGCCTCTGACTGGCACACTCTACTTCGCAGATGCATCTATCACATGTTCGAAACACCAGCTCAGGTACCAACCTCTCTCAAATACGCCCAGAAGTGCATGAGATCCGCATCGAAAGCACTTGGCTTGCGAGATGCAACTGAGCTGTTTCGCCTTTTCGCGTCTCAAATACTCTACACTTGGACGGAAACACAGACGTTTACTTCAATGCCATTCAGTATCTTTGAATATGGGGATCTCAAAGAAATGCTGCTCGACGTTAAAGACGAGGTTGTTGGGCAAATGATGATGCGGGCCAAGGAGTCGGAACTTCAGGAGCTTGCCAGTTATCTCAAAATTTCGCATGCTGAACTTCTGGAAACATCTTTCCACAAAGCCGAGGCCTACTGCATCGCGCGAGACATCACCACGCCTCCTGAACCGGGCAGCCAGCCCAAAGGCGTAGAAGTTCGGATGAGAAAGCTACTGGGTGCCGACATCTTTACGACACATGCTGAGAAGCGCTTCCCTGAAATCATTGCCATTTTTTTCAAATCCCTGGATCGTTATGATCAGATTGAACGAGCATTTTCAAAACGTCCAAGTTTCCAATATGCATTGGATATTCAAAACAAGATTGCTGGCAAAAGCGCGGCTCAAAGCTCGTTGCCAGCAAATCAACAGCCCTCATTTCGGGCCCGCTACCTCCTGGACGAGCTCGATTTCCTTTGCAAACGAGTAGGTTTCGAATTAGAGTCAATCTGGACTCCTGTACTAGCATCATTTGTTTGTCGGTCGTTACTGGAAACAATACATCCGGCCCTGGGATCTCTTCACACGTGTTCTGCTATTCGGAAAATCAGAATCCTTGTCTGCCTATGTGGTCCAGTGATGCTAGAGGGCTATCCTTTCGAAATGCTGCTTCATGCCCTCCGCCCATTTCTGAGCGATGTTCACTGCTCGGAAGATGCCTTGGGGATTTTCTGGTACTTACTAGAAGCCGGCAAGGGATATTTGGAGAATAAGCCTGAGTTGGTGGCAGGGATCTGTGTTGTGACATTTTTGACGCTTCGCAAGCTTTTTGCGTCATCACTTTCAAGCACCACTCAACACAGTCATTTCGAATCGGCACTGACAAATGCGGAAAAATTTCATCCGTGGCTCCGTCAGTTTGCTGAAGAATGCCGTAGTCCAGACTGGAATCACGAGATCCAGGAGCCCTACTCTCGAATGCTGGATCTTACTCAGCAGTTATCAGCACCAAAGCGGCCAAGAAGTGGCCCAAGTGAGAAGGACTTGGTTCTTGAAGTGCTTAAAGACCAGGACGCCGAAGTACCTTTGCTTCAGAAGCCGATAGCGGATCTTGTGCTCTCGTTATTGTGTCCCGAGTTCAAAAAAATAACTGGTGACGGCGCCAAGTCCTCTGATAATGCTCTTGACCCGAGCTCTCTCACTGTTTCGTTGTGGCGTACACTGCACAAGTTCAACGGCGGACCCGAGTACCGCTTATGGGCCGCTAGAGTCATCGGGCGCTCTTTTGCGTCTTCTGGCAAGATAAGCGAAAATCTGCTTCGAGAGCAGGACCTTTGGCTGTTCAACGATCCAGTTTCAATTGCGCCCTATGATGCATTTTGTTTCTCTAAGTCCAACATTCTACAAGTGCTCTGTGACAAATTGCAAATCCAAGATCATCTTGAGACAGGTCTCATCGAACGCACTCTGCAAGTCATTCTCAGCAACATCACCAACTTCCCAGACGTCCAAGGCTGCGCTGAGATCATCCCCGAGTCACTATTACCGGCTTTCATTTGGAGTCCCTATGCATGCCCCCAGATACCACTCTCAGTAGCCGAACTTGAACTGTCCAACAAGACCAAGTTTGATGCGTCTGGCTTGCCTGTATTTGAATGGGCTCGTAACGTTTCTCTATCTTTGTCCAGTGCTACCTTAGACGATCCTGTTCTTGGTTCATTGCGCAAAGTTCTTGCTGTCATTCCCGATTTGGCGATACAGATGCTGCCCTACATAGTTCATGACGCTTTGCTGGTTGAGAGCGACAAGAATGGTCCGATTCGGCAATCAATATCTGATGTCTTCAAGGAAATACTTTCCAAAGCAAACGGAGAGACAATTGCACATGCTCGGCTCGTTATCAGCTGCATCTTGTATCTGCGCAATCAGCCCATGCGGGAGGAATCGACAATGGTGGAACGTGACCGGTGGCTCGATATCGACTACGGAGAGGCATCTTCAGCGGCACATCGCTGCGGTTTACAGAAAACCTCGCTTCTCTTCCTCGAAATAGAGGCTTCTAGAGTCGTTTCAGGATCTCGTCGCTCATCTGTTGCCAAATACGAGCCACCCATCGAACTGCTCCATGATGTGTTCAAGAACATTGATGATCCGGATCTATTCTACGGCATTCAACAAAGCTCATCTTTGACCACGGTAATGGAAAGGCTGGAGTACGAGTGCTCCGGCTTCAAGAATCTTCTCTTCCAGAGCGCCCAGTACGACAGTGAGGTCCAGATGTTTGAGAAAGCGAATCCACACGGAGTTCTGAAAGCCCTGAACTCGACGAACCTGCAAGGAATTGCTAACACGATGCTGTCCGCTGTAGGAAGCTCCGGTGAAACGCCTCTTTCCTTTGATAGCACCTTGCAGGCGGCAACAAGTCTTCAACAGTGGGATATTCCCGTATCGCCATTAAACTCCTCACCATCGGCGACAGTCTTCCGTGTTTTCCAAAGCTTGGATACATCATCTTCACTGTCAGAAGTTAATCTATGTATCGACGATTGCTTGCTAAGGATTCTCAACAATGTGGTTGAGACCGGCCAGTCGGCAAAAAAGCTGCGGACTTCAATGCGAGCATTGGGAATCATGACCGAAATAAGGGATGTCCTTCAGTCATCATCGCCCGAGGCAATGCAAGAAGCATGGGAGACTATCACGGCAAGAAGCAGTTGGCTAAAGACGGAAAGGTAGGCACCAATCGCAATGTCTAGATATTTGATGCGGATACTAATTGAAGTAGTTATCATGAGGTTGGCGAAATCTTGAGTTGGCATGAGGCTCTATTCTCCTCAATTAGGAAACATGATTTCCTCAAATCGAGGCCGGACCTAAGCGCCGGTGTATCGAGACTCCTCGAAGCAAATGTCTTCCGGCAATCGCTGGAAATTACGAGGAGTCATGGGGTCTCCCAGGCATCGCTCAAATCTGCAATCACACTCTCGAAGCTCTCTGAACCGTGCGCGGAGCTAGGTATGAATATTGAAGGGGCTGCGAAGTTTGATCTTGCCAATGTTCTCTGGGACCAAGGTGAAATGACAGCCTCGATTCGTATGCTACAGCACCTCAAAGGACAGGGGGACTTGCACAAACAAGCGATCCCAATCAGTCGTGCTGAGCTTCTCGTTACTTTAGTAAGCTAGGAATTGATGTCAACTGTTCTCTAGAAGCTGACTATCTGTTATTTAGGGTGATCATGTGGCTGAAGCACGCCTGGAGAAACCCGAATCGATCCTTCAAGACTATCTGTACCCGGCGGTCAAGGAGCTAAAGGGGGCTGGGAAGGGAGAAGAAGCCGGAAGAGTCTATCACGGGTTTGCCGCGTTTTGTGACCAACAACTTCTAAATCCAGATGGGCTTGAAGACTTCAAACGAGTTGAACAGCTTCGAGACCGAAAAGAAAAAGAGATGCAGGGCTTGGAAGATATGATGAAGACTGCCGAGGGCAGAGAAAGAGAATCTTTGAAGATTTTCCGCGCAAAGACCAAGCAGTGGTTTGATCTTGACGACCGCGAATATCAGCGTTTGCTCCGGAGTCGAGAAGCCTTTCTGCAGCAGTGTCTTGAAAATTATCTCCTGGCTTTGAGGGAAAGTGATGCTTACAACAATGATGCTCTGCGATTTTGCGCGCTCTGGCTTGATAAATCAGACAGCAACACTGCGAACACGGCTGTCAAGCGATACATTAGTGAGGTCCCCAGTCGGAAGTTTGCACCTCTGATGAACCAGCTTTCCTCGCGTCTGCTAGATGTCTCAGATGATTTTCAGTCGCTACTTACAGGGTTGGTATTCAAGATTTGTGCAGAGCATCCGTTCCATGGCATGTATCAAATCTTTGCCAGCAGCAAGTCCAAAGGAGGCAAAGATCCTTCATCCCATTCTCGATTTCGAGCTGCCAACAAGCTCGTTGACAAGTTGAAAAACGACAAGGAAATAGGGATCACATGGATTGCAGTTCACAATATGAACATCAGTTACGTCCGCTTCGCAATCGATAAGCCGGGCAGCAAATACAAAACGGGCGCAAAGATCCCCTTGAAGAAGCTTTCTACAGGAGATCGTCTTTCGAAAGACGTAGAGACCTACAAGCTTCCTCCGCCGACCATGAAAATCGAGCTGCGTGTTGATTGTGACTACAGTGAAGTCCCCTCGATCCAAAATTTCCATTCCGAGTTCACAATCGCCTCGGGTGTGAGCGCCCCCAAAATTGTGACTTGCATTGCCACCAATGGCGAGCGCTATAAACAGCTGGTAAGCTATTCTCCCCTACTGAAAAAAGGCCTTACTCACGCATTTATAGTACAAAGGAGGCAATGATGATCTACGCCAGGACGCAATCATGGAGCAAGTCTTTGAGCAAGTCAGCAGTCTTCTCAAAGACCATCAGCCTACTCGACAACGAAACCTAGGGATCAGAACGTACAAAGTTCTTCCCTTGACTCTCAATGCAGGAATCATTGAATTTGTTCCAAATACTATTCCTCTTCACGACTATCTGATGCCGGCACATCAGCGATACTTCCCCAAGGATATGAAGCCTAATGCCTGCCGAAAACACATCGCTGATGTGCAGACTAGATCGTTTGAGCAACGAGTCAGGACCTATCGCCAGGTGACTGAGCATTTCCATCCAGTGATGAAGTACTTCTTTATGGAGAAATTCAACAATCCAGACGACTGGTTCAGCAAGAGATTGTCGTACACCCGCAGTACTGCAGCCATCTCCATCCTCGGCCACGTTCTTGGCTTGGGTGATCGACATGGACACAACATCTTGCTGGACGAGAGGACAGGAGAAGTCGTGCACATCGATCTGGGTGTTGCCTTTGAGCAAGGTCGCATCTTACCAATCCCAGAAGTGGTGCCTTTCAGACTCACACGAGACCTGGTCGATGGCTTTGGAATTACGAAGACCGAGGGCGTGTTCCGCCGCTGTTGCGAGTTCACACTGGAGGCACTTCGACAAGAGTCATACAGTATCATGACCATTCTCAACGTGCTCCGTTACGATCCGCTGTACAGTTGGACTGTGTCTCCCTTGAGAATGAAGAAGATGCAAGACAACCAGGGAACGAGCGAAGGGCCACCCGTTTTGCCTGGAGAGGCAGACAAGTCCTCAACGAACGAACCCAGTGAGGCTGATCGAGCTTTGACGGTGGTTGCTAAGAAGCTGAGCAAGACGCTGAGTGTCACTGCTACTGTCAACGAGTTGATTCAGCAGGCAACTGATGAGAAGAATCTTGCTGTTCTTTATTGTGGTATGTGTTCTCTATCAACGTTCAACTGTGCTAATAGGCTAATATTATTACAGGATGGGCATCCTATGCATAATGGAATTTTGCTCCGCCTATTTCTTCAAGTAAATTCAGCATTAATGTACATATGAAATGATTGCAAGTATCCTATGCATCACAGCCCATTTTCGGGAAGAGCGAACATCATGAGTGCTGCCACCGTAGAACTACACGAGATTGATCGACATAATTCTCGCTTGTACTTTCCCGTTATTCCTGCAAAGGTACTTACTATGAACTACTTGTCGTTCCAGACATCTATCCACGCCTAGGCGGCTTGTATCCTCCACTAGCTGACGTAGCCCTTGAAGGGGCTACACCTTTCGTCCCGCCGAAGAGGGGAGATTTATCTCACGCTCATGATCCATATACTTGCAGCCTCAACACCGTGTCAAAGAGGCTAACTAGTCAGATTCCTCAGCCAATGTTGAAACCTTCACAGATATTTGAGCGTTGCCAGCCTACGGTTGTTGGAACGTCAAAAATCAATGCCCATTTGCCTATATCTGGCTTTTTCGTCGATCACCAGTCCTTCAATAAAAAGCTTAGCATTAGAACTTGAAACCGATCGTCTCCATACTGTATATCCTCAGATATGCTAAAAGTCCTTTGTCCGTCTTCTGCTCTGTAAATATGAGAGGGACTCAAAGGCCTAGATGGGCGATATAGACACTTTGGAACCCGAAACATCAGCCTTTCTATATCTCAACTGCCTTCTATGAAGATTAAGGTATAAAAACCAATTAGAATAGAGAAAGCCCGTGTAGATGACCCGAAGATTCCAAAAAGGTCGTTTTAACAGAGGGCTCCTTGGTTAACTAACTGAGAAAACTTAGGAACCTCTAGACTTTAACTTCGAAAATTAATAAGCGAGTAAGAACCATAGGTTAACTTCTGCCGAGTTAGTTTACCTCGAGGTTCATATTTACAAATCATTCTCAGACACAGGTCTTTTGATTGGTTGATATCTAGGAAAAGTAAGTACTTCATCGCAGAAAACGCACTCAAAAAAACAACTAAAACAGTTGATATAGATGACCACCCACCCTGTAACTTGAATGAAACTTGGTCACGCTATTGGAGAACATTAGAGTCTCGATGTTATTTTCTATTAGAAGATCTCACCTTAATTATCATATTTATAGCTTCAATATAGAAGGGCAGTAATGCTCCTCCGCTCTACGAGCAGGTGCGCTTTCTCTTTTGCGGTGGCATTAGAGTTTGCAATGCCGATTTCTTATTCCGTGTGATATAGAAGCTCACGCTCATTGCTAAAAGCTAATTACTCCAATACTCTTACACCCCGAAAGAAGTATAAAAACGTATATTGAGCTATTTCTTGCCAAGTTGAAGATGCATTGATGTTATTGTTGTATTTATGGATTCTTCAATTCTTCATTCCAGACGCAGTGATCTCGTCATTTGGAATTTTAACATTTCTTAATACGATGCGTAGACCATTGTCTTCGTGTTACATATCCCAGAACAAAGATATTGTAGTTCTTGAAGGAACTGCGCCTCCATTTTCGTGAAAGTGGAGCCAATCAAATTATATTTAGATTCCTTCCCGAAATTGACGGGTCCACGGGTGTTCCTATCTAGGTAAAGGTTGCCATCTTGAAACATGAGTCACATTATTTAGTAGTGCACCGTGGGGGTTTACCTTGGCACGCGAAGTATATAGGGGATACCTAGGCAATGCACAGCCCCAACGATACTTTTCGATTCAGACTCCAGGGCTATACGTCAAAAAACAGTCGTTGAGCCACTCAAAATGTCTCTAACTATATCAAAAGATAATCCTTTTCAAGTCTTGATTGCAGAGTCCGATGATGATCCTGTAAGTGGTCGGATCCCGAACAAAACTCCCATGCTGCGAACTAAGATACAATTCCATTACTTCTCAGGCTCAATTGCAATTGCGCTATGAGAAGCACCGAACAATTCGGAATGAGCAACAAAGTAATAAGATCCTAGCGGAAAGCTTTTCCGGCTGGACCTTGGATGAGGTTCTTATGCGACTCGAAGGCTCCGCTAAAGAAGAAGGATTCTTCGATCCGCGCAATTGTCTTGTCATTTGGGCCAGGCCTCCTTCTCACATCCGTGACCTGATATCTGTTGTGCAAAGCGAGTTGAAGGATGTCGCTCCATGTAAGCTTATGAAGACATTGCGGAAAACGTTGTTATTGCAGCATCAGTCCACTGACCTCAACTGCTGAAAGCACTTTGGCTCATGCCTCTTGAAAATCTGCACACCACGGTCTTGGAAGTGGCCCATTCTTTGACTGAATCGCAGATTGAAGATCTCGTCCAAACTCTCAAGTCCTCGACAGAGATCACCCAAGCACAGATCGCAGAACACCCAATCAGTCACCAATCACGCCTTTTGAAGCCGATGGTGAGCTTCGACTCTTCTGCAATGGCGCTTAGCTTTGCACCTGCCGCGGGAGAATCCTCCACAGTGCAATCCAATGGCCATGATGATCACTACACATACCATCATCTCCGCCGGGATATATTTGATAGGGTTCGGCAAACTGGTATTCCCGTTGCCTCGCGCTATATCGTTCCGTCGGCACATGTTACTATCGCACGCTTCATCACTCAGGAAGGGTTCCAGTTCAACGGAACGGACTCCGCAGGAAAAGTCGACCACTCCCGTGTGAAGCTGCTTGTTGATAGAATTGGTGATATCAACAAGAAACTGGAAAGCATGTACTGGCCTCAGCTTGATGGCACTCAGCCTGAAAAGGGTGAATGGGTGGTTGGGCAGGACAAGCTGGTGATCCGCAGGGGTCGGCTTTGGTATGGAGGAGGTGACGATGTTTAGTTAGTTCCAGATGCTCAGCTTCTTTTTGTAAATTTCCAGAATCCGGGGAAACTAGGCACCGGGCATGGAAACCATCGCGGTGATCATACTTCACGGTCGGCTTGTACAAAGTTAGACTTAATCTGTTAGGAATATCGTGAGTTCTGAAGCGGACCATGAAGTGAGTTCAAAGAATTGGAAATAGTTAATCATTGCAAGCATAAGCGATTTCAGGCGTATGAATCCGAACGGAGTCGTGTGACCAAGAAACTCGTGCACAGCCCATTGTGTCTCACTTCTATTTCCCATCTGCCAAGAGACCGGTCTCGCCAGGTGTTTAGTGACTTGGTTCTTTCTAAAGCTGCCTAGCAGGGCGATTCTCCACGCTCGATTGCTTTGGCACTCAACGTGGCATTTCCAGAGTTGCATTGTGGCGGGTGCGGGCCGACTTCCAAGCGTGAAAAACATCAATTCGTGATCCTCGATAAGCCTCTGCAAAGAGGATTCCCTCAATCTACAAGTTAGCGGTACAAACACAGACCTGTGATTGTGACAAGGATATCCATCATGGAGAACACAACTAACAGGGGAATTGTGGTCCTCTCCGGTGGAAGCGCCGCCAACAACCTCGTCGATGTTTTTGACGCCCTGCGAGAAAGCAAGGATTGCTTGCTCAGCTATATCATCCCCATTAGCGACAACGGAGGCTCTTCATCAGAACTGATAAGAATCTTCGGGGGCCCTGGAATCGGTGATGTTCGAAGTGCGCGAGTCCCCTGCTCGATAACAACATTTTATGCTAATCATCGGGATAGGTCGACTGGTCCGGTTGATTCCTGACTCGCCCGTCAACTCGGAGCGCACGGCGATTAAGACTCTATTCAACCATCGCTTGCCTGCTGAGGCAGTAGCCGCTTCGAATGAATGGCAGTCTATCGTGGACGGCACTTCTGGCCTTTGGAAGTCCATTGCCCCGGCTAAAAAAGAGTTAATCCGCTCATTCTTCAACATGCTCAATTTAGAGATCTTGAAACGTGCCCGGCCACCATCGTCAACATTTGACTTCACTTCTGCCAGCGTGGGAAACCTGTTTTTGACAGGAGCGCGACTCTTCAGCGGGTCCTTCGAAAGCGCTATTTATCTACTAGGCAGCATTTGTGGCGTACAATCCGATGCTGTGCGCGTTATCCCAGCAATCAACTCTAATTTCTCCCACCATATCTCCGCAACTCTTGCCGACGGAACCGTTATTGTCGGACAGAACAGCATTTCTCATCCTAGCGAAGTCACAGCGCTGCAGCCGGACCGCGGCTCGCGGCCCAGACGTCCTAGCTTACTGCTTGCCGACGGCGATGATTTGGACGATACAGAGCCATCTGATATGTCGGATGCCGTCTCATACGAGGAAGATCATCTCCCTGGTTCTCTTGCCACACTCCGAAACAAGAACATATCCTTTAGCAAAACCGAGAACGAAGATCTGCCTAGCCGAATCGATCGCATCTGGTACATCAATCCTTACGGCCAAGAAATCAGGCCAGCCGCCAACCCACGCGTACTTGAAGCGCTAAACGACGCCCAGGCCATTATCTACAGCATTGGCTCTCTTTACACCTCCATCATCCCCGGAATTATTCTCCGGGGTGTTGGCAAAAGCATTATGAAAAGTCCAGCACGCCACAAGATTCTTATTCTTAATGGGTCGTTGGATCGCGAGACCGGGCCTCCATCCGAGCCATTTTCTGCATCTGACTTTGTCGAGGCGATCGCGCGCGCTGGAGAGGAGAGCCGTGGACGGCGTCATCATAGAACTACCCACCACGGATCAACTACTACGCCATCTTCACCAGAGACAATCAAACCACATACGCCTCTTCCATATACTGCATATGTGACTCAAATTTTGCATCTAGATGGACCCGGCACACCTCATGTAGACCGGGAACGTTTGGCAGAGATGGGTATTGAGACCCTTCGGTTGTATGGTCGGACGATTACAGCCATGGATGGTGACAAGGAAGTCGTCCTTGGCATGAGATACGATTCCAATGCTCTGACCCAAGCCCTCGAGGTCGTTTTAGGAAAAAAAGGGGATGCCATGGTCCGAGGAGGTGTTGGCAGTGGTCTTGGTCGGAGAAATACACTTGATCCTCGGCGGGAGAAGAGACACGGATAACAACACATTTCGACTTCGGAGTCATGGTCAGGAGGTTTTTAAAGGCAAATACGCAATGGTAAAATAAAAATAATCCTTTAGAAGCCTTTCAATCGTAAAATAAGCATAAAGAAATCAAAAACCGTTCCTGATGCAATGCAAACGCCACCATATGAATGCTCCGACATGCCATGCTTGAAAAAGGGTAATATGTAAGGGGAAGAAAAGGGGAAAGAAAGGCAATCATTAGGACTCATGCCTGGGAAGCTGAAGGGAGGCTCCGCTTCTTCGTCGTCAACTTGAGTGCCAGGGGAATGAGACTTCTCTTTGGCCCGCTCACGTCAACCTTTGTAATGGGCTTTCGGCATATCGGACAGGTACCCCGAACTTGCTTGCTCGAGTCTAGTCTTTGATCGGCTGAGTTTAGGTATTCAACAATGCAACGATGGCAAAAGAGATGGCCTGCAGAGAGATGCTTGATTAGAGACTGACAAATTCCTGAAAGGCAAGTGTTGTCGCTTGGGTTTGAACTGACCACAGGATGTGCTTGTTGCATCTTCCGGCGTGTCCATACAAACCGGGCATTTATACGCACTTAACATAGAACCACTGCCTTTCTCGCCTTCTGTTGACTGCTGGGCCTTAATTGCATCTTCCCGTTGTTTAGCAAGCGCCTTGGAAAGCAGACTCTCAGGTTCCGTCAAGTCAATAGACTCGACAGCGTCTTCGTATTCCTGCTCTCCATCTTGAGCACTATCCGAATTTTCTGGACTCCAGAAACCATCGTCTTCTCGTCGACGCTTAACTCCGCGGGGTGTCGCTGGGCTCCCCGCTTGATCTGGCGTTGGTTGATGATTACGAGCAGACGAGGCGGAAGAGCGGCGCTCAGACCTTAGATGAGCAGAGGTAAGGTCCACGACAGAGAGCCTGCGACTCATGGTAGAAACAACAATTTCTCAGATGCGCAAGGAATCAGAGATTGGTATTGGGCAAGCGCATAGCTTGCGAGATTGGGGGAGGAAGTTGTCGCAGCGGTTTTTCGTTTTGTGCGTTCCAGATTTGACGTGGCTCGTCTGCGTCACGGAAATAAAGAGCCGTGAATAGGTGCCAGCGAATTTCCGAACAAGGCGGAGCCAGAAAATGCAAATGGTGAGGAAGTGAATAATGCAGAGAGCCTTAGCTATGATAGACTGATTGCCACCGATAAGCAACAGTTACGGAAGGCGGTCAGCTCAGCCGGATAAACATATCTGCCGAACACCGGCATGACGCCGAGATGCGATAGGCAATGATATGGAAATTGCTCCCTGATAATCATTCCCCCTCGCCTTATCCGTTCAAAACTGCGCAGCCCCTGTCTGGCTGCAATCCCATACGCTACCATGACTTGAGTCTACAATCATTCTCAACTATATGATGATATCTTGGAAATCCTCCTACGCGCCTTGTTCCAGGGGTGTCGTGAGGTCTGCGCGTCTGCGCCTGCGGCCAGCACTCATCTTGCACGCGCGACCATGGCCGTTTGCTGCGAAAGGCCGGACACAATGCTTCTCAACAGATGTTAATGATAGAACCAGTCCCAAACGAACCCTTTCAGGTACGCTCAACGCGACGATGCCCTGGCGCAAACCAAAGAATCTGCATTTACTCATTCCAGACAGTTCCCGCTTCATCTAGGTTCAACGAGATCGGAGTGCAGCAACTGAGCGACTATGTCCACCCACAGGTCTTTCCGGACAAAATTCGGACTCCCGATCCGGAGCTGGTCGCCCTGGCACGAGATCACCTTGCTCGACATGATCTCCTTGGAAAATCCCAGGGTGGTGCCGAGCCGATTGCTTTTGACCTGCCTCCGCTCCAAGGAAAGACGTTAGACGAGCATTTCTACAAGCTCGGCATGGATGCATCCGAACCGTACCTGACCTACGCCAAGTCATATGCCGCAGTGACATGTCCGACGAAACCGCGCAAGTGGGCCAGACGCAGTGGGTGGACGAAATACTATCCCGACGGCTCCTCTGAGCCAGTAGATGCCCCGAATGAGGAGATGATCACTTTTGACACCGAGGTTATGTACAAGGAACATCCCTATGCGGTCATGGCTTGCGCAGTGAGCCCGACTGCGTGGTATGCGTGGATATCCCCTTGGCTTTTGGGGGAGACGGAAATCCAATGTCACCTTATTCCACTAGGAGACCCCTCTCAACCACGAATCGTCGTGGGCCATAATATCGGATACGACCGGGCCCGAGTACGAGAGGAGTACGATTTGCAACAAACTCACAACTTTTTCGTGGATACAATGTCGCTTCATGTGGCCGTGAATGGCATGTGCTCACAGCAAAGACCGACTTGGATGCGACACAAAAAGAACAAGGACCTCCGGGATAAGATTGCAAGCGAGCATAACTCCGTGGAATTGGCTTCGTTGCTCGAGAATAACATGTTGAGAGAAGAGGAGGAAGAACTCTGGGTAGGACGAAGCTCTGTGAATTCCTTGCGAGATGTGGCCAAGTTCCACTGCGATGTCACAATAGACAAGGCACAGAGAAACTTTTTTGGCGAGCTTGACAGAGAAACTCTTTTGACGAAACTCGATGAGCTCCTCGATTACTGTGCTGCCGATGTTGCTATCACTCACCGTGTCTACCGAAAAGTCTTCCCCAATTTCCTTGAGACTTGTCCGCACCCCGTCAGCTTTGGCGCTCTCCGACACCTTTCCTCGGTCATCCTTCCAGTAAATCAAAGCTGGCAAGAATACCTGACCATGGCCGAGGAAACCTACCATAAGCGACTTGACGATGTGCAACGAAAATTGGTTGAACTATGCAACGAAGCTTTAAAAGTGAAAGAGCAACCCGACGTGTACGAAAACGACCCTTGGCTACGACAGCTGGACTGGTCCGGCCAGGAGGTCAAAATGGTGAAAGGGAAGAAAAAGGGAGACCCCCCTCGCCCCGCGGCACGACAAAAGAAACCTGGTATGCCGAAATGGTACAAGGATCTCTTCCCCTCGAGTATTTCCGAGATAAACCTCACAGTTCGCACTCGGATTGCACCCATCCTGCTGAAACTGTCTTGGGCTGGGTATCCTCTCGTCTGGTCTGATAAGTATGGATGGACTTTCCGAGTTCCCCGCGACCAAGTACAACAATTTGAAAACCAACCAGTGGTCCTCTGCGACATGACTGAAGAGACGAATGAGCAGCTGCATAATGACAGGAAGAACACATACTTCAAAATTCCTCACAAAGACGGACCACAAGCCAGGTGTACGAATCCTTTAGCCAAGGGCTATATGGGGTATTTTGAGCGCGGAATCTTGTCATCCCAGTTCGAACTTGCGAAGGAAGCTTTGGATATGAACGCCTCTTGCTCTTATTGGATAAGTGCCAGAGACCGCATCATGAGCCAGATGGTGGTGTATGAGGACCAGGTTCAAAAGGACGGTCGGGCAAACGAACAGACTGAGAACCGCGTGGGTTTCATTTTGCCGCAAATTATTCCCATGGGCACTATCACTCGCCGCGCAGTCGAGAACACATGGCTCACTGCGAGCAATGCAAAGGCGAATCGCGTTGGCTCCGAGCTTAAAGCCATGATCAAGGCTCCCCCCGGCTACGCGTTTGTTGGCGCTGATGTAGACTCTCAGGAACTGTGGATTGCCAGTCTTGTCGGAGACGCGCCATTCCAAATCCATGGAGGAAATGCCATTGGTTTCATGACTTTGGAAGGTTCCAAAGCTGAAGGAACCGACTTACATTCTCGAAGTGCGCAGATTCTGGGAATTTCTCGCAATGATGCCAAGGTCTTTAATTACGGACGTATTTACGGAGCTGGTGTCAAATTCGCTGCGACTCTTCTTCGGCAATTCAACCCGTCCTTGTCTGAGAAGGAAACCCAACAGACTGCGGCCAACCTCTACAAGGAGACCAAGGGTACTCGTACCACCCGTCGCCTGTTGAGCGAGACTCCTTTCTGGCGCGGTGGCACGGAATCTTTTGTGTTCAACAAGTTGGAAGAGTTTGCAGACCAGGAAAGACCCAGAACCCCAGCCCTCGGTGCTGGAATTACCGAGGCGCTTATGAGGCGCTTCATCAACAAGGGCAGTTTCATGACGTCTCGCATCAACTGGGCTATCCAATCATCAGGTGTTGATTATCTTCATCTGCTCATTGTTAGTATGGACTACCTCATTCGGCGGTTCAACATTCAAGCTCGTCTTGCCATCACAGTGCACGATGAAATTCGATACCTGGTGAAGGATGAAGACAAGTACCGTGCGACGATGGCTTTGCAGATTGCCAATGTCTGGACACGTGCCATCTTCTCCCAGCAAGTAGGCATTGATGATCTCCCTCAATCGTGCGCCTATTTTTCGGCAGTTGACGTCGATCACGTTCTTCGAAAAGAGGTTGACATGGACTGCGTTACCCCCTCGCATCCCACCAAGATTCCGCATGGTGAAACCTTGGATATTTCCAAGCTGCTCGAAATGGGCCAAAAAGCCTTCCTGGATCCCTCTATCACACCCACATCTCAACCAACACCGGAAAAGTACTCGTACACTCCGCGGGAATCGGTCATGTCTACTCTTCAGGCGTCCAATGACCCGGCTTTCATCAAGGCTCAGATCACCAAGGACGACAAAGAGCTTCGTGAAATTATCAAAGAAAAGACAGTATCTATCAATGCCTCCCAGCCATCTTCATCACGCCCCACCTCAACCAAATCCCGGGGTAAATCCACAGGCTGGGCATCTGCCGAGTCTCAACGGGCGGTTCTTATGGACATGGAATCCGGACTGTATCCTGACTTCCGAACTCCACCTCGCCCTGCTTCGAATGGAAACAAACAGCCGCAATCAGGTTTCTACAACAGATCCACATGGAAACCTCGACCTACCGCTCGGGCTTAATCCGAAGGATCTCTCATTCTCCACCTTGCCCCTTGCTTCACATTTCTTTCTGTCTTATATTCTCTGCATCTAATTACTTCGCTATCTTGTTCGAATAATCGGGCGGCTGTATGTCTTACAAGGAGTGAACACGGCATAGCATTGGGACGGCGTCGAAGTGGCACTGGTTATATAGTGTACAAACATCAAATTTACCTCAAATATCCAACTCAATACTGTATTTCATTCCATCGGCCTTTGAATGCGTACATGAATGCATAGTAAGATAGGCATAAAGCCATGATGGCTTCTGGACTGTGTTTCTGAACAAAGAACAAAGCGAAGCTTCAAGTCTCTTTCCACATTGATGGAACCCTGCTAAGGTTAGCACAAAGAGACTGGTAAGTCGAACTCTTTAGTGTCACTTACGCGACCTCGATAACCGCGCACTTCCCACCCTGAACAATTCGAGTTCCTTCCTTGATAGCCATATCGACTTCGCTCTGCTGTGTGACCGTAGCACCCCATGCATTGCCAGCTGCCGTCGCAATACCTGGATAATCCGGAGAGGGCTCAAAGGAGATATTGAGATCTGATCAGTAAACGGGTGTTAACAATTGCATCGACAGCATTGTGATAGAGGTAAGCCAGATCATTCCACTTACCACGTCTATTGGACTTAGATGAGAGTCCGTTCTTGTGGACAAGTAGAGCCGATACTTTGGGTGCATTCCAACCGCCGTTGTTCAAAACGATAAGCAAGAAAGGAATGTCATATCGTCTGGCAATCCAGTAGACGCTTTCCATTTGAGAGAAGAGATAGGTTCCATCTCCCACACTATGACTTATTAGCATCTGGATACCAAGATTTGATGATGGGAGATCTTTATTGATTCACATTGCGCAAATAAAGGAGTCGGGCTTCGCAAGCTTGACTCCTAGGGCAGCACCACCTCCCCAACCTAGACCACCAGCACCACTGCCGAGAAGGGCTCCCGGCTGCAATTCAGATCAGCAATGCAACCAAATTATGAAGGAAATATCATGTACCTTAGTGAGGTTGAGATGATGAATAAGGTGTCCCGCATTTGTCACTGCTTCTATCACGAAAGTAGTATCTTCTGGGACAATTTGTCTGAGCCTGGAGGTTAGATACGGCACGGTAATAATGCTTTCTGAAGGCGACTCGAGACTCTGCAAAGTCTGGCGCCAGCTTGCATGACGAGCTCTCCGGGCTTCAAACTCGGAAGTGTAGAGGCCTTTGTCGAAGTTTTGGCCATCCAAGAAAGTGTTCAGCTGCTTGAGTGCAATAGCGCAACTAACTTTCAATCTTCGGATAGCCTTGATGGAGAAAACTGCTTCTAGTTAGTGTGGTGCTCGATTGGAATCTGGCAAGGTCACATACGCGGCATTTGCTGCTTGAGAGGATCAACGTCGAGATGGAATATTTTCGCTCCTAATTCGTCAGTAAACTAATCGACATGCCAGGTTGGATAGTTACCCTTCTGAGGTTCACCCAAGGTGGGAATCCAGGGCACATCGCAGTCCATGACAAGAATCACATCGGCTTCCAAAACATCTGGATGAGTAGTGACCGTAACACCACGATAGGCTTCGTGGTCGCTCCGGATGCAAACATCGGAACCAACCATTTCCACAACACCTATGGGCAGTTTGTCACAGAGCTCTTCTAACAAGGCTGGAGCTTGCAAGTTTCGACCGAGATAACTGGTAATGACCAGCGGTCTCTTTGCACCAATGAGGGTTTTCGCGATCAATTCGACATCTGTTAATATTAGTATGATTGAGCTAAGCCAGTAAAAAGGGAAAGAGGTAGAAAATACCTGGTCCAGCCAATGCACTTGGTGCAATCGGGCTCAGTAGCTCTTCCTCAAGCCACTTTCTTTCCACGCTCTTGGGATACTCCGTCAGCAGTATTTCGTCAATAGAGGCCACCAACAACCTACCTCTTCAAGGACTTCCCGTGCAGCCATTAGATATGAAGGCCCCTTAGGGTCAGACATCGCCATTTCCAAAGCGCGATTAACCATTTGTTTTATGTTGCGGCCGCTCTTGACTTCTCCAGAATATCTGCAATACTGACGGAGAATGGCGGCTTGATCGGGAACATCTTGAAGCCAATGGATGAACCTAAAAGAGTTTAACGTGATGTTTGCGATATTTGTATGGGATTTCATACTCAGTTCTTGATCCCAGAAGCTCCCCTCTTTGAGTGAAGGGGCTAAGGCCGGCGAAACACAGAACGGGTACTCTGCCGATGGAAGCATTATGGATCGACTGGCCCATAGCCAAGGTGCCACAGTCGACATGGACGAGAACACATTGCTAATTTATATTTAGTTTAGCGCGTCAACTTCAATGGCAATCATCATACCGGGATGCCTGTGACCTGGGCGAATCCCAACGCGGCTGACAGAGCGACTAGCTCTGAGGGACAAGTGATGATACTGGGAAACTTGTCCAGTTTTTCTAATTGATTGTAAGCTCTATTTGAGGCAATGTGTAGATGAAGTTACCTTGTTTTGCCTTGATCATGGCTTCAAGCATCGCTGGATGATCACTCCCACTTCGTTTTGTTAGGCGGGACCACTTGGAGGCTCTGGGGGGACATACAGATTGACGAAGCAGTGAGTGACCCCGGCCTCAACTGGAATACTTGTTAGAGACAACATTACATTCACATATCAAGCATTCAACTTACCCAGAGCTTCAAAGAAGCCTTCGGCTGCCGAGGTTAGTTCATCATTCTTCGTTGTTACACCCTCATCGAGACGGGCTCGTTTAGCAGATCTTTCATCGGCTTGTCGGGTCATTTTGGTGCTCTGCTCACGCCTTTTATGAATTTGGTAAAGTCTAGGAGGATCTGGATTAGGGACAGGGGATTTTAAACACACGAGCCCGGGAGTTGTTTCGAGAGTAGATGGAGTTAAGAGCCGCTCGGGATGTCCGCGAACCAATCATTTCAGCAGTCCCACTCCACCCCCGCTCTTTCCATTTCTTTCCGCTCTTGAAAGTCTCGGGATCTCCGCGATTGGGTTGAATATGTGGGCATGGTCTGGCTACCGGCTCTCTTTATGGCTTGCGAGATGGAGAAAACCTCTTATCTCATGGGGGAGTGCGTGAAAAATGAGTCACTTGGTGGATCTACGGTAGCTTCGAAAATAATGCAATCAGGATAGGGTGACTTCGAGACTGTCTCTCCACTTGATATCTCTCCAATGATTTAAAGCACTAGTCCTCCCAGTCAACTGCTCCCTCGACATCATACTCGTCCCAGCTCCAGCCTCTCTCCAATATGCTACCCAGGAATGTGGCAGAACGACTCGATCAAGGTGGTATCCCCAAATGGCGAAAAGATAGCACCATCTTGTTTGGGCAAATAGAGGCAAAGGGTGATTGTGGTCTTTTCAAAAGCGATGTAGGTCCTATGACTTTTGCGAATCCTTGAAAAATTGCTAACTCAATTGAAAAGAAGAGCTCTATCAAGGCAAATGCAAAAAGATGGGACCGTGGGCTAACAATATCAATTCTCGTTACTGTCTGATACTAAGACCTTGATAGACTTCTTTTCCGAAGAGGCCCAAAGACGGAAAGTATGTTCTCTAGTCTCAGATTCTCAAAGCCATCTTCATCGACTGACACTAATTGTTCTTTCTAGCCATCGAGCATCAAAGCCGCAGGCCGAGCTGCAAGTGAACCAGGTCAGACCTAACAGACTTGAGAACATACACTCTTGAATTCCAATCTAATGATGTTGGATGTAGGCATGATCTCTCTTGGTGCTGGCGCTCCCTCAGCCGCGTACTTTCCCTTCGAAGCTGTTCATGTCAACATTGCAAATCCTCCTGGCTTTTCGGGTGCGCCAGAGGGAAGTGAATCTATACTCCACATGGCAAAATATGATTTTGAGCCAAACTCCAGTGAATACAGTAGGCCGATTCCAAAATATCCGGAGCTTGAATATTCGGTGGTCTAATTGACTCTCAAAAGGCTTGGATGTAGCTCTGAATTACGGCCAGGGCAGTGGCGCTGCGCAGATGCTGCGGTTTGTGACTGAGCACACCGAGGTATGGAGTTCCTTGGTATCAATGAATGAATTATTGCGGTTTTAATAAAATACAGCTTATGCATAGCCCTCCGTATGCGGACTGGGGATGCTGCATGACAGTGGGCAGTACCTCGGCTTGGGACTCTACATTGAGAATGTTCTGCGAGAAAGGGGATTACATTATCGTCGAGAAATACACATTCGCAAGTGCGTTGGAAACAGCGTGGTCCCTCGGTATCAATGCCCTTCCGGTGGGAATGGACGCCCAAGGGCTCATTCCCGACGCCCTTGATAAAGAGCTTTCGTCCTGGGAGGAGTCAAAGCGTAAAGCACGGAAGCCCTTCCTACTTTATATGGTACCGACTGGACAAAATCCAACTGGCGCCACTCAGTCCCTTGAGCGACGGAAAGCCATTTACGCTGTCGCTCAAAAACATGGTCTGTATATTGTCGAAGACGAGCCGTACTATTATTTGCAATTGCCTGCATTTAGGGCCAAGGAGCCTTCTGGTGAAACTCAGGGTTGTGGATTGGTTCCATCATACCTCAGCCTCGATGTCGATGGTCGAGTTCTCCGCATGGATTCACTGTCCAAGGTCCTTGCGCCTGGGTCTCGCACAGGCTGGGTCACAGCCTCTCAGCAAGTCATTGAGAAGTTTGTACGGCAGAATGAGACATCTTCGCAGCATCCCAGCGGCTTCTCCCAGGTCATCATTTTCAAGCTCCTCAATCATCACTGGGGGCATTTGGGATTTTTTAAATGGCTGGAGAACATCCGAGCAGAATACATGTGGCGGAGAGACGCTTTCGTTCAGGCCTGCGTGAACTTTCTGCCAGAGGGGATTGCACACTTTGTTCCCTCTGAGGCTGGGATGTTCGTAAGTTGAATTTTCCTGATTACTTTGGTGGAATGTAACTAATTTTCTCCGAAAGCAATGGATCGAGATTGACTGGAAATCCCATCCGCTATACAAGACTGGCGCTGGGCATCAGAAGATTCAGCAAACCATCTTTGATTCCGCCGTGCAGAAGAAAGTCTTCCTTGTTCCAGGAACTTGCTTCTGGTCGGCGAGCGAACTGCCAGAAGATAGGATGTTTTTTCGGGCGACCTATGCATCGGCGTCTCAAGAGGATCTTGTAGAAGCGGCTCGGAGATTTGGTGATGCGTTGAAGGATGAGTTCCAGTAAAAGGGCGGTGAGTGCATTAAATTTCGACCAATGCTATCCTATACAAGGCTGGATTCCCTCCCTTTTCATGAATTCCTGGATCCCGTAAGGCCCATAGTACCTGTCATCTTCGTGAGCGGCTTCCCACAGATTGGCCAGGACTGAAACAGAAACGGTGCAGTTGCGGACTTTGTTCTCCATATTGAGTATTGTTGATATATAGTCTTCTTGGTCCTTTCGGGATGTTAGGCACGATCCGATATGAGCGAGGGGCCACAGAAGCATTGCCCATGCCATACTTGATGGCGGTATCTCTTTCAGCAGCAGGATGGCTTCGCATAAAGTAACGTCAATTTGCCTTCGAATGCTGGGCTCGGGAATTCCAGGACCACCCAGCGCGCATTGAAGAGTGACTACTAGTGCCATCTGTATGAAAAGGGCTGCTGTTATTTCATCCTTGTCCGGTCCTGGGTAGGCATACGTTCTGGTATTCACTGATTCTGGCACCTCCCATGACAATATTTCTTGTTCAATAGCATGGAACTCATCCAATATACCGTGATCAAGGTGTCTGGGGTGAGCAACTGGTTCCCTTCGCGCGAAATCAGAAATTCGTGGAATCATTTCGAATAAACCATATGCACACGCAGAAGATCGGCCATGATAGTATGACGACAGATCCGGGAAGTGATTTGCCATGCCATTGGAACCAAGCCCAAAGTGATTGTTCAGAATATGGATAGCCATGAATTGCTCTGCGATAAAGCACGCGCAATTTTCAACAACCTTGCTCAAAAGGCCGTTATGTGAGATCAGTAGGGTAGAGCACGGCAACATGTGCTGCATCACTGCGCCTTCCATATTTCCGTCGACAACCTAGATCATTTTAGACTTGATCGAGCACGATAATAGGTATGTGTCAATGGTTGGATAAATACCTCGTAATTACAGAGAACCAAGAGCAATATAATGATCTCTAGAGGGTTCTTTCTCAGTCCACTTCCAAATTCTGTGATCAAGTATTTCGCGGCTCGCAAGGCAATTCCGTAGTGCGCAAGGGCAACAACATGTGATTTTGGATCATCATAAGACAGATGGGAAGCACTTATAGCAAAGGCAGCATGGAGAAACCCCTCGTTTTGCTGGGCAAGAGGTAATAAGTAGACGAGGAACGGATTCTCGACACCGTTCTTGACCACGAGCCTTTTCGCTGATCTCTCAATGTAGTGATGGAGAAGCCTTTGCTCAGTGGGTCTCCCCCGAAGTCGAGGCCAGTGTGAGAGTGCATACTCTGGACTGGAGAATTGGAGCTGATATGACGAAGTGACGTGCCGAGCAAGGCCTGGATCCTCGGCTGCCGCGGAGCCCGAGGGACTGTCTGCCCTCGCTATTCCAGGCCAGGAACAAAGTAGATGGTTTCGCACGCAGCCGCCACAAATAGGTTTCATTTCATCACATTTTGTGTGGCGGGTGCGACAACTTAGGCATCCGGATTTTGTTCTCTTGGTACTTCGTCTATAAGGACGAAAGAGTCCTTCGCCCGGAGTGGCTTTAAAATCTATCACCCCATTCATCGTAGCCACTAGCCAATTTTAAGTGGCAAAAGACAGACCAGACAAGAGAAAAGGAGATGTCAAGCTTGGAAATCGCAGGGTTCAGGTTCATGCTCCGTCAGGACATGGACCCACCGATAAGGTCGGTTATCCTCTTCCGGATTAGCGTATTCGTCCCCAATAGGAAATGCGGATGTATGTCCTTCGAGAGCTGTCTGGGTATCCTTTCATTCATGCTGATTCCTGACCTAAGTCCACACCGATATGAAAATTGATGATCTGCCCTTGCTTTTTCTCATGGTAGGGTGGATCCCGTCTGAGTTGTGCACAATGGCTTAGATTCCACACAATATAAATCTCAACTGGATTCCCATGTCCCAAGCTTTTCCTTTCAGGAAATTTTCGTTATCGACTCAGGCTGAACCTTAACCTGTTAATCTCCAGCACTGTTTGAGAGCACCAGCTCCGTGCATCATCAATTATGCCTCAAAAACATCCCGAATCACCTCCTTTCTTTGACTTCATCGTGACTCCAGGCGCTTCACAGTGTGCCCCCAAGAAAGATTGCGGAGTTCGAACGACAACTGTGAGACCCGTGGACATTTTTTAATCGGGAACTAGCTTTTCTTGAGATGATTCTAACGCACTTTTGTGACCTTGTAGTCTCCTGCGATCAAGAATGCTCCTCTGCCCGCCGATGGTGCAGGAAACGATTCTTGGAACAATACTCTGCTATTGTTCATCTTAGTATCCATTCCGTGGTTCATATCAATCCAACTCGGCCGTGGCCTCTACTTTACAATCTTCGTCGCGATATGCACCGCTATCCCAATTCTTATGGTATTCTGGACCATCTTCTCCTCCATGTCCCCACGCATGAATGAAAAGGCAAGACTTCCGGGCCGGCCGATTGAACATTATCTCAATTTCCGCACTCAAGGCGATCGTGCAAAATACCGGGGTAAGAGGAAGATCCCCATTGAGGTGTTTTACGAAAAGTATTTCCGGGGTGATGTTTCTTTTAAAAGTGGAGATTGTCTAGAGAATCTGGAGTACCGGCACGATTGGGCGAGCTTCAGATTTACATGGGGAGTCTTTCGGCATTTCCTGTTTGGATTTGTCCCGGAACTTATTGTGCACTCTCGATCTCAAGGTAATTTGAACTGAATCCTTACTCTGAGAAATCAGTGTGGACGAGAAAAGGGCTAGTGGCTAATGACCAATGAGTCACAGACGAGGAACAGGTCAGCGGGAACTATGATCGCGGCGACGACTTCTATGCATGGTTCCTAGGCCCTCGTATGGTATACACTTCCGGTTTGATTGGTGATGCCACCAGAGAAGAATCCTTAGAGCAGCTGCAGGACAACAAATTGGCAGTGGTTTGCGAGAAGATTGAATTACAGCCTGGTGATACCATGCTGGATGTTGGTTGCGGCTGGGGAACCCTTGCAACCTTTGCGAGCGTTCACTACAAGGCACATGTGACTGGGGTCACGCTTGGTCGCAATCAGACCAAATGGGGTAATACTACCCTTGAAGGCGCTGGAATCTCCCAGTCTCAAAGTCGAATTCTTCGCATGGACTATCGTGACTCGCCTAGGATTCCTGGTGGATACAAGAAGATCACAAGCCTTGAGATGTCGGAGCATGTCGGTGTTCGTCACTTCCGTGGATTTCTTCAACAAATCCATGATATGCTGGATGATGATGGTGTTTTTTTCTTGCAGTATTCCGGGCTTCGGAAATATTGGCAATACGAGGATCTTATATGGGGACTATTCATGAACAAATATGTTTTCCCGGGCGCTGATGCCAGTACCCCCCTCGGATGGGTTATTGATAAACTGGAGGGAACCGGCTTCGAGATCAAAGCCATTGACACTGTTGGAGTGCACTATTCGGCAACGCTATGGCGTTGGTATCGTAATTGGCTTGCGAACCGACAGAACGTGGAGGCAAAGTATGGAGCAAAGTGGTATAGGGTGAGCAGGCAAGTTCCACGATACGTACATACCGCTAACGAGCTTTTAGACCTGGGAGATCTTCCTCGCCTGGTCTACTATCGTCTCCCGTCAAGGTGGTGCTGCTTGCTATCAGATTGTTCTTGTCAAGAACATTAATTCGACTCATCGTGTTGAAGGGGTGCCAAGCCAGTTTGGAATCACCGGAGCGATCAGGTCAGCGGTTGAGAAGATTGGAAAAGTTCCGAGTGCCTTCCTTTCTTAGGTATATTCGTCTAAAATACATTCGGTTATATAGTTGTCGAGGTGCTTTTAGGGAAGATGATAGCACGGGGCGAAAGGAAATTGAGTTTTACTCTTTGTTAGGGATATTAAGGCAGAACAATTCACCGTTGAGAAACAGTCTCTGTGGCGATATCCACCTTAGTATCTTTAAAATCGCGAGCTTTAACCTTATTCTTGAACAAAATATCCATCTCAGCAAAAGTCCGATTCTTGGTCTCGGGGAGTCGGAAATATGCCCAGATTAGACCAAGCCCCATGATACCACCGTAGAAGAAACCAGACTTTGCTCCCCAGTTCCACGCAACAGTTTGCATCATATGAGGAACCAATTGACCATAAACCAAAACGGCCACATTATAGACTGCGCGAGCGAGCACAACGGTCTTGTTTCGAAGGCAGTTTGATGGTATCTCGGAAACGATAGTGTAGATAATCGGACCGATTGTGATGAAGAAGACAAAATATTCAATCAGCAGGATAGTACCGATTCCATACCCAATATTTGGATGTGTTGCTATGCTCGGGATTCCCATGAAACCAATGACAAATGTGGTCACAGTCATGAATGCGGTACCGTAGAGGAGCAAGGTGCGTCGACCGACTTTTGGCACCAAATACCATGCGATGAAAACGCCAACGATAGCCAGCGCATATTCCCCCATACCAAAGTCAAACGAAGCAGTCGATGCAAGGCCTGCTTGCTCCAGGAAATACACAATATAAGAAACAAGAGGGGCACAAAGCTCTTGAATGAGCCAGGCAAAAACTGCAATCTCTGTTCGACGCAGATCGACCCCCTTGAACAAGTCCCAATAGGTACTGGAAGCCTTCATCTCGTTTTCGATTTTAACGGTGTGCTCCATCATGGCGACAGTATCTGCGATCTCGTCCTCAGGAGTATCTCTGGACCGTAGTCGTTTTATCACTGCACCGGCATCTGCAATGCGCCCCTTGCGAATGAGCCACCACGGAGACTCGGGTGCAAGGAATATACCGATTGCGAGTGGAATCGGCAATACCCATTGTAGAGCAAATGGAATTCGGTAGGCCCACTGTCCTTCCGACGATAAGAAGGCACGAAGGACACCAGTACCGAGCAGGTAGCCAATACTCCAGCACAAAGAGACTAGCATTGTGAGATAGGGTCGCAGGACGTTCGGGCAGACTTCGGCCGCGTAGGTAGTTGTCAGGGTCTGGAAGACACCCCAAGGGATACCCAGGAGGATTTCAGCTCCCAGGTACATGTATATGCTGGTCGCAAAAAACTGCAGGAAAATAAAACACATCATCAGAAATAGAGAGCCGACCATGACCCATCTCTGCCCGATCAAATCCGCAATGATACCATTGAGGAGTAAACCAATGATTTCACCAGCATTGACACCATTGCCCACGGCTGACTGAAGGGTGGCTGGTACTTGGTACTTCCCGTCACTTTGAAGCTCTCCGTATCTCTTTTGGAATGCAGGAAAGGCGAAAAATCCACTGACAAACGCGTGGTCGAATCCCTCCATGATAAGAGCCGAAGAGAAGAGTATAGACCAGAACACTGCTTTGGGGTATTTGCGGATACCCTCGCGTAGGCTCATCCCGTGCTCCTCCTCGGTGGCCCTCTGCGCGCCTTTCAAGGTGTCGCTAGCAAAAACGTCTTCTTCCTCATCCTTCTCTCGAACGACCGTTGTAGTCGCCCGGTCGGCGATGTCTTCTTGGTGCTCTGCCATGTTGTGAGCAGTCCTTTTTGTAGAGACGTGAGAGATAAAAAAAATCAAAAGTGACAGTTTGAATATGAGGATCGTCAATTAAGCGTCTTGTGGAAGCTGGGCGCTTGGCTCCCCCTTTGTATCGTTCCCACAACATCTCCGCTTCCCCAGAATGCGGGGATGGATTTTCCGGGGTAGAATTCTGATGGGGTCACGTCCATGGTTTGATTAGCAGCGCGGGAGAATAGTAGCCGAAAGCAGGATACATCCACGCCGATTCGGAAAGCAAATAAACCGAGCCCTGGCTGTCTATATGGGCAGAGAAAGCGGAGAGACTCCCGTGTGTTTGTGTACTTCATAGAGGGCGGGGAATGGAGAATCCTTGTTGGTGGAACATTAGAATTAACTGGCGGCTGACTCTCGCCTTGTACTCCGCTCCGGAGCATGATGGCGTCGCTTATAACTATCCACCTGTGGGCTGGTTCTTTCAAACCCAGCCAAGGTAATCTGTCAACTGCCACTGCTTGGCTCTCTTGTCCTGCATTGCTTGTTCGATACTGGAGGTCTGAGCGCTGATAAAAATACAATTATTCGCCTTGGCAAGATGACAAGGAATCTGCGCTGGCTAAGTGGAAATGGCCCCCAGGTCCTATCAGATGGCGTTTCCTTTGGGATGTCGTGGGCGCGGGGTAAGCATCAGCCAGGCCAAGCCTTCGTTATTGAGGCCGATCTTGGGGAATGGCCTGTTGACTCACGTGAAGTCGCTTACTGGGCCGATGGCTCTCTCAAATGGACGGCTCACTCCATCAGCGGTGATGTTAGATACAGCGAGAAATATACAGTCAAAGCTGCGCCAGCGCAGGAGAGGGCTGGAGGCGTCAAAGTTCTGAGAGATGGTACATCTTTTTCAGTCATCTCTAATCAAGGACTACATCTCCAGTTTGGACAGGCGGGAAGTTCTTCAATCCTTGAGCGACTGGACATTGATGACAACACCGTCTGCTGTGGTGCCACGATTATTGCATCCATCAATGGAACTGAGCACATAACACGCATAAATGCGGTCGAGATAGAGAATCAGACATTCAGCCGAGTCGTCGTCAAGGTGACTGGCGCAGTAGAAGCGGCAGAATCTGGAAATCGTCTTCCTTTCGATATAAGATTCTACGTGCATTCAAATTCACCTTCAGTCAAAGTAATTCACTCGTTCGTGCACGACCTGGATGCCAAGGACCCACTCACATCACTTGGACTACGGTTCGCTGTTCCTCTCGAGCAGACTGAATTGTACAACCGCCATATTCGCCTCGGCGGCTCAGGGGGAGCAATTCTGAAAGAGGAAGTGAAAGGGCTATCCGGGCTGAGACATGGCCCAACAATCCAAAACCGAATCGATCAAACGGAAGGATCGGTTGTCACTCTACGCGAAGAAGAGTGGGCAAGGACGAATCTAGCCGAGGGTCTTTCCTACATTCCTTCGTGGAATTCTTACTCGCTTTCGCAACTCTCATCTGATGGCTTCACGATTAAGAAACGAACAAAACCAGGCTGCTCTTGGGTCAAGGTTATTGGAGGTGGACGAGCAGATGGAATTGCATATGTTGGATCTGCACAGAGTGGCGGAATTGCTGTCGGCATGTCCGACTTCTGGGAGCGGTATCCAACACAGATCGATCTCGACAACTTGAGTTCAAATACTGGCGTCATAACAATGTGGCTGTACTCGCCTCTCGCCGAGCCATTGGAGACGGCACCATATCATGATGGTCTTGGCTTGGACTCCTACCAAAAGCAGTTAGAAGCCCTTGACGTGACGTACGAGGACTTCGAGCCAGGACTTGCAACAGCGAATGGTATTGCAAGAACGAATCTATTCTTTTTGAAGCCGTTCCAAAAAACACCTTCTAACCAGGAACTGAGTGCTTTCTCGTCACTGGTTCGTGACCCACCGCGGCTAGTTGCAACAGCAGAGCACATGCATGCCGCAGACGTCTTTCATGGATGTTGGTCTCCTGTTTCGCCTGATAAAAACTTTGACAAAACTGCAAGAGTGGCTGAAGTGGAAAGAAACCTGGAACTGTTGTTCAACTATTACAAAGGCCAGGTTGAACAAAATCGATGGTACGGATTCTGGGACCATGGTGATGTCCAACACACGTACGATTCTTATCGACATGGCTGGAGATATGACATTGGTGGCTTTGCTTGGGACAACTCTGAGCTATCTACGGACTTGTGGCTTTGGCTATATTTCCTTCACACCGGCCGAGCAGATGTGTTCAAAATGGCCGAAGCTATGACGAGGCATACTGGTGAGGTAGATGTGTATCACTCTGGGAGCTACAAAGGATTCGGAACCCGACATGGCGTTCAACATTTCAGCGACAGTTCCAAACAACTTCGAATCTCGAATGTTCTCTATCGCCGTATTTACTTCTACCTCACCGGAGACGAGCGCGTTGGTGACTTGATTTCTGAGCTTCAAGATTGCCAGAAGTCTCTCTTGGTACTAGATTCCCATCGCAAGGTGCAAAAACACGCTGGAGTTCCAGGAGGATTTGCCATAACGAACATAGGTCTGGACTGCGGGCCTCTTGCTGCTGCCTGGCTGACAGCTTGGGAAAGACGGAGTGACGGCTGGGAGACCTGCAAGGACCTCCTCATTAAGCTTCTCGACGGCATCGCTGACTTGAAACATGGCATTGGAAATAACGCAATTCTATTTAATCCAACTAGCGGTGAAGTGCGAGAATGTCCTCCCCCAACGCCAGAGTGGGCAATCTCTCATCTTTCTATGCTGTTCGGTTTCCCTGAAATCATGGCGGAGCTCTTTCACTACGCGCAAGAGGAGTATCCTTTGGTAATACAAAAAACCGAGAAGGTGTATACAGCATACTGCCGAGCCTACAATGGCGGTGCAAAAGTTCAACGCGATGAATTTGGCTTCAAATTCCCTTCGCATGCCACATGGAGACAAAGCCATTCCACCCTCACTGCTTTTGCAGCAGCTGGTTCAAGAGCAAATGATGTAGATCTTGCAAGCGCTGCTGCGGAGCAATTCTTCAACACTGATGGCTACACGGCAAAACAGGACTGGAGGATTGTGAAGACCGCACCTCCGGAATTTTTTAGTCACGGCGAGGAAGCTCCCTGGAATAGTACTAATGAGACTGCTCGCTATGGAATATCTGCTATAGTTAACTTAGCAACCCTTGGACAGATGTTTCGGTAACTGAGAGTCGTTCAAAATAAATGATATTTTGAAAGTTCAATTGTCCTAAAGCTAGATGTGGCTGACTTCTGCCAAAACACAAAAAGATAATGTCGCCCTCAACGGCTACAAATAGCGAGCACCGGCTTAGAAAGACCCATGGCACCCTCGCCAGGTACAACAGAAAACCCATTGTATCTTTCATATCATGCATAAAAATCAATGAAAAAACTATTCAGGCCCTAAAGAATAAAAACAAAAGCAAGATCCACGATATAACACTTTAGAAAGGTCTCGATCGAGCCGCCGCAATAGGTGTAGCACCAATTCGGCCAGTGAAGTTATCAATTCGTGAGTTGAGCGTCAGTTTCGGATCGCAATAACCCGCAGCCCGAACTCGCCTCTAAGCGGGGTAAGTCGGGGTAGTGAGATGAAGCTTGAGGCGATCGGCAAATCGACTAGCGCAGCATGAACCCCCTATGCGGACTTCGGAACGAGCCATTCGCTTTCTATTGATGGAAAATCAAGCTTAGCAGCTTCCAGAGGCTACCAGGGTTCTCGGCGAAAGAGGTGTTGTTGGCTGGCGAGGGGTCACTACGCCGATCTGCAGGCAAGAGATGGCTTTCAAGAATCGTTCGCTTTCCTCTGCAATTTTCTCCAATTAACTTCATTTGAAAGTCACTTCTTTTATAGGCCCTACCCTTGGCCAGTCTCACCTGTCGCGCATCAAGGCATGGCTCCTATAAGATATGCCGTTGTAGGCACCGGGGGCCGCGCCGCCTTCTTCTACAGCGCCATCGTAAGCGATTTCAAGGATACAGCCACGCTTGTGGCTTTTTGCGACACAAATCAAACCCGCATGGATGTCGCCAATAGCCGAGTTCAAGCGCTAGGAATATCACAACTACCAACTTACAAGGCCGCCGATTTTGATCGAATGATTCAAGAGACAAAGCCAGATACAATAATCGTGACCACAATTGATCGGACACATCACACCTACATCATCCGGGCAATGGAGCTTGGCTGCAACATACTCAGCGAAAAGCCAATGACGATCGATGAGAACAAATGCCAAATGATCCTTGATACAGTCAAGGCGACGAATCGCCAATTGCGAGTCGCGTTCAACTACCGATATGCGCCACACAACACCAAAGTCCGCGAACTTTTAATGGACGGCACAATTGGAAAGGTGACTTCTGTTCATTTCGAGTGGATGTTAAATACTAGACACGGCGCGGATTACTTCCGCCGCTGGCACCGAGATAAACGCAACAGTGGTGGACTGCTCGTTCATAAGTCCACCCATCATTTCGACCTGGTCAATTTCTGGCTTGGAAGTAAGCCCACCACCGTGTTTGCGCAGGGTGACCTGAAGTTCTACGGTAAAGAGAATGCTGAACTTCGCGGAGAGACGAAATTCTATTCTCGGGCTCACGGTAGCCCCGCCGCTGTAAACGACCCATTTGCCCTACACATGGAGCCGAATCCACAGCTCAAAGCTATGTATCTTGATGCCGAGCATGAAGATGGATACTACCGTGATCAGAGTGTTTTCGGAGATGGGATCAACATCGAAGATACCATGGGTGCTCTGGTGACCTACCACTCAGGTGCGATTTTGACCTACAATCTAGTCGCCTATTGCCCGTGGGAGGGATTCCGAGTCTGCCTTAATGGAACAAATGGTCGACTGGAGATGGATGTTCTCGAGGAGTCATATGTCAATGCAGGCGGAGAACAAGCCAAAGAAGGCGCTGTTGCAAGCACGAAAATCACGGTCAATCCTATGTTCGCGCCGCCTTATGAGGTTCCGGTTGTCGAAGGAGAAGGTGGTCATGGGGGTGGAGATCCTGTGCTGTTGAATGATCTCTTTGGAAATCCTGTTCCGGACAGATTCAATCGTGCTGCGTCGCATGTCGATGGAGCTATGTCTATTCTGACGGGTATCGCAGCTAATAAGGCAATTCGTACCGGGCAGGTGGTGCAGGTCAAAGATCTAGTGCAATTCTGAGCATTTCAAGACGAATAAACTTCCATTCGTGGATAGGTTAGAGAAATAGCCACCTATTTAACTAATATACATCGAACTTTTCAACTTTCATCCTCTCCAGGGCTTCTTCATGTCTTAGCAAAGATCTGAGATTGCATAGATGCTTCGGTGGATCCTACCTGGGGACATCTTGGACCACTGGATTGCATGACTAATCGAAACGGGATCGCTTCTTGTTGCGCGTAGACTTCCGGGTCCCAGCCAGCTGGGTGCCCGTAGACTTCAACGTGAGCGTCCCTTCTTAGTCACGAGAAATGATGTCGGGATCTCCGAATCAGGCCTTTGGCGCATCAATTGGTCCTCGCAGGAAGACCACGGAGGCCTGTGATCCTTGTCGAGCCCGAAAACTAAAGGTAAGTCGCTCAAAGCCATCTATGTGGGGTCCACAGGTGCTGATATCAATCTACGGATGAAGTGTGATGGGCTACTGCCGTGTAAAACATGTGATAAAAGCAAGGCTCAATGCTCTTATGATCCATCTACAGTGGCTCACAGAGCCACCGGGTAAGTGACAAATGAAGTCGGAGATTCAAAAGCTGATGCAAGATTTAGTGAACTCGACATCATCAATGCCAGGGTGATGGAGCTGGAGCGTGCCGTTTTCGGCGAGAGAACATATCAACCTAGGATCCCTGAAAGCTCGGCAGGTGTGTGTTCTGGTCCTTGTATCCAACATTTGAAGCTGATATGAGAAAGATATAACCCCGCAATCAACCCATGGCCAGGCTGGAGTGGAAGTGTTCGAAAATGGCAACGGATCCCTGGCGTTCTTCGGTACCACATCAACGTTTAACATGCTGAAGTCACTAGGGTCGTATGCCTCTCGAGCAGAGGAAAGCATTCACAACTGGAGGAGGTTTAACAAAAGAAAACGAACAGCCGAGGTCTCGTCGTTCAATTTTTCCCCCAAGAATATCTACAACCAAAGTGATATGCGTAGCACAAGTGGATGGAATTTTCGGGAAGACGTGGCAAAAGAGTATTTCAACTGCTTCTTTAATAAGGTCTCTGACATTCTTCCAGTAATGAACATTTCTCATTTTCGGTCTATCTCCGATTCATTCCTGCAAGAAGTGTCTTCCCCGCTGCCGCGGCCTCAGATTCCAAACGAGTGTCTCCTTTATTCTATTCTGTCTTTGGGTGCTCTCTACTCAGAGGCAGGCTCCAAGCCAGCCGTATGGGCTGCCAACTCCTTCGCTAGGGCCCAGACTCTTTTGGGACAGTTGTTTGGAATTGATTGCTTGGAATCAGTTCAGGCTACCATGTTTATGGTATGGTTGTCATTCAAGGCACTGTCTTGAAATGCACTGACACCGACAGGCAATTTATGCTCACCACACCGCTCAGCCTAACTGTATGATTACCAGCCGTTGGCAACCTCACATCTAACATCTTGTAGTGGCATTTAACTACCTGGGAATTGCTATTCGAATGGCATACTCGATTGGTATCAATGAGAATATCAATTCCCCAGAGGGTGTCACCCTTGATCACCAGGTAGCACTCCGAACGTGGTGGACTCTTTATAGCCTGGAGTCAGAACTCTGTCTTGAGTACGGGAGACCCCTCAGCATCCGCGAGACCGATGCCAAGGCATCTTATCCAACAGAGTATCCGGTAAGCTCGTTCAATTCGCTCGAACGGGCACCTTCACTTATCAAAAAGCAGGATGCCGAGGCAAAATCGGCCAGCAAAAAGACATTCATCATCGTAATGGCGAAGTTTTCGAGAGTCGTTCGCAAGATCATTGATTTGGCATCCAATATCAACGAGAGAACAGATGCCTTGCAGTCTTTTGTGGGTCGAATGATGAACCATCAGGCTGAGCTCATGACCTGGAGGGCGGAGCTTCCCGTGCATTTAGCACCCAATGATACAGGGACAGTCGAAGGATTGCGAGCCTGGGGCCAAGTTCCCTGGATGCAACACCAGTGTTTGGATATTGAGCTAAGTTAGTCATACGTTACCATTGCGAGGACGAGTGTCTCATAAAATATTTCGATAGGGTTCAACCATGTGATGCTGGTCATGCATCGTCCATTCTTTGCAAATGTTACCTTCTCAACGCCATTCTACTCATCTGTCATGGCCAGAAGCGTCTGCATTGGTGCCGCACGAGAAACCATTCTCCTTGTGCACAAGGTGCTGGAGGATCCGTGCAAACAGAGGTCATGCTACTACCATCGTGTCTTGGCTGCAACGCTTGTGGTTATCGCAAGCGCTTTCGACAGCTCTGGAGACGAAAGGATTAACCTGGGAGATCTATGCTCTCAAAGCGCAGAGATCTTCAGCCGAATGCGCTTTGGTTGTCCGGCTAAGGGGCTTGAATTGGTGAGGATGTTGATCCACCTATTCCAGCTTTCCCACGCAGAAATCCAGTCAGTGGAGATCTGAGCCTGTCAGATCCTTCAGGCCCAAAAAATCGAAGAACGAGCTGCTGTAAATGACCCACGTGGTGGATCGTTGTAGAATCCGTCATGACTTCCTTTGGTTAGTACCACAGTAAAGTTGAAAATAAAGTAGAGCGTGGCTGTGTTGGTACAAGCCGTGCCCCGTGCGCCTGCATTTCTTGGTCCGATCCCAACTCACCCTCTCGCCCTTTTCCTTGTATAAACTTTCCGACTGGTCAAGCTTTGCGTTCGATCGGACTGTTTCACATTGCTGCCGATGATCATCCTTGCACGTCATTTCCTCGCAAGGTGCAGCATGTCGGCGTTGCCATGATAAGCATTTCGCCTGATATCGCTCGCTCATGCGCTCCTTGCCTCTAGAAGGGCTGTGAACAACTTATCTGCTTGACCCTAACCTCCTTGAAACTGGCTGCTTTGCATTGCCAATGAGCATACGCCGTCCAGCCAACAGAACACGGTGCTCGCAGCCGTTCGGTCTTCAACATGAGCGTCTACGAAATGGACTACGCGCAGCCTGACGCGATTCGATCCGATCCGAACCACCCTGACCTTGAGGCTGGACGCATATCGCCGAATACTCCGGCCTCTCCGAGGGAGCGAGACAACTCTGTCCCTGACGCGTTTACCACCGCAGCAAGAGTCAACTCCACCGATACCGCCAAACGTCGCAGACGACGTTCGAATACTGCCCGCTCCTACCACCCAGATGGCTTTGGCGAGCCCCACTGGCAGCCCGGTACAGAACCCGGTATCGATCCTACCAAACCTCTTCCACCATACAGCTCCGAATGGGCGTCAAACGTACCCGGAGACTTACAGAGACAATGCGAAATCACAGTGGTAGACTTCTCGCAGAATGAAATGCGGCAATACGAGCTTGATAACGACACTCTTGAACAATTCCTGAGTCGTGAGCGAGAATCCTGGGTACAATGTCGATGGATCAATGTCAATGGGCTGAGCTGGGATGTGATTAAGATTCTTGGAAACCACAAGAGACTCCACCGTCTGGCGATTGAGGACGTCGTACATACAACGAATCGCACCAAGGCAGATTGGTATTCCGACCATGCCTTTATCGTATTGACCTTGCAGAAATTGGTGAAATTGCAACAAGAGAGCAGCGACTCCGAGGATGATGATGATGATGGGCCCGGTATTTTTGATTCAAAGGAAAGAAAGAGCTCAGTCGTCAGTGACAAAAGCTCGGTGTCTATGAAACGACCCACCCAAGGACATATCATTTGGGAAGCCGTGAAGGATATTTTCCGTTCCAAGCGGCCAGCAAGCCGGCAGAGGAAAGAAAAAGCGACACTGGGCGCGAGTGTCCGCCCTGGCCCAGGCCGGCCTTCTGCCAACCGGGCCTCTCAATTCGGAGATGTGGCTAATGCTGCATCAGCCACGGCTCGATCCCTTCAGCGATATCGTGGGGGGCCAAACGAGGATCGCATCGAGTTCATGGAACGACACGCCGCGCTCGCGGCTAAAGGACTATGTGTTACCTTGGAACAGGTTTCACTCTTCCTTCATGCCGACAACACCGTCACATCCTTCTTTGAGACCAGTGCAGATGACATAGAAGCACCCATCGTGCGACGTTTGAGCTCACCTGAGACAATCCTTCGACAGTCATGCGATGCCAGTATGCTCCTGCAAGCCATTATCGACGCAGTCATTGATCTTGCAATTCCTGTCACCATGGCTTACCAAGACGCAATTGGAGATCTGGAGCTAGAGGTCTTGACAGACCCGGACATTGATCAATCGAAGAGCCTATACATCCTGACCTCTGAAATCGCGGTCCTCCGAAACTCCATGCAGCCGATGGTGGCTGTGATTAATGCTCTGCGTGACCACCGAGGTGCGCCTATCGGCACACCAGGTTTCGGGACTCTGCGAAACGGCGCATTCAGTCCATCTACCCACCCGACTGAGTTTGAAATAGGAGCTCATATTGGAACTATGACGCCCAATTTGAAGAGTCTTGGAGGCTCGAGCGTCACTATCAGCACTATGTGTCATACTTATCTTGGTGATGTGCTGGATCATTGTATTACTATCGTAGAAGGGTACGATCAGATGAGACGTGCCGCGGATAACATGATCGATCTCATTTTCAACACCATTGGTGAGTGGGCAGAAATACTCCCATCTTACACGACTGACATCACGCAGGTGCATATCAGAACGAGAGTATGAAGCAACTCACGATCGTGACGTGTCTGTATCTCCCAATGACGTTCTTGACGGTATGGCGCTTCTCTTTTGTCGCTTGGCATCACAGCTTCTAACGAGGGTCTAGGGTTACTTTGGAATGAATTTCAAAGACTTCGCTGGTATCGACCACAGCGATTCGTACTTCTGGAAGATTGCAGTACCATTCGTGGTAGTGACCACTCTCTTTTTGATGTAAGTTTTAACATACCTCCACCTTGGAAGTAGACAGTGCTAACAATTAAATCTTAGGCGTGACAAAATCCGGCGTTACGCTGTCATGCTTGCCCAGAGACGTCTTATCACCAGTTCGAGAAAGCAGAGAAGGGAAAGGAAGGTCAAATGACCTGACTTGTTTGCACAGTATACCATTTTTGCATACTCGAAGAATTTGAGTGTGGAAATAGCGTTTTGTACATTATTAGACCACTCATCGGGGTGTCTTGCATCAGTATCATACAGGTTATCATACACGACCTCCTGTCATTTGTTAAATAGCCTTCCGACTGAAAGCCATATAGGCCTTCCAAGGGAATTTCCAATCTGACCGAAGCAGCTCCGGACGAAAGACATCGAAATCATACTGCTGTAGCCGATCAAGCCACATGCGCGTAGAGACAGCCGGCATAAAGACACCAAAGGCCCGATTGATTTCATCAACAGGCGACTCGCGAGTCTGCGCACCTAGCACATCATGTTCATACTCATGGCCTTCTTCACCCTCGTGCTCGAAGTCGTGTCCGACATCTTTACCAGCCCGGAGATTGCTCAACATCTGGTCGACAGTAATCAGATGATCACTCGCCCGCGTAGCGACAGTGAAAACAGCGTCCCGTAGACCCTCAGCATCAGCTCCACGCCGCAAAACCTCCTCCTCCTTCACACCCGCCTGTGCCATGATATCCAGAGGCAACATAACAGCTCCCTGCTTAGGCCCAGCGCTAACTGAGCTCCCACTAGGCGACATCGCCGCCGGCGTGGGAAACGCAACAAGCGGCAATCCACGCAAAACAGTCGCAATTCCCGCTGCCTTCCCAATATGCGAAGCAATATGATCTGCCGTAACAGAAGCCATCGGCAATGCTGACAGCGTCAAATACATAAGCGTAGAATACGTATTCTCGGCATATTGTTCCAGCGCCGCGATATTCGGGTACGGATCATTCGTGAGCGTCTGTTCCCTGGCACTGATCAGGCGGTTCAGCCAGCCCTTGCTTATCCGCGCTCCGCCTTGTGTGCGCTCGTTCAGCTCGGAGATGGCGGAGGCGAGGAGGATGGCGACGGGTTCTTTTGGTGGCGAGCCGGCTAAGACTTTTGTTACGGCGTCGCGCCAGAATTGGAGGCGCATTAGGCCAATAGTTGGAGAGGAGGTTGTGTCGGGGATTAAGGAAAGTGAGACGTTAAGGGCACGGAGGGCTATGTAGAAGGATCTGGCGTGGGGTGGGATGAAGGTGCTCAGGGTGTAGGAGGGTCGGTCGTATTTTCTGAAGGTGATGTGATTAGTGAATGTTGCGGAGACGTATGGATGAAGTGTGTTCACTTCAATTGTCAACAGGAGATGGAGAGGCGTACGAGAGTAGAGCGACACAGTATTTATGCGCGCCGTTGATTTCCTCGGCGGAGGCAGTGGAGGAGACGGCGCGACTCTGGCTGAACAGCCTTTTCTGAGGCTGGAAGTGCCGCTGGCATTGTCGCGAATATAGGCGCCATGCTGGCGTCACCCGGTATGGGCGAACAGCCTCTTTGAGGAAGGACATGAGGAAGTTGAAGGATGTGGAGGGTAAGTTCCAGTTGAGCGCGGATGTAATCCACTTAATCTCGTTGGCCGAAGGAACGCAATGAACTAACGCAAAAAAGAGCTAATTAATGGAATTCTGGCTAAAATCGTTGATACGAAGTTGAAATTTAGAGGTTGATTGAACTTGAATTAGTCAAAAAGCAGCGTAGTTGTAGCATTCGTACTTTTTTCTTTCTTTTTTTCTGATTGCTGACGTCGATCTGTCAGATTTCGCGTTTCCCGGCGCGTCTCCCCAACTCACCCTTCTTTCTCTTCACAGAAGCCCTATGTCGCAACCACGAGTATGAGCGAGGATCTGGATCAGAGACCAACCAAGCGTCAACGGTTCTTTGCCGAGGATTCTGCTGCTCTGTCCGATTCGAATACGGGAGCTCTCGACGCGTCGTTACCTCGCCACTGCCCCGGTTTAGAACACGCTCCGCCGGATGGAGATGGCGACATACCAGAGACCCCTCCCCTCGAAGATATCGAAACCCCTCAAGACGCTCCGTTTCAGCCTGAGTTAACTCCATTGACGACGGAGAGCATAGACCCTGTTCCCTCGGAGGTTCCAGCCACAACCTCTCCTCAGAATGAACCGGCCGAACCAGCAGTGCCGGATACGCCAACCCGGCTTCCAACATTGAAAGGCTTCGATGTCGAATTATTCACTGGTATAATCGGAGAGCAGCTTCCTCTAGAGTCTCTCAAAGCCATTCAGACTGCTTCTTCCAGCAACGTCGAACGTGCCGTCAACATTTACTTCGATGGATCGTGGAAGAAGCCAGCAAAGACCCCTATTCGTGCGAACTCATCTCCCTTCCGACCTAGTATCCCAGTAAAAACCGAAGCCGGCGAAGGAACGTCCGAATTGTCCTTCCGGGGAGATAATAAAAGTACACCGATCGAGCAACATAGTCTCATACGAAAACAACCATCTTCGAGGTATATCGGCGCCTTTGGCGTGGGTGCATGGGCAACACGCAGTGGGCCAGCCATCTTGAAACATGGAGACACCGTCAAGATTGAACGTGCCAGGTCACAACCAGTAACGAAGCGCGGCCGGAACGGAAAGATGTTTACCAACAACAAAAGCGATGTTTTGACACGATTCACAACCATCGGGGGTCAAGAAATTGGACGACTACCGCATGACATCGCGGGATGGGTCTCGACTTTGGTTGATCAAAAGATTTGCGACTTTGAGGGCGTCTGCGTATACATCCCCGACAGAGTCCGAGTCAACGATACCATCTACCTACAGTTGCGATGCATGTTCCGGCGAGAAGCCTTTCAACGCGGCGCCTTTATTGACGCAGTCGGTGATGATAACAGATCGATGGGTTTGTTTGAGGAAAAGGAAAGCACAGAAGAGAAAAACCTCAGACTTCGACAGGTTGCTCTTGTTAAACTATTCCATGAAATCGGCCTCCAACCAACTTCAATAAACCCTACGACGGAGAAGCATAAGAAAGATGGGCTGCTACGGGCCGCTGAGATGGCCGAGCAGTATGATGGTGTCAAAAAAGAGAAATTGAAACCGGGCAAAGACTCGAGCAAGGATCCGAATGACTCCTCTTCTGAAGATGAAGGCGCTGAGCTTGAAGAGGACCAGCTAGATACACTTTATCGCAAAGCACAATCCTTTGACTTCAATATGCCCGAGACACAGCCACCTTCTAGCTTCACGATGGACCTGCGAAAATATCAAAAGCAAGCTCTGTATTGGATGCTGTCGAAAGAGAAAGACCAAAAGCAAGCTCGCGAACGTTCGATGCATCCGCTCTGGGAGGAGTATAACTGGCCAACCAAGGATGTCGACGACAAGGATTTGCCAATCTTTGAAGGAATTGACCACTTCTATGTCAACCCCTACTCTGGTGACCTGAGCGTCGACTTCCCTACGCAGGAGCAACATTGCCTGGGCGGTATTCTGGCAGATGAGATGGGACTTGGAAAGACAATCGAAATGATGAGTCTCATACATGCTCACAAAACTGAGCCGAGTCCTACCATGTCGAATGGAATCAGCTCTGTCAATGATCTGGCCAGACTACCCAGGTCCGCTAGTATCGTTCCTGCTCCGTACACCACGCTGGTAGTCGCTCCAACGTCGTTACTCTCACAGTGGGAGAGCGAGGCGTTAAAGGCATCTGAACCTGGAACAATGCGGACTCTCCTGTACTATGGTGCTGACAAAGCAGTGAATCTTCGAGATATTTGCTGTGAGGCAAGACACGCGACGGCGCCTAATGTCATCGTGACTAGCTACGGTGTCGTTCTGTCCGAGTTCCGTCAACTTGCTCAGTCAACTGTAATGGCAAATCATACCGGTTTATTTTCCGTTGACTTCTTCCGCATAATTCTCGATGAGGCACATCTGATCAAGAATCGACGTTCCAAGTCGGCCAGGGCATGTTACGAGTTGAAGGCTCAGCATCGATGGGTTCTCACAGGCACACCCATCGTCAACCGTTTGGAAGACTTGTTCAGCTTGGTACGATTTTTGAAGGTTGAACCATGGAGTAACTTCTCTTTCTGGAAGACATTCATCACAGTGCCATTCGAGTCGAAAGAGTTCGTGCGCGCTCTCAACGTGGTACAGAGTGTTCTGGAGCCACTTGTCCTTCGAAGAACAAAATCGATGAAAACTCCAGAGGGCGAGCCTCTGGTTCCTTTGCCAAAGAAAACGGTAACCATCAAAGAAGTCGAACTTTCCGAACAAGAGCGAGAAATTTACGACTGCATCTATACTCGGGCTAAGAGGACATACAACGACAACGTCGAAGCTGGTACTCTTCTCTCATCGTACTCGACAATTTTTGCCCAACTTCTAAGGCTCCGGCAGACATGTTGCCATCCGATCCTTACCCGAAAGAAAGAGATTGTAGCTGATGAAGAAATTGCGGCGGCTGCCCTGGATGCAGCCAATGAAATGAAAGACGATATGGATCTTCAAGACCTCATTAATCAATTCACCTCTGCAAATGAAAATGCAGAGACAGAAGACCGCTCTGTCAAATTCACAGCTCATGCTCTTCGGCAAATCCAGACTGACTCTAGTGGAGAATGTCCAATTTGCTGTGAAGAACCAATGATCGATCCTGCAGTGACAGCATGTTGGCACAGTGCATGTAAGAAATGCCTCGAGGACTTTGTCCGGCACCATATCAACAAGGGTAATCAGCCGCGATGCTTTTCGTGCCGTGCCGATATAGATGCCAAGGACATATTCGAAGTCGTTAAGCACCCAATGACACACGCTCTTCCTCTTGAGGAGCCTGCCGAGATGCCGACCAACTCACAGCCGGCACCGCGTATCTCTCTACGTCGTATCAACCCTCTATCCCCATCAGCACACACCTCTGCCAAGATCCATGCTTTGATCAATGGTCTTTCCTGCGTTCCGCCAGGGACTAAAACAGTCGTCTTCTCTCAATTCACCTCTTTCCTCGACCTCATCGGCCCACAGCTGACCAAAGTGGGCATTGACTTCCTTCGGCTTGATGGTACAATGCAGCACAAGGCGCGCGCCGCCGTACTCACCGAATTCACCAAGACCGAGGAGACATACGACGACGAAATCATCGATGATGAAGACGAAAGACAGATCAGGAATGGTCTGCCCGCCTCCACAGCTCATGAGTCTCGACCTACAGTCCTCCTCATATCCCTCCGCGCGGGTGGGGTGGGTCTTAACCTGACTACAGCAAGCAATGTCTTCCTCATGGATCCATGGTGGAGTTTCGCCATTGAAGCCCAAGCAATCGACCGCGTCCACCGAATGGGTCAAATGCGCGACGTCCAAGTTACGAGATTTGTTGTGAAAGATTCCATCGAGGGACGAATGTTACGCATCCAAGAGCGCAAGATGAATATTGCCGGTTCGCTCGGGCTGCGCGTCGGTGGGGATGAATCAGAAGAAGACAAGAAGAAGGACCGAATTGCGGAGTTGAAGTTGCTCTTTGAGTAAGAGTGTTTCGGATATCGGTAGAATGTCATCTTTTGCTTGATACCCTGCTATCTGTCGGATTTGGGAGTGTGCTTGGCGCTGTGTATAGTGCTTTTTTTTGTCAGATGTTTTAGACTTACATTTGATATTGCGAGATCTATTGCCACTGTCTACTACCAAGATAGAAAATCTTACCAAATAGTCGCGAACAACAACCTTGATCGTATCGTAGGGCTATGCTGTGATTTCGCTAAGAAACTTTGACTTCCACATTTCTTATATATGTACAGGAAATTGTTCCCTCACTCTTGGAATATTTAAATATATGTGGGAAAGGGACAGCCCCAATCGTTTGACTCCAGGATCAGTAGATGGACCCAGAGAGATACCCAGCGCCTTCACATAGACCCAACATCACAGCATAAATAGAGCTGCAACTCAAAGAGCGAACTTCCGGAGTACTCGAATGCGAGATCAGAGGAGTGTATGAATAATCAAATATCTTTCACTACCTCAGAGACTTTATAAGGAGCGAACAGATCAGTAGTTCATAGCCTGGAAACTTCCACCAATTAGATACTGAAATGGGAATGGCTCGATGGCTGTCCGGCAATGTAGACTGGGCGCCAGCAACACACATAAACACTCCCAAGGACTCAGGAAGGCGTAGTGGACATGCTCTGTAGGTGGATATCGCTTTGTGCTTGAAACTGTATCATGAAAGAAACCAAATAGTGCAGTCATATTCCGAATAGTTTTTCACTATAGCATCAGATTTACTCTGATACACCATGGGCAAGATGTTGTACGTGCCGAGTATTCTGATTCTCCAGCATCTGGAAGTGGAGTTATGGGTACGGCTGTGTCCTGGTCTGCTGGCCATTAATCTGCTCACGAACGGTGTACCCCACCTGCCCACTTGAAAAGTGGGCGACGCTTCTTTCGTGACAACACTTATTGAGACGCCGAGGCAAACGCCGATAATAAGCCCAATGATAATTCTGTATGATTTATATCTAAGTCGATACTCCCCGTGGCTTCATCATAATCAATCAGACAGTCATGATCAGCCAAGACATTTCGAAGGTTGACCGCGAGTCTTTCCCCTACATCTTCCACCAGAATGTGTCAATTCCATTGAAGCAAGAGTCTGGAGTTGTTCGAGCAAATGTGTATCTTCCACGAAATGTCGAAAAGGCACCAGTGCTGGTGACCTACGGTCCATATGGCAAAGACATCCACTACAAGGAGTGAGTCTTCACCTGAAGATAGTGTATCTCATATCCTCAGTTTGAGAACGCACGTCAACTCAAAGCTGAGGATCGACGTCAATTGAAAGACCTTAGTACACACAAAAGCCAACATAGTGTTAGCTTCCACGGTCAGTCGTACAGCGAAGTCAACCCGGCGCATCACTCGGAGCACTCCGCATGGGAAACCCCGGACCCCGCATTCTGGACCGCATACGGATATGCCGTCCTTCGAGCCGATGAGCGTGGCACTGGTCAATCACCCGGAAAATTGGACACAATGTCTTGCGGAACAAGCGATGCATTCTTCGATGTTGTTGAATGGGCGGCCGAGCAATCCTGGTCCTCCGGCAAGGTCGGGCTTCTCGGAATCAGTTACTACGCTGGAAGCCAATGGAGGGTAGCTGCGAGACAGCCCAAGGGCCTGAGCTGCATTATCCCCTGGGAGGGAATGTCCGATTACTATCGTGACCGCTGCCGCCACGGAGGTATTCTGTCCAACACGTTCATAGACTTCTGGTGGAATCGGCAAGTTGTCACAAACCAATATGGTCGTCCAGGCCGCGCAACCCGAAACTGGGGCCCGGACACGATCGAAGGTGACCTTACCGAAGAGGAATTGGAGGCCAATAGACAGAATCAGACTATCGATAATGCTCGGTACTTTTTTCGTGATGATCCCTACTATTCCAGCAAGGAGTATACGCAGAACGACATTCAGGTGCCCCTACTCTCCGTCGCAAATTGGGGAGGAATCCTGCTGCATTTGCGAGGCAATGTCGAGGGCTACACACAAGCTGGTTCGGATTTGAAATATCTTCGCTTTATTACTGGACGTCATGATTTGCCGTTTTACTATAACAAAGAAGTGGAGATCCAGAAAAGCTTCCTTGATGCGTTTCTGAAGGGAGAGGACAGCGTCCACGGTTGGTCTACAGGCAAAGCGCCGAAAGTCGACCTGATTCTTCGTAAAGGAGACGTTGGCTTCAATAACGCTGAGGCCGAGAGGGCCTATACACGTCGAACTGAGAATGAGTGGCCTATCGCACGCACACAGTACACACCTTTCCATCTGACTTCGTCCCAAGTACTCACTCAAACGAAGCCAACCGATCGATATGGAAAGATCTCCTATCGCTCTTTGGGTTCTATTGACAAGCCAGAGCTGATTCAGTTTTTGACAGAGCCTTTTGAAAAAGAGACTGAGATCACTGGTCACATTGTGGCTCGCCTGAATGTGTCAATGACGCCAGATTCTGAATTTTCCTCTCACACAAATGATATTGATCTATTCCTTACATTACGCTATATCTCCCCTGAAGGCAAGGAGGTGTTTTATACCGGTACTGCAGGAGACCCCGTTCCCTTATCCAAGGGCTGGCTGCGCGTGAGTTTGAGAAAGGTCAACAAGGAACATCCCCGCAACCGTCCTTGGCTGCCTCATCGGGAATACCTCTCGACCGATGTTCAGCAGGTCATTCCTGGTGAGATTTACGCCGTTGATGTGGAGATCTGGCCCACGAATGTGGTGGTTGAGAAGGGAGGCAAGATTATTCTAGAAATCTCCTCGGGTGATACTCAAGGATGTGGCTTGTTTAAGCACACCTCACCATCTGACCGGTATGTTTGAGAATCTTACTCACGTTAATCGCCGTTGCCTGACTTTACTCGCTGTTAGAACCCCTGAGAAATTCCAAGGTCTCAACAATCTGCACTTTGGTGTCGGCCTTGATAATTACATGACTCTGCCAATCATCCCGCCTGTCTGAAATGTTGTTTAAACTGAACGAACTCCCGTTGAAGATGTAATGATGCTACAGGCAAATGTATTTTAGAATGAGTCAGCAGTGATTAGGTATAGATGTTGACCAGGGCTGAAAAAAATATATTTCATAAACAAGTGATCTTACTAGGATGCTCCGCATTTTGAGCATGAGCTCTAGTATTGACGAGACCCATTGACCAAAAGGTCATATTCATTCAAATTTATTGATTAAGACACTAGAAGGGGGAGTCCTCGATGGCTGTCTGTTCACGCAGACTAGGCAACGCACACACACACATACACACACACAAGGCCAAGGAGGCAGGACTTTAGAGGAGGAGAACACATAGGGGTGGTTTGGAAGAGAAAGTGTGTCTGTCTTGCTTATACAGCGTAACAGAAAGTCTTGTATATCACAAAAGCCTTAGTCATCCAGTAGACCGCTCCTTCATACAGTCAGCAGTCCCCCCACTACAACATCTACTTTGTGCGGGGATATATATTTGAACGATCTTCTGAGATATTTGTTGCTAAACATACAAAACGAATGACATCGGGTTTGGGTCTTCAATGATGATTGAGACCTGCGGGATAAATCTACACCTTGATATAAGGGATGCCGGTCAACTTGAAAGCACGCTCATTGAGAACTGGCTTATTAACAGGCTCTGAGCGGTTGCGGGGGCAATCTTCACCATCACGCTTGGCGATCAGAGGAGCAAAGTCCTTGGCATTGGGCCAGTGGCTGGTTAACCGCCAGGTGTTGAATGCATTCTTCTTTCTCTCGAGATCTTCCTTTGTGGCAGATGATACAGGCATATAGCAGGTGTAGATGCAGAACCGAGCCTGGTCGCTAGTTGGACTCAGGTTGTAGTGAGGGGCGCGAGAATCCCATAGGATCAAGTCACCAGGTTCGGCATCAACTTTGACCCATTTGCAGCCATGGTCTGCAAGCCACTTCATACCTGCCTCGGTATATCCGAACCATTCAGTAGTCCATGCCGGAATACGGGGTTCATCAACGAAGTCTCGGTGGAAGTCATCTGAAAGAAGATGAGCACCCTTACAGACAATCAAGCCGCCATCGTTAGGTCCATTTGGGAGGAGGTTGACTAAGCCCTGCAGGCAACGGAACCCAGATTTTTTGGGGTCCTGGTCTTGATGGGGCCAGGGCTTGTTTGCGGGCATATCGGTGCGGCTGCGGTTTATCATCAGTAAGAGGTAACAAAAAGCCTTGGTCAATGTGGAACTCACTTAGGAAGAGCGAAATTCGCCGCATCGAATGAGACGATCAGGTCTTTGTCATGGTAGACCTTCTCAAAGGCATCGATGACACCTGGTTCACTCCGAACATTCCACACAAAACCCTCATGTCCCACACAGTAATGCATGCACATGCCCTTCTCGTTGATGACAGGAAGTGTAGCCTTGGAGACAGTTGAAGGATCGTCACGCTTGTAGCCAAGCTGACTGTAAACGAAATAAGCATGGTTTTGGTAGGCTATTAATGGGAATATGTGACTTACAATCCCTCCAAATATGAGTACATGTCATCTGCGTATTTGAAAGCCCTCTCGCGTGGCACGGCACCTTTCACAACGGCAAACCCATCCCGGGCGAGGTCGTCTCTGAAGTCTCCCCATTTCGGGTCCAAGCCATCCAGACGCATGGCATTAGGGCCACCAAGGCTGAGTCTAACCAACTTAGTAGCCGCGTCCGGCGATTGAGTGATAGTTGCTGTGGTGGACATTATGGTCTTGATATAATGTTTACCAAATTATGAGGATCTGCCTTTGAAGGAACGTCGTTGAATACAGTCTTTGGCACTTAATTGCGTGAGGATAATTTATAATCAACCACTTCAGAAGTGTGACACTCTTAAGACGCAATGATGAGCCGCGGAAAGCAGAGGGAAACGCACACCCACCTGCCCACTGTGGTGGTGCACATGCCAGCAAGTGGGGGAAGTGGGCGCCCACAAATACTCTGGCTGAAACCAAACACTCCGGCTGAACCAAATGGTGGTAAGGTGTGCATATTGCGGTATTTTAATTCCGTACTCAAACAGAACTAGCCGATCCAATCTCGCTAGATACATGTTGACCCCGCGCGGTCTATCCGGTGAGAGATGTGGAGAACCAACTTGGGCACGTCACCAATACCGTGATGATCAAATGACCCTCGTCGCCGTTCCCAACACACGCATCCGCATCTCGATGGTTGGGATCATTCACCCTTAACGGCGCCATCATGGCGAATGATCAAAAGGCACTACCAGCATCATCGAACTCGGGTCCATATCAATGCCCTCACTGCGACAGGTCCTACGATCGCCAAGATTATCTCGCTCGTCATCTTGACTCACATAGCAATAAGCGCAGCTTCCGATGCCAGGTCTGTAATCGTGGTTTTAATCGCCGGTATGTGGATACTTGTCAAGTACAATGCTTATTCTGCCTGACTTCTGGCTCTAAGCGATGTTTTGCTTCGACATCAAACGCTCCACAGAACTCTTTCGGCAGATGATGAAATGATCATCAAGCGGCGCAAGGACCGTCTACCTGGAGCCTCAAATGAATCTGGGTCAAAGGTAAAATTAAGTCATCATAGGAATACTTGTTTAAATGCTAGATTCGCATAATACTTACGCCTTAATTAGTCTGATGAACAAGAACGGGGCTCGAAGGATCAGCAGCAAAATTTGCCCCCCTCCCAGGTTCACCTGTCCGAGGTGTCGGAGCTGCTGCCCGAGACTGCGACATATGCTGACCCAGACGCCGAAATATCGAACGAGAGACAATATTGTTCTCATGGTGTACCAATAACCCTGCCGCTCGACCCGCAAAGCGAAATCGTTTCTACCGCGCGAGCAAATCCGCTCTCGAAAACGACAGACCTTAACAATCCAAATTCATCAGTGGATCTACCTGTTGGTGATCCTTTCTTCATCGATAAACAGAATTCATTCACGGAACTATCCTTTCATACCAGTCCCAATGGATGTCCGGCATTCTTCGAGCATGTCATGCTCCTCAACCTTGATCGCGTCGATCCTACTCATGATTATCAGCTACCCTCTAATACATTCGATCTTCTCCCCGACGCTGATTTCGAGTTCTCACACAATGCCATTTTTGAAGAGAACTTTATTCCAGACTTGGAAGCCGTTGTAGAGAATAATTTCTTGATGCACACACAAGAACGTCGAAACCATCAAGAACAGGAATACCCCGACTCTACCAAGAGGAGGGTAGATTCATTCCAGCGTTCATTCTGGTGAGTTCAGCTTTCTATTTCTCTTGTAACCTTCGAAAGCTAAGTTGCTCTCAATTCTATAATAGGCATCTTCTCCAAGACAATATGCCAATTAGTTTGAACGATGATGATCCATCGATAGGAGATCGAGGCCTCGAAGCCCCTGTTGTATCCCCTCACCTCATTCCTAATAATCTCACCGTCCACGAAAAGCTCTCATCGCGATCACGGGATGAGATTTTCCGACTCATTGTCAAGACCGGGGACGACCGCTTATCGATACCAGAGATCCCAGCCGTTGAACATCTCGACATTCTCATCAAGATAGGTCTAGCAAGGAAGCTGGACGTTAATCCGTGGATTCATCTTTATACTTGTTACCACGATCGTCCAAGACCAGAATTTCTCGCAGCTCTAGTGGTAATGGGATGTATCTCTTGTTTTGCCCCTACGATAAACAAGACAGGGATTGTGTTACAGGACATTGTCCGATTGGCATTACGCAATCTGGTATGATAATCTGCAGTGAAAAAAATGGTGACATTGAATACTAATTTCTGAAATATGATTAGGCTGAAGCAGACCCCGATGTTACTCGGGATCTTCAGTATTTGCAAGCATCAATGGTCTGGTTAGAAATTGGCTTCTCATGTGGGTTTAGGCGGAATATGCGGATGACCGAAGGTGGCATCCAAGCTTTGGGCATAGTAAGGGCTCCAAAATAATAATTTCAAGGCTTTTGGAGCTAACAGCTTATGTAGGCTCTGCGTCGAGTGGGTGCCTTTGACTCATCATGGTACAAGCCCATCAATCCGTGTGGGATTTTCGATGACTGTTCGGATGATCTGGATCATGCGTGGAAGCAATGGGTCAGACAAGAATCATTCAAGAGGTGAGTATGGCGAAATATTGTGAATCCACCTCTCTACTACGAAAGCGCTTGACTCACCTTTGTCAGATTGGTGTACCACTTCTTCTGCCATGATTTAGAGGTGGCGGCAGCCATGAATCAGCCACCGACAACATCTTTCGCGGAACTTACTCTGCTTATACCAGCGGCGCGAGATCTATGGCTGGCGCCAACGGCCAGAGCCTGGAAGGATATATGGACGGCCAAATATCAGCAAACGGGACCAGACATAAGCCTTAGAGACCTGCTTTCAGACCCTATGCTATTCAAGGATATGTCCATGCATTTGGACAGCAGAGTGGCAACTTCAGTCTTACTACATGGGCTCATTGGCAAGATCTGGGACTTAATGCAGCAGATGTTACTCGGTCATCGCGGGGCATCAAAACAGCCGGCCCGTAAACTATTACTCTTTCAGACTATAAAGGATGATCTGTAAGTTAGGCTTGCTCGGCTACAGAGATAAATGTCTCCTGCTAATCATCTATCAGCTACACTGATATTCAGCAAATCCAGGGTGCTCTTGCAGATTCACCGCCCGTAACCGTCTTGGTGGCCGACTTCGCCAGTATGTATCTTCACATCGACATAGACAGCTTGCAACGTTTTGCTGGCAAGCTTGGTGAAGAAGAGGCTAGACAAAGCTATCCGGATCTTCGTAATTGGAGTATGACACATGATGCTCGCATTGCAGTCTGGTATGCTGGTCAAGTTCTGCGTGCTGTGCATGAAGTCGGTCCTTACCAGTTACGAGGGTTTGATATTTTCGCCATCTATTACGCATCTTTAACCCTCTATGTCTATGGTCTGCTCCTCTATGCCGATAACGCGTCCACAGAAGCTGTCCAGTCTTGGAACATAGATGATGCATCTACTATACTCCTGGACGGCGCCAGTAGCCAGGCCACGGAGTTATTCATTGCACATGGTCGCGGTAACCCCGGGCTCACATATTTAGCTGGTACCGGCGCTAATGTGCGGAAGACATTTTGTAGTCTTCGACAGCCTCGCCTGGTTATGCGGGTTGCTTTGCAAGTCCTTAATGGTAACTTCTCAAAATTCTCGTCAGCCAATCCAGCCAAAAACCCCATTCCACCCCTAGTTGTCAATCTCCGTGGTCTGCTTCATGACTTGGCAAACCTGCCATGAAAGGAGCAAACTTGCCCCTGGATTATGTTTCTATATTGTACACTTCAAATATTAGCTGTACGCATGAGAATTGCCATTTGACTTCCAATATAGACTCTTGTTGAGGCGAAAATTCTATGTCTTCTTGTCGTAACAAAGTAAAGGCCTGATCAAGACCCTCAGTATCACGAGCTAGCAGAGAATTCATGATATGACCGGGATTTTGTATGTAGAGCTTGACTGGCAGGATCGAGAAGATTGTAGGGGAAAGAGACGAAGCCGGACATAGCTCACTATTTAATGGATTATTTTCCGAACAGGAGGAGCTTGAAATACGTCCCATTGTACAATCTGATTCTTCCTACTGCACACATGCTACCCGTGCATGAGTTGGTAGCATCGCCATGTGGGCCTCCAGCCCGCCCACATGCACCGTATGTGGAGGGTAATACACCCCGGACACGGTCCACTTTAGCTCCGTCTTATTATGAGTTCGATAATTTCATTCCACTCTGCGTTCAAATTTACATCACTGGTTCCACCCTGAGGTCTATCGAGGCTCAGCTAGGGTTTCAAACATGGGTATGTAGGACTCGATCGCGATGGCTCATTTGAATGTCTACTGACCATATCTGCAGCAAATCTAACGCCAGTTCACTTCTTTTCACATGGATCGACCATGATGCTTGGCGAGGAGTCCACATCGGCCGATTACTGGAAGAAATGTGGTGATGAAGCGCTTGCTCACGGCATTAAGGGCGTCGTTATCATGGTGAGCAACATACCTACTCACTTCGTCTAATTGCACGAAGCAGAAGGTCTAATGCATGCATTCAACCGAGAAGGGAGCACACTGGGACGCCTTAGGAGACAAAGTTGAAGTCGCCATGAATCCCAAGCCTGGGAAAAGCCCCGTGGCCTACGTGAACCCAGCGAAATACGTCGACTACAAGCTTGTCCCAGACCTCGAAACAGGTGAAAGATGTATCGAAATGCTCGCTAAAGAAGGATTCAATGTTTCTGCAAATACTACCTTCGACTGGATCCACGACGTCTACCTGATTCTGATCCGAATGTTCTCCGGTGACTGTCCACCTAGCACATTAATCTCAATGAATGCTCGCTATGATCCACACTTTCACATGAAAATTGGGGCTACTCTTCGCCCATTGCGCCACGAGAATTATCTCATCATCGGCACCGGAGGAGCCGTGCATAACCTTTATCGAAATCAATGGGCTCCTATGCTACGCTTCCGAGACAATTTTGCTATGGAGACACCCCCGGAGGACTGGGCTTTGGAATTCAGACAAGCTGTGGAAGATGTGCTTATGAAGACGTCAGGCCCGCAACTGCGTCGGGCGATGACAAGGCTTATGAAGCACCCAAGATTCAGGGATGCACATGCCACCGATGATCACTTTATGGCAGCAATGTTTGTTGCAGGAGCTGCAGGGGACTGGGAGGACGAGAAAGCGGAGGCAATTTTGGGGGCAGAGAGCTGGGAGCTTACCAATATGTGTAACTCCCAGTTCACGCTGGGGTCTTGGAAAACGCAGATAACTGCCTGAGCTTGTCGAATTCTTTTAAGATTTATCGAATCTGAACTTCGTGAATTAGAGCGATTCAACAATGGAAAGACACTTGCATGCGAGGGCTTGAAATGTATGGAGCGCTTACAGTATATACAATTTCCAGGTGTTCTCTTTACAACTGGACGTAGACTAATGTTACACCTTCATTGTGTAGCTTTAAATGTAGGTAAATTTCATAAGTTTGAAATCACTCAATGTTCAAGATCCGGCTCTAGGCGAAGTAGTTCGATCCATATTTTCCCATGTAGTAAACTAGAGTGCCAGTCATCGCTAAGAGCGAAGTCAAGGTGAGAACTCCACCAGTAATGATTCCTTGCTCAAAATGACCGATGGACTTTCCAAGAGGTTGCCTCGTTGGCTTCAAAGGGGTAAGAGCCTCTCGCCATAGCTTCTCTGAGCTTTGCGTCGACCCCGCATGTAACAAAGTCTTCATCTTCAAGGAGATATTGGTTTCGGTCACAATTTGGGACCTCTGTATCTCAAAAGTCGCTGGTGAATAACGCGTGCTAGGGCCTAGAGGGCTATTGTCACTTGCCAAAGGACCGACTGCACAAGACTGGTTATTTTTTGACCACAATCTCGGACAGAATGTCACCCACCTAGCATTTCGGTTGGAACGTGATTCACCCAAGAAACGCGGGCGTCGATGTACTGGGCTAAGTATTTAGCAGAGGTAGGGTCTGCAAATATGTACGATGCAGCAAATGGGCCATTTCTTGATTGATTCTGGTTAGCGTGAAGAATAAAACCTGATTTGGTAAAATCCTTACTGCCGAGCAGCCTCGATAGCATCATCAGGGCTTGTGCAAGGATGAATGAGAAGAACTCTTTCATTTAACTTCCCTTGTAGCAACTGTGATTCCCTAAAAATGTGTCAGAACTAATGTCCACCTATGGAGCAACGAGTTTTGAAGTTAACGAACCGACTGTCGACTTTCATTACCCCCCAGCCAGTCCCAGTAACAATAACTTGTGCGTCGGGGTTCTTTTCCGTCTTGCTGAGAAGTTCTGGGACTGACTCGCTACTGAAAGATCTCTTAGCATTCATTGCGCAATACTTCCAGGTCCCCCGCGCGGTTTCCTCCAAAAAGCTCTTGAGCACAGCTTCATGGACCAGCACAATGTCCGGTGAATAAGGTGAAGCTCCACCAAATGCAAAGCGTGCAGATACCAGTCGATCTGCTGCTTTCGCGATATCAGCCGAACGGTCGACAACAGCTGCAACCCTTGAACTCATTGACTCTTCCTGGTTAATCAGAAGAGTCTTGCGGAGGAATGCATCATCCGGCCTTTTTTCGCTGATCGCAAATGTATCGCGATCAAGAGCCTGGATCAGAAGGTCTTGCAATAACTTGATGATCGGGGCATTTCCTTTGAGCTATGCGATATGTTAAATGGAGCTATTGAGCAGAGCAAGGGGTGAATTACTTCCAATATAACGCAATTCCCAGCTGCCAGAGCGGCAGCTATAGCGGAGATGGCAGAGAAGAAAATGGTGTGCCCGATTGGTACAATGTACACGATTCCAACACCCCGTTTACCTTCTCGGAAATCCTTTCCATGAAATATGCTGTATTCCTCTTGCAGATTCTTCTCAGCATCCAAGGAATCATAATGAGTACGAATTTCATCCAACGCCAAACAAATCTCCGCCCGAACCTCCTCCAGTGTGTGTCCGGTCCATTCGAGAAGGGCTTGTGTGAGCTCGTCGGTTTGTAGGACTATGTTCGACTGCAAACGATTGAATTGAACTTGTCGGTATTGAACATTGTGCGCGCGACCGTCAATCTCTGCGGCGAGTATTTGAGGAAACAGGCGAGGGGTAGCCATGCTGTCAGTTGACACACGATAGGTTTGGGAGTCAACACTGGATACAGTCAAAGGTCTAGGAACACAGAAATTCTATCTAGCTCGCCCTTTACCTCAAGCTCCGTCAACGTGGATCCTGGCTCAAAGGTAATAAAATGTGAGGCGACTGGGGCGGTCCCGGTTATGCCCACTTGCTGGAGACCCATGCAGGTGGGCATATTAGAATATAAATCTTGCCATGGGGTCTAGCGGCTAGACTACATGCTTGACTGCGCTCCGAGACTTATCGTTCTTGGTTAGTACTCGTTTCCCCATTGTTTTGTCTGGTTTCTAGTAGACCTGCTACCAATACCCGCAACGCTACAGCTCTAATTTACGAAAGATCATGTCGATAACCACTACGGAGACTCGCACCTCAATCTCTGTTTTAGCGGACTATGAGATACACCACAGCGGAGCCGCAGAAGATGTTCCAGGACCATCGGCTACGCTGTTGACTCCATCTTTCGTGGAGCCCGCCTCCTGGCCAACCCACCACCGCAGAATTCCTCCCTACCGACCCGTGAACTACAATCTCGATTTCGATGAGAGGCCAATCGGATCCAGCCCAGGAGAAAGCGTATTCATCTTCGTGATGATGCATGGAGTTTGGCTGAATGCGGTAGGTGCCTCGAGAAACATTTGTCTAAACACGCTTGTCAATCGAAGCTGAAGACGGCAATCCTTTTAGTCTGTAGCTAAACTATGGAGAAAAACCGGAGGCAAACTGAATGAAGGGATGTTCCAATACAAAGTCGGTGGGGAATGGTGATTGGGCTGAGATGGCGACATCAACCTAGCAATCAGTTCAAGGTTACGTGGTTCAGAACTAGCCCGAGCTCTTAACTTGTGGGGTGTAGGGGCAGTGGGCAGTGGGCAGTCACTTTTAGGATTGCGGAGATGCCCACTTTCTGTCGTCGGTAGCTGCATCCAACTTTCGCGGAACGGGGGGAAATTGGTTCGTCTCTTATGTACAGACAATGGCCCAACGCCACTGATGTAGACGAAAGGCGAATAATTATTCATTCTCTACTGAAGAGTCTTTTTTTAATCCCAATAGCCAACACCCAATAACAAAATAATACGCCTGCAACTCCAATGGCTTCAATCACCGGCACGGAGAACCATCTCCCCAAGCTTTCCAGATTCATCACCACCCACGATGCCGATGCCAAGGCGGTCTTCCACAAAGGCCTGTCAGAGGATATGCCTGTTTCAGTTGTCGACGGATACGGTTACACTTTCTGTCTCGCATACGCAACGAACAAGTTCCCCGTCCGAATTCAAGAGGAAGAGGACGTTCATACTTATTCTGAATACCTCGCCAACCCCCCGGCTTGGTCAGCATGTCTGGAACGGTTTGCCGCATAGTCGATTTTGAACCTCATGTCGCATGTGCGATGCACCGAACGGTGTCTCTTGATTACGGAGTCGTCCTGGAGGGGGAGATCGAATTGATTCTGGACAGCGAAGAGACTCGTGTGTTGAAGAGGGGTGATACTGCTGTGCAGCGAGGAACAAGTCATGCATGGAAGAATGTGACTCCGGATAGGGAGGTGAATGGTGAGAAGGTGGGAAGTTGGGCCAGAATCCTTTTCGTTCTGTCCCCATCCGAACCACTGGAGGTAGGCGGGAACGCCCTGGGAGAGTCAACCCCTGGCATCAATGTTAGACAAAGCTCGTGAGATTTTCGTCTCTCTAGATTTGTATTCTCATTTACGTACCGAACCCTCCTATTTTTGAAGTTATGTACAACTGTAAACTGGCCATAATTCTAAAAATCGCTCTCCAGACGTTACATAGAATAAATATGCTTATGGGATGAACATAAGTATTCCTGCACGCTGAGTCTAGGTCACGTGCCATCTTTCAAGCTACGACCTCATTTATTAACTTTGTGAATAAATCCATTGGGCTGCTAAATAGAGCTCATGGACTATGCATTTAATAATAGAACATCTCAGCTTCCAACAGTGACGTGTTCCCACGTCGTCAATCAAATAACTCCAAGTATTCGAGCGACAGATCAAGTTGACGTTGACGTTGACTTTGCTTTCAACTCCACCTTCTCTGCCATCCATCGACGCCACTGTGAAACTGTTAACGTAATGCTCAAAATAATTATGAGGGTAGAAATGACATACCTTAGGGTTGAGGTAGTACACGGGAATCCCGAGCAGGAAAATAAACGCAGTGACTCCGGCCAACATACCCATACCCGCGGCGTAGCTGTACTTGGCTACCATCGGGATGAGAGCATATGAGATACCGAAGGAGACGAGATTCTTCGATCCAACGACAACGACCAAGGCGGGCCCGGCATTATTATCCCATGCCTCCGCAGCAAAAGTCGTCGAAATAATGAGTACCGCCACAAAGGCAACTTCAAAGATTGCCCATGCCATGTACGGGGCGCCCCAGGTAGATCCACCTCCAGCAGTGAATCCGTAAAGTAGGAGGGTGAATACGGTAATAATACCGGGGGGAACCAGTAACAGAATACGATGCTCAGGAGTGTGGACACCTCCTGATCGCTTGGCCAGTCTGACGGTGAACCAATCACCAAAAATACCACCATAAAGAAGACCGCCAAAGCTTCCAAAGACACCACCAAGGTTGATGAGTCCCACATTCTTCGCCTCCCATCCGTAGTCTTGCAGAACAGTGTCGTAGGTCAGTCCCATTCCAATAGCGGCAGCCAGTACAGCGGACGACAGTAAGGTGGCATAAAGGATACCCGGGGATGTCAAACACAGTAACATGCTCCACCAAGCATCGCGTATAGTCTTAAGAGGGGGATTCTTAATTCCAGACCAAGGCTTAAGCAGCTCCAGGTAGGTCTTCTTGTGGATCATCTCCTCGGGGATACGGTCGCCTTGACTTTCAGCACTAGAATTGGCAACGATATATGCCTGTGCCTCTTCGCCTTTCAAAACACGTGTGACGCCATATTCATCGGTAAATACAACACGTCCGTCAATAATCTGAGCAGAGCGATGGTAGGCTGTTTCAAAGCACGTAAAGAAAGTGATTAAGCCACCGATGGCGATGGTGATCACAAATATCCAGTAGTACCAGCGCCAGCCGAGAGCGGCCGCTTCATAGGAGCTCGCAATGTTGAAACAGCTGTTGATGATGTTTTGAGTCGACCAATATAAGCCATAGATCTTTCCACGTTGGTGTACGAATGTCACCTCCGCAAGGATGAGCGGGAGAAGCTTTTCCAGAGGAGATGGTTAATGGTCGTTCCTTGCATTGGAAGCTTTGGAGTTGCCACTCACTGACTCTGTTGCACCAGTGGCCAAGCCCTGGACGATTCGCAAGGCAAAGTGCTGCTCGTAGTTTTGTGATAGGGCACAGCCAACGGTCGCTGCAAGAAGCACAGTAATCGCAAGAAGAGTAACGAGGCGTCTACCGAAGGCCAGTCCCAAAGGTAGGAGGAAATAATTTCCTTCAATAACAATTGTCGTTAGTCTCAATAAGGTCGTCTCAATCGGTAGTCTCAATAAGATGGATCGCTGGGTTCTTACCGATGCCGATGAATAAGGAGGGAAAGGTGGTGAGCCAACCCACCCTGGTTTCATCGACTCCCTCTTTCGCATAGAGATCAATGAAGATTGTCAAAATGGATCCCAGGCCTCCAACGACAGACAAGGACATGATAGCTGTTGGGACAGTCAGCACACTTATATCGAGAGGTCCGTGGAGTTAAGGAGGCTCACAAAACCAGCAGCAGCTTACAATGATCCCCAGTTTAGCATAGCGGGAGAAGTTCAACGGATCATTGGGGTCTTTGCTGGGAACTGGTAACAGCTTAATTTCTCCATCGGCAGATACCAGGACGGCGTCTTCAGAGGACTTTTCCACGCCGACATCCTCCACGAAGTCGACGCTTCCTTTCTCGACGTTCGACAGCGGCATGATAGAATTAAATGAGCAAGCACAGCAGAGAGTGATCAAACCCGAAACCTACCCCAGTATATCAGCTATATAGTGCCAGGATTGCTCATGGCGACAGATCATGGGGTGGGGAGTGGGCTAAAAAAAGTCCGAGTCTCTAGGTTTCTGCCCACACGAAAAGTCATCCCCACACATCCCCACGGGGAAATAAGCGTATGTTGAGGCCGAACCATACGTAATCCTAGTCGCTGCATTGGCCACTGGGCCATCCGGGGCATTTAATCCGTCAAGGGGACCCACTGCTCACCACTCAATCGCTCACTAGGAAAGTTGAAAAATACACTGAGTGGAAAAGTGGGCAAGCCAAATAAATATCAACGCCCACGCCGGTTCGGTTTTAGTCTAGACTCTAGATTAATATTTTATAGGATTGGGTCTAATGTAATGTCTAATCTAAATTTAACCTCGTTTACTATCGATAATATTCCCTTTGGGGTTATTTCGACGGCCGAGAACCCCACTCTAAGATGTGCTACCGTACTTGATTAGGATGCGGTTGATTTAGGCGCTCTGGAGAGCGATGGCTTTTTTGAAGCTATTCAAGCTTTTAGCAAAGGTTCATTTTTTTGAAGGTGATTACCCTACGTCCCAGTTATAAGTCCGTTGAAATTCGGCTTACTTTCACTTACTTTAACCGCCTCGTTACACTCCCACTGACTCTGGTAATTGTAGGCTTAGTTGAATGGCTTTGCATCACTTCCTATTGAAAGCCGTCGGCAAGCACGGCAACACTTGCGCGACACGCTGCTTAAACTCCGTGAGGATAAATCCAAGGCGAATCGATACTTCATTCCGCTGGACACGGTCAAAAATCACTATCCTATGCAAACGGCCAACTTCTCGGATTTCTACTGTTCGCTAGAGCACGCCCAGAATGTACTTCTACCAATATCTCCCTGGTAATGATAGAGATGGCTGACCATCTTCAAAGTGTTCTGCAATTTTGGGTCTTCCCGAGTCACCTAACTGGCGCATCATTCCAAGCGTTTACAACGGCCGCACGTCCAGCCTGAATGTAGAGCCGGCTTTGATCCGCCCGCATGGTGTCTTCAAAGATGAGACCGGGGTATACGTTTTCTCACCAACTAAGAAGTTGGACATGGAACTTGAAATGGGGTCTTCATTCCCATGCCCCTAGAGTCTGGTCAAATTCTTAATATCAAGAATGCCAAAGATCATATCTTTGGCTTCGTTATTTTGAATGACTGGTCAGCGCGCGATATCCAAGAATTTGAAATGGCACCCCTTGGTCCGTTCCATTGCAAAGGGTTTGGAACTTCTATATCCCCGTGGATCGTGATTTGGATGCACTTGAATCGGTCCAGAGTGCTGTTACGGTTCAACAGGATCCTGCTCCGTTATCTCATCTAAAATGGAAAGGAGATGCAGATGCTACTTTTGATATTAATCTCTCCGCTCGTGTTATGAGTAAGTCACTTCCATTTGCAAATGTAGGCCTGGGCTCACCGGATTAGGGAATGGGAATTCATGCCGTCTTACAGACACCAACCTTAATGAGCTATATTGGACCCCCTTTCAGCAGCTTACTCACCTTGCAAGTGCAGGTGAGCGCCTTAGCACAGGTGATATATTTGGAACGGGGACTATTTCCAGTGCCGTATGTCACGTTCGCACCTATAATCCGCACCATCCCACGTTAGATTTTGCTAACCTTGAATTCTTCAGCGGACGGATGATAAGGGAGAAAATTCAGGTCTGGCGTGCCTTATAGAGCGCTCGCTTCCGCATCATTCACGGTCGAATTGAAGGAAGACGGAATTGTCTGGTTTGAAGATGGCGACGAGGTTATCATGGAAGGATATTGCATCAACAATGCAACCGGATTCAATTTTGGATTTGGACAATGCCGGGCAGTTGTTACCCCAGCCGCAAAGCTAGATCTGCAATAGAGCGTCTCATCTCGATGTCGCCATCTATTGCCTCACACATAGATATACTACGTATAATTATTCTTCTCATGACATCAATATCGACATTTAGGGCTCGAAATTGAGGGTTGAATTAACTGTCTATGATTTCTCCTCCCTCTCAGCAACAACATCCCCAAACTCCCCAACCTCATACAAAAGCGAAGGTTTCAGTCCAGCAATCTTCCAGCGTCCATCAATCTTGATATACCTCTGCTCCATGTAGGACTTCCCATCACTCGTCTTATCAACTTGCTTTTTCAAAGGGTGAGAGCCCTGAATCCACCTCCCATGTCCCGCGATCTGCTGCCATTGAACCACAATCTCGCCAGCTGAAATAGACCTAAAATAACATTGACCCAGCAGATGCTGCGTGAGAAGTTTCTCGTTGGCCAGTAACTTAGGTGATAGGATCTCGGCGATGAAGTCGTCTGGATTGTAACTCTTATATGGGATTGTCTCTGAAACGAGTCGGTAGTCGACTTCGATTGTGGGGGCAACTACTGCGTGGAGACGTTCGGCATCCTAAGAATTGTTATTATTGGCCGGCTTGGGGGCTTTATATCATATCAATCGCGATCGGAGAACCTTTTGATCGTAACCGTCGGCAAAAGTGCGCGCTGTCTGGACAATGGCGATATAGTCGCGGAATTCGAGATTCTCGGGGATGTAAAGCTCAAAGGTCATCGTGGCTGAGGTTACCGATCATATGATTATTGACTTTTTTATGCCACATGGGGTAGACTAGAAGGAAAGCTACAGCCTTAAAAACATGGAAGAGCTTATTTCAAATATCAGAGTGCGGGGGAGGGGAAAGCTCATGTTCGCATCGGCGAAAGTGGCCAAGTGGGCAGGCCGAGCAGTAGGCCTTTCCGATCTTATGTACGGTCAGTGGTTGTCATGTGGAACCTTGGAAAGTGGGGGTGAGTTGAGTTCCAATATTGGTCAGAAATTGAGAAGGGTGTATTAGACAGTGTGAAAATTTAATGTAGATTAGAGGAATTTGGAGGGAGAGAGACTTGAGAAAGGTATATGCACGTGTGATTTTCAAAGCCTACTTCAGGGCACTAATCAGGTCGGTATTTCGTCGTCCAGGCACATATGTAAGTGGGCAGCTAAGTGTAGGAATTTGGACAACATAGTGGAACGGGAGAAATCTAATTCCGCGTTTCTAGGGACGGACATAATCTTCCTGCCCACGGCCCGTAGGTGGGTCTAGGCATGCCTATTATGGGCGACAATAGGCAGAGCTAACTATTTCAGATATTCTTTTCTAAGCCTAATTGGTTCCGAGATCTCGACTATTAGAAATCATACATCCCAGTCGCTATTATGTTTTACTTACCAAGGTGAAAGGCTAGGGGCCAGTAGGACTATTATGAAACCTGCAGAATCTAAAACCCGTTCCAGTGGCTATCAAAGTCTGAGATGTAACCGTGTTCCATAGGCTAAGGACTCTGTTGTCTCGGCTGAAACCTGGCCCCCAAAGCCTTACCAGGCGCCGGGTGGGGCAAGGCTGAGCGGGGGCCAAGCTTAACTAAGCTTCAAGCCTCCCCAGCTTTTGCACTTTGATACTCCTCTCTGACTTGACATCCTCGAAATTATTCCTTTCACTATAAGATGGCTGGAATCTCTACTATTTCAATCGCATCAGACAAGAAAGAGCCAGTGAGGCCCAGTCTCACTCATTTGCTTCTTCTCCAAGCCATACTTTCAGCCCTGCTGGCCTACCTTGTTGTTTCCACTCACTCACATTACCCAGAAGAGTCTCGAACCTGGTTTCTCATCAAGTTTTTACTGTCGGTCTGCTTGCTGGTTTTCTTTGCTTTGCAATCGCTGGCTTGAGCAATGCCGCTCCCATTTCTGGCGAAGCTGCCTCCTTTGCTGTCCGAAAGCCCCGAAGGTACCGAAGTGGCGGAGTATTCCAACCAGGCCAAGCTCGTGAAGAGGGTCAACGTGAAACTTTTTGCTACTGCCCTCGCTGCTCTGGGTAAGATCTCCTATACGGCGTGTGTTGCGGATATTGAGCCAACGACCAAGGCAGCCATCTGCATACATACGCCCACTCACCCTGTTGTTGTCCAAAACCATAATGATAGGCCCTATCAGGCGGTTGCCTTCATTGGAACTGTTATCAGTGCTGTTTCTGGTATCATTCGCAGTCTTGTCGGTCCTGATGGGCTCGGTGCCGACCCTCGTCTCCCTCCGCAGCTTATCAGGATACTCCAATTCTTGTTGCCCACAGTAACAAAGTACTACTCACGTCATTGATATCTTGACAGCACCTCGCATAGAGACTTTGCCCCACAGAATTGCGGTAGAGTTGGCACTATTGCCTCCAATTTTCGTGTAAGCTGCTACACTTTTGGATATTAGAATTATGAAGTATCCACTCGAGAAACAGCATGAAATATTCTTTCTGTGCTGCAAAAAAAAGTTTGAGAGGATCTTCCCCTGACTGATCGCAGTGTCTATATTGATCACTCTTATTTCAAGATCTAGGATCAAATGTGGTACTACTTGATCCACCGTCTCTTGATTTCACCAATATTCTTTTTGGTTGAAACAGCATGTCGCGTTTGAACAATGCCTTTCTCGAGTTGTTGACGACGTACCGATAATATTCGGGACTATGAGCTTGCTATTCATATTCGCAGAAGAATCAAGAATAGACATGATTATAATTTAAAGCAGCCCTAAGCCGAGAAATAACAAAAAGAACGAGAGAAGAAGAATAGGAAGGGAGATAAGGAGGACTATGATCACCGAAAGGAAGAGAACAGGGAAAGAAAACGGTAATGACTGAAGCCTAGAAGGATTACAGGGAATGAAGGGTGTAATGCACTTGAAAGCTTTGGAGGGAAGTGGAATGATATACATAGACGATACAAGTGTGACGGGAGCAGAGGCTCTTTAAATATTAGAAAAAAAGGCCTAGGGTGGTTCACCACCAGATAGAAGGACCTCTCTATTTTTGTGATACGTGGCTACAATCGGACAGAGCAAAGGCTAGAACACGACGACATCCATGATTGCCTGCCCTGAGTACCCTGAATGAAGGATAAGCTGATCCCTGAGCACATAGTAAAAGTGGATTATAGGTGAATCACGCGGTTATTCAATGACTAAGATTTGGGTAAATAGAACGCTTAAAATGGCGTCAAAACTAGACATTTTCGGCGCCCAATTTACCGTCACCTAGCGTTGTGGTGTAAAGTGCTAGACATACGGAAAAGACTCTTGCATTCTTTGATTGAGCGCGGAAACCCATTTTGCTTACAAGTTGGATGTACAGTCCATTTTCCCTCAAGCTTGGTCAGATAATGGCTAGCGGTCTGAAACGGTCGTAACACCTCAAGAGGCAAAACGACTTCCAAGGTTAGATCGAGCCCCCTTAGCTTTTGCGGATTTATGTGTGATTGTATTAACATAGCAAGAGCCCTCGTACATCAGTATTTGAATTTTGGCGGACAATCGTCCTCTTCCTCAATACGCGATCATCGCTGAACACTATTCATAAAACGCCTTAGACCCCAGTAGCAGGTAGCTAATTTACCCACAGATCACACAAGTATAACCAAAACTTCAATTGGGTACTAATACATTGCAAATTGATACCGAGAGGGAATTGAACATTAATCATAAAAGGATTCACAGCCTGCACGTAAAAACACATCAAAACATTCACCCATCCAGATGTGCGCCTACTGGGTGGACTGCTTGCTGCTGTGGGGGTGGACAACCTTCTTCAAACCCTCCTTCATCTTCGACATAGCACCCTGCTTGCCATTACTTCCAGATGATTTCTCGCTATCCTTGGAGGAGGCAGACTCGCCCTCTATACCATGATTAGCACCGCCCATAACCCACGATTGATCTACAAAGAAGACTCACTCGAATCTGACTTTCCCTTCGACCCCTGCTTCCCCTCCTTCTCAAACTCGGCGGCAGTGTGCGCCGCGTGACCATCCTGAGGTCCCTTCAGCGCCTCCTTGCTAACACCGTGATCCTGCATGATCACAGCCGTTCCACGACGGCCCGCGTCCATCTGTTGCTTGGTCTTTTCGGGGTCCTCGGCCTCGCGCTGCTCCTTGTTCTCGGACTTGGAGCTATCGATCTTGGAGCTATCGGCCTTGAAGCTATCGACCTTGGAGCTGTCGACCTTAGAGCTATCGATCTTGGAGCTAGCGCTGGTGTCTTCGGCCAGGGTGGAAGACGGGCCGGCGGCAGCAGTGCTCGAAGTGGAATGAGTAGCAGCGGTGGAAGAGGGTGCATCCGTTGTAGCGGAGGTTGAAGGTGCACCCGTTGTAGCGGAGGTTGAAGGAGCATTGGCAGTAGCGGTGTTTGAAACAGCGTCGGTAGTAGATGTTGTGATGGGTTCATGGACAGTAGAGCTAGCGGCGGGCTGGGGGATGCTCTTCTGGGGTTGACCGTCTAGCTTGGGCTCTTGGGGGGCAGTACTGAGGTCTGAAATGGGGGCATCGGGTTGTTCTGGGGATTAGATTGTTAGCACGTTCAAGTCGTGGTATGAGTCGTTTAGCCTGTCGCTGAGGGGCTAGGTGTATATGCAGGAAATTCAGAAAAGGTAGTGTGATGTATGGGATATGCGTATTATACATTGGTGTATGATGAGGACGGGAGTTTGGATCGGAAATAGCAGTTGAACATGACTGGGTTGGAGGTGGATAGAACTGAAGATAACATACCGTCTCGGTTGCCAGCGTCGTAAGGATCATTGGCAGCACCTGTGCCCTGCACGCCGGAGATGGGCTCATCGTGGGATTGCTGGGCCTGTCGAGATTGAGCATCATTGTCGCCCCAGATGGCGTGGGATGCGTTATTGATAACCTTGTTAACTGTCTCCATATTTCCTAAATGGGTGGTTGATGATATGTGATGGTATAGTTGAGGAACAAAGATGGAGAGCGGGGAAGAAGAAGTAGAATCGATGAGGTCAAGGACGTATTGGGGGGAGGGGTGGTTTGAATCCTTGGGTCAAGATTATTGTACTAAAGTGGAAGACCTCTGCTCCACGGAGGTCGAGCTTCTTAAGGGCCAGATCGATGAACTACGTCAGAGGAACACATGGCATCACAATCCCGGCGGTGTATTGAATCATTGGAGCTTGAATGGATGATAACTGCATTGGGGGTGAAACGTGGGAAGACTCCCGCCGATCATGGCATCATCCGACGTCATGTCACGTGCCGTGATACGCGGGATGGATCCCAAGAGTACTATAATAGTAATAAATAGAAACGCCAGGGTATCCATATCACGTAGTGTCACCTTTGGTGGCGCTCAGGGGCCGTGCGGGGTCGTAGCCAATGCTCTTTACGATTCCCAGCCCTTTCGTCTTGCCCTCTCGGAAGAGTACTCGGTCGCCCGGAGCCAAGAACTCGGGGCGTTGTATGAACCGGAAGGCGACTAGAGCCCGATCGCCAGTTCGAATGAAAGGGCGGTCTATGTCGATGACAGCACAGGTTTGGCTGACGGCTCCTACGTGGAGCATGGCTTGGTATCGAGGCTTGATGGTGGTTGCATGCGAAAGAATCAAGACTGGATCCATGTCAACAAACATCATCCCTGTACATAGAAACGTGACTTACCTTCAGCGACAAACTCCCGGTACACCTTTGGAGGATTCTCCATCTTTCGTAATACCACCATACCCTTGCGAACTTCTTTTCGACGAACGCGCTTCAGCGCAAAGGATCCGGACTGACCGGCAGAGCAGGCATTCACCTGGATTCGTTTTCGTTCGATAGTTTTGATCGTCGTAGTGGTGAACTGACCCAGGGAGTCGGGTCCAACGACCACTGAGTCGCCTGCATGAATGACGCCCGACTTGACCACGCCTGACACGACCGTGCCCACATGAGGAACGGAGAAGGTGTCGTTGATAAGGAACTCAAAGGGACCATCCTGATCGTAATGTCCGCGGTGAGGAAGAATATTCAAGAATGTTCGGACGAGTTCCAAGTTCTCGCCAGTAACGTTGGAAACCTGGAAAATTGGGCAAATCCGCTGGCTGACGAACTGCGTGGCCGTGTTGATGGTTTCCTCCATGTCCTTTACGAAGATTGGGATCTTCCGCGCACCGGGCGACTTGAGGATCTTGGACAGTTGAGACAGAGTCTCCTGAAGAATCTGGGGCGGGCAGATGTCAATCTTAGTGACAATAACCATGACAGGGACATTCAGTGCCAGCGCAATACCGAGATGCTCACGACTCATACCAATTAGCCCATTGTTGGCAGCCACCATGAGCAAGCAGTAGTTGGGGCTGCTGCTGAGCATGCCGAAGACGGTAGTGCGCAGATAACGCTCGTGGCCAGCCAGGTCAGAGAAGGAAATAACTTTAGCGGAGCGTTTTCCAATCTCCTCCCAGGAGAGTTTCCGCCCCTGGGCATTCGTGACGATCTCGCCGTGGCTGTCAAAGCCCATGATTTCCATGCCCACGGAGCTGGTCCGGCCGCTCTCAATTTCGTGCTTGTGTCGGAAGAGGTTGACTCGAGCGCGACCACGTCCATCGTCAAGTCCGCCTTTTACCAGGACTCCGAGCATGGTACTCTTCCCCGCGTCGACATTGCCCACGACCGCAATGCGGACCTCCCCCACTTCCTCCACATTGGTAGTATTCTGGCGGACTAGGATCTTGCCCCAAGCGCCTGGTATCCGATCGTTGGTTACTGGTGCCTCTTTCTCGCCGCCGACATTGTAGGTCATGAGGACGCGGCAATGTGCGGGGATGGTCTCGGTGGCCTCATTCAGGCGCCGGAGTGCCGTTTCCCATTGAGGAATGTCGAACCCCATTGAGTCTCCGCCATCCTCCAGTCCCAGATCAAATAGCGTCTCTCCATGACCTTCGTCCATTCGTAGTTGTATTGTTTCGGCTAGGTCCTTCAAACTCTCTTCGGGAGCGTCCCCGGTGCCGAGCAGGAGGTCCTTTAACTTGACCGTGCGTGGGGTATCGGACAGACCAAGAGAGTCCAGTATGTCGAGTTCGGCATGATCCTCGACGTTATGCGACGCTTCAGCGGTGCCGGTAGAGTATCCGCTGTCGCGCGGCGCGGTGTAGGCGGAGCGCTGCGCTTGCTGCTTATCGGCATACTCGGCGAACTCGCTGAGAGCCTGGGGGAGATGTGAGTGAGGAAAGTAATCTGGCGCAACGAATACATACGATCTCGCCTCGTTTCCTTTCTTCGGCGTTTAATTTTGTGTTGTTCGGCATGTTTGGGTGCGGTGGAAGGTTCAAGGATGAGGGACGATGAGTCGCGTTCTTGGGGTAGTGACGTTACGGATGGGGATAGATTGGATCGCCTTCGTTTCGGCGCAAGTCAGACCTGTATTCGTGTGATCATGTCTTGTTCCGTCGGAAAAAAAAGACAGAAAGGAATTATGGAAGTGAGGTTTGAAGTTGAACTGAGAAAGTACAAAAAAGGGAGACCGGGGCAGCTTTATCGATAACCTTAGCTCGGGGTCGAGTCACTTGCTTGAGTCATAGATGCGCTTCGCCCATCTGCGCATCATCCGCCTCGATCATGCTGCGCCCCAAATGTCTCGCTCTAGAAACCCATAGAGACTATAAGAAGCGCTATGACTCAGGTACTAGAATCAGCCTTGCGGCTCCGCCAGGGAGGGGCTACGGGACACAATCTGGATGGATGGGTTCATCGCCATTTCATGGTCTCATATCTATGCGACTGGTATTCGGATGGTATCTCATTTTTCCTTCGCAGTAGCTGCTCGCCAGACGCCGGTTCCTCTATCAATTCGTGGGCCGATCAGGCCTGGGGGGAGATCAAAACGACGGAATCACCTGGAAACCATCAGTTAACATCCAACAGTAGATTAGCCTAAAGCATGGCTCACCTCGCACAAAAAGCATTTCCTCCTGTTTCTTGATTGTCTGTTCATACAAGTCCTAGGTTAGCGTCCAGAGCCCTTAAACCGCCGGGGATTCCTTACCCTTGTGGTCTCCTGCTCGTTCTCATCCTCCTCTACCACGTAGATGGTCTCTTCCACATCGCCAAGGACAAGGTTGCAGTGGCTGTCATATGCCTATAATGTCGTTATGGTCAGTGGACAGGTCAGGCAATTGCGTGACAGGGTAGGCTCACGTGGAGGCGGCCCTTGAGTTCACGGTCGCCGCGCAGCTTCACGAAGACAATCTCGTCCAGTGAGAGGCGCACAAGGTCCAAGGGTTCTGAGACGGATGCGCCTGTATCCTCGTTGTCGGCCATCTTGAGTTGTGGAGGAGTGGAATCACAATGTCGATTCGGGCACAGCAAACGCGGGCGTAGCGAAATCAGCGCGAGCTCTGCCGGTTGCTCAATTAGGACTAGCGTGGGTAGGATGAGTCAGCTATGCTACCCCGGCTTCTGCCTCAGGCAGTAAATGCCAAATATGGGGCGCACGATGGATTTTATGGGGTTACCCGCCCCTCCACTTGTCAGATGTATACTCTGGGCCTGAAGATCCTCTCGATCGAATTGCCAGACTGCTATTCCAGGTATCCGATGTAGTCATAGATAGCCACCACAGTATCAACTTCTGAAAATAGAAAAACATCTAGCTCTGGTCCCCCGTAACCCAAACATTCTGCAAGTCACTGCTACCTGAGGGAAGGTCTGACCGTCACCCGCCGCCCCCTCACCAGACAATGCAGCCAGAAGTACCGACTACAGACCGGGGTCGATGCACACCCCCTCCTCTTTCCAGCCCCTGTCCGTTTTCCTCTTAGCATCTTACGATTTTCATTCTCTCTCTATCCATCATGCGGAGAGTTACGCTTGCTGGTGAGAGGCTCTCTTCCCACGGTCTTTGCTCGCGACCGTTAAGACCAGAACAATACCTCATGAACCGCCGAGGACTCCTGAATCTCGGTCTCATCGGGCCAAGACAAGTCTCGTCTGCTAGTCAGTCACCTCAATTACACGTTCGTCTGTTCGATGGTTCTCAGTCCCGCAAGACACGTCCTCGACGACACTTCCTTTTCCACGAATTTACTACAACGGGCAGACTATGGAACTCGTCTCCAGAGTCAATCGAGACAACACGCAAGGCAGACAACGTGATCCTTCCGACCTGGAATTCACCAGAGGAGGAGGCAGAATATGCAACCAAGTTCTTTCAGGTGCTTCAAGATGGTCAGCCGGACCAGATGATGACAGCAATGACTGACCTACGGTCGGCGGGTCTGGTCGGAAGCTTGCCCCAGACCATGTTCGTCGAGGCGTTCAACCAACTCTCTCCCGCATATTTTGTGGAGCCATTCCGCGACCTCCACCATCCCCTACATACCTGGTCCACTCTATTGAATGGGCTGAAACGGGTCGAAGAGATCTTTGATGATTTTGTAAGAAATCTCTTGACAATCACTCACTATCGAGTTGCCGGAGATAATCTGCTTGGCCTCGCGGAATACACACACCTCTTGGACTGCGCCCAGTCTATGGGGAATGGCCCACTTGCGGATGATATTTGGAAGTCCATGGAGGAAGTAGGTGTTAGTCCGGACGTGCAATGCTACAATCATTACATGGGAGCGCTCGTCTGGGACCACTGTTATACTGGCCAGGAGGCTTTCAGGTTGCGAATCCTGCCCCGTCACTATTACAAGCGGCGCATGGAGAGTCGTGGCGTCGGATGGCAGGGCTACGGCACTGGTGGACTGAGTGTAAGAAGGAGAGTAATGAACATATTCAGCCAAATGCTCGAGAGTGGGCATGTTGCCGACGAGCGCAGCTACATTAATCTTATGCTTGCAAGTGCTCGCGTTGGTCATGGCCCGGGTTTCAGACAAGTTTTGATCGAAATTTGGAATCTCAAAGTCAATCTCCTCAAGCGGGAGGATCACTCGGAGGTACAGATGCCGCCAACGCGGTATGAGCCATGGTCTGCACTTCACCCGACCGAGAATCTTCTCTTCGCGATCGCCCATGTCTTTGGCACCAATAATGATATTCCTGCCGCTGTTCAGACAATACAGTTCATTGCCGAGAAATACGATATTCCCATCACACCTCGAGTCTGGCACGAATTGTTCGAACGAGCTTACGTGTTGAGCCGGATCAGAACCACTGAGACCACACAGGAGCAGCAAGCCAATGATATAGGACGAGTATCGATGCAGGTGGTACAATCAATATTCAGCACAATGACCTCCGAACCCTACAACGTCAAGCCAACTGTCCAAACCCACCGCTTCATGATGAACATTGCCATCGATAAGGGTAATTTAGAAGATTGCAAAACCCACTTGACTGCAGCCTATGACATTTTGAGCGAAACCCGACAAAAACAACACCAAGCACGCACCATTGTGATGAGATGTCTCAACCCCGTTCTCGACGCTGCCAAAAAACAACGGCAAAGGGGACTCCCCGTCGACCAAAATCTTTTCCAATCACCGATCCTCGCCAACGCAATACACGCATACGACCTCCTCCGTCTCGAGGTCTACCAACAGGCATACCTCATCCGCCGTGCAGTATGGCTAATCGCCCGCGTGCCGCAGTGGAAAGACACACCCGACAACAAATGGTTCTACCAAGAGCGGCCCAAGATAATGGAAGAATGGCAAGACTTTCTACCCGACCGGAAACGCATCTTCTACGACGAAAACTCCGGCTTCATGGACATGAACGGGCCTACTGGGTTCAAAGACCGGCACTGGCATAACGAGTCGTATATTCCCATCCGCCGAATGACAGACCATGAGACCTTGTTCCAGCGCACTGAAGCACTCGCCTTTTCTGAGAGTAGGGAGTGGCGTGGTATCCTCAAACTTTTTTCCGGGGTGGATACGACTCGCGCGCCACTGAACCGCCTGTTTCACTTTGAGCGGCAACGTTCTCCCAAGTTTAAAGCTATGCTGAAAGAGTTGCGGGAGAATTGGGTGGAGTATCCTGAGGATCATCTGCTTTCTACGGCGAAGAATCCGAGTGCTGGGTTTTATGGAAAGCTTGCTGCGCTGGGGTTGTTGAAGTCCAAGGAACGGGGCATCTTTCTCTTAGATGACAGGTCCTGGATTTGAAACCAGCGCGAGTTGAACGGCTGGGATTTATACTTTTGGTGGGTCGATTCATATGATACCCCTGTTTTGATATCGACTTGCATACTTCTCGTTGCATTTGCATCTGTCGGAAATACACTTATGTATGATCAAAATGCATTTATATTCTCATGACATTATCAAAACCAAACCATGGAAGTTGGAGTATGTTCAATATACCCGAAGGGATCTTGTAGAAAATGTATTCAAAATCAATGGACGCTATCTGTCGTGTCATATACAAGTGAAAATGTGAGACGGGTCAAGGCAATGAATCACTCAAATCCAAATGATCCTCAATCCATCCAAATCCAAGATCAGCCTAAACCTTCTCCCTCTTCAAGTCATTAACAGTCATATACCGACCGATAGTAATCCAACCCCACCGGAACCAGACCATCTGACTCTGATGCCCCTTCACCATAGCCGACTGAGCAGTCATCCACTCCCCAATCGAACTAACAAAAAGCAGCCTCGCCGGACCAACATCTGCTTTCTTCTTCGTCGTCAGCCCAGTCCAAAGATTACTCCAAGCCCCTTGCAGCATCGACAGCGGCGCATCAAGAACACCTGCGTATTTCCGCCAGATTGGAAGCGAAGTCAAAGTGTACAATGTAATTGGGCTCGCGAAGCCCGCTTTATCCTTCATCAACACGCGAATGAAATGCAAAGCCCCGTGGTATAGAGAGCGGTGGTTCGGGTGGTTGCTGACGCCGTGTTTGTCAAATGTGAGGAGGACGTCGATGGTTGCGGTGGGTGCTTTGTCCGGGTTGGGTTTGCTGCCTTTGAGGCTGGCAGCGAGGTCAGGCGCGAAGGCGGATGCGAGGAGGGAGGTTATGTCTTCTTCTTTCCAGTATTCTTTCATGCCGTCTGGGAAGCGTTTTGTGTCTTCGACGACAAAGACGTCGGATTCATCGCGGATGCCGAGTTGGAGAGCGCTCTTTTGGAGTTCCTTTTTGCGGGTTTCCCCGAGGCCATCTGCATCGCCTGAAGAGAGGTACAGTTAGTTTTGTTTTGGTGTTTCCGACGTCTTCGCGAAAGATGTTGGTTTTCGGAGTAATGTCCTCGGCCGAGGCCGTTTCTTTGGGTTATTTGCGACGTACCTGTGCTGAAGCAGAGAATCTTCAGGTGGTTTCCTAGCTCTGGCTGGGTGAGTGCGAGCACTGTCGGCGCGAAGAACATGGCCTCGTCATCCGGATGGGCGATTAATAGACAGATGCGCTTGTTAACGAGTCTGGGGAAAGAGCGGGTGAAAGGTGAGATCGAGGTCGAGGACATGGTCCAGAACGCGATGACGGCGGCAATGGCCACAGCGATGGAAACCAGATTGGAGAGCATGGTGGATAAATATGCGATAGAGAGGCGAGTGTTGTACTAATTCGAGTTCTATGCCGGGGCTCCTCGTCTCGAAGCTATCTTCTCGACAATTCCAGTGGAACGGTCAATGTTTCTCGTATTGTTTTGAGCGCTCAAGCGCTGGGTTCGAAGAGGCTCGGGCAGGTGTCAGGATTTCAATTGTGGATCAGAGCGTGCAGAAAGTCAAGACATAGCAGTGGGGAATGCGCGGACATCCCACTTCGGCTTTGAATGGACGCGCCGGGGTCGGACTGGTCGGGAGTGAGGAGGTAGTGGTGGGATGTTAGTTGAATGGACACCAGACCCATGATCGTGACTCTTGGGAGTCCATAGAAAAAAGACACGGTGGCAGGACGCTCTTCCGGAAAAGGGGAAGCTCAGACTTGAGATTCTGCTGCCGGGCGATCCCCCGGATCACGTGTCAGGGGTTCATGCATCGACCCTTTTTGACCTTATCGACATTCACAAAGCTATTGGTTATCTCGGTTGTTTACTGGTTTAAAATCCGATATCTAGATCCGCCATGTTTGCTATTTCGTTGTTTAAGGTTCGGGATCGGGATATCCATCTCCGAGTCTGCTTTTAGATAGACCTAGGACCCTGGACGATAGCCTCAAGATAGGTCGAAGGGGTCTCGCCTCGTCTCCGGAAATCAATAGAAGAATCTACCGACATAAATCATGCTGTGTGTTTGCAATAATAGAACAAACAAAGCTATATCCCGTGGTACTCTGCTCCGAACTAGAAAGGGACTCAACCCTAACAAGGTAACCGATGGAACGTGTGTCACAATGAGGCTCAGACACCGATTAGGTAGGTAAGACTCATCCGATGACACCGTCCTCACCTTTCGTCGGCAGTACCTTCCAAATCGGTCGAATCGCCAGAGTCCTATGGATATGGAACGTGGAACGTGGACACACATTCTGGCATGACAGCGCGGTGGAGCACGGAGTTGGAGAGGAAGAAATCTCTGCCGGCCCTTAACAAGTCAGCCGTATGAGTCCCCGGGCAATGTCGAAACACCATTACCTACAGGAAATATAAACGTACTCCAATGACCTAACAATTATCTAAAACGGAATTTCAGAATCTCAGCACCTACCATGTAAGATGTGAGATGATCCTCCCGAAACAAATCCCTCCACACGGTAAACCGACTAGAACCCGGCCCGGGGCTCTCGAAACAATCACGAAGCCCAAGTTTCCCGACGGACAAGTGAAAAGAAATAAAAATAAAAATAAAAAAGAGAAGAAAAAAAAGTAGAAATCGCCGAACGGGGCTCAGCGGCGACTACCAATGGCCAGGACGGCCCCATCGCGGTTGGTTAGCCACATCCACCGACGGAGCGGTCAACTTTTACAGAATCAACCAGGGACTGTGGCAGAGCGGGCCAGTGGCATCAATTTTAAGCATCACGCTGCCCCGGCCCGAGTATAAACTTTGGAGGTGGATATACCCGAACAGAAAATTTCTGCTCTCAGGGGGCCCGGGAGGTTTCCTTGATTTTTGTGAGAGTTCAGACGCAATTTGCAATTGCAATTGCAATTAGACTACAAAGTGCATAAAGAATGGCGTGGTAATGATTTCAGTTCTAGGAAGATGACGCGACACCAATCCAGTAAGATAATTGAATCAAGAGTCAGGGCTGATCTGAGGGGGTTCTCCGAGATCGACCCGGATCAGGAAGTCCGTTGGAGGGCCAAACGTGCCCCTCGCACGCCATCCATTGGCTGCCACACTCGATCTCTAGTGGTATAGTCTCTGAGCCTCTGAGCCTCTAGTTGTCTATAGTCATCTCTAGTCATCTCTAGTCTCTCCTTTCCTACATAGCGTGGGTTTGAGCAGAATTCCCGCTGGTTTCTCTCATTTGCCATAATCGGTTACTGTACGCGACAATGAAACAGTAGGGAGGGGCCACGGGGATCGACAGATCGCGTCGAGAGGTCGGGGGACCGGGCTGCACCGCATCCATACGATGGGCCGGTGCTGTTTCGCATCATGGCGTGATCGGAGACGGAGACCCTTCACCTGCATCCTTCACCGCAGGATGTATGCTCCGTCGGGGATGAGTCAATGACGCTCGAGCCCTGGAACTCAAGGCGGGGGGTTTCTTCAGAACGTGTTCTACATGGGTATGGATGCAGGGATTGTATGGAATGCAGTGTGCATGGACCATGCGATGTGATGCGAAAGCTGCTGAGGTACCTGGATCGAGGTACCTGGCGATGGAAACTGTTAGGTAATTAGTGCGAGTAGGGAGTTTGATGATTCGTGGAACGCAGCTGGGACCGAACACGGTGCATATCTTGACAGCTCCCAGGGCTACGATCGGATGGATGATCATGGAGCTTCTACCATTCAATGTCTATACTCGCACCACAGCGGACGACAATACAGCATCATGAAGCCATCTGTGCCCCGCAAAAAACAGTGCGGGGTCACGAGAGATCTTTCTAAACCCAAACAGGACAACGGAGTGCAGACGAAGCCGGCGAGCAAAACTTTTCCGGTGGAGCGCGCGCAGGGTCTTTGCACGCGTTGGTTTTGCCCGAAGCGGAAAAGCGGTCGAGAGAGGATCTGCCACTAACTAAATCAGGTCCTGTATGGGATGGTAATGTGCTCGTATTTAAACCGTATTGTATCAAACACTGCCCGTAAAGGCTTCGGCTCGCCGCTGTTTGCGCCACGTGACGATTCCCAGTGGCAGCTGATGCGTTCCTCTTCGTCGCGGCTTAGTCGGCAAGCTGGCGCACTCCGACCCTCTTGCGGCCAGCTAGGCTTGTCTCATTATGGCACGGAATATTATCGAATGCTGATTCATCTGGGCAGGCTAGAACGGCACGCCTAGGTTCACCTGACCGGAGACGACGCCGCGGCATTGCTCATCCGGGGTAGCACTGTAGTACTGTAGTACCTTCTGCGTAGGGCCGATATAGTCCCGGCCGTATACCCCACCAACGGGCACATGCGAAGGCCGAGTACCTACGGAGAATAGTATGGGAGATCTCCCCCTCCGACCGGGGAGGTAGCCGACCGTGACTCATGCAAGGTTGCGCACGGTCTGATGGCATCAGCATCACTGGAGAGTCTAGAGCGGTGATCGCAAGATGATGCCCACATGAAACCTTGGATGTGGGGAACAACGCAGCCAGGCTGGCGTCAGGCGATCCCCGATCCATGCCCATTCATGACCATTCGTGTGTGTTGTGCTCGGGCGAGAGCCTGTTGGTTCACGGGCCCAGGACCGGTGCCGAAATGCCGACGTGGTCTAACACGAGACCTGGAATCGATTTGAAATTAGGAAACTTACGAAAGATCAAGACTCAGGAATCAAAGACTAGAGACATCGAAATAGCTAGACAAAACATCATAAGACAAAAGACACACAAATAGAACCAGGTAAAAATAGGTAAAACCGCCCGGCGATGGTTTCCCTACGAGAAGATCTATAATAAGGACAAGGACCTTGTGTGTGTGGTGTGTGAGAGAGCGTGTGTAAAATACCGCGTAAATAGCCGTAAATCTGAGTGTAACGGTACTGTGCGCAACCCCAATGACGTTTTTACGCCCCACTGGATTCTAATTCGTTTTCTTTTTTCATTTTTTTTTAAAAAAAAAAAAAAAAGAAAATTTCAAATTTCTTTCCATTTCGATTTCCGTGTCTAGAACAACGAATAGCGGAGCCGTACCTGGTCTTGCTTTGGGACAAAGTGGACACCATACAGAAAATTTTCTTAGTTTCTTTGAAGTTTTCCACGGATTCGAGCCCCGTTTAGGCTTGTGGCACCTGATGGAGGGTTCATAAGGAACGGTCGTTCCTGTTACTTGCTCGACTTTAGCTTCATACTATGTTCTACCCTGCTTTTACTCCATACCATCGTACTGAGTCTCGAACTACATCTCAATCTACATCCTGAACTACATCTTGAACTACATCATCATTTACATCATTCAACGCTCATATCCACGGATCCAACTACATCCAAGATGCCGGGCCGTCTGATCCCCAACTTTGTTCGGGGCTCTGGCTCCCTGCACTCATCTCTCGCCTCCACTCCGGCTCACTCCAATTCATCCTCAACTACTTCCGTCAATGAGATTCCAGCCCACCCGGTAGGCAAGAAGTCTGCGCATGCCACCCCGGATCGTGCCCGCTCCCCAGAACGTCGCCTGTCATTCTCCATGGACCACTTGATCCACCCCCACCGGGACCACAGCAAAGACAAGGAAAAGCGCCGCAGCCTCGTGCGCGCCGGTCGATCCAAGGAACGCATCACCAAGGATGAGATGGCTCTGCCTTCGGCCAAGCTCGACGTTCTGGTGGAATCCCCGCCTCTGGTCTGCTATGGCAACCCCTCCACCTCCACTGGCGCATTGTTCTCGGGCCGCCTGCGTATCGCCGTCGCCGAATTGGCCCACACGGTGACTCTGAACCAGTTCGATGTGCGCCTCGTTTGCAAGACTTCGACCAAGAAGCCCGTGTCTAGCCACTGCCCCAACTGCGCCACTCGCACTGATGAGCTCACTCGCTGGAACTTCCTTACCGAGAACCTCAAGCTCACCCACGGAGACCACGACTTCCCCTTCAGCTACCTCTTCCCTGGCCACTCGCCCGCTTCGTGCGATGGCGCTCTTGGCAAGGTCGAGTACTTCCTGCTCGCCCACGCTCGCAGCACTGCCGGCGAGGAGTTCAGCATCAAGCTGCCTCTGAACCTCCGCCGCGCTCTTCTCGCCGGAAACGACAAGTCCTCCATTCGCATCTTCCCTCCCACCAACCTGACTGGACGCATCGTCCTTCCCTCGGTGGTGCATCCCATCGGCAAGTTCCCCGTGGAGATGACCCTGAGCGGCGTTGTCGACAAGGGCGAGGAGACTCAGACCCGCTGGCGTCTGCGCAAGATGATGTGGCGCATCGAGGAGCACCAGAAGATTGTCTCCACCGCCTGCCAAAAGCACTCTCACAAGATCGGCGGCGAGAACAAGGGGGTACTCCACCAGGAGACCCGTATAATCGGCCACAACGAAGAGAAGACTGGCTGGAAGACCGACTTTGACACCGCGGGCGGTGAAATCGGCATGCAGTTTGAGGCAAGCATCAACCCTACCACCAACCCGGTTTGCGACATGGAGGCCCCCGGTGGCCTCGAGGTCAAGCACAACCTCGTCATCGAGCTCATTGTGGCTGAGGAATTCTGCCCCAACCGCAACACCCGTCTGATCACTCCCACTGGTGCCGCCCGCGTCCTCCGTATGCAGTTCAACCTTCACGTCACGGAGCGCGGTGGTCTCGGCATCAGCTGGGACGAGGAGATGCCCCCAGTCTACGAGGATGTCCCCGCCAGCCCTCCTGGTTACACCAAGCTTGACGACACTGCTAGCGTCATGGAAGACTACCAAGGGTCCCCTCTGCCTCTGCCGCAGTACGATGAGCTTGAGCGAATGGATTCGCTACGCCTGGATAGCGATTCGACTCACTCGTCCGCCCCTTCCTCCTCTCGTGGACGTGTTCGCTTTACAGTTGACGATCTTGTTACCGATCACACCCCTCCTCCCTCTGAACCCGCCTCTCGCGTTCCCTCGCGCACTCCCTCTGTCGACTTATCACGCCAATAAAACTTTCCACTTGATGGTCTGAAAATCATCGTTCCACATGACTTTACGATCTCCATGACCCAAAGAAAGACTCTCCTCGCCATTTCCTACTTATTCAACATTCAACGTTAATCACCTTCACCGAGGATGATGCCTTATGAACCTCCAATTCTTTGATTTTCAGCGGCGTTTATGACACCGAGACGGAAAAGAAAAAACCTTTTAAGGCTGAAGGACCAAGAAACAGAATATCTGGCTCAGTCGCATTTCTCTTCGCTTGGACGGACCGGCTTCGTTCCACCCTTTGCATTATACCCATCATTCGCTTCAACTGTGAATTTCTTTTTCTATCTTCTATGGATACTTCCGGATTTTGATTCCCCCTCCTGTTCTAGAAAATCGATTCATTCCCAAGGGATGAATACTCTACTCATATCTGATATCTAATGCAATGACTTAAATGTCCATCGTCCTCTTTGTATACTGTAGACCTTCTATATATTCTGCCTACAGACCTTGACATCCACCAAGCCATGTTGTGTGAGGTGAAAATAACCTCATCGCCAGCGACCCGGCCCCACACTAATTACATATCAGAAAACACAAAGATCCAGCCACAACCTTATCGCCGCTTGGCCTTTGCCATTGCCAAGATGATCGCGCATAGATAGTCGCGTAGATAATGAGCGTGGCTGAAGTATCAAGCACGGACCAAGGTAAAAGATATCGAGATAGAGGATTAATCGAGACTTACCCTGCGCTGTAAATTTATCAGCGGGGAACTGCACTAGGTCCACCTTGTATCAAGAGTAGTGCAAGCTTCGGAAGTAAGAAAGGGGTGGAGAAAAGAAACTAGAAACAAAGTCATCCAGGATGATCTTTTCTTCGTGCTTGTTGTTTTGGGATGTCCTGTATTAAATAAGTGATTTCTTTTTCAAATCAGACGATATCCTACTAACGCTTCCGAGCACCCCTGAAGCCTAGAGAGCCATTTCCGTATAATAATTTGAATATACTTTTATCTCACACCATGGCAATATCCAGTTCCCACGCCTGTTTCCGCTTCCATCGTGGCCCTGGAGTTAGGCAACCTTTGTGGAAAAGTGATAGGAAATTTACCTAGGTCATGGGATTGGGGATGGTTATCTCACCCTATGGCGGATTGAATCTCGCAAGGGCATTGATTGGATGTCAGTTCTGAACCATCTGCAGCTCATATCGCGAAGCATAGCTTCATGGGAATACAAATAGGAAAATTTAATAGAACGTGTCTTTCAAGTAGCATCTTTCAGATGTCTTCAAGGACTGGTGTTATGCAGAGGATTGAAATATTAAGTCTGTCAACATGTGACTAGTATACACAAGTCAAGGGCGAAGAGAAAATCCCAGAAATAAGACGAAGCTCAGAAAGTAACATCACAGCTCCACTTTGTCAATATCGTAAACCAGGTGTCCCTGTCTCGCCCCCTTCAAGTCCAGTCCTAGGAGCCATGATATGTTCAATCCAACAGACACTTTCATCTCCTTGAACCAAAGTCCCCACGAAGTAGACTTCTTTCGCATCTCGCCGTTTTCCGTAGCCATCTTGAATATTTCATTAACACGAGGCCTGCGAATGGCATCATATTTCTCGAAAACATCGCACAAAGGCCGTGTCTCATCTTTGAGGAGACGGGAAAGCAAGAAGACATCCTCAAGCGCCATCGAAACGCCCTGTCCAGCATGCGGCGACATGGCGTGGGCCGCATCGCCAACCAAGACACAACGGCCTTTGGACCACGCTTTTCCGAGAGGAAGGCGGTAAATGGGATAAAACTTGACAACAGAGGTGCTGCTGACAATCTTCTTCAGCATGTTTCCCCAATCACCCTGTGCATTCTTCAAGACATCGAGAAGCATGTCTTTGAACCCCTGCACCTCCTCTTTCCCATGTACCTCCCATCCATCCCGACTATCCCCAGATTCGGGAAGTGGAACTTCTTTGGTGAAAAACCAGAACAACTCATCTTTAGAAGCTGTGCAGGGATTCAAGGCCATCATTCCTTCTTCCGTCAAGGTCGCCTCAAGCCCAGAGATCTGATCCATAACCTCCGACGAAACAGTCTCAGCCGGAACAATTGACATGATGCCCGACAGACCCGAGTACTCCGCCATCTGAGTTGGATCGATATGCGTCCTCCGCACAAAGGAGTGAATCCCATCACATCCAAGCAACAAATCCGCCGAATCTGTGTCCCCATCCTCAAACACAACACTAACTTCATCAACACGATCATCAATCTTCACCAGTTTCTTTCCAAACCGAACTGGAATGCCCACCTTCTCAACCTCCTCAAGCAAAACTTCCTGTAAATCCCTCCTCTTAATCCGCAAATACCCGAACCCTGTCTTCCCTCGCGCCCAACCAACATGATCCATCGACCCAACTACATGACCCTGCAACGAGTGCATCGTCAAATTGCGCCCGCCATAACCTCTGCTTACGGCTGCATCGAGGACGTCAAGTCGGTGTAGGAGGCGCAGGCCGTTGGGCTGGATTCCAATAGCTCCGCCTAGCGTTGTGGGTGAGGATCGGAGCTCATAGACTGTGCATTTTATGTTTGTTTGTTGGTGGAGACGGAGTGCTGCTGCAAGGCCAGCGGGGCCGGCGCCGATGATGATGGCCTGCAGGTGGGATTAGTTGGCGCGTGAGGTTGTTGTGGGATTAGAAGATCTTACCTTTCGAGTTTCCGGCATATCGTCCTAGTTTCCTTGGCTTGATTTTGATTTTAATTCAAATGATATTTGATTGATTTTGACGTTCTTTCGATGCGGAAATGTAAGATTCATATACTTTGGTGCTGTCTCCGGGCTCCATGGATGCTAGCCCAAATTGGGTATATCTGGCCGCGGAGCGGAATTCGGATATTCTAGGACTGCGAAACCCTCCCGATGTGTAGCCTAGGCTTCGACAAGGATAAATCGAGTATTCGATTTCGTATCACTCGTCCTGTATGAGTAGATATATAGTTATCCAAGTTTTGTGGGTATTAAAGGCGCCGTGGGTTGTGAATTTCTACTGTTAGGACCTGGAGAGCAGGGCATCGGAACATCTAATCCACATCCATGTTTCACATCCGTTCTCAAACAAATGACTACCGAAATATTGATTTAGTACTATAACAGAACATCGAATCCAGAGTTTTGAATCAGGAACTCAACATAACGCAAAGCCAGAAAGCATTCACTTACTCACTAGACTCAGAACCCGAATATATATACTTGTACCCAATCTGCAGCCTGAGCAAATTTTCTGTTTTAGGGGATCTGAAAACGTTTTTCTTTGAGTCCTTCTCAACTTCTTTTACCTCCTGGACACACAGTGACACAGCAACAGTATTGACACCACAAATAGACCCACCTCTACCACCGCCTATACCGCCTTTCTTTCAATCCCTGAGGCTTTTGCCTTATTCTTATTCATAGGTGTGATAACAAAGATACGAAAGCTATACTATTAGCTACTAGGTATAAAATGAGCTGGATTTAAGGCATTTGAAGCGTGATATTAGCTCGGAGTTCATGTAGTAGGGTATGTGGGGCAGGGGTGTCGATACTTTTGCTGTCTTACTGCATGTCCAGAGGGGCATATGTTTTCGACTCTCACTGTACCCTCTCCACTCTTTGAAAGTCCCATATCAGAGTTACAAAGATTCGCGGTGAACTATGTACATGGTCATGTACGGAAATCTTATTGGCAGATATATATAAAACAACTAGTCACCCTCACGCAGATCTTTCTTGTCTGGCTGAAATCCATCGGCAGATACAGTTCCGCCATCCAAGCGCCCCATAGAATCAACCAGAGTCCAAAGACAAAACTTGGTGCAGTACGAAACGGTCTGTTCGCAATTGACCCCACCATCACACCGTTTTAGTCGCAGCAAAACCTCTCTTTTCTTGTAGTGCATGATACGAGGCTACCGCAAGGCTAAAATTTGGACCCGGACAAAATCAGAATCCAGAAATCTGTATGGCCCTGTCATATAATTTTCCCCATACAAAGTGCGGACAATAGTTGCGGGAAAACCAATTAGCGACTCGGTTGTATGAATCAAAGCTCGGCCCCCAGGGCGATCGCTCGCGGTCTTTGCCTGTTTCAAATGATCACGAGGCTGACGTGACAGGAGCATTGGCATTTCTTCCCACGCACTATTTCTTTCCATGACTCCCATGGTAGAGCAAAGCAAAAGAATCCTTGGATAGCCCACTCTACGCGGCTTTCATACTCGGATACAAATTTGAGCTTCGGAACGTGCCCCGCGCCCAATGATAAGGCCACCCCACCATGTGGATTCGATCGATTTGGAATTCTATGTACGGAGTCATCACGTATCACACGTTGACTTGCAGGTCCCTTTTTGCATCCGTTGCCTACCGGTTGCCCTAACGGGGTATTGATCCTCTTAAACTTTTGTGTGACAGCGACGACCCTCCTTGGAACCCCTGAGATGAAAAAGGAGGACAAGCCCCAGGAATGACTTTTGACCTGACAATGCAAGATGCTAAAAACCCAAACAAGTGCAGACATCGCGAAAGTGTGGTATCAAGCTAAATACAGAAATAACAACCGAAACGCCTGGCAAAGCTATATGCCGGAAAAAAAAAAACGCACAGGGAATAGTGAGAACGAAGAAATCAGGAATCGAAAATCGGACCAAACGCCGGGATCCCTCGCGACTCAAGCTCATACACAATCCTAGCAGTCAGCACAGGGTTACTGATCACGCACACCGCTTCGGCGTCGAACTCTTGGACCTGTCGCTGCACGATAGGCACCATGTCCACACGCCCAACGACATTGGTGTCCATGATGATTGGATTGGCATCCATTTTGTGCACTAGATCTAACACCCCTTGACCGTACGTCTTAAGCGGCGCCCGCGTCTGCCAGAGAACGCGCAGGGCTGGTCGGTTGTCGTCACCCAAGAACGAAAGACAGGGCCCGATGCCAGACCCTGTTGTCACCACAATCACTCGCTTGAAGACTCGCATGGCATACGCGAAGCCATAAATCAACACTCCGCGCTTATACAAATGGCTGGGAGGGTGATTGATTGTTTCAGAGGTCCAATCTCCTGCCTTGGATACCAGGACCGAGAACGATGGCTTTCCGGTTGCACCTGCCGGGGCGGGGTCTGGGAACGTTGCGAACCCATGCCAGTCCCGCAGCGGGTGCTTGGACAGGGAAGTACCCTTGCCAAAGGTGGTGGTGGTGTGGTCGAAGTGCAGACGCACTGCATGAGTGGAGAGGGGCTCGGCCCGCACCGTGACCTTCCGCAGCAGCAACCATGGATGAATGATGGCTGCAACGGTTACCATCAAGAACCAAAAGGCCGGGAGCTCGGCAACAAAGCTACCCATTGATTGGCCCTCGGCTCGGCTGATCTCGTGAGCGAAGAGCATCAAAAGAACTACAAACATCGCGACGACAAGCCACCCAAGAAAACGGTGGGTGAGTTCGAAATGATCGTGACGCTTCATGCGGAACTTGGGGTGGGCCACGACGGCGATCGTCATCAGCAGAACAAGAATGATATAAGCGACTGCAACGGGCGCGGCTGAGAATTTGATGGCTGCTGATGGTGACCAGTACTCATGCGACATCAGACCGACGAAACCGATGTACCACACCAATGCCGTGATACCGCAGCCGCTATGCACCCCACCATAGTGATACACCTTCGACAGCCATTTGCGCAGAGCGTATGGTGCTGATCTCGGCACCGAGAGCACAACTTTGAAGATCGTATTCACCACCAGAGGCTGGCGGGCCAGACCGCAGGCAAGCAAATTGGCTGCACTCGCATTCACCAAGGCAGTAAGTTTGCGGTTGGAAATCATCACATACACGAAAACGCCCATGTTGGCCAAGAAAACAAGGCTGAACAATCGTCTATAGATTGTCATAATGGCATACCGCAACCAAGCCAAGCGCTTCGGCTTTGGCAAAGGTGTCTGGGCCTCGAGGTCGCCCGGAGATTCGAGGTCGGACGATGACATCTCCTTTGAGGGCTTCTCGAGCACCAATGGAGATTCGCCATTGATCAGAGTGACCTCACTTGGCCTGGAAGAGTGATTGATCACTCTTACCACGGCAGCTGGCCGAGCTATCTGTTCATCGATGAGGGTAGCCTCGCTGGGCTTGTGAGAGTGGCCTTTCTTTTTAACAAAATCATCGCTATCGACAAGTGTAGCCTCACTGGGCTTGTGAGAATGAGACGCCATCTTAGTATGGGCCACAGATGAGGGCTTGGTCATAGGGGTTTTCTCCGAGTCCGACATGGTTGTTGGTCCTGCAGCAGAAAGAGTTGAAAAGAAGACCGAATGGGCGAAGTAAATTGGGAACTTGACTAGTATAATGTGCCAGGCATGTGGTTTTGACAGACCCTCGGAGGACTGAGGGCATCCAACTACCAAGCACGGGCTACCAGTTCGGTCCGTTGTGTCCCCACAGGGGATCTGACCATGATCTGACTCGTTATTCATTTCGCTGCCGCTTGTTTGATCCCGCCGCAGGCCCTCTTTCCAAATTCGTGCACCGGCTATGATCACACAACCTAAATCGGAAAACATTTGGCCGGTCACAGCTTGGCGGTTCACCGTTTCATGGGACCACCTGAGGATCCATTTTCTCAACTCAAGGTTTCGAAGAAGTGTATGACACTACCATGCCGGGTCTAGAATTCCACTGGTCTAGGGAAACGCAATCGGTGCCAATGGGGTCACGGACTGGACTTCCTCCACTCCCTCGTTCCCTCGCCCAGCTCCGGATGACCGCCCACAAAGGGCCATGGCGTCCGGATGGAGACTTGATGGGGCCACGAATCCGTGCTCTAAGATAGCGCAGGAGCTGGATAGTGGGCACATCCATTCATGGAGGCGGGACAGACCGGGAAAGGAAGACATGGCAATGAACTGTCCATTGTTCGTTGAGATGTAACCCAATCACCGGGCCAGCTCCGAACGATCGTCGGCCGAAGTCAGAAACCCAAACAGGCGATTCCTTTTGACCATGCCACTGCGAGTCGCCACTAGAATGAAAGTTCCTATGGGGCCATCCTGAGCATCCAAGCGAGGGCCTGGAGGGATCAGCTAGGGTTGCATGGGGACCCAATAAATGCACGCTAACGAATTAGACACTTCCCACTACCGGGCCATCGGAGCAAACTGAAAAGTGATAAGACCGTCATTTCAATGGGAAAGAACAACGCTCAGCCAGCAGCTGAGAGCGCCACATACGGAGAACAATAGGGACTGTACCTGAACGTGGCGGTTGGGTTATCTTGCAGATTGGAAACCCTGCACCCGTTCTATGTGTGTGCTTTGCTTCCTTTTTTTTTTTTCATTATTAATCTTTTTTTTTTTCGAGCACCGTGCAGCCGATCATTACTCGCAGCGGGGTACGGGGCGTCTCCAGCAGGCGTGTTTTACTCTATGGAGACAGGTGCGCGAACCCCGAGGACCGGGGTGGATCCAGACCGCAGAGACTGGACCGTCCAGAACAGAGGGAAGCGTACTACATGTGCGTGGCGTCTAGTCACTATGCAATCGAGATCTAGGGCTGGTCCGCGCGCAGACAGGATTTTCGGGGTTTGTCCACAGGGAAGGGAGAGTGGTGGAATGATTTATCAGAGCTCCACCCGGTGCGGGACAGAAGGGCTGGAATATGCAGCGAGCTCCTCAGTTGTTGGGCAATGGGATTGACCGTCGGAGATCGGACAGGGCTAGGGAAAGAGGGGAACACAGTCGTGACGGGATGTCAGGCAGACTTGACATGAGTGGAGACAGAAGGTGTCAAGCGTCCTGGGGGAAAGAGATTGGCATGCGCTTGACATGCAATTGGCAGGTGAGGGACGAGCGTCAGCCGTGGCTCCGTGGCTCCGTGGCTCCGGGGCTACATCATCGAACAGGCCCGGGGTGTGCCGGTCTAAACATCCCTGTTCGGAGCGAGATATCTTCAGCTCGTGGGGATGAAGGAAAGCGTTGGGACCAATGGGGCCCAGCAGAGACACATCGGGATCGAGAGTCGACGTGGAAAGGACAGACTTGCAGTACTGATTCGCCGCAAAAATGGGGTTTAAGTTATGGAGACGAACTGTAGACGATCAATTGTCGATCCGATTCACCTTGATTGACGGCCCGCACAAGAATGTAAGAAGAAAGGATCCGAGCTTGTGGCTGAGCTGTGATCAATCATCGAAGGGACTGCCGCTAGCGGTTCCCGCATTGGCGCGAAACTAGTTTAGCGCTTCTGTGTTCTTGAACCTGTTCGGTGGAGACCGTGCGAACAGGTTGTCTATCACCAGCACATCACTGCGTCCATGGCACTTGCACTTTTGGGATATCTGTTTGCGGATCGGGGTTTGAGATCTTGGAAAAAAGGTGCTTTTGTTCAGTAGTAGTCCGGATGATGGATCAGATATCAGCTCAATGCGGTGTTATCAACCCGCCATCTAGCCAATCAAGTGGGCGGTAGTGGAGCTGGCCTTAGTGTGATTACCTCAGCAAGTATTCCAAATCAGCTCCTAAGCTTGCTTGAAGAATTCAAATCAAATCAAATCGGATTGTACTTTGCACGTAGAAATATGAAACTTATCTTCCAATTTCCCTATATAACTCCCCCGACGCAGGGGTCTGACCTTCTCTGACTCGACCTCCTTCCCCCTCTACATCCTACCCTTTCTCCCACGCCTTCTATTCCATTCATCTCCCCGAGTATGGGGTCTTGGAATCCCTCCATGGCGGTAGCCGGCACGATGGATCCTCTTCTTCATGAAGATTTATATACCGACTTGTTAACATTTACCTTTTGCGGACCGACCCCGTACAATCAATTTCAGCCGCTGTTTATCGATGCCGAGGATCCCTCGCGGTCGTTTACGGCCACCCAGTTCCGGCAGCTGGTCCGGACTCTGATTGCAGGCTTCAAAGCGAATAATATCCAGCAGGGAGATTGTGTGCTATTGCATTTGGGGAACAGTGTCAGTTAGCTGCCTGGAACTCGGCCTGGGCTGAAATGATTTGGAATATCCCAAATTAAAAATTAAAGTACTGACTCGGACTGGTGTGTCATAGATCCTATACCCTGCCCTCTTCTTTGGTATTATCGGTGCCGGCGGCGTCTACATGGGATCGAATCCCAAGAGCCAGCCGGCCGAATTAGATCATATTGTTTCCCTCGCCGAACCCAAGATGATCCTCACCACTCGCGATGCGTTGCCCATGGTGTTGGAGGTGGCCTCGGCGCGGGGGATCCACCCGGGCCAGGTGTGTCTAGTAGATGAGCGGGCAATCGACCACTGCGCCCAGCTCTTCCTGTGGTACGAATTAGGGTTCCCGGCCGGAACGGAGTTTCTCACTATGGACAATTCACAGCTCAATCTGGCCCACCTGCTCTATTATGGTGAAAGTGACTGGCTCATGTTCACCGACCCCGTCATGGCCCAGAATACCCCGGCGGCCATGTTTTCGACTAGTGGCACCGGCGGTCTCCCCAAAGCCGCTGTTCTGTCTCACCATGCGATTGTGTCGCATCATCGCGCCATTCAGTACGATGTGCCGTATCCTTCGAGCCGGCTGATGTCGCTCCCCATGTTCCACCTGTTCGGTGCCTTGTGGACCCATCTGTTCCCTGTTCGCTACGGCCACCCATTGTTTGTGTTGCAGCGCTTTGAAATCACCCAATTTTTGGCCACGGTCCACCAGTTCCAGATTTCTGAGACTTATTTGGTTCCTGCGATTATCCACTCCATTAACCGCTCCACTCTGCCAGTTGCGGAGTATCTCACTTCGCTGCGCTATGTCGGTGTGGCCGGTGCCCCAATTGATGGTATGACGATGACTCAATTCCGAGAGCGCCTATCGCCGCTGGCATACGCTTGTCAATTGTGGGGTATGACCGAGGTGGGAGTAATTTTCCAGACTCGATACGGTCAGCGTGGGGACCCTGGTAGCATTGGGACTCGCTTGAAGGAATATGAAGTACGGTTGGTTGACCATGAGGGCAAAATTGTCCAAAACGACGAGCGGGCTGGAGAGCTATATGTCCGGGGACCCGGTCTCCTCCTGTCCTATAAGGGCCGCGATGATGCCAAGGATGCGCAAGGGTGGTTCCGAACTGGGGATGTCGCTTACGTGAAGAATGGCTTCTACTTCATCGTGGGACGGACCAAGGAGCTCATCAAAGTGCGAGGGTATGTATATTTTTTACCTTGGTATGCTTCTCAAATTCTCACTAACCCTCAATTTCCCTCTCCAGCTGGCAGGTCGCCCCAGCTGAAATCGAGGCCGTGTTGCTCCAACACCCCGGGATCAGCGATGCTGCGGTTACCGGCATGAACCTGAAGGACGGCACTGGCGAAGTGCCCCGTGCATTCATTGTGCGCACCCGCGACTCCACCGTGCCCCGAGTGACCGCCGAAGAAGTCTACCGATACGCGCGCCAACGCCTGGCCAGCTACAAAGCCATCGACGGCGGCATCCTTTTCGTTGAAGAGATCCCACGAACCGCTAGCGGCAAGATCCAACGTTTCAAACTATCACAGATGAACTCCTACAGAGAAATGGTCGCTTCGCTATTGTCTGGATTTGAAGGAAAGAGTCACCCGGGACGATCCCTACCGTCAAGCGCCGACGTCCCACTGGGAGTCGCGCCCGAAGGCCGAGTCACAGTATGAGCTGCACCCTCAGGCGTTTTTTTTTTTTTTTTTTTTTTCGGGAAACTTATCAGGTTACTCTGGGTAGAAGGGTTTCGGCGTTCTTTCTAGGTATACATGGCGTTTGGTGGTCGTGGTATGCCTTGGGGCATTCGCGCGGTACGCATACGATTCGTTCAATTTGGTCTCGACGGGCATCTTTCCATCGCTGCCTCTTCCTCTACTTCGACAACCGGCATGAGTGGCGATAATGCGATTTTGACTTTGCCTTTTTGGCTTTTGATTTTTGATTTCATTCTTGACGACTTTTCTTTTCGATGCGGTCACATACCCCCCATTATGCACATAGGGACTTCATATTGAAGCCACGTCTCGGAATTACGAATATATGACCTTCTTTTTACTTGTTGCAAAAGCAAGTCTGAATTTTTTTATTTTTTTTTACGTCTTAGCTTCGGTAACTGTCACCTGGATAGAATTCAAAAACAGGTTATAATTCCACTCTTCTGATTTAGATAAATTAAGATCAAAAAAAAAAAAAAAACAAAAAAAAAAAGGCGATCGCCAAGTACACCGACTATCCACGCACCACACTAACACACGTGCATGGACCTGCAGCGCCCCTCACGCCTTCCCACGCGGCCCAAGTCTTCGGTTGTTGACCCGCCGAAAGCGGGACTTGGATGCGACATGGCCAGGTTCCTGCACCCTTGCAGAACACCCCTGTTCGATCACTGGCTCGGCCCGTGTCAGATTCGGACCTCGCTTATGCATCATCCGAGTCGGTGATAGCATCAGATGGCGTAAATGCCAGAGTGTTAACCGGCAAAAAGCCACTGGGCTGATCTTGACAGCTGTCAATAGTCGGCCTACCCACGGTCTTAACGATCAGTGGCTGGGCGCCGTGCTTCTAAAAGTTTCCAACCTCCCCCACCCCCGAGTTCTGCCGGCCCTGCCGTGTCCATGGAATCCTTGCGCCCATTCTTGAGGTAATGGGCCCGGACCCGCATGAAGTAGCCTTTTAATCGCCTGTAGCGGGGCGCTCACGCGTGGTTTCTTGGCCTGAGGCTCTGGACTGTGCAAGAGGGGGTTACGGAGCGAGAACACGCGAACTGTGGGCCGATCGCAGTTCGAACCTTGCTGCCAGGGAGCGGGGTTTCCAAGTAGCTACCGAGTTCTCACCGTGTGCTCACCGATACTCTTACTCAAACTTTAATTCTCGACTAGAAGCACTCTAATCAAGGCATTTGTTGTGATCCCCCACTTTGACTTTTATTTTTTTTTGTTACCCGTACTTTTTTCTCTCACTAGCTCGGAGCACTTGCCCTGATTTTGAGACTAGTTTTCGATCTAGATGCGTCAATTGAGGGGAATCCCTGATCTGGAAGCGTTAGAGAGGTGATATCGCCAACGCCACTCGGTTGGTGCTTTTCGCCTGCGACTAGGAGTCGCTAGTAGACGCCTTTCATATCGGTTTTAATCTATTCTGCATCTTCCCCGCCACTGTAGTGTAGCAATGAACGAGAGCCCAGAATCGTCCGTTGAATCACAGACGGATGCTATAGCCCGTGCAAAAGGCGGAGATAAGGGCCTAGACAAAGCTCGGATGGTCTCGACGAACGCTTGTGAGAGACCGACCGCCGGTATGAGCACATTTGAAGCCATTGAATTACGATACTCATGATGCAGGCACTCGAAGGAAGGAATATTCGTACATCGGATCTATCATATCATAATACCATAGAACAATGAGTAAATGCAATAGGCAAAGATGACGACGGGTTGCAAATCACGTGCCAATCCGGGTAAAAGTCGCACATTTTGTACCCGACATCGGATCGAAAAGTCCGAAGAGAGAGGCAAGCACCATGGACAAAGCAGCCATCGCGGCTCCTGCGGCAAAGAGGCAAAAATTATTGGCATGCCGAAGATGCCGCTCCCGAAAACAGAGAGTAAGTACAGTCAAACTTTGTAGAGTTCAAGTCCACAGTGCTCAGATCTCTCCAGTGCAGTGATCAGAGGCCCTGCGAGAATTGCACTAGTGCGGGTAAAGGTACGGAGTACATCGATTCCTCTTGCTTGCATATGATCCATCAACTCACTAGTTTAATAGAATGTCATGCGAGTGAGCGTGTTGCTCGCAAATCATATGCGCATGACGAGTGAGTATCTGACTCTTTTTGTATGACTTATCGCTCAGTTATGTTCGTAGGTATACTCGATCTCTAGAGGAGAAGATCGCTGCTCTCGAATCTAGAGCGTCAAGTGAGGCGAGAAATTCCTCTTTGGAGGGTGAGACAGCCTTAGAAGATGATGACGCCAACGAACAGGTTCGTCCTGAGCAAGAAAACACGTCTTATGTGGGCCGGAGAGAATTGGAGGATCGAGATACACAGTCTCTCGTTATTCCTACATGTGAGGCGCCAGCCATAAAATTTCCCCCGTCATTTCATTCGGTCATTTCAAACGTGTCTCCAATCGCTGAAGATCAATGTGGTCATTCAACTCTTCTAATCGGTATTTTGGCAACACTTACCAGTGGAAATCCTTGCGGGATCGCTTCTCAGCGAAGTGATCCGTGGCATGAGATCATTTTATCTTCGCCGATCGCAGAAGGAGCTCTCAAGCCGAACCCCCAAATTTTACTCCCATCTTCTGTTGAGGATGCGCTTGTTGAAATCTACCTGGAAAGGGTCAATCCGCGGTACCCGTTTCTCCATGCTGAAATGTTCTCGGGCTGGTATAAGTCATGGAAGTTACGGAGGCATTCGGAGCCTGTTGACGACCCACGGGACCGCTGGGTGGACTTCTTCGTGACGATGGTACGTAAATCAATTTGCTGGTCTGCCTTGAGAAACGATTAACGGTTCGTTACTCTAGGTACATGCTGTGAGTATACTCCTCACGCCTCAAGTGTCGCAGAACGACATTGTTACCTCTCAGGTGAGTTGAAAAATTCATACTCCGCAAAGAATGCCTTCTGATTCTGCAGTCTCTGTATAATGCTGCGATGAAATACGCACCCTTCGTCTTCAGTCAGCCCGATCCAATATTGCACGCGCAAGCTTATCTTCTGCTCACATTACACGCTCTTCATTCGCCGTCATCACAGATGATCATTAATATGGTATCTATTACCATGCGTCACTGCGCAATCAATAATTTGCATCGCGCCGAATGCGAAAGACAAGCGCGGTTCCCCGAATTTTCACGAGAACAGCAGATCCGCCGAAGGGTGTTCTGGTCCGCATACGCTTTGGATCGATTGATCAGCTGGATCTATTACATCCCAAACAACCTGCCTGATGAGCATATCACAGTTGAAGTAGGTGATTCGCCACCATGTACGAATTATGTAGATACTGACGATACTGATGATAAAGATGTTTTCAACTGTCGAGGACGCAAGTCTTCATGATGACACTGCAGATATTAGCCAACCTCCACCGGAGTTGCCTCAAAGAACACGGCTTTCTCCGACGCTACATCTCATACGATGCAGAGGTATCCAGTCTCGTATTCTCAACACGATGATGCGGTCGGACTTTCATAAGATTAACGCCACGTCGACATGGAGAGAACACATGCTGGAAGAACTTGAGTCCTGGCGCACGCATATCAAGCGGTTGAGTCATAGTACGAACCGAGGGTATCTTAGCGACCGGTGGGTAGGGATGGCCTACAACTATACCGTACTCATCCTGTTCCAACCGAATAAAACAAATGCCCTCGCTGGTTTTGGTGACCGATCAGTGCAAGCCTGCGCCCAGATTGCATTGACATTCCGAGCATTTCAAAAAGACCGGCAAACAGCTCAACTGTGGCCTGGGGTACGTCACTCATCCTAATCGATGCAAGTTGCATATAACTGACTGATTGGTGCGACTAGCTGTTGAGTCAGTTTGCCATAGGTGTCACTCTTCTCTACTGCTTTTGGGCAACCCCACCTTCATACCGTACACCCACGTACAGATTGCCAGAGGTATCGGAAGCGCTGCGGGCATGCTCGACAGCCCTGGCAATACTATCTGAACGTTGGGCACAGGCTGAACCTCTTCGGGATGTGTTCGATATACTGGCTAGAGAAATCCCGATTCATGAAACGCCAGGAATGGACCATTCATCACGATGCATGTCCACTCAATCCGTTTCTTTCATTGAATCCCAAATGCACTTTATGAGTGATGTTGTCCGAAATCGAGGAGTCCTACGAATGGTGCAGGAGATGATCTCGGAGAACTTCCCTGTGGGTCCAGCGGAGAGAATCCAGCATCAAGCTCCCGCCGTGGATCTTGAAACTGGCGGTGCTGGCGGCCATCTTTGCTCTGAGCACTGCGCTTTGTTTGACTCCACGACATTCTTTGATCCCACCAACATCATCGAGCCGGATTCGGTGACGGATGGTGGTTTGAGTGAAACGTATGGTGGCTTTGAGGATACAATGTTTCCAGCTTTTTTCGGCTCAGCTGAGTTTTAAGCAGCAATTATAGACGTAAAATGAATGTAATATCTATTGTTTCGAATCCTATGGGACAACGTCGGGAAGAACCGAATGTTCTTTCGGAGTTTCGCCCCGAAAAAACCAAGGTATCGGAACAGCAAACCCCGATGGAAAATTCTCCTGACTCATTTTAATTCAGTTTAAATATTATAACATCGTTTGATACTTCTAGCTTTCAATTATTTTCGATAACATCAAATCATACAAAATGGCCCAGAAGTTAAAGGTTGCCGTGGCGCAAGCGCGGACTCGCTCGTCCCTGGAGTCGACCCTCGCGGCCCTCAAGCAAATCACCCAACACGCCTCTTCTCAAGGTGTAAAGCTTTTGCTTTTCCCCGAAGCCTATCTGGGTGGATATCCTCGCACTTGTGATTTTGGAACTGCTGTTGGCGCACGCGCCCCTTATGGTCGTGAACAATTTCTACAGTACTTCAAGGGTGCGGTGGATCTCGGCGATACGCCTGCCGGGGCTGGTGATGACTGGGTTGACCGCAAGCTCCCAACAGCGAAGGGCTCGGATCATCGTGGAGATGGCACGAGGGAGTTCCTCGAACAGCTGTCGAAGGAAACCGGTGTCTTCATCGTCACTGGGTTGATTGAGAAGGCGGGTGGCAGCCTGTACTGCTCCGCCCTCTACGTGGACCCGTCATCTGGTGTTCTTGGAAAAAGACGCAAGGTCATGCCGGTAAGTAAAGCGTTAGCATCGAGACCACTATCTGTCTGACGAGACTGACTCTGCTTTGAAACCGGCACAGACTGCCTCTGAGCGTCTTATTTGGGGCCAGGGTTCCCCATCCAGTCTCAAGGCCGTCACCACAGAGATCGATGGTGTTAAGCTCACCGTTGCTGCTGCTATTTGCTGGGAGAACTTTATGCCTCTTCTCCGTCACAGTTTGTACTCGCAGAACGTGAACATTTATCTTGCGCCCACAGCTGACAGCCGAGACACTTGGCTGCCTCTCATGCAAACTATCGGCGGCGAAGGCCGCACGTTTGTATTGTCATGCAATCAGTGCGTCCGGTACAACGAATTGCCTTCATGGATCACAGATCATGCCAAGGATGTCTCAGAAGGTATGAAGCTCAAATTATCTTTCTTTTTCTTAATTGTCTTCTTAAATTGATGACTGAATGACTGACACATGTACAGCGGAAGGAAAGAAGTACATCTCTCGCGGAGGATCTTGCATTGTTGGTCCCCTTGGCGAAGTTCTCGCAGGCCCTATCTGGGAAAAATCTCTCGATGATGCGCTCAGCGGACTAGGAATCATTGAAGACTCTGAAAAGGATGGCTTGTTAATCCACGAGATTGATGTGGAAGATTGCCAACGTGCTAAACTTGATATGGATGTTACGGGGCACTATTCAAGAGACGACTCCTTCAAGTTGACCGTCGAGGGGCTGGATTTGAACCCTCCGCCTTTTTGAGCGAGCTACATAGCTTCAGAGCGCTGTCTTGAGAACCAATCCAAGATAAAGTTCATTAACTTTACCTACGATAGCGCATAGCGGTTGATAATTGCTTCGTATCTCAGATCGTTTACTGAATCATTCACTGGGCGCTTTATCTACTTCAACGATACAATAGCTATAAAAGGGCTTTGTTTCTTCTTTGCATTCTTCCCGTCTCTCCCTATCTTCCCTATCTTTCCTCTCAGTGACCCTCGATACATGCCCGTGTTCATAGAGTCTATTGTCTCATTGACTGAGTACTGGTGATATCCTCATCCTATAATATTCCACGGCAAGCCATACCGCCATATCCCTTGAATCATTGTTAATGCAGATTCTGAGGCAACTAACATCCGAGATCTTGTGATCATTAATCAAGTCCCTTCTTGCGGTAGAGAGGCATTGTTACTGCTCAACAAGGAGCTTTCTGGAGCTCATAAGAGGAAAAGACCGAGACAATAGCTCTTGCCTAGTTTCATTCTGATCCCTTTCCGCAAAGATTTCACCTGAGCCTATACCTAAATCTTCGCCTTCATAATTCCATTTGGACATCAAAAAGGCCTTCAAAAGTCCCCACCATCACGATTATTGTCACCTTCTGCTATCATTCCTCTGCCTCATATCCGTCGTGTTCTCTACGCCTTTCAGCTTAGCCTTCATAGCCGAAATTACACGATCTGACACGTGCGCTCTATACGCGAAGTAATTCTTGAGTCCCTGCACCTGTCTCCTCCTGTGGGTCCTCTTCGCCATGAGTGTAATTCATGTCATGCATCTGCCCTAGGTTTCAGAACAGATTAAATGCATAGTACTTCACAGCGATGCTTGATATAGGTACTTCTCTGGTCCTCATCAATCTCAAACGCCTCAGTACCTCTGCTGAAACAAAGGTCCCCGAATGTATGTCATGAGTCCCAAGATGAACTTCGAAGAAGAGAGGTCTTTCAAGCACATATGACCTTTCCCCGTGCTTGAATCGATGTTATTGATTTGTTCGTCTTGAACAAATTGTGTCTTCCTGATGATACTCCGAATGTTTTAAGGAAGAGCAATGATTTGCAGCCGCATGGGCCTTTCAACGCTTTCAGGTTCGGTTCGAAAGTGAAGATGACGAGCTTGGTCATAAGACGGTAGATTATATTGAAGAAGAATAGGTTTAGGTTATCAAGGCTTCTCTGAGCCATTAATTAGGAGGCTAGAATTACTGGCAAATGGTCACGAGACGTTATCGCGTTGTAATAAGAGCTAAGCCAATGGCGGATTGTAGAAAGACGGGAGAAACTACTTGCCACAGCTATGCATGCCTGGATATATGATCTATTCGACTACTCTACTTTATTTATTCGCCTTAACCCCTATAGTCGCTGCATAATTGTCAAAAATCGATGAAGGTGGATTTGTAGCGGAACCGATGAGCGTCGGAGCCGACCCTCAAGAATTGACCAATGAGAGCAGATGGCCCCGTGGATATATGTCCGCCGAAGCGAATTGGGATCGCGAGGCCAGCTTTGCTATTTAACTGAGCTTCCTTTCTGTTTCTGTTTCTTTTTTCTTTTTTTCTTGGATTGCTCTCACTTTCCTATCACTTACTCTCAAGTATTACGTTCTATTTCCTCCCTATTTGTCAAAATGGCCAAGCCAGTTATTGTTATCGTGCCAGGCGCCTGGCACCGGCCTCAGCATTTCAAGCGTCTGATTGAGAGACTCAGCAAGTTCGGCTATGAAGCCGTTGGCGTGACGCTTCCATCTGTTGACTCCAGTCCGCCGCATGAAACATGGGAACAGGATGCGCACGCAGTTCGCCAAGTGATCTTGGAGCACCTTGACGCCGGCAAGGATGTCATTACACTCGCTCACTCTTTTGGCGGGATTCCTATGTCTGAGGCCGTCAAGGGACTGGGAAAAGAATTCCGGAAAAAGCAAAAGCTGGAGTCCAGTGTCGTTAGACTGGTCTATATGTGTGCAATGGCGATTCCAGAAGGACAAAACTACGCCGCTCAGATCGTGCCAACTACACCCGAAGAAGAGGAAATTGAGCGACGTCGCCAGGAATTGATTGCAAAACAGGGAGCCATGAAGTTTACAGTGGTAGGTTTATCAGAAGAGAAATCGGTGACGTTATGTTGACGGCTTCTAGGATGGAGCAATGCTGCTTGACAAAGTTGGTATCCGTGATATCTTCTATAATCGGTGCGACCCTCGAGACGTGGATGAAGCAGTCGAATTGCTTGGTTCGTTCCCCACAGGCCCTCTGTCGGTTCCTGCCACCTACTCGGCCTTCCGCGATATCCCAAGCACTTATATTGTGACGCGAAACGATCAGGCTTTGCCGGAATCCTTCCAAGAAAGAATGATTGCCCAAGCAGAGGGTGCTTTCACCGTTGAACGATGTGATGAGGGACACTCGCCGTTCTTGAGCAACCCAGACTTGATAGTTCATTATGTTCGCCGGGCAGCCGGAGAAAACGTATAGAGATACAAGCTCCGCAGCATGCTGGGTGACCTTACGTACATCAATACTATATTCCAAAGAACCTCAACTTCTGAACTCGTTGACTATGTTTTCTGTAATCTATCAGCGCTAATCGAATCAGGCCTTAGAAAGGTAGACTTATCAATAGGACGCTTCGTTCGTCTCTCTCAAGATACCGGACCGGCCACCGCAAATTTTCTGCTTTAAACATTATGCAATTCTTGGACTTGCCAAACGAGCTCATTAGCTTGATATCCAATTTCCTCGATGATGAGTACGCTATCAAAAACCTTCTCCAACCATGCAGACGGCTCTTCATCCTGTTGAACCGTTCCCTCTACGAGCATGATGTGCGCGGCTCGCTTACATGCGCAACTCGCTTACACACGCAGCTAGCTTATCGACCACGTTAAACTGCAGATTGAGGGGTTATATAATGCCAGAGGACTTAATACCACTGATCAGGCTGACCGCTTTCTATATTCGACAAAAGGCCATCCAGATCCAACGAGGACCTTGCGAGACCACTGCCATTCTCACTTCAATATGTCATTTCCACCAACTCCGACCGGTGAGAGTAGCTCACACTCCGGCAACTGCCATTGCGGAGCCGTACGATTCAAGTTCACTCTATCCTCGCCCCTGCATGAGTACCCCACCACGGAGTGCAACTGCTCCATCTGCACGAAGAACGGCTTCTTGCTTGTCTACCCATTTAACAAGGACTTTACCATTGAGAAGGGCGAAGATAAGCTGAAAGAGTACCAATTTGCTCAGCGCATATCAACGCACCAATTCTGTGGGGAGTGTGGAAGCAGTTGTTTCATCCGTCTTCCGGAGGGCCACCCACCGATTACCGTGGTCAATGTAAGCCGATTGTTCCCATGTCCTTTGAAGATACTAACCTCAGAGTTCATTAGGTGCGAATGCTACAAGACTTTGATATTGAGAAATTGAACATCAGAAAGGTAGATGGAAAGTCCAGGGGGGAAGAGTACAATGTTTAGATAGCCCATAGGATCATCAAAATTGGTCTCTTTTGAACTTTGAACTGTATATGCAAGGCAAAATTCCACTCACTAATAAATTTCGTTAACAATCTATGAGAGTCTCCAAGTCGGTGGGAATAGTGAATGGTTAGATCTAATCGGAGCCTGAAAAATAAGGGCGGAAACGCTTTGAAATAATCAGGCAACAAGGCATTAACATGGAAATCCCCGGGAGGATCTCCTCGAGTAAGGCCAAGTATTTCCATTTAAGAACATGACGCACATCTAAACGTCTCCCAAGTCCGAACAACCTATTATACAGCTGGCCTGCTCTGGTGTGGTTTGATGACTATATGATGTCTGGTCATTCGACCGCCAAGGTGGCGTTCAGATCCTCCTCCCAGCCACAGCGGCGACAGAACACCAGTTGCGATCCTTGTCGACGCTCCAAACGGCGCTGCTTCTTTCCTTTAGATGGGTTAGATAACTTGAATGACCCTTGCGCACATTGCAGGCGCTTAGGCCATGCATGCACCTTCAATTTTGCTGCGTCTCAACAGAATCTGAGGCGAAAGAGACAGCGACGCAACCCACCAAGCCCCGATCGGAAAGGAGATCATGATACATCTCCACATAATGAATCATTTGATCTACCTATGGGCCTGAGAGAAGACACATCCCGAACTGGCTCCGTGGACGCACAAGATGACTTTGCAGCATGGCTCAACTTTGATGTTGAGCAGTCCTTCAGCGACAATGTTACATTACCCTTGACTGATGTAGTCAATGCAAGCGAATATACTGCATCGTGCTTAGGATTAACGGAAACGCCTGCACGTTGGAACGAACGTCAACTCGCTCTTCTGCCAGATCGCTCGCGAGGGATGCAGTCATCCCAGTATAGTGCAGATGACATTATTGGGAGCTCCATAAGAAGTCCAGTCCGTCTATTGAATTCAAAAATGGATGCTATGATGCTCGACGAACGTTCTATCCGGATATTTGACACTATCGTGACTGGATCTGCGAACAGATTCCTGGACTATGAATGCAATTTATATGCGACAGGAACTCCTTATCAGATAGAGAACTGCAGATCAGAGAGCTCACAAGGATCTTCGCCCGCAAATCTGAAAGCCCTGAGGGATGAGCCAGCCACGGAATCTGCGATCGCATCACCACAATCAGCCAAACTTTCGCTCATTCCCACACAAGACTCAAGAGAAGTACCAACGCGTGCTCTTGTTCCTCCAAGAGATGATGACTTCAAAATGACTTTACTCGGGTGCGCTCTGTTCTTGGATCATTTTGGGGATTTATATGGTAATCGGTTGAGCCCAACTGATCGAAAGAAATCAGACGCGGCCTTGAAATCAACGTTTCGAGCATTTTCGTTTCAATGGTTATCAAATGATAAGACCAGAGGGAGACAAACGGCACGGAGTACCTCTCTAGATGTCTACACTGATGCGTGGCATCGGGCACGATCATCACTCAATGACACGCACTCGGTTCGTTCGTTCCGCGTTGTCTTTGCTTCCTTCATGTTCAACGGCATCGCCACACCGATATCAGCACGTCCAAATTCTACAGCTCATGAGTTTTTGGACACAGCATTAGAAAGGCTTGGTGAACTTGACGGACTTGTCAAGCAATACTGTACAACTTTGGGACCTTTCTCCAAATATGCAGCCCTTTTAGAGGCCAGCTTAAGTATTGTCTGTTGGTGTGGTTACCTCCGTGGTACTGGAGCAGCTCTCTTTGGTGATCATCCGTGCAAGTTGCCCTACACTCTTGTCCATTCGAATAGTAAGTTGGCTCCTGGATCTCAATCACGGCATAAAACAACCAAGAGAACCTGATATTTATTAGCATTCACAGGCGACGACTTGACTCCAAATTATTCAATCTATCGCAACTTGGAAGATTTGGATTTGAATATCCCAGCCATATGTCGAAAAGCATCAGCAGAAGCATTCTGCATTTGGAGACAGATGATAAACGTAAAAAGCACTCTGCCCAGAGCCCCCAATCCTAACTTTTGTCCTACTTCCGATCTACTCGAGTCAATCACCAATACGCTGGTCGCTATTGGAAAGTTTGATAAGTGCTTCAGGCATTTCTTGAACAATTGCAGAGAAAACTTTCATAGCCTATCTATTCCATCGAGAATTGCTTCAGGTAAGTGCAAATTGTTTTAGGCTTGTGATATTAATTCACTAATAGCGGCTGCCAGTATCTCTCATGGCTTTCTGGTACCTTGGAGTCCTCATCTTTGCTGAAATACTACAACCGCTGAGAACCACCGCTATCCCAGACCTTTCCTCGAAAATGAAAACTTGCCGAAGAGATGCAACATCTTCAATGGCAGACATCATTGAATGCGTGTTGCAACTACCCGTCGAAGAGGCTTTCAATCTCCAAAATGGATTGAGTGCCGATGTTCCCCTCATCGCCTACCACGTCACTCCGAGCTTAATGGTCACTGCCTTGGAGAAGGCCGTGGAGCATATTATTGACATGCAAACTTCTTATAACCATAATGAGGAGCCAGTTGGCACTTCATGGGATTCTCGTGAGGAGACATGGACGCGACAAATTGACTACCTAATGAAAGGACTTCTTTCTCTGGAAGTAACCGTTGGTGGATCTCAGACCGCCGGTGTCGCTTTTCAATCGCTCATGCGAAAACACGGTGATATTATTTCGGAATGTTGGACCTCAGACTTTGAGACATAGTTGCTGCGGACTGTTGTACAAAAATAATGAATAACGAACAAAGAATCTTCTCTCTCACTCTCCGTCTAGGTAGACCCAAACAAAGTTACAAGAACATGTCATACCAAGTAAGCCGTAGCCGTAGACGAAAAGTGAAAGAAAAGAAAGAAGAATTGTCTCGGCTAGGAGTCACAACTAATTGAAAAGGGGTTCGTAAGTTGCTCATATGGGTTGGACCGTGGTACGGCTAGGAGGCCCCGCTTGGGATATCGAGAGTATGTTCTGAAATTCCGTATCTGATCGTATTGATCATTTTCCTTCCTTCTCTCACAAGCCTTTGTACAGTGAAAATCGAAAACAGGTTCGCCCGTGGACACTCACAGGTCGTTTCTCGGTCTGTACTCAAACCCACACTAATCCGTAATAGGTTACCATAGAAACAACCCCTCATATGCCAAGTTCGTATCTGGATCCAGCGTCAAATGAGTCATTATTAATTAAAATACGCTTCTTAAACGTAGCCGGGAACATAACCTGGTGAGAAACTTCATCGCCTTCATACAAAACTATTCTCATTGTAACCGAATTTACGATTCAGCATACCCATTTTAAATCAAGCTTTACTCTACCAGAGCCAGAATGTCCGAGCTTATTGATAGCCACCAGATCAAGGACGATATAAAGAAAGCTTATGATGACATTGCCGACGTCTACCTGGAATGGACACAACCTTCTCATGAAGTACGTCTTTCCTATCTCGAGACCGTGCTTCGATCCCTTGATTCCGCAAAGGAGAGGGGAAAATCGAACGTCCTTGAGCTAGGTTGCGGCGCCGGAGTACCGTGTACTCAGCTTTTGGCATCCCGTGAATATATCAGCGTCACCGCGAATGACATATCCGAGACTCAAATTGCTATGGCAAAAGAGCGACTGCCTGAGTCCGTGATCCTAATTCAAGGAGACATGATGGAATTAGACTTCAGCCAGGAACATTTCGATGCTGTGACGGCTATGTATTCCATTTTTCATCTGCCGCGCAACGAACAAACTATGATTCTTCGTCGCATTTTTGATTGGCTGAAACCCGGAGGACAGCTTCTCGCGAATTTCCCTGAGACTGGATTTGCGAGCTCTTCTGATCAATCTTGGCTAGGTGGCACAAAGGGGGCAATGCACTGGAGCGGTTGGGGTAGAGAAGAGATGGGTAGACTTCTCACAGAAATTGGCTTTAAGATGGAGATTGATGAGGTTGTCGTGGATTCTGAAGAAACTAACGGAATTCCACGCAACGTCGCGTTTCATTGGATCTTAGCCAAGAAATGAGTAGTCTTGCGATTCTAGCTTCTCTAAAATTGTGGCGCTGAAGCAAAGTATGAATGCCTGGGAGATTTTTGTTTTCAAGCTCTACTGTATCTGCATTTGGGGTTTTTTTTATTTCACTATAACGGCTTTGACGTCGGATTCGTCCAAGATTCGTCAAAAAAACCGTTCAAGTAAATTCCTTTGCCTTTAAAAGACCCATCGTTGATTTTCTTTCATGACCAGCGCATCTTGTGCTGTAAAAGCTCTCGCTTAAGTCGACTGAGTCCTGCTAAAATTGGGCAATTCGCTATGCTCTAAGAAATTTGCCATAGAGCTGAATAGACCATTCAGATAGAGAACAAAAACAAGAATTTTCAGAAATCATTACCCAGCGCCTTTCTTGGTAATGTATTTTCCCTTGCAAATTTGAATTTATCTTAGAGACCCTACCCTTAAGTGTTATGAATCTGCATGCGAGCGTAAAGTCGATTCTCAACCTGACGTACGATCCAAGTTATAGTGAAATACAGAACAAGAACATAGAAACTTCATAATAATACTCCTATCGATACAGATAAATCAATGTGCACGAATTGTATCTTAAGCTGCCATCTACCGTTACCGTAGCTTACACCCCACGCTCCACACCGAAGGCTCCGAATCGGGGCTCCACTCATCTCCGAACCCGCGCCTGCCTTTCCCAGTCCATCGATCCATGTGCTCGCCGAACTATGGGCTATGTTTCCATACACACCTGAAAGTATAGGCAATCGCCGCTCGGCATGCGATAGATGTCGTCGCCACAAGCTCCGCTGCGAGCGCACGGGAACATCCAGTTGCCGCCGGTGCGAAAGAGCCAGCGCGAATTGCGCTACTAGCCCTGCTATGAAGTCTGGTCGTCCCATACTGCCAGATGACCCCTGTCAACAGTATCTTCAGCCTCCGGAGCAGCATGATGTTATGAACCCGCATATTACTATGGACCCGGCAATTTCGCCGCTCGCTTCTATTGATACACCTCTTGAGATAGCGACACATGAGGCGGGTTCGGCTGTGCCGCGCCTCATCTCCCTGGCCACACTTGATGATTTTAACGATATTTGGTCTCGTGGCTTCGACCAGAACCCGGAAATGGCCAATATGGATGCTCTCATGCAATATTATTCACCCTTAAAACAACAAAATGACGGCTTGGGTACACTGGCTGACCTGCAGACAAATATCCTGACCGATCTGGAACTAGTAAAGTCCTGTCGGACGGCTGATAAATGCCCTCAGGCTCATAATCCTGAAAGCTCAATTACAGGGCAAAACATTCTGATAGGCCGCGTTTTGGATCACTCCACGAATCTCATTGGTGTCTTGAATTGTTTTCGCTCGGTCGGTGCAGACCCGGCCTCACCAGAGCTATCTTGTGATACTCCTACTATGTTCACAATTCTATCCTGCTATGTCTGCCTCGTCCGCATATACCGAACCATTTTCTCCTGTATTCTTGACTCTATGCCTTTCCTACTGGGGATCCAGGAACCCGTACCGCAGTTGTTCCCAGGAATGCACCTGGGAGGATGGAAACTCGAGGCCCGGCTGGACCTTCAAGTTCAGATTCTGGTTCAAATTAGTGAAGACATGCTGGGAAGAATTGAGTCGGCATTTGGTCTCTCTGAAGACTCCTCTGCGCCGGCCAAGGATAGCAAGACAGCCAGAATCTTACGCATGATGCTTGAAGAAGAGGCCAGTGAGCAACCTCCGCTCTATGAACGCCGAGGCGAATGCGGCACGCTAAGGGATATCATGGCCAGCGTCAAGCATGCGGGCCGTGGGAGCTAAAAGGGCTGATTATCAAGCCTCCGAAGCCGGTCGGAACGTTTTTCGGACATGGTTATGAGGAGAGTATAAAGGCTCCTTGCAGCCACCGATCAGCTGAACACACACTCTATTCTTTCCAGTCTCAAAGGAGATACATTTGATTTGATACAATCAACATGGCCTCCTCGCCACCTGAGGGCCAAGGCCTCAGCATGATGTGGTGGGCTGCTCGCAATCCACCCGCCAACCCTACAACATCCTTCGCTGGAAAAACCATCCTTATCACTGGAGCCAATGTCGGACTTGGATTCGAAGCTGCCCTCAAGTTCGCCACGTTAGGTGCCTCCCGTCTGATACTCGGAGTGCGCTCCCTCAACAAAGGGAACATAGCCCGAGAGAAGATAAGCCAGCAAACCGGATACAATGCAAACCGAATCGTACTCTACGAATTGGATATGAGCGTCTTCTCATCTGTCACAAAATTCACAGAGCAAGTTGCCAAGGAATCTCGCCTTGACATTGCGATTCTCAACGCGGGGCTTGTCGCTCCATCATACAAGCTTAGTCCGGAGGGTTATGAGATGTCTATCCAGGTCATGGTTCTCTCAACGGCACTACTCGCTATCCTACTCCTGCCACAACTTCAAAGATCCGCACAGATAGCCGGCACTCCCGCCCATATGGAGTTTGCTGGCAGTATCGCCGGTCGTGGTATCAAATCTGATACTTTCTCGACAAATACCAAGATTCTCGACCATGTCAACCAAATATCTTTCTTCGGTGCTCAAAGGCAATACGGCGTGGCTAAACTTCTGTTACTTTACGTCTTGGATGGCCTTGTGGACTCACCTTCGAAGGGTAGATATCCCGGCGTTATTATCAATGCAGTCTGCCCTGGGCCTTGTCGAACAAGCTTAGGCCGGGACTTTCCTACTTTGTTGAAGATTCCAATGGCCGCGTTCCACGCCATGTTTGCTCGTACGGCCGAAGAAGGGGCTAGGAGCTATGTGAGCGGAGTTGCTATGGGTCTCGAGAGCCATGGCAAATTCTGGAGTGCAGACATGTTTTTTGAGTATGTTGTCTATCACAATCTGTGTGAGAGACCCCGACTAACGAGACACACAGTAAGGGCGAGATGGTTACTAGTTCACAGGGCAAAGAGCTGCAGCAGAAGGTATGGCAAGAGATTCTCGACGTGCTGCGGCCGCACATCCACGAAGAAAATCCGATTATTGCGTGATTCCATAAACATCAATATCCAATAGCTATGCAATGAATTGAAGGCTTATCCCCGAAAAAAGAAAGAAGAAAAACATCTTGAAACATAAAGTTATGCGTATTTGAGAAACACATTTTTTTGCAGTCATGATACTCAAACAATCCCGTAGCCCATCCACCATACGCCCCAAGCCAGAGGTGCCATTGCCCCGATCACAGCCGCGCCAAAAGACATCTCCAAAATACACCAAATCCACATTGTTCCAAATGCAGGCGCCTTCTTCATAACAGCGTAATACGGCTCCCCATTCGTGATACTTATGAGATGAGCACCAAGGAACAACGCAGCTGGAAGAAACAAGATTGTCCGTAGTCCAGGCGGGAAGATCAAGCGGCGGAGGAAAGAGAATGTGAACTTGTCGGGCGTGAGTGGAAGAATAGATATGGGCTGCGGGGCGAGGAAGCTTAGACGTCTGCTTAGTCTGAAGCGGATAATGTGACCGTGGGCGAAGTGGATGAGGAATGTCAGAAAAGGGAGGGTGATTGTGATTGATTCTTGAAGGAGGCGTGGGAGGTCGATGCGTTCGGCATATTGGTGGGCGGCGACGTAGGCAAGTGTTAGGTGGAGGGTTGTGAGGGGGATTGAGAGTAGGACTGTGTCGACGAATGGAGGAAGGGGCTTGTCTGGTTCGTCTCCGGCTGATTCTGTGTCTTCGTTGGAGATCTTCTTTGCGCCCATATTCATGGGTACTTGATCGCTGTCCTCGGCGTCCACGACATTCCCAGACGCGTCGACGGTCACGAATCGTGTCCCTTTTGACTTTAATCTTTGCCCTTTGGCAAGTTCCGCATCTAATGCAGCCTGTGAGACGGCCTGTTGTCCTAAAAGTTCATTTTGGCGCTCCGCGATGATGTCGTACAATGTTCGCTCGCCTTTCTTTGCGGTTTGGTCGCGTGGTGGGGTCGCGAGGGGGATCGAAGGCTCGGGCGATGTGGAAGTTGCAGCTGCAGCACGACGCTGCTTTCGATTTCTTGGAGCGTCCATGTGTAGTTTTCCCTGGGTGGTTTGCGGGATTGGAGATGTGGATTAGCTGGCGGGTAACAAAAAATGCGGATCAGGGTTTCGGCGATAAATCGGGGTTAAGGTTCACGGGATCAACACCCGCTACGGGAAACAAGTAAATACCAGTCCTACTATAGGATTTTATTATTCTATCATCGAAGAAATATCAATTCGTGTTTCTAAACCAAATTATACCGCTCAGACTGTAAGTCACATCTTAAAGAAATGATTTTTCCACATCGCCACCTTACATTGTCTTTTTAATTGCATGTCACTTCAATGGACTATCTTATCCGGCCTGGTACAGAGCGGGTCCAGCAACAACGTGTGGATTGATCATGCTCAGATTGAACGGTGTTAAGAATGGGTCAGAGTCGGTAATGGCGATGAACATAGTGCCGTTAATTGCAGGATCACCTTGGAAGGTCTCCAAGTCAGGTTGGGTGGTATAGCCACGGTTACCGGAAACGTTCAAAGGCGTGTAGGTCACGTTCAGCTGCGACACCCAAGCGACATATTTGGGACTACCAGCCTGGGTAGATGTCACATAACTGTTGTTTGGGCCGACCGGCTTGCCAGGGGTCCCCCACTGCAGAGCGACCGAGCGGCCAGGGAACGAGAGAGGTGTGTATTTGTTAGGTGTAACAAGTGCTCCAGCGTCACTGTTCCAGCTGGTAGAGTTTGATGAACCGGCCTTTGCCACGTTCACGCCAGGTCCCAGAGTGTTGCCTCCTCCCATAGTACTGTTCAACCCAGTTGCGTTGCTCGCGTTGCTCGCGTTGGCACCAGAAAGACTAGGCTGGTTGAGAATTCTCAAGGCAGGGAAATTTTGCCACACCAGTCGAGTCTGGTTGATGGGACATGAACTGATATACGGAGCCAGCAAAGTCCATGCCCAGGACTGTGGCACACCGACCTCAAACCACACTGGCATAGGGAAGAGACCTTGGAATTGGCGGAAAATCATCTGCTGCCGCGCCTCGGTAGTGATGGATTGAGTAAGAAGTGTAGCAGCCTCTCTCGAATCTAAGTGGGCCAAGAACCCATAGACACCGGATTCGCCGAAGCGGGTCAACTTCTGGCAGAAATCGAGGAACTCCTTAACATTGGTGTACGGATAGTTGTACTGGCACTGTTGAGGAGCTTGGGCACCGAGCATGTTGCTAATCAGGGTCGCGTGTCCAACCTCTTGCTCGGCCATAAAAGCAATTAGGTCACGGTCGGCTGCGTTTAGACCAGCGTCCTTGAAATCTTGAGCAGAAAAGCGTCTCAGTCCATCATTGAACAGGTCCAGCTCAATCCATTCTTGATATAGAGCGAGAGCCTATCGCTTTGAGTCAGCACTGACGAACATCTTCACAAACAGTCAGGAGATATGTACCAAAGACTCATAATCAAAGTCACTCTTGGCGTTATAAACAGGAATTGATCCATTGGTGCCAACTCCTCCCGCTGGGACATACGGAGCAGGTTCAGCATTGTGAAGCTTGCCATCAGCGTGGTAGGTCGTTTCCGCGGGGGAAATCGCGGATGCCTCAACGATACCCGTTCCAACTGAGGTGGCAGTCAGAGCTCCAGTAGTCGATGGGGTTCCAGAGAATGGGGTGTGCGGCTGGGAAGTAGGAAAGGTATGGGTAGGTGGCCCCGAGATGGTAGAGACCGATGTCGAAAAGGGAGGGGCCTGACGAGCATCCACTGGAGATGCAGAGGCGAAGGGCAACGAGGCCAGCGCGCTCAGTATCAACACATAGTTCCACGTCATATCCACTAGAATTGCACAAAGCTCTTCCTTTTGGGACTCCCCTCGCTATAGAAGGACCTTGGGAGTTGGAGGAACGGTGTAAGAATCAGTACTTCCTGAGTCAAGGCGGCGGCTATCTAAAGCCAATATATAGTTTCCAGCATCAGGACTCGTCATCTTGGACCAAATTGGGGGTCGATGCAAGTCTTCATCGACCCAGTCAATCAGGTTTCGAGACCCAGAGGAAACCTGGCATCGAAGGCCCTCCGATGGCATGAAAGTAGTGCAGTCCCATTGTTTCAAGAATTATGCGGCAAAATATGAGCTCAATTAGTCAAATGGACGCTTCGAGACAACCTCTACGGCAAAAAGGTCAGAATCTCATATCCATCCCTGCAGCTTCCACATAGAGAAGGTGACCGACCATGATTGTTGAGGTCAGCGTCCGGTCACCATGATACGTGAGCGGACAATATTCCGATCCGGTCAAATGGCCGCATCGTAGTTTCGTTAAGCTTTTACTTTCGAGCTATCCCGTCGTTCGAGGTCGGGCAGCCAACGATGCTGTCCCGTGTTGGATCCACCAAGCAGGTAGCCCTTGACGTGGCGTAAGGTGAATAGACCCAGGTGCCTGCGGGATCTTGCGGATCTTGTTGCTGAATCTTGTTTCACGACTCGGATATGGATGGACCGAGCCAACTGATCATAATGCGGAGTCGCTCCCAACACGCTACTATTTAGTAGTGGTATTCCTCTGGGCCGATGGACTTGCCGATCAAGTACCGAGATCGTCATTATTTTCACACTGCCCTGTTCTGTGATCTGCGTCAAGGCAATTTCTTGTTTACATATAACAGGGCTTGTTTTCGTTTCTCTCGTGCCTTAAACGTGGATCATTGTGATGATGACGTCGGATATTATCCATGGTTCAGAAAGAGGAGACGAGCTGAGAATTGGAGAAGGGAATCATCTCCGCCATCGGATATATCGGATGATTTTACCCATGAGCAAAGGATGAGTTAAATGAGGATGTTCCGGTGGAATATCAACTTGAGAATAAGCCGAGACAAGTGCACAGCCCACTTGAAGGGGCCATGCTTGGCTGTAGAAACATGGATTTTTTTTTGAGTTCACTCTATATCCGTAAATTGGAGTGGTTTTCTTCCCATACTTCTCGGCCGAGCCAGCTCTGGCTCGCCCTTCTAGCTGATACGGGATACTCCAACCCTCATACATCTGTATAGAATCTTCGGGGCAGGTGTGTTTGACTGTTCTCCCCGAGACCTAGGTAAATACCATTTCAATAGACTGTCTACTAAGAATGTCCAATTTGCTTCAGGCCACCGAGGTAAGGACCGGGAGTATGATGTATCCACTGCGGGCAATGCGGCCTTCCAAGTGGAGAATGAGTCAAGATGCGGGGAAGAGCCAGCGTGAGCGCCTTCCTTGTCCAACCTGACTCTCATCACTCATCTCAACTAGCACATCATGTCGAACCTGCAGGCTTCAAATCTGTTCTCTGTACAGGACCGCGTAGCGGTGATCACCGGTGGAGGCAGCGGTAAGAACAAACCCCCATACATCGCGTGAACTGTGGCTGATCGTGAAACTCAGGACTGGGTCGCATCATAGCTCGTGCCCTGGCAATCAACGGTGCCTCGAAGGTTTTTGTACTCGGCCGACGTGAAGACGCTCTTCACGAGACTGTCGCTCAGGCCCCGTCCGGCATCGTCGTTCCCGTTCAATGCGATGTCACTTCGAAAGAGTCGCTTGAGTCGGCATACTCCGCGGTCGCAGCACAAACAACCCATGTGGATATCTTGTTTGCCAACAGCGGCATCATGGGCCCGATGATGCGTCAGACTCCAAAGCCAGATGGATCCCTTCCTACTCTGTCGGAAGTCCGTGACGAGTTGTTTTCTATCCCGATGGAGGAATTCACGAAGGTCATGGATGTCAATGTGACCGGGGCTTACTACACTGCTCTAGCATTCCTGCCTCTTCTAGAAGCTGCCAATAAGAGACGCCCCGCTCCACAGGTCGGTGTCATGACTCTCCCGACTGCTCAGGTGATTTTCACCAGCTCCATTGCGGGTTACAACCGCAAGGTGCCTTTCAGCTATGCATACAATGTGTCTAAGGCTGCAGTCACGCATGTGGTCAAGACACTATCAACTAACCTCTTGCCTTATCATATCCGAGTCAATGGTATTGCCCCTGGATTGTACTATTCCGACATGGCAAGCCAGATCTTCGAAGACGGTGGTGTCGCGGGTGGCGGCGTCTCGGAAGGCTCACATCCTGCTGCCTTGGTCCCTCTGACGCGCAGTGGAAGTGAAGAGGATTTTGCTGGTCTGGTTATCTGGATGTCTAGTGCCTCGGGTGGTTATGTCAACGGTGCTATGATGCTTACAGATGGTGGCCGTATTAGCTCGTTGCCATCGACCTACTGAGCAATTACAAGGCTTGTAAATGGAATGATGCTAGATAAGATAGGATAGATGCACATAGATTACCGGTCATCGGCGAACGCATATTCCTTACATGCAGCAAGCATTTAAGAAAAGCGACTCTAAATACAATTTCAATGGCGGGGTATAACTTGGAAATAGCCCAAGGACCACTGTGGATAATGACGCCTCGCGAGTTATATCGTCGCTGTCAACCGTTGAACTAGATAGTCTCCAGCGGTGATTTCGGAGTATTTCTTGGTCACCTGGATATCATTCCCCCAGGTCCCGGGCAGTGCTTCGATGACCTTATTGTTGTTGGGGTTGCAGAAGTAAGCGATACTGTATCTGGCAGGGTATGTTTCTGGTGAACCACCCTCGGTTTTGTGGCTTGTTGGTCTGGGAGGCTCAACGACTCGGTGACGAGTGCTTTTAATGGTGTCATTTGACCAGCGCGCCAGAAGGTCGCCGGCATTTACAACAATCGTATCTGCGATAGGCGTCGCATCCACAAAGGTTCCCTTAGGGCTGCGCACCTGCAGACCACCATGCTGATCTTGGAAAAGTAGCGTTACTGAGCCATAGTCGCTATGTTCCCCAGCACGAACCTGGTTCGGGTTATTCTGGAAGGTCTGTTTGTGCACAGCGGGATAGTGCAGCAAACGAAGATTGTTATCCCCTTCATTCACAAACTCGTCGAAGAAGTGTTCTGGCAAATTCATGCCCAATGCGATCGCGCTCATGACCTGTCTGTGCAATTCCTTGCACATCTCGAAGAAGGAAAGCATGGTTTCTTTAAAGTCTTTCCCTTCGTCATCAAGATGATCTGGCCATTGGTTTGCCAAGCCATCGACGCCTTCACGACCAATTTCCATGGTCTCTTTGAGATCGGGTATAGAGCCCCGGCGAGTGTCGATCTCTTGTGTCTCATCGAGGGTAGCCAGCTTCTCCCGCCCGATAGCCACGTAACCACGGTTCGACTGTGGGGTCGTCCAGCCTAAGCTGTCCTTCTGACTCTGGGGTCGGCCGAAGAAGCGGCTCGATGAGGCGAAGACTCGAGACACTACGGAAGGCGGGATGCCATGTGCCTTGAGGAATAGGAACCCGGAGGTCTTGAATGCGTTGGTGATGGAGAGTGCGACGGCATGCTTATCGGAGGGAGTTCCGGAGGAAAATGGGCCGAAATCGATGATCTATACACTCTGTTAATTAGTTTCGATTTTTTTTAAAACAAAAAAGAACCCAGGATGAAGTAGCAGAGGTGGGACTCACAGGTATCACCAAGTCGTCCTTCTCCACAGCGGTGGCGGGTGGTTGGAGCTCTTGAGCTGTGTTTGCCATCCTGTGCCGAAACTAGCTCACGCTTAGTTGGTTTGATGCTAGCGATTTCAAATATTGCTTGAGGTAGATCTGAAGCAAGAGAGGGTCAAAGACAGAGTCAAATGGAAGTTGAAGAGGTGAAAGGCTGCGGTAGAAGAGGGGAAGCAGAGCATTTAGATAAGGCGTGGGAGATAAGCTCAAGCTCAGGCCTCGGTGCCTCATGAGCCAGAGCTAAAAGGAACTTCTTTGTGTTCAACGCTTATCTTGATGTCCAGATATAGCAGTTAATGTTCGTTCTGAAAAGCACTGCTATTCGACATCTGAATACTGTACCTTTCAAACACAAACTCCCTGTTAGCGTTCACCCACTGTTTCTCGGCCCGCATCGGGACACACCCTAGCACACACCTTATATGGATAGACTGTTAATCACAGTCATCTGGGAACATAATCCTCCAACTTTGGAAATAATTTACCTCGTTTTTCCTCCGTGTCCCTAAGGTAGCTATATCCTTTTATAGCGCCATCTTAGAACAGAGGGAACACTCAGTATAGGATGGGGGCAAGGCGTCTTTTTCATATGCATTTCGCCGTGATCTGATGCAACATTTGCACTCTTCAAAGTTCGAATGGCTCGGTTACATTTATTATCGAAGCTAGTCGCGCAGAGCTTGGGACGCCTTGAAGAAGTCTAGATGTGAAAAGGGCGAATCTTAGCGACCTAAGGAGCTCGCCTATACCAATGGCTCGCTCTAGGCCCAATCGATTCATCAGATTTCCTAGACGATTACTAAAAATGGAAAGTTTCCGCTCTTTTTTCCTAATATAGGAACTGGTCCAATTTCACTTTAAATGGCACTAAGCGGAAAAACAGCGAACCATAGATTGCTCAGCCCCACCGCTTCAACTAGAGGATTGGACGCCACAAGGTGGACAGCTTTCGGATGTCGAAACTCCTTCTCTATCAAGCCATCAAGCCCCGCGAGACTAATCGCCCTTTTTTGGCTCTGAATAGCGGTCAAAGGATTGAATTTCCTCGGGTTCTCCGCCGTGGGACAAAATTGCTCGTCGACTCCATTCGTTCAATAGAGAATGGAGACTGTGTATGAAAGTGATTGTCCGTAAGTAGAAGTAGACAATTTACGACAGTCCGATTCGCACATTTCGATACGAACGCCACAAAGGTCTGCTTTATTCAAAATAACAATAGCCTGACATGCGGGTCTTCCTTGCACATATCAGCCTTTGAGAAATTTTTGGAGGCTATATATTTCCGGGGACCCGTGCAGTGGCCTGCTACCTTTTATGTTTAAATTCATTTACAGGCTTCTCCGCAATGGACCTGACTCCTGCTGATAACACTTTTCAGAAGTTGCTACAGCAGCTACAACAGTCGAATGTCGACTTGGACAATCTAGCACGTTCGGACCTCTTCAAACCAGCCCCAAGGTCTTTCAGTCTCGAAAGATCTACAAGGCTGAGTTACCAGAGAGCTAAGGCTGTTGCCAATGCATACAGTAAATATTACAATCTCCCTCCGCAACTATATCTGGGTACTGAACTTAACAGGCTTGACCCTCAAGGATATTCTTTACCTCACACCCAAATTCTGGAAGTTGCACAGAGAGCCCATAGTGGCGCTTGATGGCGCTGCCTTCACTCTTCTCAGCATTCAGACCAATCTTTTCGTCGGAACGCTGGGCTCTTTTGCTTTGAAGCGCCCAGAGCTCCAATCAATCATTCAATCTGCTTTGGATTTCGATATATCGTGGGTGTATCTTTTCGTTCGTTCTAAAAATACCCGATTTTGGATATGAGCTTTCCAAAGCTGTTAGCTAACAGCTGGTTGGATGAAGTGCACAGTTTATGTTAACTGAAGTTGGTCATGGATTGGATGCACGAAATTTACAGACAACTGCAACAATTTTGCCCAATGGTGACATCGACCTTCATACCCCTTCCCCGAATGATGCAAAGTAAATTGAGACTTGTCGGCCCTTGCTTTTGTTAGTTCGAATGAACTGATATCCAAACAGAGTGATGCCACCAACAACCCCGAGGTGTAGCCTTCCAGTCGTTGCTATTGTGATGGCTCGTCTCGTCAGCGAAGGCCAGGACTTTGGCATCAGACCAATTCTAGTCCAACTCGGAAATGGCAAAGAGATGTGCAAGGGCGTTGTATCCAAGTGAGAATCCTAATGTTCTCTAGTGTATCGCCGCATTACGATGGCTAACCCACAAATCAATGGAGAGCTTTGCCAAACAGGGCCGGTGCTCACCCCGTGGACCATGCCGTGACACACTTTTCTCACGTTCATCTCCCCAGATCTGCCCTGCTTGGTAGCATGGAGAAGCAGGACAAGCGTGATCATTTCTTGTCTTTGATTCATCGTGTTGCAGTGGGAACTTTGTTCCTCTCAGCCTGCGTCATCCCATCACTGAAACTTGTTACCTTCAACGCTGCGGCTTTTAGTCAAAACAGAGTTGTCAGCAATGCCGATGGTAGCCCGGTGGCAGTAATTGAGTTCAGGACTCAGCATCTACCCATTCTTCATTCTGTCGCTCAATACAGTGTGCTAGATGCATTTCTGGTATCTGCGGCCATAATTTTCCGAGATCATACTCTAGATCCCAGAGTGCGCCACGGTATAGCCACCGCCTTCAAAGCGGCAGCACTTGGCCATTTCAGTAAAAGTGTTCTGGCTATGAACGAGCGTTGTGGGTGGCAGGGACAATTTGAGCATAATCAAGTGCTTCAGCTAGAGGCAAGATCTCAGGTTTCGTTTCTTTTATTATACATTGGCTAATTTTCCCGTGCAGCTGGAAATGCGCGGCGTCTCAACGGCCGAAGGCGATATCAGGGTTCTTGCCATCCGTACGCACTTCGATTTAAAATATATTGGAAGATCAAAACATTGACAAGAAATTCTTAGGACTCGTATCTGAGCTGCTGATTGATCGGTATCAAATGCCGCCGCCAAAATACCCCAACAGTCCTATCGCACGTCACGAGGCCTCCGTGTTCGCTGAAGCGCGAAGAACTCTTCAACTGCAAGCCAAGGGGGCTCACCGAAGTCAACAGTTCAATCGCAATATCCTACCACTTGCTCTTCCGCTGGTTGAAGCTGTCGGTCACAGAATGGCCTACGAGGCTGCTATGGATGCCAATATCGACCCGAGGTTGCTGGCCCTTTACGAGAGTGGAGTTTTCAAGGAAGACTCGGCGTGGTATGTCGAAATAGGTGGACTCAGTAGAGAAATTCAACGCGAAATGGAAGCTCAAGCAGCGGATGACTTGCTTCCCGACCTGAAAGATCTCTTGTTGGCTTCTGGTGTCGAGCCATACAGCAATGCCCCAATGGCTTCGAAGGCTGCATGGGATACTTTCATTTCAAGGTTGGAAATGTTCTCGGGGGATGCACCTTCTGACCTTCTGTCTAAGCTATGATGTCCAGAAAATGCACATTTTCTAGGTCGTATCGCTGAAAAGCTCCTGGATCATAAACGAGAGAGAGACTGAATTGACCCCCCCTCCCCCCCCCCCCCAACCGGAGTTAAAGGATCTTATCTCCACCCATGGCTGAACACACTCTATATTTGCATTATACCGACTCAAAGTTCAGGTTCATTTTCGGAGTTAATTTCGGACATGAATTAGAATATCTGAGCATCGAATTATCACATTCAGTATTTAAGCAACACTGAGGAATGCCTTCTGAGCCTTTTGTAGTATTCCAAAATAACAACATTTTATCACCTTCCGCGTCATGGCTACACAAATAACTCCTGGGCTTCCTCAGACATACCGGGCACTCCTTCTCAAATCTAGGAGAGACCCTTATGATATTGAAGTGGTGACCAAGCCTATGCCGCAAGCCGGACCAGGCAGTGTTGTTATCCGCATCCTCGGGGCGAATGTCTTAACGTACAGCGACCAAATCTACACCGGTAGTCGACCTTACCCTTACCCGACACCGTTTACACCAGGCTGTTCTGCTATTGGTCGTGTTTCCAGCGTTGGCCCAGACGCAACGACACTTCAGCCAAGCCAGCTGGTCTTCTTCGACCTTTTCATTCGTGGCCGGGACAATCCAGATTCACTGATTCTCTCCGGCGTTTTCGATGGCCTAAATGCTGCAAGTAAGAAGCTGATGGCCGGCGAATGGCGCAACAGTACATATGCCGAGTACGCCAAGGTTCCGTTGGAGAACTGCTTCCCATTGAATGAAAGTTTGTTGCTGGGAAGTCCGGCCGATGGAGGTCTAGGTTATAGAGAGACAGATTTGCTCTACCTGAGCAAACTAGCGGTGGTATTTGGAGGGCTCAGGGATGTTGATGTTAGAGCCGGTGAGACAGTCGTGATAGTGCCAGCGACGGGGGCGTTTGGTGGTGCAGCTGTGCTTGCAGCCCTGGCAATGGGCGCACAGGTCATCGCAATGGGGCGAAATCAGGAAGCCTTGGAAAAGGTGAAAGCGCTTGATCGAAATGGCAGAATCCGAACAGTTCACAATAGCGGTGATGTCGAGGTAGACATTCAAGAGTTGACCAAATACGGTCCGTTGGACGTTTTCTTCGACATATCCCCGGAAAATGCATCAAATAGCACGCATTTCAAGAGTTGCATTCGTTCCCTGCGTCGTGGCGGCCGATTCAGTATGATGGGAGCTCCCAAAGAGGTGTCTCTGCCGGTCTATGTCATGATGCACAATGATATTACTTTCAAGGGGAAATGGATGTATACCCCCGATGACGTCCGCTTTGTGATAAAGCTGGCTGAGAGGGGCTTTGTCAAGCTCGGGGAGGCCGGGGACATTCAAACGGTGGGCAAGTTTGCTTTGGAAGAGTTTGCCGATGCGTTTGCTGCGGGCGCGAAGATGAGTGGTCCTTGGCTGCAAACCGTGATTGTCCCTTGAGCAGTATCATTTGAACCTCGGAAATTTCGTTTATTGCTCCTCCTTGTGCCGGCCAATGCTCATATATCTCAGAAAGTTTAAATACGTTGAATGAAGTTCCAAATCCATGATATATCGCGGTAAAAGAAAGTGTGGAGAAAGGGATCGCTGGAAGGAGCGCGCCATCAAACCCAATTAGGTAGCAAAAGTAGAGCCCCACTGAAATGCGCAAGCCCCTCAAAAACAACAGAACGACCAGCTTATAAGGTTAAGGAGCATGCTCTCTAGAATGTCGTACTTTTGAGAAATAGATAGTCTCATCCCACAAAATGTCCTTCAAGCCGTTCGCAGAAGGACCAGATCGTCCCAAGCGGGTCATATCCCTCGGGTTCTACCGTACGGGCTCCCATTCACTCAAACACGCCCTCACCATTCTTGGCTACCAAGATGTTTTCCACTCCTCCGCCATGGCAGAAGATGCCGACAAATGGGTAGGACTTGGCGCTGCAGCAGATGCCAACATTCCATGTCTGCCGACATATACAGGGCGCACGTGGACAAGAAAGGACTGGAATGCCTATTTGGGCCCCTGTGAAGCCCTGACAGACATCGCGCCTTTTGCGTACCCTTTACTTCGCGAATTTCCAGAGGCCAAAATTATTCTTGTACATCGAGACTTCGAGTCGTGGGCACGAAGCTTCGAGCAAACACTCATTCTTCCTTCTTCTCAAGGTTTCTTGGCTTGGTTGAGCGGCAATATTATGGAACCATTCATTGGAATTCAAATTAGCAAATCCGCCTGGAAGATGTACATGGCTCTTTTGGGCGTGTGCAGCATGGAGAAAACTCATAATCGCGAAATCTTGCGTGCTGCATATCAGCGTCACTATGATCAAGTCCGAAGCATGGTGCCTCCAGATCGTCTTTTGGAAATCAATCTCAATGATCTGGGATGGGGACCCCTGTGCAACTTCCTTGGCAAGGATATTCCAGATGTTCCATTCCCGCGCTTAAATGAATCGCGTGTTTTCAAGAATGAACTGCGGAGATTGCATTGGATAAGCCTCCGCGCCGGGGCTTTAAAGGCACTAGCACCCATTTGTGGGGTATCATGCGTGCTGTTAGCATGCAGACTTCTATGGTATTAGCATATGCTCTTCCTATTTCCCAACCACATTTGCGGTTCAATTCATTCTGAGTATTAAACTCATCAGTCGATGGTCCAGATCAAATTTGTATTCATCAAATGAACTAGTCTTCTCATAATCGGTTATTCTGCTCTTTGGCCCGTTGCCAAGCGGTCTTTTAAACCAATTTTTGCAATTAGAAACCCCCATGGAAGACAAGATAGTGGAAGTGAGGCCGCTTGGTTGAACGGGGAAGGAGCGAGGTAGCATATTCATAGCGGTTTCAATTAAAATACGTCCTTCGAATTCTGAGTCTTTCTTCGATTGCCTTCTCGTTCCTGCTTTGCGGCTGCTTCGGAACTTCCGCCGTCATCATTTATACAGGTGGCTTAAGACCCGGATCTTAGAAATAAAGCTACGGAGCAAAGAAATACATAGTCACTTATTTTGTTTTTGACTGGCGAGTGCGCATCCTACGCAGGAATATGTACCCGGTGAATCTAGAAAATCTCGGCGATGATAGCGATGTTTAGGCCAACTTATTTCATCTCGATGAGAGTAGAAGTACCGTGAACCGCGAGCCGTAAGCCGAGAGCCGTGTGCCTTACTTGCGCCATGGACGGTTGGTACAGCCGATAGCCCCGTGTCCTTCATAGTAACCTGCTTGTTTGTTCCGCGATGGGACTTTTGGCGCTTCCATTTCCCTGGCGTAGCCCCCTCCTTCAAGTATCAGACTAGCACCGATCGAGTAAAATAATCCATACAGCTAGCTGATGATATGTCGGTCATAAGCTTTATGCCTGACTAGTTTCAGTTTCAGGGAAAGATGAGGCAAAGAGACACTTCTTCCACGACAGTATTCTGGCGCAAACACATTTCGTAAGCGCTGCCCAATGTTGTTACATTCGTGGAAGATTGGAGAGTATGGCGCTGGGTTTTCATCCCGTTGATGGTCCTAGCTCGTCAGCTTTAGGCATGTGATTTTCAGCATATTAGGCCTGAGGGTTACACTACTGCCTGATTGGCTTGCATCAAGCTATCAAATATGTTTGTTTGCCTCAGGTGGCTCTTTCAACTAGACCGCCCCTTTTGAAACCGGTGGCTGGGCCCGTCAAAGGATTCCTACTTTTGCCGTGGTAGTTGACCCGTCGGTTTTCGCGGGACAGCTATCTAATTAGGTCTTGATTTTCAGATTCGGGATTCGTGCTGCGTGAACAAACCAGGATCTATACTTAACGCCCTGTTGAAGTTAATGCCTCAGCCTCTCATCTGTTCCATTATAACAACGCTCTGAGGTATCGGCCGACCGATCCAGGAAACTATCCTGTCAATGTGTAGCTCTAGGACTTTTCTGAAGCTCTACGCTGTTCATTGTCCTCGCCAACGATTATTACCCGGGCTTTTTCCGATATGAGTCTTATTTAGTCCTTGCCATTGGGTGTATACCTTATCATCCATGATGCTTATCAAAAGCGTCATCCGGTTCATTGCCCGAACATCCGGTTGAGTTTCAGCAAATATGTGACCTACGATACATGATTTCATTCATGGTAAACCTAAAAGCCGGGGGTGGGACGGTTTTAACCCGAACCGGGTGCAGATCAATCTTGGGATTCTAGATGCATAACGAACTCTTGGGGAGTCGATGATGCCGGTAGGTCAGGAGCTGATAGCTGCCCGTCTTGCCACGAGCAAGTTTGGGCAGGACTTGACTGCGCTTTAGGGCAGGGGGTGGTCTATTACCTTTAAGCCATTCGGGCCGGTTGTGCATCTACCGGTCAGGTGATCGGTCCCCAGATATCATCGCCCGTTGAAATTGGCCACCTGATTGCGATGATATCTAAAAATGTCATCGATATCGGGTGTGAAAGGAGAACTACCGGACAGTGGATCGGATGGGGCGTTTGAAGCCCCGTGCCGCTGGTCGTCGCAATGGCTATTAAAAAGCGCCGATGTCTTCGAGTTCAAGTAGATAGCAACTCCAAAGGAATCGGTCTCCAGACTATCAAGCCTTCTATCATTACGAAGACCTTATCTTTGGATCATTAGATTCACAATGTCATTTTTAAAGAATTTCTTCGGCACCTCTGCCACTGCCGCCACCGCCGTGGAGGCGAAGGACGAATTGAAGCCTGTTCGCGCCTTGCCCGCCTCGTGGTATACCTCCCAGAGCATGTACGAGCTTGAACAACGATCAATTTTCTCTCGCAAGTGGCTTCTCACAACACACAAGCACCGCATTGCCAACCCTGGCGACTGGGTTCAATATGACGCTGCTGGGTACGAGTTCGTTGTCATGAAGGATCAGGAAGGAAAGATCACCGGTTTCCACAATGACGACTTCTACCCCATTCATATCCACCTTGACCATAACGGCTTCGTGTGGGTCAATTTGGACACCAGTGAAACTCCCGAGGTTGCCTGGAAGGACGACTTTGAGGGCGTTGATGAGCAGCCCCGGTTCAGTCACTACAACTTCGAGGAGTACAACTTCGATCACACCTGGGACATGGAGGGCGAGTTCAACTGGAAGATTCTGGCCGACAACTATAACGAATGCTATCACTGCCAAGTTGCTCACCCCGATATTCCCACAATCGCCGATCTGAACTCCTACTACGTGAAGACCAAGGCTGGTCACATTCAACATTACGGTGCCCCACGACAGGACCAGATCGATAAGGGTTTCCGGATTGCCACCACTTACTTCTGGCCTAACGCCTCTTTCAATATCTCGTATGTTAATCCTGCAACCAACCTACCGAGATCAAAAGCATTGCTAACCTCCTTTCAGCCCTCACTTCTTCTTCATGCAGCGATTCACTCCCCTTGGACCCAAGAAGTGTGTGATGCGCTATGAGGTCTACCGCCACAAGGGCTCCAGTGACGCGGACTTCAACATCATCAGCGACATGTACAAGCGAATCATGTCCGAGGACAAGTACCTTTGCATTCTCTCCCAGAAGAACCTCAATGCCGGTGTCTTCGTCAACGGTCAGCTTCACCCCGAAATGGAGAGGGGCCCTCTCCACTTCCAAAAGACCGTGCGCGAGGTCGTCATGGAACATCACAAGAAGGAGGAAGATTCCGGTCATGAGATTTGGCCTGCTCGAGAACGCATTCCCCGGAACACTGCCGTTGGTCAAGACACCATCGCTTTCCGCACAGGCATGGACGTCTATAGTGCAGAGAAGAACGATTTGACGGAGAGTCTGACAAGCAACTTTGCGCCAACAATTGCTGTCTAACAGCATGGTGAAAGATGGTAAAGAAAGAACGCCGTCTGTGATATATAGCTGCTCTTGCATTCCTTTTCAGCGTTGCGCTTGATTCATTAGAACTTAGCTCCATTTAGCATAATTTGGCCACGACAGAATGAACACGTCTCATATTTTACTCTTCTCAAGATTGCCTATGAAGAAGAATCAAGTATAGTTCTGAGTGGCAAAGGCTGGATTTTTGCGTAGATATCCTACTATAGTATCAACATTCCAAGGTTCTCTCTGGTCCTTGATTCTATCGGGGACTTGATCGACGTTGCCCCACATCGAGACGCGGACCTCGGCATAATTAATAATCTGTTCATCACACCGAAGTCCTGGACCAGCCCCTCTTCTTCCTTTTCAAATTCCCAGATACTCATCTCTACCGTCGCCATGGTTTATCACGCTGCTGTTATGTACCCCAACGAGGCCGATATCCGCTTCGACCGCGACTATTACATGAAAACCCACATGCCCCTTGTCGACAGCATCTGGAAGAAGCACGGATTGACCAGCTGGCACGTCGTCGAATACACCAAGTCCCTCGACGGCTCTCCCTCCAAGTACTTGATTGCTGGCAAGCTCCTTTGGGAGAGCGAGGAGGCACTGCAGAATGCGCTGAAGGATCCCGAGGCCGCCAAGGTCTTTGCCGATATTCCCAACTTCACCAACGTACAGCCCATCACTATGGCGGGTGTTGGTCTTTAGATTTGAATTTTAAGGGCCCAATTTGTATGTATAGATGCCTGCCTGATGCCTTCCATCCTAAATGCGGGGTACTGATGGTTGTGATTAGATACGTCCGGATACGGCAGATGGATAAACAAATCGATAGCGCACTGCGCACTGTGATTTAATGAATCTCAATGACTAAGACCCATTATTAATCTACGTTGGATAGATAGCTTTGATACTAGATACCAGATACCAGCAGTACTAGCAGCTATCTTTGATAAGAGACTATTATTCGAGTCGGGTACCTGGAGATCCCCGCATCTGCACGTCTTATCCCCTAGCTTTGTAACCTGGACCCTTGTAGCTTTCCTTCTTCTCTTCTCTTTTTTTCTTTTCACCTTTCATCCACCCGGTTACCATGTCGCGTCCTCTCGTTGTTGATATCCACACCCATGTGTACCCTCCTGCGTACATGGCGATGCTTCGCGCTCGCAAGGAGGTACCGTATGTCCATGATCCCGCCAACAGCGCAACACCTCGTCTAATCATCCTATCGTCCGACGACGACCCTTCCATTCCAATTGATGAGCGGGGTCGTCCCGTGGACTCTTCATACTATGATATCAATGTCAAGCTTTCATTCATGAAGCAGCACGGTATCGATTGCAGCGTAATCTCCCTCGCCAACCCATGGCTAGACTTCTTGGCTCCCGACGAGGCTCAAGAATGGGCGAAGCGGATCAACGATGATTTAGAATCTACTTGTTTACAAGTGAATAGTGACACCTCTTCCTCGCAAAAGAAGCTCTTCGCTTTTGGCACATTGCCATTAAGCGCTCCCAATCCCGAGGTGATCACCAACGAGATCAAACGGCTCAAAACCCTTTCCCAGATCCGCGGCGTGATCATGGGTACCTCTGGGTTAGGCAATGGCCTTGATGATCCTCTTTTGGATCCAGTTTGGGCTGCGCTCGAAGAAACCCAGCAGATGATGTTTCTGCACCCGCATTACGGTCTGCCTGACGAGGCCTTTGGGGGAACTGAGACGACAAATCGCTACGGCCATGTTCTTCCTTTGGCGCTGGGCTTTCCACTCGAGACGACCATCGCTGTGACCCGAATGCTGCTTTCTGGTGTCTTCGACCGCTTTCCCAAGCTAAACATCCTGCTGGCTCATTCTGGTGGGACTCTCCCATTCTTGGCAGGCCGGATCGAGAGTTGCATTATGCATGAACGGCATTTCATAGCGAATGGTGGCTCTACACCTGGTCCCGTCCGAAGTGTCTGGGATGTTCTGCAAACCAATGTCTACCTTGATGCGGTGGTATATGGCACTGCTGGACTAAAGGCGGCTGTCGCAGCAGCTGGGGGGAGTACAGATCGTCTCATGTTTGGTAATATCAAGACTGCCTTTCAAGCTCTGGAGATGTATTCAACTAAGCTAATACATTGATAGGAACTGATCATCCCTTCTTCCCGCCGCTTAATGAAGAGGATGAGAAGTGGGCCAGCGTCACTACAAACTACAAGGCCATTCAGGATTCATTTGGTGATGATAAGGGTTCAGTGGCTGCAGTCCTCGGTGGAAATGCCGCCCGTGTTCTTAACCTAAACTAGGAATTGCTGCCAAAGTCCTGCTGGCTCCAGGGCTCCCTTTGCCTAGAGATATTATATCACATGCGCTCATTTCACATATAGCCGTAACCCAATATCAAAATTCCAGGCCCTCAAGCTCCAGCAAATACACCTCCCATAGGTATAATTAGGAAGTGATAATTGATATAAGCTTCTTCAGCGAGAACGAACAGTTGAGTTTAACAAGTCCCACCCAACCAGTCTCCATAGCTCCTGTGTGAACCACTCTGGAAACTCTGCCTCCTCCACATGGTGGGCATCGCGGCTCTGGGGAGGCGGAGTGGTAGGGCGCACCAAGCCGTCTTGGAACAAAGGGTCCTCAGTGCCGAACACCGTTTGCAGCAAAGTCTTCTGCAGGCGATTCTTCATCTGCCGGACAAAGCGAGACTGCATGGGCGATTCAGGAGAATTCAGAGAAGATTCTGAGCCCAGAACATTGTCCAAAAATATCATGAGGTATTTCGCTTCAAGTTGGATGTCTTGAGGAGTTACATCCTCCCGGTTCATTGCGGTCAATCCATCTGGTAGTCTGAGTTTTGGGCAAAAATTGGTCGCCAAATGCAGATTTCTGAATACACATAGAGCAAGCATCTTTCCCACACGGTCGAGTGTTATGAAAAGGAACCCTTCCATAACCTCCTGGTCTTCTTGACGGCTGAGATCAAGTGAAAGTATCATCTCAGAGAGAAGGTTGGTCAGGTTCCCGTATGCCTCAGCTTTGAGGGGCGCGACTTGGTCCTGACCGTGTGTTGTTTGTTCACGCATAGCGGTGCAGCGCTGGGTCAGAGCTGTCATGGTGGATTCGAATAGGCACACAAGATAGTAGGTGACTTGGCCATGACTTCCGTTTTTTGCACCAGCGATGCTTTTGAGGGATCTGTGCACCAGATGGAAGGATACCTCCACGCCTCGAGTGACGGCAAGCAGATTAAGGCCTTTCTCTTTCTGAATCTGGGTCTGGCCCATTTGCTTCGTTGCCTGAATTTCCCGTTGAATGGCACTCAAGAGTTCGTACTCGGCTGCCTTGCACAGAATCACTGCATCGATGGCGAGAGAACTGGCGCCGCGTCTTCTCTGCAGAGCACGCTGGAGCGCGTACATTGGCCTCATGAGTGAAGGCGCTGAAACTTGATTACTCATTGCACCTTCCTCGGCATATCAACAGTCTCACTTACATTCAACCTCATTTCCCGTGTCCTCTGCTTTGTCCTTCATAGGTCGTCGAGATCTTTTCTTCCTTAATTCCGAGCTCTCCGTGATGTTGCTCGTACTGCCAGCCTTGCGCTTCGTCGAGGTTCCGTTTTTTCTCTCGCTCTCTGGAAACTCTTTCTTCACTTTGGCAAGTAGGCTCTCGTTGCGTTGCTCTAACTCGTAAATGATGTTCAGTAGCTTAGTTTGCTCCGCTTGAGACTCTTCGTACGCCTTCTGCCAAAAGGAGACACTGTCAAAGAACTTCCCATCTGCAACGACTTCTGACTCCTTTTTTCTTTTGAGGAAATGGCGAAACTTCAGAAGGTACTCTGGGTTGACGGTCAGAATGGCCAGTTGGGCAGTGGAACATGAGCTCGAGCATTAATGCTTACCCTTGACGCCTTCGGTTACAGGCTTTTGCTTGACAATTGCCAAAGCAAAAGCCAATTGCGGCCTGCTTGGCTGGTTGACTGCCACCTTTCTTTTTGCCGATGACATCTGGGTGAAGGGCAGGAGTGGCTGGGTGAATGGTTCGGGGAGTTGTCCTGACGTACATCTGCCTGGGATCCTGAGGCCTACCCTGCAATTACAGTTGCTCTTATGAAACAATGTCAAGTATTGAAAGTTGGAATAACAGGCAATGACTCAACCCGTCTGAATTATTGCGATCTTCAGTCTTTGTAATTTCCCCCATTACATGAATTCATATAAACTCGTCTGTTTACATATTTGGAAGGGCAACCATCATCCGGTGGCACTTCACCACAGAAAGCGCCCTCCCTCTCCTATGGCAGTGTTTCTGACCGACAATAACGTCAAATGAGGAGACATCCTCGAGCCAGAAACGGGAAGAAGCAAGTTTCAACTAAAATGACCAATTGAAGCTCCAGGAGATGACAGGCACCGAGTGTAGGGCTACGCTCGGGGGCGGTGGGGCCGCAACTCCAGGACTTTCTCCGACTCACGTCTTCCCTGAGCCTCCATCCTCCAAATCCAGTGAAACTCTATCGTCTCGGCCAAGCGCAAAATTTGCGCCCCCCTCAAGATGTCCGACGACCTCAAGGCGCACGCCGCCTCCAGCCAAGACTTTTACGCCCTATTAGACCTCTCTCCAGCCGCCAGCGAGTCCGAAATCCGGCGCGCCTACCGACGAACCGCATTAAAATATCACCCCGATAAAATCTCCAACCCAACCCAATCAGATTTCGAAAAGTTCCACCTCCTCCAAATCGCCAACGATGTCCTCTCCGACCCGTCGGTGCGGCAGCTCTACAACAATGCGCGCGAGGCGCGCATGCGCAAGCAGCGCGAGCGGGACATGATGGATGCCGCGGAGCGGAAGATGCGCGAGGATCTAGAAGCTGGTGAGCGGGCTGCTGCTGCTTCGAAGGGTGGGCCGCAGGGTGTCAAGAGGCCGTGGTCGAGTGCTGCGGATGATGCGGCGGAGATAGAGCTGCAGCAAAAAATCGAGCAGATCCAGGAAGATGTGCGTCGCCGACGTGTGGCGATGCAGGAGAAGAGGCAGCGAGAGGTGGAGGAGGAGAATCAACCGGCACAGAAGATGGAGGAGGAGGAACAGTCGGCAGAGCAGCCTGCGCAGCGGATTGGTCGGTCTCAAGAGGGCAGTGTTTCGGAGGAAGATCGATCGGTCAAGGTGCGCTGGGTTCGTGAAGGCCAGGGGCTTGACGTTGATGCAGATTGGCTGAAATCGCTGCTTGCGCCATTTGGGAAGGTCGAGAACACCGTGATGCTTAAAGATAAACGAGTGCGTGTTGAGGGGAAGAAGGGCAAGGTCACTCTCGGCACTGGTCTTGCTGTCTTCGCCTCTATCGTTCATGCCCATGCCGCGGTGCTGGACAGCAGGCAAAAGATCCGCCAGGCCGATAGTGACTGGGCTCTCGTCGAGTCTGTTGCATGGGCATTTGGTAGCGGGCCCGATCTGAAGTCAAGTGCCAATAACGATAAAACGACGGTGTCCGAAGAGCCATCATCTACAAACAAGCCGGGTCCGGCACCATTCAGTACTCCGTCTTTCACATTCTCCGGGTCGAAAAAGGCCCCGAAGGATGGCAAAGCTCCTATATTCGGCTCCTTCGCCTCTGCGGCTGCTTCCATGAACGCTCCCAAGGCATCGTCTTTCAAACCGTCCCCCGGCAGTGCGCCTAGCTTTGAGGAGGAGACGCTTATGCGTTTGAGAGCTGTACAGCGTGAGAAGGAAGAGCGCAAGGCCCTTGAAGAGCAACTCGCGATGGAAGATGCAGAGGCCGATGCTGCAGAGGCCAAAGCTAATGGCTCTTGAAACACAACCCGAGCTTCATTGTTAACATTTGATATATTAAAGATACCCCAGCCCATTGGGCATTGCTTAGCATGAATAGAAGGACCTTGGACTTGCTCCATGCACATATATACTATCATTAAACAAATTTATAAACAAGTATTTGACACTAGGTTTATTGAGCCTGGAATTATCAACCCGATAGTGTCTGAAGAACAGAAACTTGGAATGGTAGGTGAATAGAGATACATCTTTTATTTACAATGAAGCCGTTTCGTATGGTACAACTGGGTATGACGGCAAAGTACCGACAAAGTCTACTCTCGTCGCTGCGCCTCTTCTTCTTCCTCCAACTGCTCAACAAACCCGCGCGCCCGCACGCCATCCGTGGCCTGCGGGGCGGGTTTACGAGCTCCGCCAGTGGCGATGAAATCTCTCGTCCAAGGCGGAATGAAAGCCTGCAACTTCACTTCCGCTGGCTGTTCGCCCTCCGTCGTCCACGAGACTTTGAATTCGGTTTCGGGCGTGAATTGAGTACCTTCGCCTGTAAGCGCAATGTCCGTCATCATTTCCAAGCGACACTGCGCCAGGCCAATGTTCCCAATACCGTTGAGAAACTTGCCGGCACTACGGCCGCGACGACCCCCAGCCTTGTTGATATTTGATCCGCTCAGCGGCAAAGGCAGCTTGGTTGAAGGGTCGTATACGGGGTGACTCTCAGAAGATGGTGCCTCGGTGTAGAGCTGCACAGGCAAGATGCGCTTCCGGATTACGCCAGTATGGTGCGTGCGGATTGTCAGCTCTTGGCCGACATAGCAGCCCTTGCGGAAATCGATGCCCCGCGCCATGTCCATGTTGCACTCCATTGGCAGCGCAGTTTCACGGATAATCTCTGTTTGACCCTCTGCCACACCGTGGAGGAATCGGCGCACCGTGTATGAATCCAATTCCACCTCCGACCCGGCCACTTGGGATTCATCGGGTAGATGATTGCGCAGGTCCTCCGCGCCGGGTGTAATAATTCGAGATCCGAAGCCCGGGGCTCGGGAATCAACGCACCCAACAATATCCGACGACGTGGAAAACGGTGACGCTGTATCGGTTTCTAGGTTGTATGCGGCCCAACGGGGCTCGGTGTGGTTCTTCCATGAGGACCAGATGGTGCGCTCGCCATCTTCGAGGGCGCGGAGCTTCAACTTCGCGCGCAGTTTGTGCTTCTTGAGATGTTTCAATAAGGTCGGCACCTCATTCTTGTCCACCTCCACCAACCATTCCCGCTCGAGGTCGTTTCCTTCGAGGGGCGGGAGCGGGTAGATAAAGGCGTCGTTCAATACGCGACCCTGGGAATTGAGGAATGCCGTGTATGTGCCGGTTCGCCGAATGCTTTTGCTAGGGTCGTTTGCGACTAGCATGTTCTGGGTAATGAGGCCTTGGAGGAAAGTTGCGCTATCCGTGCCGGTTATGGAGATGAGACCGCGGTTCGTGAGGCGGGCGTACCCGGTTTGTGGCGGTGCCGGTGCATTTTGGTGCCGTTCAGACGGAGCTCCTGTTGTAGAAAAGTGCTTCCCGCGTGCGAGGCAGCGACTGCAGACTGAAAGGCGTGGGCGCATCATGGTTGAGGACGGTCGGAGGAACGACCAATCTGAGTTGGTGTATTTCTTTTCGCTGGCGATGACGTTGGGCGGTGCTCGCTGGCAGAATTTGAGCTAGTCATCGATGCCTGAGGCGTGAGAGGGGCTAAACTACGGAGATACTGGGTTTTCGATTCATAGATTCGAACGAATATCATATGCTCAAGGATGTTCAGTGGATCAATGATTGGTTCCAATTATGCTCTAGAATAACACGCTAACCTTTCAGTTGACAGAATTGAAATCAGGCTGAAAGGCATGATGGCTAAATGTTCAGTTGCTGCCTTTGGCAACTCCTTGCAGGTACCCAAGCAAAAATTCCTTATTGCTAGGCGAGGCAATGTGGTGTGTACTAGGGGGGATTCATATCGCCCTCAATAGCAGCAGGTGTACCATGGCGAGAAAGGGAGCCTCCACTGCTAGGCAAGTGGAAGGATGAGAGAGGGCTGACCACACCGGAAACAGTAGAAGGGTGCTGGTTCGCGGATCGAGAATCAAGCTGAACGGGCATTATAGGGGATGGCGAGGCAGCCTTGCCAAACAGAGCGAGGAGCGCACCCTTTTGCGTCGCGTTTTGGCTGGGGCGACGATCAAAGTTGGACTGAGGTGCCAGATCTGACGTGTTCGTCTGCAAGCCAGCCAGGCTGGGTTTGCGGCCCGCACTTTCCATCTTAGATGAATTCATCAGGAACTCCTCGTAGTCGACTTTCTCAGAGCGTCGGAGGATCTGTGGTTGGAAAGGCTTGACGGGCTCGGGGGCTTCAGTTCGAGGAGTTTGAGCTTGAGGCTGAGACGGCGTCTGAGGTACATGCGGTCGATTCATTGAAGTAGATGTCTCTCGCTTTGCTGACTGTGGCCTTGGCAGAATAGTAATAGGCGACGATAGCTGCTGTGACTCGGAGGGCTCCCGCCGACCTGAATGATTCTTTCTGTTTGACCCATTTGGTCCCTTTTTAGGTGACTGTCTTGGCCTTGTGTTGGGATGTTGCATCCCCATAGGTCTAGGAACCGTGTCTGAAGTCTGAGCTGGCCCACCTGTAGTTACAAAGGCGGCGTTTCCACGCTGCATACTAGGTTCATGGTGTGGCGAGGGACGTTGAAGAATTTGCTTCTCAGTTGGCGGGGCAGGCGGCACAGGGTTTCCTCCCAACTCTACCGGCATGACACGCATGCCTTTGAATAAATCTAGAAGACCTTCTTGGTGCTGGGATGTCTTGCGAGCCAGAGGTTGGCCCTGCCCTGGGACACTCAGTGGTGCAGCTTGGGGGCTCTTCGCGGCTCCAAATGCATTGCCTTTGAAGACGTCAAGAAGCGCCTGAGACTGGCTCGTGAGCTTTGGCGGTGGCAATTTGCTCGCCGGCGGCACTCTAGCCCCGAGAACCTGAGAGGGCTCTGTCGAACGAGAGAACTGAGGATCTCCCGTCGCTTGAAATGGAGCAACTTGCCTCGGCGGCGCAAAATTTGAAGATGGCGATTGGGGGTGGTGGTTGTAGAAGTGAGACCCAGGTGTTTGAGTGAATTGAGGAACACTAGATCCAGAAAGCTCGTGCTGAGCCGTAGAATGGAAACTCTGGCCGGGAATATGCTGGGCAGGGTCAATGACAGGCCGTCCATTCGAATGCGATTGCCCTTGTGCCATTGTGTGCTGCATGAAGCTCGAAGTAGCCATTTGTGGTTGTTGCTGAGGAAATCCAGGGAAAAAATTCGGCGCAAAAGGAGCTGGTTGCGCAACAGGCGGCAAGCTGGGGTTTGTGGTATTGGAGAAAGCCATGGCCTGGTTTTGGGGCTGTAGGACCGTGTCCTGCGAGCCACCTCTAAGTAAGCCAAGTAGTGCATCAGACTTGGACTTTTCGACAGCCGGTGATTGTACGGGCTGTGGGGCTTGCATGCCAGACATGCCACCGATATTCAACAACTGCTTCAGGTGGGAGGAAGCATCTCGGGTCGAGGTCACTTCAGGGAGATCACTTGTGGTAGCTGTATACATAGCCGGGGTACTACCAGCTTGCTCTCCGTTTTCATCCACCGAAGCATAGCCCGCCTGGGCCTTAAAGGCCATCTTCTTCTGTTGTGAAATCCACTTCTTCAGAGGGGTCAAGAAAGGGGCAACCATGTAGAATCTGTTGGCATTTGCCGCCAGTCCCTCGTCGTGCTGTTTGTTCTTCTTGAACGTAGGAAGTTCTGAGAGCTTGTACCAATCGATTTTGCTAATTTCCTTGCGGGTACGAGGTTCAAAATAGGTGTCCTTGGGCACACCTGGGAAGACGTAGAGTCGCATGTGCTGCTCTCGCATCGCAATCTCGATGTACTTGACCCTTTCATCATCCGGGACTAAGCCTGCCTGGCGAACATCGAAGCCGGTTTCCTCGTAGACCTCGCGGATCGCACAATCCAGATCGGGCTCGCCTTTGTTGATCTTGCCGCGGGGAAAGCTCCAGTTGGCACCTTTCTTCCACCCTTTAACCAGGACAACTTCGTCCATCTCTTTGTTCAACATGATGGCGCCGCGAACAGGAACTCGGGTTTTATAAGCCAAAAATTCGGCAAATGCAGCATTATGGTGATATTCGGACCAATTCGACATGAGAGGGCAATGCCGGAAGATTTTCATGGCGAAGGACTTGAGCGTTAGAGAGGGCAAGGCGGGGTCGAGCGGGCGAATGAAGTCCTCGTAGAACCATTGTGCCTCCTCTACTTGGAAACAAATGCGTTCCACTGATTCAAGCTCTTCGCGAGGTAGATTAATGATGAAACGGACGCATAAATCATCCAGCCCTGTTGCGGCCCAACGACCTCAGGTCAGTAATGAAATATCACCAGTCGCCCTCGCTCATAAACACTCACAGTCTTCTAGTTGCATCTTTGATTCTGTCATGTTGGGCAACGAAGCTTAGCATCTCAGCACGGACTGCCGGAATCAGGTGCTTGCTGAAGTCGCGGACGCGACAGGACTCCGAGCTGGAGCGGAAGCGGATTAGAGAAAGGTGTAGTGGCGTAGGGGGATAGTGGGTTCAAATGATAGGCACAGGAGTAATATGTTGGGGATAATAACCAGGGAGAGGAAGAAGGAGAGAGAAGGCACCTGATCGGGGAGCTCTGAGAGGACCGCTTGCACCAAGTTGCCCAAGACGAACTGACGATCGGCTGAGTCAGGTGTGGCGCATGGCTGGTTGGGTGTGGTGGTGCACAGCCACGATCTGCGGGCGCTTTCCAGGATTTTGGGCGCGCAAATAAAGCCGGCGCCATATATATGACGTGGGACCCTCACTTTGTTTCGCATATCTACCCCTGATCCCCCATTCTTTCTTTGCCTTCGTCGAGTGAGCGATTCATGAAACGTTTAACGCCACATTCTAACCAGGGTGTATTTGCTACGGTTCTATTTTCGTCCCCTTGCACCAGTGCCCAGGGTATATCTTCCAGCCCTACCTAGGGAGACCTCCTACTCCTTTCACAACCCGAGACTTCATCCGGTCACTACAGCTCGCTACGTTCAGAATGTCGCAAGCACTCGTGTCCTTGGTCGGCAAGCGCATGCTGGCTGAAAATGTCAAGAACAAGTTTGGAACCGAGGTTAGTGGTCTAAAAACACTTTGGACATTGACCTATAGCTAACCAAGAGATTGCGACATAGGACCCCTACTTCGAAGAAGTACCTGCGTCACGCCTCGGCCGTGCCTTTGGCAAGAAAACCACTAAGCGCCGCAAGGCCATTCCCCCGGGAATATCAGAGCAGGATGCCAAAATCCTCACTCGAGTTAAGCGCCGAGCCTACCAACTAGACTACGCCCTCTTCAACTTGTGCGGTATCCGCTTCGGTTGGGGCAGTGTGATCGGCATCATCCCATTGTGAGTACAGCTCTCGCATTATTCGCTGATTCTCAAGCTAACGGGCCCCACTTTAGTATCGGTGACGCAGGCGACGCAGCACTTGCCATGATGGTCGTGAGAAACTGTCAAGAGATCGAAGGTGGCCTCCCTTCATCCTTGCGCATGATGATGATCATAAATGTTATTATCGACTTTTTCATCGGTCTGGTTCCTTTCATCGGTGACCTTGCAGATGCAGTTTTTAAATGCAACACCAGAAACGCGATCCTTCTCGAGAAGCATCTCCGTGAAAAGGGTGCGAAGAAGGTCAAGAAACAACACAGGCAGCCGTCAACACATGGTCGTGTGGAGGAGATCCAAGAGGACACGGTCGATCATAGCCTTCCGGACGAGTGGGACAAGCAGGAAAGCGGTGTCGTGAACAGTTCGCCTCCCGAATATCGGGAGCATAGAGCATCAGGCGGTCGACGGGGAGAGGGTCCTGAGCCTCGGCAGACCCAACAACAGCCTCGACCCAACCGTGGTTTTTCCAAGTGGTTCGGCGGTGCCGGTCGTCCAGAGGGGGACCTGGAGCAAGGCAGATGAGATATGGGGACGAGTTATGATTTCAGATACCCCATTCGCTTTGTCGCCAACGATGATGTGATGCGCATTTAATGTTCCTGTTTCTTTAGATCCGAATTCATCGGTCACTTTTTTTTTTCATAGCTTTTTAATTAGGATTTGATTTCAGGACGAGACCTCGAGCAACCGTAGCAGAATTGAGAGCCTTGGCTCTCACCAAATTGACTGGCAACCGTAATTCCAGTATTTCCCTTGACATTGCCCACAAGGCTTCCACACAATGCGCAGGAGGCAGGATCGTCAGATCCAGCAGCCTGAAGCTTGTTTGCAGTTCTCGATACGTTCGCCATGACACCGGGGTATTTCGCGCCCTGAGTCTCCACGTAGCGCATCATCAGCTCATCAATGGACAGGTTCTTCGTGAGAATATTGTCTGGGATTGGTTGGTCGGGAATGACAATATTAGAGAGCTCCGGGCAGACACTCTTGTATTGCTGAAGTTCAGGCTTGTTGATATCACGGAGCGGGAACTCAAATTGCACGCCCCATGGGGACATGCCATCGGAGACCTGCCATGTGAGCGACGCTCCGCGGCCCTTTGCAGCACCCGCGAGTGTCTTAGCTGAAAGGCGCGTGTCCGAGTCACCCCAAAGAATAGTCTCGCAGGCATCCTGCTTGGCGAACGCGACTACCAGTCTGGTTAACAGGACGTTGTCCAGGTCGTCCTTGGACGTCGCCGATGAGACACTGCCTCGGAAAGCAGCCAGGCGAGCCTCATCTGATTGAGAGCTATCATCGGCGAATTGTGGCCCCGCGTATTCAAGTATGAGTTCCTTCATTTCTGGGACGTATTCGAAGACGCTGTAGAACGGCAGTCGAGTGAATATGTGCGTCGGGAATGTTTTTTGGAGTCCCTCAAAGTTCGAGTCGAATGAAGAGTTGCTTGGTGAGATAGTTGAAGGCTCGATCACAAGAACATGAAGCTGGTAGGCTACTCGGCTATGTGGGTTGGAACGTTGGCGCTCGAGTTGCCAGTCTAGGATATGCAAAAGGACCGAGGAAGAGACACCAAGGGACAAGGGCAGGAGTAGCTTCGATGGCAAATATTCCTTTTGAATCTTGGGCGGCGCTTTATGACCATCCATGCGTCGGAGAATCTTGAATTGAATAAACAGTTTGAAACAGTGACTGGAGGGGTATTAGCAGAAGCAAATGTGACTAGATTTGAGCGTGCATACCTGCAAAGTGATCTCTTTCGAGTTGTTAGAATAGCTTCGGCATCTTTGCAGTCCATACAAGGACGAGTCAACTCTTTAGCCGGCATTTTTGCGGTGAATATTGAAGTGTTGGTTGCCGATCAAGTACAAAAGGAAAAAAAGTGGCGGCAAGGACGGCTTAGATAATGATCCACGCGCGGCTTCCCCGGTTCTCGAGGCCACGCATTGAGCTACGACGGTTCCGGAGCTTCGACGGTTCTCTTCATTTGCACCTTTCTATCGCCCTTAGATGCGGCATACCTTTTGTTCAATTGTCTTTGAAGAAACTGGAGCCTCTCCTGCTTCTGCGCCGACGCGATGAAGAGCTGGCTCCGGACGCTAGGCCTCACGGCCCTGCTAGCCGGCTATGTGCTTGCTAACGAAGTTGAACTAGTAAGATTCCATTGCCTTTGCGATGCGGAAGCTTTGCATTTTCATGTCCGTTGCAAATTACTGACGTTATTTATGTTATAGAAATCCGATGAAGCGCACCGTCAACGATGTTCAGGGATGTACAGCCGCAAGGCTTGGGGAGGAAGTGTCGACCCCTTTATCCTGGTCAAGTTTACCAAGTCGAACGTACCAGAGGGCGACCCTCTCGCCAGCTTGGTTATCTTTGAATGGAATGATGAGAATTTGATTGGCGAATACCGGAACGATGGCGATGAGGTATGTCCCTCGAGTCGCAGCCTTCAGCATTATCGCGACTAACTCAGGAACATCAGGTCAAGGAAACTATCTGCGATGCAACCAATGTTGATGCAAAGCTTTGCACGGAAGATAAGATTGGCTCCTTCCTCCTAACGAAGAACGCGACCGATGTCTCCAAGAACGCCATCCTCTCCGCCGCTGTCCACCTCAACGACCCGACTGCCATCAAGTACTCCGTTCGGAAGACCGGTTTCTACTGTGTTAGTACCTACGCATACTCTGGTGAAGATTATGGCGCAGTGGTGACTTTCCGCAACTCGTACGGCGAGCTTCCCGCTGCCCAGATTGCGAAGCTGCCGTTCTACGGGGGTCTGACCATCGTTTACGCTGTCATTGGATGGTATGTACTACTTCAACGCAAGCATTGATCTAATTGTCTGAAAGAAAACCGCTCACATTGACACAGTTTCTGGGCATTCCTTTACTTCCAAAACCGCTTTGATATTCGTAAGGCAGCAACTTTATGTTACTCGGCCGAATGCTAACAATCAGTAGTGCCTGTCCAAAACTACATCACCGCCATTGTTGTTTTCCTGGTGATCGAGCAGTTAATGACATGGGGATTCTATGGTACGCCCGCGCATACCTCCTTCTCCTTGTTTCACTCAACCTAACCTTTTACAGATTACCAAAATCGTCATGGGTTGAATGGCATGGGCAAGGCATTAATGGTCATCGTCGCAATTCTCAATGCAGGCCGCAATGCTTTCTCCTTCTTCCTTCTGCTCATCGTGTGCATGGGCTATGGTGTTGTCAAGCCCTCCCTGGGCCGGACGATGGTCTATGTCCGCATTCTGGCCATTGCGCATTTCATTTTTGCAGTCGTCTACTCTATTGCCAGTCTGTCGATCACTCCGGACAGCGCCGGTCCCCTAGTGCTCTTAATTGTTCTCCCTCTGGCTGGAACCCTCACGGCCTTCTACGTGTGGACCTTGAACTCGCTCAATGCTACCATGAAGGACCTGATTGATCGCAAGCAGAAGACCAAGGCGCTCATGTACAAGAAACTCTGGTGGTGCATTCTTGGTAGCATTATCGTCATCTTCGGCTTCTTCTTTATTAACTCCTTCGCCTTCGCTGGGCGCAGTGACGCTAGCTTTGTGCCTGAGCACTGGAAGGCGCGATGGTTCGTTCTTGACGGCTGGCTGAACTTGGTTTACATGTTCGACATTGTCTTTGTGGCTTACCTGTGGCGACCGACCGCGAACAACCGACGCTTCGCCATGAGTGATGAGGTAAGAGACGCCATCCATGGAATTATTGCGGGACAAGTTGCTAACAACACCTATAGCTTGCTCAAGATGATGATGGCTTCGAGATCCGCTCCTTCGGCAGTGGTCTGGATGAGGAAGATCCTCTAGAGGCTCCCCCGGAGTACCCTGGTAGCTCGAACCGTCGCGATCTGTCGCCCGTTCCTCCTAAGCCCGTGAACTCAGGACAGCGGGATCGCCCATCTCTGGATGAGGAGACTATTTTCGCCGTAGGTGAGGACGGGGACAAGTGGTCCGATGACGACGAATCTCCTCGCAACTCTAGCGAGAGACAAAGACTTACCCACTGAAGCCTCATCAAAGGCCATGTTCGGAACACATGATCCTGTTTATATAGTCAAGTGATTCATCCCAATAGTGGAGAATCGAGCTATTACTGTGGATCTTATATGGACCTCGTGTCTGTTCAAAGCTCACCTCGAGGATTACAAGCATGTCATGGCGTTGGTTTTTTGTTCTTGTCTAAGTGATTTGGCATTCTGGCTTGTATCTTGACCCCAATTTATCTTCTGAATTGCTTGCCGCGCAAAGATTGCGATTTATCCTACCTACATCTGCAAATCACAATGAATTTTATACCAAAATACTTATTTGCTTAGACTGTAGGCCCTCCATGGGCATTTATTCCCCTGCAACTAGACAAAATCGGGGCCGGCCGAGCCCCACAGAAGCTGCTCGAGCGCAGACTTGACTCACAGAGCCTCGTCCTCTCATCTATTCTACTGCTCTCACAACAGCTTCCTATGTCTATAAATTAGATGCTATCGACTCTACATTTCACCTCACGCGCAATTTTTCTTTCAAGTTTCGCCATTTGGAATACCCTAAGCCGACAAGCCTGGAAGAATATATCTTAACGGCAGGCGCCGCTGGATACAGGAACCAACCCAAACACAAAGAAAGCAAGCAATCCCACAAATTGAGCGAGCCAGCTCGCCTTGGCGTGCAGTCGCCAGTTATACCGACCACGAAGGACTTTCAGGACTTTTAAAAGCTCCTCCATCGCCCCTCTCAACTTGCCATACCACAATGGCACACGACCCCGCAAGTGCATCCCACCATGATGCGGAGCCCATAGCCCCAGACCCAAGCGCGCAAGTCTCAGCAGACCTCCTCCAGCAATGCAGCTCCCTCCTCGCAGAGCTCGACGAGCTCCACTCGCTTCTCAAGGGCATGCTGCGCAATCCGCAGCTAGTGGAGGTGCGACAGTTTCGGTCCAACGTGAACGCGGAATTGAAGATGCTGCAGAAGCTGGAGCAGCGCATGCAGAACAATGCACTTGGAGGAGAACAGGCGGATCCGGAACTCGAGAAGCGATTGTTGCATGCGATGCGGTCGTCCAATTTGCCCTTTTATCAGGCTGTTTGGGACATTGCTAAGATGTCGTGCTCGGGCTTGGTGGCACTTGGGAAACGATTCTATTGGGATGGGGATGCCAAGGTACTTGAGACAGAAAAGGCGTCTCGGAAGAGGAAGGGGAAGGGGAAGGATGATGGTGGAGAGAAGCAGCCGAACAAGGACAAGCGCAAGAGTGTGTTTGTGGATATTGTTGCGGGTGATGGGGAAGAATGGGTGAAAGTGTCTACGATCTCGAAGAGCAGGCTGTTGTTTGATATGGCCAAGAAGGGATGGGAGCGAGATAGTGGGGATGAGTACTCCGATGAAGGTGAAGGGCCGGAAAAACGGACTATACTAAAAAACTTTGATGGCTCCGATGATGAGGACGATGATGACGATGAGCTTGAGCTTATCAAGTTGGCTAGGGATTTGAAGAAGGCGGCTGATGCTACGCGGATCCGGTATAGACATCCTCGACTACGAGTTACTCTACCCAAGATCATGGAAGGAGATAGTCTTGAAATTGATGATATCATCAAGGAGATGCGCAGCTATGGTATCAAGGTAGAGTGCCAGAACAGCCTGGTCGATGTGGGTGCCACAAATCTGGCGCACCTGCTGCCCCAGCATTTCAAGAACTTCACTTCCACCCTGAATGTTGATTGCACTCTGCTCCTCGCCATGGTCTCTGATCTATCACACATCAAGAATATGGCCCCATCGCCGAGTTTTCATAGAGCTATCGTTCGCCAGATAGAGGTCGAAAAGGAGAAACCTCTGCTTCCCACCGAGCTCTGGCCTGCTATGGGAGATCACGAGCTAGTGAGCACCGAAGAGGCTTCCACACGCATGCGCGAGATAGTCGACACCATTGGGACGGAGACGGAGCAAACTCGAATGAGGATCATGATGGGCCATGCCCCATACGACCAAATGGATCGCGGGTCTCTCATCCAAAAATTCGCGGAAATGTCCAATTATGAAGTTCCAAAGAGTTGGAATCTCCCGTTGAAGGTAGTCGAGGCACAATCGGTGATCGACACCGGGAAAGCAGAAGGGAAACTCCCGTCTGTGGCAGACAAAGTCGCGGAAGGCTTGTCGGATATCAATCACAGCGTCTTCATGTATGGGTGGGTCACTGGGATGACAACCATATCCAGCAATCGAACTATTGACAAACAAATTGAGGCGACGATTGAGAATAATCGCCAAGGCGAAGACGACAGTGAAGGTCCCTTTGTCTGGATTTGCGACACAGCGCGAAGCTTGGTGGGCAAAGACAAGGGCCGCAAAGAGTGAATATGCCAGGCTTGCCAATGCATAAAGCTAGATGTTTCGTGTTATAGATGCTCTTCATAGAAATATAAGGACTTGAAAGCCAACGCGACCATTTCCTATTTATCAGAAGGTCGAGGTGGCTCTTCGGGTTGCCAGAAGACCGTCTCCTTGTCGGCACTGGCAATCATATTGTATCGAGGGTTGTATTCAAGGAGCGCAGTTCGTCCTCGGTATGGCAATCTGCACATGGGCGGCAACATGTTATTTGGTTCGCGTTCCTGTTGCAAGTCCCACACTAGAATGTCAGGCTGATCTCCGTTTCCGCCAATCACGTATCGTCCGTCAGGTGTGAAAGATGCATCACCCTGTCCCATTGGCTTGCTCGTTGAGGAAACTGGGGCAGCGCGGCCAGGCGAACCACCCTTACCAGTCAAGAAGGCCTTCACGGTACCTTCAAAGGCATCCAGAATGAAATGTCCATGGTAGTCTGTACCAATCATCAAATATTTTCCATCGTTGGAGAACTCAAGTTTGGTCCAGGCGCGTCCTCGACTGGACGGCGTGTACAATTCTTCAATAGGCGCAAGATCAAATGTCGAGAATGGGGGCTTGTCGTAGTTGCGGACATCGTAGAGGAGGACAGAGGAGGTAGACTGTGATGCAATGGCAATGACTGAAGCCGAGGGATCGTATGCCACGAGGTACGGAGTCGCAAGCTTTAGCTTGCCCTGGGGATTGCGGGAGCCGAGATCCCAGAGCGTAACGGTGTCGTCCTTGGAGCATGAGATGAACGAGTCGCTGCCTGGAGAGACCGCCAGACATGTGACCTTGTCTGTATGACCTGTGAAATACCGCACGTATCCTTCATTGTGGAGGTCAAGCAATCGCAAGGAATCTGTATTCGTCAGTCGCGCGCCATGACTCGATCATTTACTGACACATACGGTCCATCTTGGTACTGGCGTGAAGGACCTGACGAGAGTGATGAGTGAATCTAGCCAGATGCACACCATACTTCTTGCTGGGCACCGTTTTCGTGAGCTTGCCCTCCTTGATATCGAAGACCTGGATAGTCTCGTCGTCGCCGGCCGCGACAAGGTAATCACCCTGGTCGTCGAAGTCCAACGATGTCACGAAATTGGCATTGTCTGCCTTTGATGCGCGGAACAGCTGTAATCTCAAAGTCAGCATCAGGTCGCTCTGTAGCTAGCGCAATCTGGCAGTACCTTGCAGGGACGATAACTACGAATAACGTCTGGCAGCTTCTGCGGTACCTGGGGGGGCTGGCCAAGTGGCTGGGTGGCCGGGGTTGATGACTGGCCCTCTGCCATTATGAAAAGAATGATCGATTGGAGGTGAGAGTAGATCGAAAGAGGACTGAGGGGGAGAGAAGGCCAGACACGCCCGTGTTTAAAGGTGAGCTGCGTGCCTTCCCAATTCGGAGCTCCCCACGCGCCTTCTTTTTTCGCGTCGGCAAAATGATAGTCCGCTTCACCGCCCCCGAGTCTCGGAGAATGTCAGATTCCATTGACCAATGACAGTCTCCGGGTTTCGGCCATGGATAACCGCGCCTAAGCTTTGATGGTATCCCAGGCCCTGACCATCTCACCCCGGACGCCTAATTTGAGTATCTGACTTGCTGTATCGAGTACCCCCGCAAGCCTGTTTCTGGCCAGCAGAGCCTAGCGATTCCCCGGACCTGTTGTACAGCGGCCTCTCCTTTCCCGTTACTTTTGCCGCCACTCCGATCTACCTCCGATCCCCGAGGAACTCGATCAGCTCTTCTATTTTCTGCATACCCGGCCCTCAGATCGATCATTATGTCTACAACAACTGGGTATGACCTAACTAAGGCCTGCGCTTCTATAGAATGGTCTCGCGCTAACCGGGTCTCTTGTGCAACAGTGCATTCCTTGCTGGAGGTATCGCGGCATGCGGTGCGGTCACCGTCACCCACAGTTTCGAGACAGTCAAGATTCGGTGAGATCGGAACCCGCTTCGACCAGCCATGGAATATTTGCGCTGACTGGTGCTCAGTTTACAATTGCAGGGTGAATTGCAAGCGAAGAATGATGGTGTGAAGAAGTACCGCGGTGTCTTGCACGGAGTCAAGGTGATTTTGCAGAATGAAGGCCCGCGCGGTCTGTTCCGAGGAATCGGATCTGCCGTAAGTGCTCAATAATTACTTGGGAGTCTGCCATCTGGAACCATACTAAACGCAGTGGCATTTAGTACATCTACCAGGTTCTGCTCAACGGTTGCCGTTTGGGATTCTATGAGCCGATTCGATCCACCGTCACCAATGCCGTTTATAGCGACCCTAAGATTCAGTCCCTTGGTGCCAATGTCTTTGCTGGTGCCGCCTCCGGTGTCATTGGTGCCGCAGCAGGCTCGCCTTTCTTCCTAGTGAAGACGCGCCTGCAATCCTACTCGCCTTTCCTCCCCGTTGGTACCCAGCACAACTACAAGAACTCAATCGACGGCCTTAGTAAGATCTACAAGAGCGAGGGTGTTAAGGGAATCTACCGCGGTGTTGGCGCAGCCATGATTCGGACGAGTTTCGGCAGTGCTGTCCAGCTTCCTACATACTTCTTTGCCAAGCGCCGCTTGACCAAGCACCTTGGCATGGAAGAAGGACCTGCCTTGCATCTCGCCAGTAGTGCATGCTCTGGCTTTGTTGTTTGCTGCTTCATGCACCCTCCTGGTATGATTTCAAGCCCCAGAGCAAACGGTACTAATTGAGATGCTAACCTTCTATCTAGACACTATCATGGCTCGCATGTACAACCAGACTGGTAACCTTTACCAAGGCGTATTCGACTGCTTGTTCAAGACCATTCGCACTGAAGGCTTCCTGGCCATTTACAAGGGCTTCTTCGCCCACCTGGCCAGAATCTTGCCTCATACCGTGAGTTTCATGACCTGCCACCAATGACAAATACGCTAACCATCATTTAGATCTTGACTCTCAGCCTGGCTGAACAGACCAACAAGCTGATGCGCCGTGTCGAGGATCGGGTACTACCCGAGTCGCTACGCGACAAGCTTTAAGAAGCGGATGAAACATCTGTGCTGACTGCATCTCAGCCGATATCTGCCATCTCATTGCATCTCAAGGCTATCGTTTCCATCGTGTGGTTTTTCTTATTTAGATGCGCCGAGCTGTCAGCCGTAAACATCAGACTTCCTGTGATACCGGTTTTGGATATAGATCTGGCGTTCTGGGGATTGTGGGCCCCTCTGTTTTAGAAGTATTTTGTGTATATACGTCCCTGATTCTTCTGCGGTGTCTTTGCAAGGTTCCCGAGGTTGATTTTGGGTGACCTAGCTCGACAATAGACGAAGCTACCTACGTATTCAACATATGCAAACGTATCTCTATAAGCCCTTTATATTCTATTGATTCTTTGCAATGATTATTAGACTCTCTCTGTAGCTTGCAGGTATCCCAGCACCTTGCCGACGAGGAACTTCCGAGGCTCAGCCTGATCGTCATTACTCAAAGCGTGAGAGGCATTAGGAATGACAGCGCTGTGGGCGTCATCCCAGATCTCAGACCCATCCTGGTTTGTGGCCTTCTTCCACTTAGCCAACAGTGCCTCCTTATCAACCCAGTCGGGGACTGCTTGGTCTGCGCCGGAGAACAGAACCATCAACTTGTGTCTCAACAGACCTCCTTGTTTAATCAAGCCGAATGTCTTGCTCAGCTGATCATCACCCAAGTCGTGGCTGAACAAGTCATCCTCCCCAGGCGAATGGGGACTCTCGGGACTGACAAGACTCAAGAATCTCCGCGCACTAATTGGAGTATTGGATGGATAGCAGATTGTAGATGTCATCCACAAAGGCAACAGGGTATCAAACTTCGACTCTTTCTGAACAGCTTCCCTGGCCAAGGCCATCGCCTGATCATAAATCGGCCGGATCTCATCAGGTGACTTGCCTGCCCAACCCCATTTCAAGACCCATTGGATCGCTTCCCTGTCTGAGACCGGGGCCTGCATGATCGCGCCATCAAGAGCCAATCGATCGACATGTTCAAGCGTAGAATCAAAGGATGCTGTGGCTGTGTGAGGGTTGGGCCGAGAGAGGTAATGCACCACACACTGGCTTCCGGTCGAGTGACCCATGAGGACGACCTTGCCGTTTCCATTTCCAAACTTTTCCCCTTTGTAATCTTTGATATATCGAATGCACTGAGCGATCTCGTCGGTGTCGCGGTCAAGGTGCCCGAGACCCCATGATTGGTAGGAGGATGTGAGGTTCAGGGTGAAGAGGGACCATTCTGTTGACTGCAACGAGCGGGCAAGGTCTGCCATGTAGGAGGTAGTCGCGAGGCCATCACCCAAGCCGCCAACGAAGACAAGACTGTGAGGTTGACGCACGGCGCTGGAAGTGTATTCGAACGTGACAAGAGTTTCAGTCTAGTTGCGTCGCTCGTTAGCTACCCCGCACTACTCAAGCAGAGAAGAAGACATACATACGTAGTGATGTAAGATGCCGGGGAGGCCTCCCTTAGGCCAGAACTTGGAGTACATTTTGAGATGATTGGATTGTTTTAAGAAGGTTAATTAGGAGGACGAAGAAGCGTTCGCGTCAGGCATTGGCTTATGTACAGAGAATCTTTGAAGGACCAAGCTTATCCACCAATGAAACTCCGAAGTCGGGTTTATGTGCCCTACATTCCATTTCTGCATGGCAAAGCTCATTTCTACGGAGTTACGTCCGACGTGGGCCGCGAGGGGTGATCCGGGTGTGTCGAAACCGAACTGACACGGCCCATCGACAAACCGTGGAACTGGAACGACGCCAACGGTCAAAATGACCACGTTGTTTTTGCCTAGTATGGACGTATTAAACTGGGTATGATCCACCTTGAGAATGTTTGGCTCGGCAGTGTTCTCGCCAAAATTTCACCCGACAGCAGACATTGCCACTGTTGACGGATCTGATTAGATGTTGGTGGCTGTGAAATGTTCCGGTATGGGAATCTGATTAGATGAGCCGCCAGTGAAAAATCTGATTAGATTACCCGTGCGTTTCAGTGAAGAGGCTACCTCTTCGGGCAACACCCACGATAATCTAATGTATCTCACTAACGTCAAACACATGGAAGCCACCATGGAACATTCGTCGGTCTCTCAGGGTTCAGATCAGCATCCATCGCCCGCTGTCGATCTCCCTTTCATACGTACTCCAGTTGTTTCATATCGGTGAAGAACAACGTCAACCTGCTTTCTGTTCCGATCTTATCCGGCGTAATCCTTGGCCGTTACAGGCGGAGTCTGTACACAATGCACCACCTCGCTTAGTCTCGTATTTCATCACACGCAATCTCCCCATCGCGGAATGGCCCTGGGCTGGAATATTGATTGGGCACAGCCCACTCCCATGGTCGGTACTTGCTGCCTATTGGGGGTGCTGATCCATGCCTCGTTTTGATTGTGGATGCATTGGGTCGCAGAGAAGGAGAACTTTTAAAAGTTTAGCGCAATGCGCGGTTGAATCCGAGACATTGGGTGGGACTTCTTCAAGAGTACACGAAACATGAATTTCACCGTCATCGTACTGTTGTAATTACCATACACGTAATACCCGAACAGGAACCCGTAACCGCCGATCTCGGTTTAACTATACCCTTGGCTCGGCCTTGTAATTGTTGCTTCGCGGCAAATTCGCCTGTGGGTATTTAATTTTGACTATATAACGTAAACCCTACCTCGTAAGCTAGGGTAGCTTAAGCTCGTGCTACGCCACACTGAATCCTACGGTTATCCAACCTTCCTCTCGATATCGAATCGCCAAGATCCCCAGCCGGGCTGAGGTCAGTATGGGATTCATATCTGTCGAGAGCGCGTACGGCCTCGGTGAGTCGAGAAATGGACTTGTGATTGAACCTGTCGAGGCGGATAGCGACGGGCTTCGGTCTTTCGAAGTCGCGGGGCTCGCGTCGAAGGCACCAACATCCACGGGCATGGACGAGAAGATTGTGCTGGTATCCTGGCTCCTAGTTCTTTTGCGTACCCAGGAAGATGGTCGCGTCTCCTTTGATTGGACTTATAAGGGCCAAGAGGATGGAGTTAAACTGGAGCCAGTGAACAGTCTTTCCTCAGATCAAGTAATGCCAAATCTACAAAGTAATATTGGACAAGTCGCCGCGGCGATTTTCAGTCAGATTGAGAAGGTCGCATCGAGCCCGCGACCTCCTTCTTCACTTATACTGAGCACCAGCTCTCTGTCGCAAACACCAGAGGGCATGGATGAAGTGAGTATATATCCTTGCGCTCGTTTGGACCAACAGGCAGCTAATAGTAACATGGACAGGGTGTTCTGCATCTTGAAGTTCGTTTCAACCAAGATAATCTCAAGGTCCGACCAGTATGGCAGAGTAACAACATCCTGCCTTATGCAGTAACCCGCCACATTGAAACACTGGTCGATACGGTCAAGGCATACATTTCGAATTCCGATGCCTCCGTCGAAGACAGTATTCGTCCGAGCGCACATGATTTGGACCATCTTTGGGGCTTGAACTACGATCTGCCGCCATACCACGACTTTTGTATGCACGAGGTTTTCTCCGGAGTAGCCCGGAAATTTGCCGATAAAGAGGCAATTTCATCTTGGGATGGCGGTTTGACTTATGGCCAAATCGACCGTTACTCATCATTTTTGGCAAAAGAGCTCCAAGATTCGGGTGTTAAGCTCCACGACTTTATTCCTGTGTGCTTTGAGAAGTCACGATGGACGATCGTTGCGGTGCTTGCCGTGATGAAGGCAGGGGGAACTCTTGTCATGATGGACCCGACACTCCCGCTGGCGCGTCTCCAGAATATGGCAAAGCAGGTAGGGTCGAACGCTATGGTGTCATCTCGCATGCAATATGACCTGTCAATGGAGATTTTGCCGGACGGAAAGCATTTTGTGGTGGAAGAAGAGGAGCAGGCCAAACTCTCTTGTTCGGAGCCTCTGCCAGAACTCCCAACTGTCCCATCCACTGCTTTGATGTACCTTATTTTCACATCTGGCAGCACAGGTACTCCTAAGGGAGTCAAAATCTCCCACGGAACCTATACAAGCAGTGCTTTCCCCAGAGCGAAGGCTGTTGGATATAATGAGAACTTGCGTGTTCTCGATTTTGCGTCTTATGCCTTCGACGTCAGCATTGACAGCATGCTCTTGACTTTGGCCAACGGTGGCTGTCTATGTATTCCTTCCGATGAAGACCGACTCAATGACATCAACGAAGTGATTCGGAATATGAAGATCAACTACGCAGGTATTACTCCCTCGGTTGCTCGTATCTTGGACCCGGATGTCATTTCATCCCTCGAAGGTCTTGGTCTTGGAGGAGAGGCTGCTTCGGCCACAGATGTCACGCTTTGGGGCAAGGATACCAGAATTATCATCGGCTATGGTCCCTGCGAGTGCACTATTGGATGCAATGTCAACAGCAGTGCTGCTACCGGAAGAGACTACGTCTCCATTGGCCCCGGCAATGGAGCTTCCGTCTGGATTGTCGACCCTAATGATCACGAGCGACTTATGCCCGTTGGTGCGGTTGGAGAGCTCCTCGTTGAGGGTCCAATTGTCGGGCAGGGATATTTGAACGATGACGAGAAGACTGCCAGTGTTTTCATCGAAGACCCATCGTGGCTTGTTGTAGGCTACAAAGGCTTTGCTGGTCGTCGAGGCCGTCTCTACAAGACTGGAGATCTGGGCAGATACGATCCTGATGGTTCAGCAGGTATCATCTTCGCTGGAAGAAAGGACACCCAGGTCAAGCTTCGTGGACAACGTGTTGAGCTTGGCGAAATCGAGAGCCAGCTTCAGGCCCGTCTGCCTTCGGGCACCACTGTAATTGCGGAGGTCATTACGCCTCAAGGGCCCGGTGGCCAGGCTACACTGGTGGCATTCATTGCGTGCCAGTCCACAAAGGGAGATGCAACCACGGAACTTGCATCTGTTCCGATGGATGACCTGCGCACCACAATCTCCGAGGCAGATGCAAAAATCGCCAAGGTCCTGCCGCGGTACATGGTTCCCACTGCCTATATCCCAGTGAATTACATACCCACTCTCATCTCGGGAAAGACGGATCGCAAGCGTCTTCGAGCTCTCGGAACGACAGTTGATCTACGTCAGTTGGACCAAGCCTCCACAAGCGCTGCGGCCAGGCCACTGAACGACCTCGAGCTGCGATTGCGACGGGCTTGGAGTGAGATTTTGAAGATTGACGCTAAATCAATTCGCCTCGAGGACAACTTCTTCGCTCTGGGAGGTGATTCCTTAGGGGCAATGAAACTGGTGTCTGTCTGCAGAGGCCAAGGTCTTGATCTATCCGTCATCGGCTCTTTTGGCCATCCCACACTCTCAGCGATGGCTGAAGTTGTCCACACCATTGACTCGGAAATGCAGACAGACACAGCAGCATTCTGCATGATTTCTCAGTCTGTTGAGAGCGCATGCATTGAAGCTGGGCAGATTTGTGGAATGGACCGGTCAGCCGTTGAAGATATCTATCCATGCACACCCACGCAAGAGTCCCTGTTTACCTTTTCACTTAAGTCTTTCGAGTCCTATGTTGCCCAGAGAGTCTCCACCATTCCGTCATGTATCAAAATCGATGCTTGGAAGAAGGCATGGGAGGACGTGGTTGCCGTAAGCCCTATTCTGCGCACCCGCGTGGCTCAGCTTCAGGATCCAGGTCTTCAGCAGGTTGTTCTCAAGGAGTCCATCTCCTGGAGGCATTCTTCCGACTTGAAGCAATATCTGGAAGATGACAGGAATGAAAGGATGCACTTTGGTGATAGCCTTGCTCGCTATGCCATCGTTAATGATTCAACTGATGGCAAGCAATACATGGTGTGGACCATTCACCATGTTGCTTATGATGGATGGTCAGAACCTGTGATTCTCGAAAAGGTCAAGAGCTCTCTCAAGAATCAATCTATTGAAATGCAGACACAGATGAAAGACTTTGTCAAGTGGTTCCATGACACGGATCAAGTTGCCATGCAAGAGTTCTGGCGCCGAGAATTGAAGGGTGCTGTCGGACCTCAGTTCCCTCGCCTTCCCTTCCGTGACTACTTGCCAACCCCAACAGGATTTGCTGAGCATAGTATTCCTCTGGAAACAGCTGCTGGGTCTCCCTTCACTCTGGCCACGCTGATCAGAGGTGCATGGGCCCTTGTGGCATCGCAGTACACCGGAAGCGACGATGTTGTCTTCGGTGAAACGCTTACAGGTCGTGACATTCAGCTACCTGGTGTCGAGAATGTGCTTGGTCCACTCAATGCGACCATTCCTATTCGTGTCCATGTCAATCGGAAGAACTCTGTCGAGTCCTATCTCCAGAGTGTTCAGCAAGCCATCTTGGCTCGGACCCCTTACCAACACATGGGAATGCAATTTATTCGCAAGGTCAGCCGAGATGCCCAGCATGCATGCGAGGCAGGCACTGGCCTGGTAATTCAACCTGAACCTGAGTATGAGGTCAGCGAGCTTGGCTTCCAGCAGGGAGATCCTGCGCGCGAGGCTCTCCACTTCAACCCCTATCCGCTCATGCTGGCATGCGGTATTCGGAAGGGAGGCTTTAGAGTCTGCGCAAGCTTTGATACTGGTCTGATCAAAGAATCTCAAATGCAGCGCATTCTAGTTCAGTTGGAGACGGCTTGCTCTCAGTTGAACAAAGATCTTACCAGGAAAATTGACCAGATTTCTTGCTTGCCGGAAGCAGAGTTGAACCAGATTTGGCGCTTGAATGAACTCCCACCCTTGTCTCTGGATGACGTATCTGGAAAACTTCGTGCTGATGCTACTATCAAGCAAGGATCAGTGTATCCTAGAGCATTGGTGCCTTGGGTATGCGACCCACGGAACCCAGGTCTTCTGTTGCCTATTGGCTGTGTCGGTGAGCTCTTGCTTGAAGGCTCCTTGCTCTCGGGTCAGACTATTGAGTCACCCCTTTGGCTTTCTTCTGGAAGTTCTGAGGTTGCGGGCCGCTCTGGAAGAATACAATCGACGGGTGACATTGTTCAGTTGCAAGAAGACGGCAGTCTGGTATTCGTCGGCCGCAAGGAGAACATTGTGCCCGTCCATGGTCATGCAGTGGATATGTCGGAATTTGAGACTCAGTTTGCACGACACCTTCCGGCATCAACTCGCGCTGCTGCTGCCATTTCCAAATCCTCGTTAGAGTCGGAGCTGATCATCTTTATTGAGAAGCAACATTCTCAAGAAGAGACTGTCAATGTCATGTTGGCCAGCCAAGAAATTGTTGACGAGTCAGAATCACAGCAAGTCGAAGCAACTATCTGCTCCACTATTCCTATCAGCCTTGCGGCAGCAATCAGGAAGCTTGACAAGTTCATTCGTGACGATCTTCCGTCACACATGGTCCCCTCTGCATACGTCGTGGTTGCAGAGATGCCAACTTCAAAAGGACAGATTGACCAGGGCCTTTTGAGCCAGGTTGCCTCCAAAATCCCCAAGAATGTTCTCGCTGAGCTTCAAGAAGGCTTCAAGGATGCATGGAAGAGGGCCTCAGCGCTTACAAACCTATCAGCTTCGGAAAGCATTCTTCAGGCTGCCTGGGCCAAGATACTTGGGCTCAGCCAGGACCAGATTGACGTTGATGATAACTTCTTCCGTCTTGGTGGTGACTCCGTTCTTGCAATGAAACTTGCTTCCACTCTCCGTTCCCAAGGGCACATTTTGTCTGTCGCCGATATTTTCCAGCACATGCGCCTCGGCAATGCGGCGAAGATCTTGAAGGTTGGACAGACGGCTCCAGCTAATATTGAGCCCTATAAACCATTCTCCTCCCTGGGTTCAATCAAGAAGGATCAATTTTTGTCTGAGGTTGTTCTACCCAAGCTTGGAAACTCATCCTGGTCTGTTCAGGATGTGCTTCCTGTGACAGCTTCCCAGGCCTTTGATGTCCAGGGAACCTTCCAGATACCCCGTACAGCTGTTCAATACACAATGTTGTACTTCAACAGCGGCATCTATCTCAAGCAGCTGCTCCGTGCGTGCGGTGATCTCGTCAAGACTCACGAAATTTTGCGCACTGTCTTTATCGAGAACGACTCAACCTTCTACCAAGTTGTCTTAAGCGATCTCAATATTCCTGTTACAATGCATGCGACTGATACGGACCTCGAACAATTTGTTGCCGATATCTGCGCCGACCAAACGGACTCCGACTTTCACCTAGGATCACCTTTCTTCAAGATGCACCATGTCGAGGGCAACAATGGCCGAGAGTGTCTTGTTCTGGGGCTGTCTCACGCCCAGTACGACGGAGTGTCTCTTCCCAGACTGCTGCAAGACCTGGAGACCTTGTACACCGGAGGAAAGGTGGCTGACTTCGAGCCTTTTTCCTCTTACTTGGCTTGGACGACCACTGAAAGCGTCCAGATCAAGGCAGTCACCTATTGGCGCAGCCTCCTGCACGACTCAAACCTATCAGTTCTCCCCGGAACTACAACGCAACCCGGAGACAAGGGTACATTCCAGACAAAGGCTGTCGAAAACTTCAAGCCCGTGGAGGAAATTACCACTGCAAACATTCTCACTGCGGCATGGGCCCTTTTGCTGGCTCGCCGTCTCCAAAAGCCGGACATTACATTTGGCAGCGTCACATCGGGCCGCATGATAGATCTACCTAACGCAGAGACCATCCAGGGACCATGCTATCAGCTGACCCCAGTTCGAGTCCCTTTCCAAAACCAGTGGACAGCTATCGACCTTTTGAACTTTGTTCAGAAGCAAAGTGCACAGTCTGTTGCTTATGACTTCCTCGGTTTCGAGAAGATCTCTAGCGAATGCGCACAGTGGTCGTCAGAGGCTGCCGGTTTTGACTCCCTTGTTCACCACCAAGACTGGGATGATTTCGATACCATGCCATTTGCCGGTAGTAGCTGCAAGGTAGATATTTCCAACCCGCATGGAGACTCTCCCAGCCCCTTTAAGGTTGTTTCTTTTATGAAAGAAGAGAAGATGCATGTTGGTGTTGTTGGAAGTGAGAGAGACTCCGCTTTCGCAGGCTCGATTCTCAAGGAGCTGGCTGCTATTGTTGAAGAGATTACTACGCACCATGAGGCTACTTTGCTTGGTGGTCAGCTCTTCTAGATTATGGGCTGCACTGGTTTACTCCTTGCGTAAGTGGACAAGTGCACGAGATAATAGCGGGGAAAGATATTACGAGTTCATCTAGTCGTTGTACTTTCGTCTTCAATAGTTTATTTGATATCTATTTGTTTTCCAATAATCAGTTTCACTCTCAATCCCCTTTTAGTCTTCTGGCGAAGAGACTATGCTTATAATGCGATACGCCATTTGGAACATTCAAAGATTAAAATTGTCTCCAAGCATGCATTCAATCCACATGCTCTGGTTAGACGATGGAAAGACATTGGATTTACAGCTACGAGAATGTAGGTTGCAAAATAAAACTGGCAAAGTGGGAATCGAATTCTAAATTAAATATGCGAAACAAGAAACAAAATTTATAGATAATTTTATCAGGTCGCCACGGTCTGGTGCATGACGTTGGCCCGATAGCTATCCGACCTGTCCAGCAACTCTTCGTGTGTACCAGAGTCAATGCATTTGCCAGCCTCAATCAAGAAGATTGTGTCCGCCTTCCGAATAGTATGGAGGCGATGGGCAATGGCGATGACAGTAATGCCACGAGCAGCCTTCTCAAGACCATCCTGCAGCAACTTCTCGGACTCGGCGTCCAAGGCACTGGTCGATTCGTCAAGGATCAAAAGCTTTGGCTTGCGAACAAGTGCGCGAGCGATCGACAAACGTTGCTTCTGACCACCAGAGAACTGGCTGCCATTGGGACCACACATGGTATCGTAGCCTTCTGGTAATCCGGCAATGACTTCGTGAACGTTGGCAAGCTTGCAGGCCTCTTCGATTTCCTCTTGGCTCGCTTCGTGATCGGGTCTAGCACCGAGACCGATGTTGAACCTGACAGTTCCCTCGAAGAGCACACTCTCTTGGGGCACCAAAGCAATTGAGTCACGGAAAGCCACATCACGGTGCTTGGTTACATCGACACCATCAATGATGATCGAGCCGGATTCTGGAGTGTACAGACGCTCAACAAGGGAGATGATTGTTGATTTACCGGCACCACTGGGACCAACAAGGGCACAGAACTTGCCTGGCTTGATATCAACGCTCAATCCAGTCAATACCTTGATATCGGGGCGAGCAGGATACGCAAATTGCACATTGCGGAACTGGACGCTAGATGCAGGACCACCGGACGGAACAGGCTTTGGCTCGGTAGTGGCCTCAATATCTTCCTCTGCAGAAGTATTCTTGAATGAGCGCTTATCAACACGACCGCGCATTCCGTCAGATCCGATTTCGATCAAGCCCAAGATCCTGGCCATTGCGTTTCTGGCACTGGAAAGCTCAGGCGCAAGTGCAAACATTTGACTCCACAGAAGGGCGCTGACGAGGAGCGAGAACACCACAATTAGGAATTGAGTCTGAGTATAGTTGCCGTTGATAATCTGCTTAGATCCCCACCAATACGCCAAAGCGTTCACGCAGTTACCCAGGAAATAGGTAAGCGCCTGAAACAGACTTGCTTGCAAAGTAACCTTCAGGGTTTCCTGGCGCGGACCTTTCAGGGATCGGCGGTAGGTGACGAGGGTTGCTTCTTCCAAGGACAGCGATGCGACAGTCTTGATAGACTTGATCGCTTCAGTACCAATATCCACGGAATGGGTGTATGCGTTTTCATGCTTCTCTTCAAACTTCCCGAGAACAATGAGCTCCATCATACCAGCCCCAAGAAGAAGGGGAACCAAAGCCAAGCAAACCAGGGCAATTCTCCAGGCAATAATGTGCGTCAAAATAATAGCCGCAACAAGGTTGACGCTAATAGCGAACAGGGAGCCAATAACAGATCCGCTCAATCCAGCAAGAGCATTACCGTCACGGGTGATGTAAGAAAGAAGCAAAGCCGGGGTACGGTTCTTCGATTGATGCCATTGAAGATCCTGCTCAAAGAGCGAACGGAATGACAGGACTCGAGCGGTATACACGACCTTCTCAGAGACCCAACCAAATCCAGCCCAACTGGCGAGGTTCGCAAAGAATTCGATAATTGCGAGAACGAAGAACATCAAACCGAAGAAGTCACCACGGTTGCGAATGCTGTCGGCGCCGTTGCAAGGATTCAAACTTCCAACGGTGTTTCCAAAAATCACAGCTTCGCCAGAGAATGCGCCTCCAACGATAACAGCGCCAAGAATTGCGATCAAGATCATAATCAGGTGAGGCCGTAGGGCTGGCGCGTATCCCTTCGCAAGAACCCACAGTGACTTTTTGGGAGTTTCGGGTTCTTCTGCTTCTTCGGGAGACTCGTCAGAGTCACCAGCAGGTTGTTCGGTCGTGGATATCTGGGCTTCCGCTTTTTCAAAGTCGTTATCAGTGGAAAGACTAGCCTTCTCCACATCGGTGTCGGTCAGAGACACCTGGTCAGATTTGGTAATGCTGTCTTTGCTGGATGCACTACTGAGTTTTCCAGGTGCAGTTCCGAGGGTTTGCAGCTTGACCAGATCGGCGTATGAGCCATCCTTTGCCATCAATGTTGCGTGGTCTCCCTGCTCCAGAATGTTGCCCTTGTGCATGACGATGATGTTATCCGCGCCAGTGATAGTCGACAGGCGATGAGCAATAGTTATGACAGTACGTCCGGCTGTGATGTTATTGATAGCCTTTTGAATACGCTGTTCGCTTCGAGAATCCAGAGAGGCGGTGGCTTCATCCAAAATGAGAACCGCGGGGTCCTTCACAAGAGCACGAGCAAGAGAGACACGCTGTTTCTGACCACCACTGATAAGACGGCCACTTGATCCAACGCTTGTACCGTATCCATACTGCAAATTCACAATGAAACCGTCGGCATCTGCAAGTTTGGCAGCATGCTGAACCAAATTGACAATCTCGACCATGATTGGGCCGCGGGCTTCAGCTGCAGCCGTGATGTCTTTGCCTTCCCTCAGCTCGGCTGCCAGGTCTTCCAGTTCAGTGCCAAGCAAAATCTCCTTCATGTGTGTGTGATCAGGCTTGCTCGAGTTGAGCAAACCATGGGCGATGTTCTCCAACATTGAGCGGTCGAGCAAAGAAGGCTCCTGCTGAACAAGACTGAGGAATCCTCTCAAATCACGAACGTTGACATCGCGAATATCCTGGCCGTCGAAGGTAATCTGACCCTCAGTTGGATCGTACAGTCTTGTGACCAAGCTGGCAATGGTTGACTTGCCGCTTCCAGAAAGGCCAACAAGAGCGGTGTGTTTCTTGGCGGGCAGACTCAGACTGATCTTGTCCAGGACCGTGATTTCCGGTCGAGAGGGATAGATGAACGAAACATCATTGAACTCGAATCCCCCTGGGCTTCGGCGAGGCGAAGACCAGATTCACCAGTGCCATCGATCAGAGACGTGCGATAAAGATCCGAGCGCAGCTTCTCGTAGGAACCGGTAGCTGCCATAAACAGATGGAGGAAGGGTGCGACTTGACTCAAGGTCAAGGTGGCTGTTATTGTGTTAGTGGAATTTGGAGTTTTAAATCACTCAGTCAGACATACCTTCAATCAGAACGAAAATGACGGTGAACACAGCACCAACGGTGGTACCAGATGTGCCATCTTGAACGGAGTCAGCGACCTTCTGACTTCCCTGCCAGAATGCAAGACCGTTGGCGCCATAAGCGACAAAGTATAGGACACCCGATTGAATGCCAATAGCGGTAGCCTTCTTCAAGCCTTGGTGCTCAGACGCCTTGAGGGCGTTAGAGAATTTCTCCTCCAAGCGCTTGTTCGCTCCGAATGCTTGTACAACCACAATGTTAGAAAGACCCTCGGAAGCGATTGAGGCAGCGGAAGCAGCATAGTCAGACATAAGACCAGTATATTTCTCAATATAGTGACTTCCAACAAAGGACATGATGAAATAGGCCGGAATCAGCGAAAGAAGAATAGCCGCGAGCTCCCAATTCTTGATGAAAGCCACAATGTACGCAGTGACGAAGAAAGAGAAACTGGATAGAACGATGCCCGCCTTCTCGGAGGTGCCGGATCGAATGGTCTGAATGTCACTGCTGAGTCGAGAAGCGACCTCTCCGGGAGGTAGCTTATCAAAATGCGATGGTTCCTGTCGGAGCAGGTTTGTAAGATATCTCTCACGTAGCCTCTGGGAAAGACGAGCACCGAACATGGTCCAGCATGTCAAGTGGATGTAGAACAAGACGAATTGGGCAATGGCGAGATAGAAAATCAGAAGTATCTCGTGATTGATACTCCCCTGATAGCTGGCATCAGAGCTTGATGAGTCTCCATCAGACTCATTACAAGACACGGCGTTGAAGTTGTTGATTAGTTGACCGAAAATGATTGCAATAATTGGGAACGGAACACCTGATGCGATGGAGCTGGCGATACCGCATATCAGCATGAGATAGTCGGCTTTTTTAGGATTGGCGGCCAAAAGCAAGCGGGGATAAGCCGCGAGCTTCTTGATCATGGCCATGGTGACTGACGAAGGCGTTAGAACCTTGAAAACGTCAGAGCTTAAAGTTGCGAAAAGCCCGGGGTGAGTTTGCCCGTCACGGACTAGCTCCTAGATGGCGCTGCGCTAGAAGACAGAGGCCGTATTGCCTCAAAAAACACGTCCCTACACTGCCAGAACGCTTCAGGAGGACTAGTCGGCTATTGGGGGCCCAATGGTTGAAACTGATAGTAAGGTGAACATGTGCAGTCTGCACGAAAGAAAAATTCAAGCCCCTGGAAATAGCCAAGAAACAGTCTAGAGATCTGCCGACATCGGTTTGAGCCGGAGACTTGGGATTCCGAATCAGATAAAACCAAAACCCACTCGCTTGAAGAAAAATGAATCATTCAGGAGGCCGAACTTTTATCAGATTTCCCACTGCGGGACCATTGAAATTACACAATTACGAACGTGCGTTGTATTGTATTGAGTGTACAATACATCTGCAAAGTGACAATACACAGAACCGTAAACACGGCCATTGCAAATCGGGTAATTTCCTCGAGCATCGCAGCAGGGACTTGCTGACTCCATATTAATTCGCCCGGGGTGCTTCAAATGGAGCGATTATGACGACTGACGGCGGAGAATACCGCCGATGGGGTTGCAGCGCGTCCTACTGTGGGTACGAATCAGTCATGGCTTTCTTTTCACTTCCTTGGCCTCGTGTAATACCTGGAGCTCTGTTAATAAAAAATTCCCCTCCACTATGAGCGGCATTGCGCGGCTTTATTATGGATCAAGATGCCTTGGTGGCGACAAAGGACGGATCAGATAACCTTGAGCAGAGGACCATTGAATGTGTGGGACCCACTCGCTCATTCGGAGTCATTCCCTAGCCTAATCTCCATCAATCCTAGACTCCGTAAGAGGCCCGTGTGCAGAATAAATTTTCTCATGCCCAGGAGATACTGCCAAGAGACTTCCGAGGTTCCACTCTCTATCCGAGTCGATTCGGAACCGAGCGAGATCCCTAGAACGCAACAGAACAACTATCCGACTTCTCCTCGTGGGCCAAAAGCAACGGTCTTGGCCGTTGACAGAGCAAGAGTCTGCCCACTCTCCTCCCGCTACTTCCGGTGGCCATTCTGTTAATTTATCGAGGGACAAAGTATGGACAAATGAGGTCATGGTCTATTTTGAATGCAAGCGGCTACCTAGGTATATTTTTTGGTCGTTTCGTAGTACAGGCCGAAGCTATCGCCGAGCTTCAGAGCTTGGCATTCCAAGCTGCGCGGTCCGCGGATTCCAGGGGCCGCTCTCGTCCGTCCCAGAAGATCGGGCAGAGCTGGAACCATTTCTCTCGGCTGCAGACCGAGTGGACCGATCGCTTGTGTCCCAGGTCGACGTACTTGCCGATGGTGAGACCCTGGGAGTTTTCGTAGGAAAGAATGGTGGCGCCGGTGGCTTTGGGCTCGCCGACCACGTTAATTGTCCGTGGGTCATCCAAGAAACAATAGTGGATGCAGCTAGAGTACCATGCATTGACCCGGTGTGCTCCCCGGAATGACGCGTCCCCAACAAGCGAGTGACGGCCACGATCATAGTCGTGGGCATCATAATGGGCGCCGTAGTGATCCTCCTAAGATTGAGCGGTCAGCATAAACAAATTCGAGAAAGAAAAAGCCGCAGTGGAGATTTACCTTTGCCCAGTAAAGCTCGTAGTAAGAGAATCGGGTGTTGCCGAAGCGACCGAACAAGCAGAGGACGTGGGGGTTGAAATTCAGTTTGCGCAGGTACTCTCGGTGCTCATCGAGGGTGCCGGTCTCATTCCATCCCTGGGCAACACGAGGGTCGTTTTGCCATGTGTTGAAGAGCTTCAGGTGCTCCTCATTCCGCCAGTCAACCACTTCGAGGGAGAAGTGCTCGTTGACCTCGGGAATATAACGGCTGTACGCAATCGATCCACCATGTGGCTTGGGCCGACGGGTAGGGTGCCGAGTATACACGCGCTCCTCGGGGAAGCTGTTTGTGATCTGATAATTCTCAGGCATGATTGGGTATTGTGCCAAAGGCTGCCGCAGAGGGCCGTCTGTGCCATCTCCAACGACCCAGATGGGGCGAGGGCCGGTTGGGGAGGCCGCACCCTGCCAGAAGGCATTGCGAAGAATTAAAATTTCCTTGGATTCCCAAGTCGGCTTCTTCTTTGCGTCCCAGGGCTGAGGGTGCTCAATGCCCAGACCGGTGACGAGGAGCTCATTTCGAATGATGTCCTTCTCATCCCCAGTCAGGGTAAGTCTGAAGTACTCATATGTCGGATGAGCAAGATAGATCGCATGGACCACATTCCAGATCTGACCCAGGGAAGGGGTAGTGCCATTAGCCCAGTCGAAGACAGTCGAGGGGCTTCGGCAAGCTCTTGCCCAGGGAGTGTTATCATTGTCCGGTGGGCAAGTTTCTTTGGGCGGAAGAGACAAATCGAGCCAAGACAGTGAATCGGAGTGAAGCGGCTGCGGCAAAACCTTTCCATCCGCGGGAAGGTTCTCCAATCTCAAGACCAGCTTGGAAGGATTCGTCTCAGCGGCAGCTTGCACTTGGTAGGCTGTCAAGTAAGGATGCGGTAGCTTGACCGGAGGGTACTTCTGTGCAGGTAAAGAAGGCATTGTGAAGTGTAATCAGGCAAGAGCCGTACGTTATCTGAGGATAGACGTAGAAAGTAACTTCTGCAGCCACAGACGTAATTAAATTAAGTGGCCACAAGAGGCCGGGGAAACAAAGTTGCTGAAGAGGCGGTGACAAGGTCCAAGGGAATGGGTTCCAGGCTATATAGCTTCTTTGTCTCAGAGTATGTGGTGGGTGGAAGTACCAGCCTCGGTACTTGCTGCCTAGATTGAGCACGCGGGTCAGTAACGCTATCTCCGACCCGTCTAAAATCAGATCGAGTACCAAGGACCGATATGAGAAGGATTTTTTCTGGCGAGCAATAGAACTAAAATAGCTGGGGTGGGTCAGGGTCTTATTTCACAACCGGAGCCGTCCAGCCAGGCGTGAGGAAAATGCCCCAGTCATACCGACATCTACCGGGGTTAGGCCGCAGAGATCCGAGGTTACGGTACGTAAATCCGATAAACGAATCATTTAATGGCCCACAGGATATAAGACACGGCCTTTATCTGCTTATCCTTGTCCCCAGTGCATCCCACTCGCAGGCCGATCCAACCATGTCTCTACGGTCAAGACCCCTGAACTACGAACATTTTAATGTCTCGTTTCCGCACGAACGAGTGGTCCAGGTCACTTTGACCCGAACTGACAAACTCAATTCCATCAACAAAGCTACCAGCCGAGAGATTCAGGAGGTCTGGGAACACTTTGATCTGGACGAAAGCCTCTGGGTTGGGATCATCACTGGCACCGGCAGAGCTTTCTGTACCGGAGCTGATCTTCATGGTCTGTTTCGCCTCGAGCTCCATATAGATCTAGAACTCTATTCTCTTGAGCAATTATTGACGAGGATCTACAGAGTGGAATGCTATGAACAAGGCCGGCGTCGTCAACAAGATGGACGCACCAGGCCTCGCCGGGCTTCCTCGCCGAAGTGGCAAGAAGCCGATTATCGCAGCTGTCAATGGCATTTGCATGGGCGGGGGATTCGAGATGATGGCAAACTGCGATCTCATAATAGCAGCTTCGACCGCAATCTTCTCTCTTCCGGAAATCAAGCGCGGGATCGTGCCGGTAGCGGGATGCCTTCCACGGCTGACTCGGACGATTGGACTGCAACGTACAACAGATCTCGTGTTGACAGGAAGGAATGTGAGCGCTCAAACGCTCTATGAATGGGGTCTCATCTCGCAAGTGGTGGATTCGCCCGAGGGTGTTGCCAAGGCCGCCTTACAGGTGGCCCAGGAGATGTGCAAGAATAGCCCCGACGCTCTGATTGTCGGCCGGGAAGGAATCCGACTCAGTTGGGAATCAGGAAGCGTGGAAGAGGCCGTTACCACGCTAGCAGATGAATGGTATCCTCGATTGGTTGCTGGTCGCAACTTCGCCGAGGGTATCCAAGCGTTCGTGGAGAAGCGAGCACCGGTCTGGACCAATTCCAAGCTGTAAACGGATGACTGCGCACGGGAGTTCGGCATAAAAAAAGGAAACCCGCATCAGATTCAATCAAATACCCCCTGTCGTGGCGTTCCTGGGTAGAGCTTTTCCGCCGTAATGTGGTCGAGGTCATTCATGTGGAGAGGTCTCAGTTATCAGATGTTGTCCTTGGCGTATCATCAGAAGCGGGGTGGTACCTACCATTCCGGGTTGTCAGGTCCGAATAACTGACATGCCCTATGACCTCCGCTCATGTTCGGCCTTTGGTGATTGCAACCTTCCTGTAACCCTCAAACGCCAGAGTAACTGCCCCATTTATTCGGGCGCTATCCCGTGCTCCCCTGTCAGCTCTTGATTCACCGAAGATCTCATTAAAGTTTTCATGAAAATGAAAATTTTATCTGATGACGAGCGTTCCAAGGTTGATAATGGACCTAGCAAGGTCTCCATAGGCCGTAGGATCTGATAATACCAGACCTCCACCTAGCACGACAATCTCTCAAGCCGTGTATGTATAACAGGATGCGGTAAAGTACGGACTGTATGTATGGTATTTGATTACGTGGGAGTGTTTATCCGGTATTACCTCGGGCATCACTCAGCATTTCCTAAGCAAAGCCCTAAAAAGTCTGGGCATCAAGTACACACCAGGAGAGAACGTAGCCCTAGCCCTAGAATTCCTTAGGAAACGGCCACAAGCGCAACGAGTTAGGTAACAGCAACGGGTGATTCCGAACGGATCCCTCAGGAATGATCTGGGCTGATCAAAGTCGGTTGCTCTGACCCGATGTTGGCCCCGGGGGCTAAACAAGATCTGATAATTATCGGGGGTTTTTTTTAGAAAAAGAAATAGAAATTTCTTTTTGGAAATTCAGCGCGCTTTCCCTGCGACTTTGCGCGAGAGCCGAGAGAATTCCAGTGCTTGTGGCTGACAAGCTCCACTGGTTATTTCCCGGGCGCGGCCAAGCGAAGCTTGATGTGGATGAAGCACCAACGCGCTATGCCGATTCAGGAATAGACTGTACTCGATTCTCGCTAGATAAGATCACACGGACATCTGATTAGATCGCGCCGTCGGCCTAGTCCGGTTTCCTCCCAGTTGACTTTTGCCCCCAGTGGGACCCTCTGTGGATTCTCCGAGCATGGCCGGAGCGTCTTACGAGGGAAAAGATTTTCATTTTGGTAAAACGGGCAAATCAAAGGTTAAGCCAAGCCAAATCCCCCGTTGTCGTCCGCGTGTCTGAGCTACGCATGCTTGTTTTCTTTCTTTTCTCGAGTTTCGGCCCAAAACAGCCGATCTCGGTCCTTACATTTTATAAAGACAAAGGCTTTCCTGGCTATCTTTGATTCTACCACAGTCAAATCATCATGGGTCTTCGTCCTTTGATTCGGAGAGGCCGTGCGGTCTTCCGCCGCATCAAGCTCGACCAGGTAGAGGCTGCTACAAGCAGCTCCGTCGATGCGGACGTTTCCAGAACTACCGTTGAGCCGGAAAAGAGCCATGATAGAGAAGCACAGACTCCTCCGGCTGATTCCGAGACAGTTGTCGCCACAAACGGTAAAGGAGTTGCGCCCGTTCCCTATGATGAGCTCCAAACCGGTGTCAGGGATGTCGAAGCCCTTGCTGAGACCTGGTCCAAGGGAGCCTTGATCGCGGTCTTTATCAAGTACGTCAATTTATGGACACCGACCTGTTCTATCAAGCCCACTAACACACCTTGATAGCATCTGGTTCCTTTACTTTGTCTATGCTTTCGTCTCCTCGGTCAACGGCAGCTTGTACAGTTATGTCGCGAGTTCATTCCAGCAACATTCACTTTCCAGCCTGCCCACCCAACTCTCCGATGCTTTCTCAGCTGCATGTTTTATTCCCGTCGCCAAGGTCCTTGACACCTGGGGTCGTCCTCAGGGCTTTGCCTTGATGTCTTGCTGCGCCACTATTGGTATCATTCTGATGGCCTCCTGCAACAGTTTTGCGGTCTATTGTGCTGGAAACATCTTCTTCTACATGGGCTTCGGTGGTATGGAATACTGCGTCGATGTTATCACCGCCGACATGTCCCAGCTGAAGAACCGAGGATTGGCCTACGCCTTCACTTCCTCTCCCTTCATCATCACTGCATTCGCCGGCCCCAAGGTTGCGGACGAATTCTACTACCAAGTCAGCTGGCGATGGGGTTATGGCGCCTGGGCAATCATCTTCCCGTGTTTCGCTGCTCCTTTGTACTTCACCCTGAAATGGAACCTTAACGAGGCGAAGAAGCAGGGCAAGATTGTCCGAGAGGAGAGTGGCCGGACTTTGCCCCAAAGCATTTGGCATTGGTTTATCGAGTTTGATTGTAAGTCTCTACCGGCGGCTTCCCTTGTTTGATCCTGTGTGGAATAAGTAATCCTGACTTTCCCATCTAATAGTCATCGGTGTCTTGGTGTTTACTGCCGGTCTCGTCCTGTTCGAGCTGCCCTTCGATATCGCAAGTGAAGCTCCTAACGGCTGGGGAACTGGTTATATTATCGCTATGATTGTGGTCGGGTTCTCCATGCTCTTCTTCTTCGCGATATGGGAGAGATACCTTGCGCCGAAGCCTATGATGGACTTTACCTTCCTGACTGACCGGACGGTCATCGGTGCCTGTCTTCTGGATGCCACGTACCAGCTCTCCAACTACTGTTGGAGCATGTACTTCGCAAACTTCTTGCAGGTTGTCAATGACCTGAGCATTACCACCTCCGGATACGTTACCAACGTCTTCGACGTCGTTTCGGGTCTTCTTCTCCTCGGTGTCGGTTGGGTTATTCGCCGCACTGGTTACTTCAGGTGGCTCTTGTACATCGCTGTGCCTCTGTATATATTTGCACAAGGCTTGATGATCTACTTCCGCCGTCCTGATCAGAGTGTTGGCTACCAGGTTATGTGCCAGATCTTCATTTCCATTGGTGGTGCGGTCTTCATTATTGTCGAGCAGCTCGCTATTTTGGCTGCCGTCGACCATCAATACGTTGCTACTGCCCTTGCTATGCTGAACGTTGTGGGCACTATCGGTGACTCTGCCGGTATCACCATTTCCACCGCGATCTGGACCAACACCTTCGAGCCTGCTCTGCAACGCTACCTCCCCGAGTCGGCCTTGTCTGACATCGACAACATCTACGAGAATATTGAAGCCCAGCTCAGTTACCCCGTCGGATCTGCTGCAAGAATCGCCATTCAGAAGGCTTACTCCTACGCCCAGGTCAGAATGCTTGCAGCTGGGTTAGGTGTCATGGGTCTCGGACTCATCTGGACGTTCGTGATCAAGGACATTAATCTTAAGAAGATCAAACAGGTCCACGGCACTATCTGGTAAGATATTTGCTTATACATGGGCTTGCGAAGGATAGTATAAACAATCTCAGGTTGGCGCTCTCTAGGCTTGTGAGCACCACTTTTTGCTAGATTCTTCACTATCTGTTAGATTGACCCAATCAAGGCTGTCCTCTCGCATACCCTGTCCGCTTCCCTGATTGTTTCTTGTCTGCTCTGTCTCGCCTTACCGCGTAGATTGATCCTTGTCCTGGATGTATCCCCCAAAAGTTCGTAATAATTAATAAATACCCCTGTTTTTCTTCACGCCCATTGGCTTGTATCATCATTCCCTATTTAAATCGATTTTCGCCAGCCCTGGCTACTTTATTATCGTTCAATTCTTCTAGTTTCTGAGCACAAGTTCTTCAATTAGCAAATGCCTTCCATAACTTCTAGTAATCAATAAAGATTTCTCGAACATTTGCCGAGTGATCATTTCATAAAACTCGTAGCGCATCGTGGTTCTACTCATAATCAAATTTGAGAGCTGGATTAAATTCCACGGTCCATTCTACGATCATTGAGCCACTTGCTGTGTTGGCGTTAGCCAATTAATAGTCCGTTGGGCCCATATATACTTCGATCTACCCACCCGAGCTACGACTTTTAGCTCCGAGCCTTGTTGCTGCTGAAGTGAGTACCGACGTCGGCTTTTACCTTCGACCAGGTGTGGGGTTCAGAGAGCGGTCCATATGTAGTGTGCTTATAGACAGAAAATTACTTTCAACCTCCAACTTTGAGATCTATCACTATAGAATTTGAAGTAAATGTGAGATTTCTGCTGCATGTTTCCTACAAATCTCAACTGCTGCACCACTTTCAAATTGCTGAATTACAATAACTACGTCAAGTGAAGTTTAGCGAACTTTAGAATGGGATGCCTGTTCAATGGGCTGATGGGCCTGTTGGACAAATCTCCGCCTATATTTAGTTCTTCACCTATCCAAGTAGATAAAACTTTTACTTTCGTGCTGATTTCCCCAATATTCAGATATCAAGCGGGAACAATTTGCTAGAAAATGGCCTGTATGGTTTTCAAACGCAACTGAGGTATCCCTCGGGGCCGTGAGCCGAAGCATGGGCTCAGGAATGAGGGGCAGGCCAGTATGACTCGTATCAGTCAATCAGATAACCCTCTATTGATTTAAGTGACTTGCATGTGCAAGTACGACGATGATCCGATTCCAGGTGTAAGCAGGATGGTCAGATCCCAGCTTGAGTATAAATAGGGCCACAATTTCCTGGGATAGCGAATCTTCATCACAACCCCGAAAATCAAAGCCACCTTCAATCCAACAATACTTTGAATCCAGTACCTCACCATGAAGGTTTTCAGGCACACACTAGTTGGCATTCTCCTCGCTTTTTCCATTGCCTCCGCTCTACCCACCCCCGATTAGAAGAAGGCTCCAAGAAGTAAAGGTCGAGGCCACTACCAAGTACTAAGAATAGAAACGCAGATGCTTGTATCAATGAGGGTGTTGCCTCGTCTCTGCCTGGACTGCTTGGACCTTTTGAGTTTGTCAATAGGGAGATCTCAAGTGCTGCTATTCGTCGCATGTCTTTTTTGGACATATATATTTATGGCGTCTAGAACACCTAAACTTTTCGCAGATTAATCCACCTGAGCACCCTTGCTTCTGCTAGCATGCCTAAACTAGTTCCCAGCCTTGAAAGCTTACGGTCTCGGGCCACTTGAGATATCGAACCAATCGCCTGTTAGATTGTAGCCTTCGGGTGAATGACCCCGAGAGTTCCACGTGCTTCGGTCAACTCCCATCGCCGTGCCACACTAAAAGTAAAAAGCAACGATAGGCGGTATACCATATAAAATGAGGTCTTTTCTTCCAAAAGAACAGCAAACATTTTAGTTGACATATGAAGGTCAAGCCCGCTGCAGAATATCCTCTCTAGGGTGGGTCGGGGGATTAGCCTAGTTTTCCCCCGGAGAGTTCTCCAAGGCTTTTCTGCTCCCAGATTCGAATGCTGACTTTAATGCAGGGCTGTGTTTTGTTTATTATTTTGTCAGTCTTGTTGCTGGAGCCTAACAACCCCTACAACTGCCTGCCTAGCAGGAATCTCTCGATTGTAAAGAACCATTCGCTTTCAATAGTAGAAACGTCTCAATGGCTTCAAACACACTTGCCATTGTAGTCACTTGCCATTGTAGTGTTGAAAGATGCTCTTTCCAAATTGTTGGCCTATCTTCAAATCATAGAGACTGTGGACAGACTACTATGATAGGAACCTGGTATGTTGTCAATTGTCTAGTTCTCGTTGGGTGAAAGATTCACTTGATCTTTCTCGATTTATAAATCGGAATGAAAACTTTTTGTGTCAACATTGGAGTTTATCTCTCAATATTCCCTCTTGTCAGTTTTTTCTCCTAGGGTTTAGACACGTACTCTCCAGATATCAAGCCCTGTCATCCTCTTGAATGAGCTGACTTCTTCCTGCAAGCTCACATCTTCTACGTGTTGATATCCCACCAACATATTCAGTTACGCTCATCTTTCCTCATGAACTACTAAGGACTTCCCAGATCAGTCTTCGTTCCTCTGTCTCATTTACTTCTTCATCTGATCTGGACAAGAAGCTCACGGTATTTTCAGAGTGTCCATATTTCATCAACATGGATCTCTGGCCCTGTGGGCGTCTCTCAACAGCATCGGATAACGATCCTCCCCCACAACCCCCAGATCCAACAATCAGTTATCGTCAAATTTCTCACCTGACACAAACATATTCTGTCGCCGACTTTGACAGGGTTCGCACCCTCAGCCATGTGCAGACTGACGAGTTCATGAGATGGCCTTTTCCAGCCGAGAGGCGTCTGCCGGATATTGGCGTCTACTTGGCGCTCAAGACCTTATCTGCGGAAGAGCGTTCTGAGCGCTACCCTGTGGATTTCGACTGGCGTGGAAATATTCGAGTGGGCCGCAAGCCCTGCGGAGAGCCCGTCGTTGTACAGGCATACGGCCTATTCTGGATTCCTGTATGGAAGAAGTCAATTATCCTGTGCGGCGAAGAGTTGGGTGAAAGACACGGCTGGGTTATCAGACCTCCACCCTCATCGGAGCCCTCAGAGCTCGAGCCCGCATTCTATGCGGGGCTCGTGCTCCTCCCATCGGACTATCAGAAACGGAAATATGTGGAATTCTTGCGATGGGACTATGGCCGCGCTATCAACGCCAAATGGAATCAACGGGTTACTGAGTTCAATGCTCATACCGATTTCACACGTGGCTGGGATCAGAAAGTTCTCGAACTCACCAATGCTCCCAGTCCAAGATTCGAAGTCATGCGGACCATTCCTGGTTTTCGTATGACCGCTGTCAATCCAATCGTGGACATCGACTGTAGCCATGCTCCAGTCTCTTGTATTCCGAATCACGCTGCGCTATATAAGCTGCCATGGCAAGCTGATCCTTGGGCACCGCACCCACGAACTGATACTTGGTCCTTCGACCCTCTCCTCCAGAGACCGTTCAATCCCCTCCCGGTGCAATTGATAATTACTCGCTATGACTGGAACAACCTTCGTGGTAGTCATACCTGTGATAACTGGCTTGTGCTGTTTGCTGAAATCATGTGGCGGGTGAAATCTGAGCCTGAGCAATCTGCATTTAGGGCCTTCAGTAAAGCACTCCTTCACCGTTGTGAGATTTCTACGTCTTTCCCTGATTCGGCAAAGGGCTTCAATATGCTGTCTTCCAAGCAAATATCCCTTGACGGACGGGGTGGTTCGCGAATTCTTCAATTCATGGAAAGCTGGGATGATGCTCAGCAGAGGGTTCGCAGACTCGGAGAGACCCGTCTAACGAATGTCTTCGCCCATTTCCTTTGCTCCATGCAGACTCCATGCCTAGCAGTCAGGCCCTTGCTTCTTGACGCAGTGCAAGACCTCGCACATTATCTGAGCTTTTCGACGTCTTTCAGCTATGAGAGTTTCTTGGCATTCCTGAGAAGTGCTTCTCGCCGTGAACGCTCGTAAATGTCATTTCTCAATCGGACTGTCATATTTTGGCATTTGTGCATCTGCAATAGCTCTATCTATCTCTGCTGTTGTATAAATATCACCTAGCTGAGATAATAGAAACAAATCTCTCCAACCCTGTCCTGGCAGCCCGTAACCACCAATCAAGATAAGACAACTGTATGAATATGCCAAGAAATACTAACAAAGATATGGAGAATCATATTCAGGAATATGTCTTCAAAGAGTGGCTTTTCAAGGTCTTTCAGAGACTTTTTCATCACGAGGTTTCAAAAGATTTATATTATGTTAAATATAGTCCAGGATGTACCTGCAGGAGATGCGCATTGCCTTTACTACAACTTTATTGCTGCTTGTTTGGGCAATTTCGATCGTACATGCAAGGTCGGAGTCGGGCGTAAGTATTGGAGTAAGAATTGACAGCATAAGAACGCCCCACAGTCTCCATCGAAGTAGCCATACGGGTCTCCGCAGAATTTGGGTTCGTTCTTTAGTATCATCTCGCCATGCGCTCATTCTGCAGATCCATAGGCCCGTTGAGCCTTGCCCTATGGCCAGGCCTGGCCCTTTGCCTCTTTACAATGCAGATTAGTGCAGGAGAAGACAGAGTGGAACATTCGACCTATGCATAAGAAGCTGTATAACTAACGAGTGGGATAACCTGCTTTCTTTCTCGCCCGACGGGAAGAAGATCGTGTTTACCCGCAAAACCGGTCCCATTAATCATGATGTCTGCACAATGAACCCTGATGGCTCAGGCACAAAGGTGTCATGATGTTTGGTCTTACGATGGTCGCATTACTTACTCCACTAGCATATTCTGAGTGCAGTACGATCGCGCTCTGTACGATCAAACTTCCCAGCCTTATGGTCCGATTCATATTATGAATGCGGACTGCTCAGATAGATCTACCTGGACGGATATCATCTGGTAGGATAGCATGCCAGTGTTTGCTCCAAACAATGCCCTTGAATACAGCCTTGAAATGGCTCGGAGAAGCGCGGATATAGATCGGTTCTAGATCTACGACACCTGTTCTAATGATCATGGATCTTCTTTGAACTCAACACTCGGGCCGTATCAATCGGAGAAACAAGAAAAGGGCTGATGGGCAAAAGGCGAAGGAGGCTACCGAGATGAAGTGATGGCAAGAGACTTGAACTCGGATAAGCAGCCCACGGCAACTTCCAAGGTTCGATGCCACTAGTATGTGGGGAGTCAAACCACCCCGCGGCTGAAGAGAGATGCAGGCTGGCGTACCCTTGCCCAAAAAGAGTCTAGTGGACCAAAACCGGTTCCTTGGCCTCGGTCTGGGGCGCGATGGTTACCTAGGTCTTGTGGAATGACCGAACTGAAACAGGGGTCTAAAGTCTCCTTGACAATTGAACTCCGAGAACCGCAAAGGATTGTCATTTGCTGCAACAATAAAACACCTGCCAGAATGCAGCGTGATTGCGATCTCGGGGCTGTAAAATCCGAGACGCGGATATGTAGGGTTGCCCGAGCAAGCAGGTGGCGACGCGCACTGGGAACTCAGGGATAAAACGCCGAGACTCTCTGGAACCTGGTCTCCATCGAGACGTCTGCCTAGTGTGAGATCCAGCACGCGAGTTGGATGGGATCGGCACATTTTCCGGCGCGAAAGAGCTGTTTTGGATCCACTCCCAGAACCTTCTGGGGCGTCAAGCTCCTTCATTCCTTCTAGAGCCTTAAAATCTGTCTCTGAATCTCTGGTTCCTAGGCCATTTGATCCTGATGCATGCCGACCACTCTGCAGTTGATCAGTCTTTAAAATGCTGTGACACCTGCACTCAATTGATGTGAAGGGGGCTAGGGATGAAAACCCAAGAGCAAGCGGTTTGGAGACGCGACTGGGGCTCAATCCCTGCACCCCAGTCTGGAGCTCCCAAAGGTTCAGATTGCCAATTAGATCCGTAAATCCGTGTTGTGGTCCTTAACGCGTCCACCGGCGCGTGCATTGATCGGCTACAGGCTTATCTGATCTTTATTCAGCTGCCATGCCAGTGGAGCCCATTACGTCGAGCTGAAAATTTAATATTGGCCCGACGCGTCTGTCAAAGCGCGTGTTGTGTTTCATCTCTATATGGGTTTGGTAGCTACTATTTGTGTGATTATGCGTGTATCCTAGGGTGCCATGGTAGCTGGCTTAATTGTTGTCAAGATGATAGACTCATAGAGAACGCCCACAATCAATAGAAGCTGCATACTAGAAGCCCAGAAAACCCTGTCAAATGCCCGTCGAGGGGGGCTACCGCAGGCACGGCCATGGATCGACTGCCCTAGCGTCGGATGTTGCTGGAATTGCAGTGGCATGAGAATTCCAAGCCCGCGATTTCCCCTTTGGGACGACGCGCCTTGCGTCCTGACTAAGCCCGTCGCGAAGTCACGTGGTGCGCGACCTAGTCCGTCGCGCTAAAAGATTCACGCCCGCCAACTACTTAATCGATTCTTCTTCCCACCCAGCTCCCACATTCCTCTTCCCTTTCAAGCCTCTTGACTTTTTGTCTATCTCTGTGACTGTCTTGCAAGCAATTGACCTTTGCCTTCAGTCTCTAGACATACTTCCCAATGGCCGCCCAACTTACTCCCTCGAAGCAGGTACGTGATGTCACGACTGTCGCCTCTCGCGATAGACGCGTCGCGGTGAACATTTTCACTAACCAGTACCCCTCCATAGGCTGCTTCCTCCCTCGAGAACCTCAAGATGAGCGATTCTCCCGTCAAGAAGCTCGACTTCCAGTCCGCTGGCAAGGAGAACATCGCGTCTTACAAGCCCACCGACGCGCCTGTCGACAAGATGGGTGACAAGATTGTTGAGGTCACCAAGGTCGCTTCTGGCATCAAGGAGATCGAGGCCAATGAGCCCCTCCTCCAGGAGAACCCCCACCGTTTCGTCATGTTCCCTATCAAGTACCACGAGGTATGTCATGTCGTCGACGCGTCCATGTTCACGCGTAAAGTGGCATGGACGCGAAGCACCCGCAATATCCATCCACTCTCACGAGCCAATGGCTAACAATTGCTTCTCTGCATTAATAGATCTGGCAAATGTACAAGAAGGCCGAGGCTTCCTTTTGGACCGCTGAGGAGATTGATCTGTCCAAGGATCTCCACGACTGGCACAACCGCCTGAACGATGACGAGCGCTACTTCATCTCCCATGTCCTTGCCTTCTTCGCTGCCTCCGACGGCATTGTCAACGAGAACTTGGTTGAGCGTTTCAGTGGAGAAGTTCAGGTTCCCGAGGCCCGCTGCTTCTATGGCTTCCAGATCATGATGGAAAACATCCACTCCGAGACCTACTCTCTGCTCATTGATACTTACATCAAGGAGCCCAAGCAGCGCGCCTACCTGTTTGACGCTATTGATAACAGTATGTTTCCCCACACTCAATCCTGTTGACACATCCGCTAACATATCTCCTCTAGTTCCCTGCATTGCCAAGAAGGCCGACTGGGCCATCAAGTGGATCAACGACCGCGACTCCACCTTCGCTCAGCGTCTGGTTGCCTTCGCTTGTGTTGAGGGTATCTTCTTCTCCGGCTCTTTTGCCTCCATCTTCTGGCTCAAGAAGCGTGGCCTCATGCCTGGCCTGACATTCTCCAATGAGCTGATCTCTCGTGACGAGGGCATGCACACTGATTTCGCCTGCTTGCTTTTCTCCCACCTGAACAACCGTCCCACGCCCAAGATGGTCCAGGACATCATCGTTGAGGCTGTTGGCATTGAGCAGGAGTTCCTGTCGGACGCTCTCCCCTGCGCTCTCCTTGGCATGAACTCCAAGCTGATGTGCCAGTACATCGAGTTCGTCGCTGACCGTCTCCTTGTCGCTCTCGGCAACAAGAAGTACTACAACGCCACCAACCCCTTCGACTTCATGGAGTCCATCTCCCTGGCTGGCAAGACCAACTTCTTCGAGAAGCGTGTTGGTGATTACCAGAAGGCCGGTGTCATGGCCAGCACCAAGAAGGACACCAGCGGTGCCGAGGGCCAGACGAGCTCCGGCAGCGACGGTCTCAACTTCGACGAGGATTTCTAAACAATTTACCTCGCATCTTCCCTCCCCTCTCCCCCTTTTATTTTATACCCTGAGCTGCGAGGCTCTCCTCGCGCCGTTTTCCCCATGATATCACGCTGCTTTTTTTTTTTCTTTTTGTGCTTTTATTGATTGACGGATTTTTAAGGGCTACGCATGGGTTTGGCGTTGATTGTTTGTTTTTCTTCTTATTCTGTCCTAGACTTGCGCCATGGTGTCTGTGTCTAATATGGGATGGATGGTGGATATGTGTATTTAGATGTTCAAATCACTTGTTAGTGTATAATCCCCTTTTGGCATAAAGCTTGTGTTCGTAATATAGTTCATATCTTATGCTGTAAGTGAGATAAATCATATCATATCTTGTAACTCATGCTTGGGTTACAACCCAGCGAATGCCATTCCACACTGGCGCAGCCATCTATGAATAAAGTCATTATCGAGCTTCCCCTACAACCCAACACATCCTTGATTCAAATCATCTCCTTCATCGCTTTCCCTTCCCACCCTTCTTCTTCCCCTTCCCTCCTTGCGCCTGTCCCTGAGCCTGTCCCTGTCCCTGTGCGGCCCCCTTACTCTCCTCCACAGCAGGCGCATCAACCATCTCGACATCCGCCGGCCCCGAAACACCCAAACTAGCCACGTCCGCCCCGCTAGCAAGCTTTCCCAGCCCGGTCATCAGCCGACTGACCTCGGCGGCCTTGTTCGTGCGGTACTTCAGGCAGATGCCTGCTTCGGCATTGAATGTCTTCAGTTCCAGTGCTGCTACGGGCGCGGATGGCGTGGACTCTGTATCGGCGCGGGTGGACTTAGCCCGGTGGGCTTTTTCTGAGGGGCGTTCGGTCGGGAAGCTGTATTTTGTTGTGATGCGCTAGGTTGGGGGTTAGTTTGGGGAATGGGTTCGTAATGTGAGTGGCGTGGGGTGGAGGGGTGGAGGGATGGAGGGATGGAGCATTGGAGGGATGGAGGGGATTGGAGCTCGGCTTACTGAATCGGGGTACGCTTCAAGGAGGAGCGCGGACTGCTCCAGGTATTCCTGGGAAGTGGTGAGGTAGGGCATGGTGGGGGACGAGAGCCGGTCTCGCTTTTGGGATAGGTGTTGAGTCGGAGCGCGGGATAGTGTGGGTGAATTGGGGGGTCGACTTGAGAGATGCCGCTGGTTAAGAATAGACAGAACTTTCAGGTCTGTCTTGTTCAAGATGCCGAGGAATTGGAAAGGTGGGTGGTGGTTAGGGAAGTCCGGGGTGTGAAGATCGCAGTTATCAACGCCGGACTTTTTCCATGTCTTGGCATCGGCCACTCGTGTCTGATCTAGACAACACAACTACCGCGGTGGTTAGCGCCATCGTGCGCCGATGCTAATATAAGCGGCCTTTGAACACTGCTATTCTCCGCCCTATTTCCTAAGAATCTCGGCCAATGTCTCCTTCATGCCTTCTATATCCAGCTGATAGGTCACCTTTTCTTCTCAGTCGCACTATTGCGCTAATCACTGCAGTACACAAGTAAATTGAGGGTTTCAATAGTTTCAATGAAGTGACCACTTGCAGATCTACGTTTTCACTCACTATCTTTACATTCAAATATTGTACAATAGTCGAGCAGAAAATCCTGCTCAATGTTGAAAAACATGCTCTTGCCATGGCAAACATCCTATACAGAAGTAGAAGCCCAATAATTCTCCAAGTATGGCACAAGAGGACACCGCCAAACCAAAGCTCCCAAAGAAATGGCAAAAGGAAAAACATACAGGATCATCAAACCATAAATCATTGTAAAAACGGAGAAAAAAAACATTACGCAACCGTTTGATTGCACTGGACGCAAATCAACTTCTGCTTCCCATCTCGTCCCTTGACACCGCGGAAGTTCGTTCCCTGGCAATTGTCGCACTTGAGAATATCCTCCTCCGCCGAGCCACCGGTTGACGAGCCATAGTCACTACTGAGCGTACTACCAGCCGTACTCAGTCTGCGATCACGGATGGAATTCGGGCTAAGGAGATCATTATTGTTGCGCTGCTTCATCGCTAGAGCATCGTGAGTGATCTTGTTCCAGTACGCATAGCTGTGATCTCCCTGTAACCATAGCGGATTGTCTTTGCTCTTGCCGCTGGATATAATATCGGCTGACGATGCAGGCAGCTTTCTTGGATCTGCGTCACGGCCGGGCATGGTGCGAGCTTCTTGCTCTCCAAGCTGCTCCCCTGATTGCTCGCTTATATTGGGATTTTGAGCGAGCGGCCGTTGCGGAGATGGGGCTGGAGATGTGACAGCGGAAAGAGATTCGTTGGGAGCCAAACTTGACGGTCGAGATGAGGTGAGTCGGAAGGTCGGTGTTGGTCGGTGTGGAGGTGATGGACTGCGGCTTCGGAGCCCGGCGCGAGAACTGTCCATACTGGTGCGGCCATGGCGGACGACTGAGTTTCGCCATGAGATAATTCGCTCGGAGGGTGTCTTGAGAGTAGAGTCCTTTCCGGTCGAGGAGGCGACGCTATGGCGGCCGGAGTTAGAGCGCCGGAGAATTCGTCGCGAGAAGGTTGAACTTTCATGCCAGTTCTCATGTTTGCGCTTCTGATATGCGCAATCCTGTCGAAGAATCTTGATCTTTCCGGAGTAGTCGGCGATGACGATAATATTTCCGTCCGGGTGGGTCGACCGGGACAGATACGAAGGGGATTCCTGTGCCATTTTGCTGACAATAGACAAGCGCGGTGCCGACGCAGTTCGCTTGTGTAGGCTTTCCGTATCCCGTGAGGAGTCTGCTTTCTTGGCAGATGCTTCTGGACTCATGAGAGCGACAGGTGGCGGGTTGCAGAGATCATAGATTGGATCGTCAGATAGTCCCAGGGCTTGTTTGGTCGCCGTAGGTGCTGTGATGGCCACGGTCACAATTGCGCCTTGGGTTTCGAACACTTCGACTGCCCGAGCATCTCCGTCCTTTTCAACAAAGCCAATTGGCCAAACGTATGCCTTGCGATCCTCACTACCACAAATGACATGCTTGCCATCGTCGGTGAAAGTTGCCCGAATCTGGCTACAGGTGTTCTCGTTGCCGCGGAACTTGGCTTCCATAGTTCGCTCCTGGAAGTTGTAGAGTCGAATGCGAGAATCATTAGTCGTGACGAGCAATTTGATATCGCCGTTGGGATTATCATGCGGAACCATCATCGTGTCAATCCCGGTGATTTTGTTGCCTTTGGAGTTGCGTCCACGGGCCGATCGAACATGGATCTGCCCCGATACTTTGAGACCCTCGGTGTCGTAAATGTTCAGCAACCCGTTCAAGCATCCCGCCATGGCGTACTTGCCATCGGGTGTGAAGCCAACTGCAGTGATCATGTCGGGTACAGTTGTCACGAATGCGACGCTTTTGTCCGGAATGCTCCATAAGCGCAGCTTTGTATCGAGTGACCCGGCGAGGAAGAACCTGTCATCCTTAGGGTGGAACTGGATTGAAGTGACAAAATCACTGTGCTGGAAGCAGCACAAACATTCCGGTCGACTTGCATGCCATAGCCGAACAGTCTTGTCCATGGAAGAGGAAAGGATGAAGTTGTTCTGTTTCAGCAGTTAGCCTTCATTCGGTTAATTCGTACCGTTTTCTTGCATACTTTACTCCAGCTCAGGTCCAAAATACTACCCTCATGGCCTTGAAAGATCTGGATAGGCTTCGGTCCAAACACGGGAGCTTTTAGCTGTGGAATATCTTGATCATCCATGAACACGTCTGTTTCTCGCATCGCCGCCTCTCGCTCTTCGGGTGTAGTAATGGTCGCCCATACCCTAACTTTTCTATCCTGGCCGGCGGCGGCGAGATATTTACCGTCCTTGGAGAACTCAACCGCCCAAATGGCTCTCCCGGTGGCCTCTCCATTGATAAAGGTTGAGAGTGACGTTCGTCGCTCAGCCTTCGGCAACGGTCCTGTGCCCTCCAATGTCTGGGCCAGGAAAACACGGTGGAACTTTTTATCTTTCTTGTGATGTGCGCGGATCCTCAAGTACCGGGATGGCGCGGGATGTCGAGGAATGAACCCGATCGGATGTGAGGTATCGACAGACATGCGGCTAGTCTCTACATCCGAGAGCTCATCTTCTACCGCCGGGTGTCCGTCCTTTTTCTTATTGCCAATAATGCGACTAAGGAACGAAACACCTTTTCTGTGGAGAGAAGCCAAAAAAGAGTCAGCCGGATGGTCGCTGAGGACCCAGACGATTTCATATATAGTCGACCAGGGACGGACCACACCACATGTGGGGGACAAGAGACATACTTCTTTTCCTTGGGACCCTTTGAGTTCAGCGAAGCATCGCCCCGAGCCGTGCTATGCTCCGATGGGCCCTCCGAGTTGCCCGCCTCGGCCTCGAACGATGCCTGGCCCAATAACTTTAGGGGAATGGATTTTTGGGTATTCGTGCGTTGAATAATGTGCTACCACATGTCAGTCTCAGCAATCAGCAATCAGCAATCCACGTCTATCATCTCAGCCGCAACACGGCGTTCCCGATCCGAGAGTGTCCGCCTTACCTGTGAGAGCGGATCGATGGCGCTAGCTTCGGTGCGCGTCTCGTGTGTAGAGTTTCTGGCCAGAGGGCCTCCAATGGGCGCAGACCGGTACGTATTCCGCTGACCATCGCTGTTGCTTGACCCGGATGCGGCATCCGACCCTGTTGATTGTCAGCCCGTTCATTATGCGCTCGTGATCGTCCACGCAGCCGGGTCATATCACAATGTACCTACCAGGCAAGGTTGAGGATCTGGGCGGCGCGAGTTTAGTTTCGTCGGCGATCGCGGGGAATGTCGACGCCCGTGGTAAGTCGCTGACCTCCATATCGCGCGCGCCCAAGTCGCTGATGAGAGGGGAAGGAGAGGATAGATAAGTTATAGAATACTTGAGCCATGTCTAGGACGAAAATCAGAAAAAAACGAACCGAGAGGCTGAAGCGGCACCGGCCGGAGTGAATGACATCAAATCGGCACCCGGGGTTTACGAGTGGAGCAGACCCTTTCTACGCCGTCTACTATAGGACACTCAATCGCCATCAAGCATCACTAAGAAATACCATCTGGGTGGTCTAGACTCTTCCCCTCCTAAGGGTCTGGGTATATACATGTGGGTTTTGGGTTATACGGTGGGTTAAATGCGCGCCTGCAGTTTGCGCGCGCGATCCTTCGCGATGTCGCACATGGCCTGGAGTCAAGTCGGTTCAATTAGTCCAGTTCATGTTCGTCAGAAGATCGCATCTGTCATACCTGGATCGTCTCGGAGATTTCGCGCTCGGTGTCTGCTCGATCAATGCGCTGGCGCATTTCCACCATGATGACATCTCGGGTGCGGCCGTTGACAAACGAGCTATCGCGGTCAGAAAAGAGCCAGGATAAGCGTGGGGTTTTATGCACGTACACAAATCGCAGGCCGGGGAACTGGGCCTCGTATTCCGCATTCAATTCGCGTAACTTCTCCGCTTGCTCCTCTGCGCCATCATTCAATTGCGCCTGTTCCTTCTTGCTCAACTCGCTGAGATGTTCGGGGTTGGCGGGGGCCCGACCGAGCCGGGGATGCGAACCCAGGATGCCGAATAGCACATTCCGGTCGACGGGCGAATTGACGGCGGAAAGGGCGGACATGCGACCGCCCACGGCATCGATCAGCGCGGCGTAAGAGGTGAAGCTCTGGCCAGCCAGAACCGGAGTCATCAACTGGTGCAGCTCGGGCGACGGTTCGAATAAGGTGTCCAGCACCCGCAGCTGGGTTTCCTGGGACTGCTGGGGCAGTGATGAGAGGCTTGGTAGGTCGGACATGGCTTAGATGATCTCCGGACTCAAGTTCGAGGATCCAGGGAATGTCCAAGCTATATGAATGTCCAGGAGTAACGGGTCCCCCGCCTTCGGGGGTCGCCGAGCGTCCATGTTTCGGGGCGGGAACCGGCGTCGCCTCGGACTTGAAGATATTCGGCGAGGCGATTCCGATCTGCTCTACCCTAGTCTATCATCTGGATGTCTAGATATCCCAGTCCTATTCCGAGGCCATTCCTTGCTTCCTTGATATAAGGTCGTATTCTGCATAAGTCAGCCTCAACCCCCCATCGTACACGCGTGTCAATGGCTAGATCCGAGCGCCATGAGATCACAGCATTCCGGAATGGACCCCCCCATTTACCTAGATAAGATGGTGGGAAGTATGTGACTTGCCCTAGTGTGACCTTGTCCTGGTGTCTCTGTGCTAGAGTTATAAAAAGCAGAAGCCAGCGTTTCAGATGGCCCTGCTTAAATTGGGATAGCCGCAAGTGGAGTCATCCAACGAATGGAATCGGATGCCCCTGAGCCAGAGGTTCGTTTCTGCGGCCTATCAAACTCCTTTTAGAAGTATTTCTTGTCGAACGATCTCAAGACAAAGATCTTGGCCCCCGATTACCGGGCTCCATCTACGCTCGGTCGTTCTATCGACCCGGTGTCCAGACCTCCCCCTCCCTTCTTCACCCAACCCAGGTCGCTCCCCCGGCCCTTCTCCATGCGGTGCCCGCCATGTCTCTCAATGGGCTAGATAATCCCGCCGTGGTTGAAGCCTACCAGAGTGCCCTTGCTGACGCCGGTGGATGGTAAGTTCTCGGTCCCCTTACACCGCGACGCGCTGATCGTCCGACTAACATGCCCGTAGGATCCTTCTACACTACACCGCCAGGGATGAAGTAGCTCTGCTCGATCGTGGCACCGGCGGGGTGTCCGAGGTGCGCAATGCCATCGACAACTATGAGGAGACGTCGCCGCTCTATGGCTTTTTGCAGTACCGACGGCGGAAGGTCATCTTGAGATACATGCCCGAGGGGCTATCGCGCCTCATCCAAGGTATGTACTTTGAGTGTTGAGTATGATCTAGTTTCGACCGCTAACCGAGGGTCATCAATTGCTACAGCTCGAAGCAACGTTCAATTCCAATCCGTTCTCGACAAGTTCACCCCGAATGACACCGTACTCGCCCTGACCCAGGCATCTGAGCTCAACGAGAGCGCTCTGTCGTCCGCATGCCTCCTGCATACGGCTTCCGGATCCATAACCTCCTCGTCGAGCTCCCTGCGGCGCCGTCGACTGATGGAAATAACCGAGGATGCCGAGGAAAGCGGTACAAAGGAAGAAACAAAGGAACAGGGCAAGGGGCAGGAACAGCCTCCTCCATCGATCACCGAGACGAGGCAGAGATCCGGCAGCCTGAAGTCGGAAGCTACTGTCGTACCCCCAACGGCTTCACCTGAAGAGAAGTCCTCGCCTGACCTCCGGCCCCCGCCCTCTAGGGCCAGTTCCCGAGCACCATCCATTGGTAGCCCCAGCGAATCGCGCAGCACAATGTCTCCCATATCTCCCGACTCCGGCTCCGAACGTTCCAAATACCGCAATATCTTAGATGAGTTTCCTCGGCCGTCAGAAGAAGTGCGAATGTCGACCCAATCTGCCCGGCCTTCCTTGCAAGATCTCGAACGAGCCGCCGGGATTCAACCTAAGGTCAAACTGGGACCTCGTCCCTCTGTCGACTCTACTGGAAGGCCTCGTACTTCCGGGACTTCAAGGAACGCCGATCAACGTCCCGTCGCCTCGCTCCCCTTGGGCATGCGCTCGTCTTCATTGCGAAGACCTAATGTTGACGCCCCTCGTCCCCGATCCCAAGGAAGCTCCTTCGCGTCCAAACCGATCAGCCGAGCCCCCCGATCCCGCCTCTCTTGGTGCCTCCCCCGAACATCCCGATTTCTAGACCGCAATTGTCACCTGGCGCCAAGTCATTGGGCGCATTGTCAACCTCGTCCGGGTTGACGCCAGAGAAAGAACGATTGATGAAAGCCCTGCAGCAAAGGAAGAAACAGATGGCAAAACGAGCGGAGGCGACCAAGAAGAAACAGAATATCGAAGAAGAGCCGATAGCCGAACTCGATACTCTAACGCCGAACGAAGAGGACAAGGAGAATATCAACCTGGTACCTGGGCAGGAGACACCGGGGCTGGAAAAGGCACGAGACGATCAAGACGAGAAACCAATTGAGCTGTCATTGCCAGCTCCTGAACCACTCAAGAATGAAACTGCTGAACCTGAGCCTCAAACCGAGCCTCAGGAGGAAGAATTTCTTTCATCTGCGGTATTCAAGCCAGAGCCCCCAACTGAGGTGGACTTGGAGGGCAAACGTTCTTCAAATATCTTCGACCCTAGTGTCGATACTACCTTTTCCACCGATCACGATGAACTCAGCCTGGATACAGTTCAGTCTGAGACGCCGCAGACGGTCTCTGAGGATGAAACACGCGCCGAGGATACCGACTCCGCAATTCCTGGCCAAAATGAGACTAAGGATGACCTAGTCCCACCTAGCGCCAATCCCGAGGTTCCACTTGACAAGGAGTCGACAGAAACCTCATCCCCATTCCTAGAGCTCCAGGATACTTCATCTTCACATCAATCTGATGCTCCGTTGATGGACAACGAACCATTGGATGCCCCACCTGTAGATGCTGGTCCGGCAGAGGCCCCTGAGTCTACTCCTCGCCCGGACACGTCACCTGCAGTCGCTCCCCTTAACCCTGAGATCGAGCCGTCGGTCGCTCCCGTCTCTCACTCGATTGGTCCAGTCCCGGCGGCTGAGGCTACTCCTGAGGAACCGCTCGTCGAGAAAATTAACCCCATTCCATTGGACCAAAGAAGGAAGGTCCACCTGGAACCAATTCAGGTCCACACCCCGGAGCACTCAGAAGACGACGACAATCTTTCCGACGATTCATTCATGGAAGAACTAAGGTCGGCTACTGTCCAGGAGGCCAGACCGGTCTCGGTCAAGACCCCCGGTGATCAGTCCTGGCCAGGCTCCCGCGCCGTCTCAAGCCCGTATTCGCTAGCCTCTCCTGCCATGCAGTCGTTTGCAGTGGGTAGATCTGTGTCAAGCTCGTATTCTGAAAACGGGCCCTCGACTCCATTACTTGTGGCAAAGAAGGTCAATGTGTCTTCTGGCATCTCGAGTCGCATCAAAGCTTTGGAAAAGTTCCAGAGCCGGGAGGGCACTCCTCCAAGCGGCACTCAAACTGTGACGGGGCCTTCGGCATCCTCGTCTTTTGATAGCCTTCGCAAGCGTGCATCTGTCTCATATGGAAGCCCGGAGAGCTATTCCCGTGCACCAAGCTTGAACCGAAAAGACTCGCATTCGAGCCCTAATGTTCGCCGCACCGGTTCCATCTCGGTAACGGCTCGCATTGTCCGCGATAACGGTGTTTCTCCTGGGTCTAATGGTGTCGAGCCCACCGAGTCTGATGTTCTTGGTCTCCAAGCTAGTCCATTGACCGTGCAACACGGCTCAAGCGAGGAGCTCCTACCTACCAGTGAATCGGTCGAGTCCATTCCGCAGCCAGAGGACCGCAGCATGTCCTTCTCATCCGCCGGGTCAAACATCACGCCTGCATCAGCGTCTCGCCCTACAAGCCGCCCCTCGCTATCCTCGCGCACCAAGACCGACGAAAACCTTCAGGCGACCTCGCCTACTACCGAGGAGAAGAGGGCATCCCGTGCCTCGCGTATCATGCGTCGCATGTCTTCTATGACAACCACTTCTCGTCGCAGCATTATTGGTGCTCTCAGCCCACCGGCGAAAGAGGACATCAATCCGATGGATACTAAACCGGTCTCCGCATCTTCGTCCCGTTCTCGTGTCTCGGAGCCTATTGACATCGGCGAAGTCAACGTACAATTTCCCGATACCCTCCTTTGGAAGCGTCGTTTCATGCGGATCGACGAGAACGGATATGTGGTTCTCACTCCCGGTACCAATGATGCGAGTGCTCGCAACATGACCAAGCGCTACCATCTTTCCGAGTTCCGAACCCCTTGTCTCCCCGATGAGGACATGCAGGAGCTGCCTAACAGCATTCTCCTGGACTTTTCGGATGGCAGCACCCTCCAGTGCGCTTGTGAGTCGCGACAGGGACAGTCGTCTGCCCTTCAGAGTAAGTCATCCTTGAAGATTTATTTCACTGCATTCATACTAACATACCGATACAGCTCTTATCGATGCTCACAGCGCCCACCAGCAATGATTCGTTCGTCACTCCATCACTAGCGATATTTTGGGTCATTTTCACATTTCACATTTCACATTTCACATCCTGGGCCACATTCATCAACAAAGCCCATCCGACTTTGCATACTCATCTCTTTTTCTCTATCTTTACCAGCGAGACTTTGCGTCTTCTGTATCTTCATACCAGTGTTTCTCATTTCCTATCTCTCTTCTGACCCTCGTCCTTTCACCCCATCTCTCTTCCTCAATTCCTGTCTAAATGCGTGATATATGTGGCATGTTCCGTGGTTATACCCCTCCTTCTCAAGTCAAAAAGCCTTTTTTTTTCTTCGAACCTCTCCCGTGTACAGGCGAAGATGGACCCCTCTATCTAGCACCGACCTATTTTGAGGTTCAGGAGTTTGCCTGAGCAACTTTCTTCGCTTTGCTGCATTGCATACAATCCCTTGCTCTGCGTCTTTACCTTTTCTCAACCCCGTCTTTGAATGCATTTGGATAGATTTTACGATGCATGTCTCGGATAGCTCGGTTGCATTAGGATCGGCCAGGTGTGTCGTTGTACATAAGGTCGTTTACCATGCCGAATGAGACCCAGTACTGGTCAAGACTATCACAAAGTCGTAAATCTATTTCCCAAACTACCGGATCTACCACGGCCCTCCAGGGCATCCTAGAGTCTAGCTAAGGAGGTCTCTAAATACTCCTGGAATAGGCCGGCATGCCCTGTTTTCCCGGTGTGTACTTCCAGAGGTGTCTGAATGATAGGTACATTAGAAATGAACAAGATGCCTAGACAGACCTTCAACCAAAATTCTACGAAGAGGTTGAAACAAATCAAAGCCGCGGGATTCTTGGTACCCTTCTCTATAAGATACTCTAGATTACTATTATTAGTAAACTTGCTTTAGGTTTCACGAGAATTTCATGTTGTTTGAGCCTCGACGCGTGGGTGGAAGGATTGGGGTTGATCCATCTCGAGGTCTGTCAACATTTCTTCGCGCTTATAACGGGTGCAGGCTCAATCTCAGCCACTGATATTTGTTTTCTTTCATCATTGTCTAGATGTATACCTCAGAAACGTATCATCAGCCACTGACAACCCCCATTCTCAGCCCACAGCACCATAATAGCATCCCCACTAAGCACAGAGTGTAACAATACACCACGGCAAGAGTCCATAGTAGCAATTGCAAGCAGAAAACTCGCACAAAGACCATTATCTGCCCCCAACCCCCTCCTCTGATGCGGGTGCGGTATTTAACTGTACGACAGACTATGCCACGTTCCCACCTTGGAACTTTACGGTGTTTTTTCCACAGATTCCACAACAAGGCAGCGGCCCATACATTGTGACACGCAACATCAACCTTGATGTCGCATTGGCAGGTTGGGGCAAGTGTTCTGAGACATCGGCTTCTGTCTCGGCTCGGGAAGGGCCTAGGCAAGGCCGCGGAAGCTGCTGGGAGGTGCGTCAACAGTACGTACGACATTTCCAGAACGAGAGAAGAAGTACTGAGGTAGCACAGAAGGCAACCCTTGACTTGGTTCGGTATATAGGTGTTCTCTCTGCGGATCGTGGACGCCGGGTCTTTTCAATCTACATCTACTTTGACTACATCGTCTTCCAATCTATCTGAATATACCCACCATTTGTATCTAAAGACTGCACTATGAAGCTCTTCGCAGCCCTCCAGTTCCTCGCAGTAACAAAAGCCCTCGCCTCCTCTCTCAAACGAACACAAGCCCTTGAAATCAGTGACTTATCGGCAAATCACTACTCCAACGTTACTCTAGGCACGCTGCAATTCACCATCCACGATCCCAACACAGATATAACTGACGATTGCAATGTATCATGGTAAAGATCACCGTCAGATCCCTAATATTCAAACACTATCTTAACCCTGCAATAGGAATACAAGCAGTGTAATCCAACCCGGCCTTGCACTACACAAATGTCAACACCGACACTTTGAGTTCGGCTTTCGCTATGGCATTAGTGATATTGAGTTTTTCGCACTGGTTCTGCAGCAGCTTAATGGGACTGCTCTTGGTTATTCGGTTGTGACGGCGTATAGGACGAATCCGAGGTGGATTTGTGTGCAGGGGTCAGAGGAGGGGCTTCAGGAGCGTTGTGTTTGGTCAGGGACTTTGAAGGTTGAGGTAGATTGAAAGTATTTGACCGTGAATTATTTTCCAATGTCGTCTTTTTATTTATATCTATCTTTTTTTCCTTGTTTTCTTTTCTCTTAAGGCGGTTTTACTGGGGAGGCTCTCTGAGCTTTGGAGTCTGGGTCTGGCTTTACTCTCTGCAGTTCAGTATTTCAAATGCTTTCCAAGGAGGTTCTCATGATAATCTATCGAGTGTGGTTTGCTAGATTACCCAACGAATTGGAACGATGGCTAGGTCTCAAGAGAAGCGATATCTTCGTTCTAGCAAAGTACATATTGGGTCTTTGAAGCGTATTATATCTCAGTGAACAGTTTCTTGTTCTTCAGCTACGACGAAGCCAACAAGGTTTGAAGCGTAAGGAGCCAGCTCTCATGCACCATGTTGGTATCTCGTCATCAAAGTTCATACATCATGATCTCGACAGGAGTTCAATCATCTCATGTATTGTGTCCATTGACCTGCTCCTGCCTTTGCGCAGACTTTGGCTTCTTCGGAGTAAACATTGACATCGGATCGATGGGTTCGCCGTTGTCAGGGGGATACAGCTCGGGGAAGGCAGTCCGCTTTTGCTTGAGGTGTTGTCCGACTAGGTATTTCATGAGATTGCTCACGGGCATGGTCGAGTGCATTCGTCGTTCGGTTTCAACGAGCTCGACTCGCATCTGCACCTCCCAGTCATGCTCTCCGGCATGATCCTCTATCTCCTGCCTGCGCTCGGGTCCCTTGCTTGTGAGAATAGTGGTGCACCCGGGCATTCTACATGCCCAAGTTTCAGACTCCTCGGGTGCATTTACTATGCTGATCTCTGAGGTCCATTGGCCCGTAGTGGGCGCAGTAGATGCTGGCGTTATTTTTGATCCACCTGATAGTACGCTCTTCAATAGAGAGGCGGCAGCGGTCCGTGGGTTCGTGGGTGTGAAGTCGGGTTGAGGTCGGGGGTTTTCAGAAGCAAGAGGCGTGCGAATCAGCTCATGACCGCGGCTTTTGCTGGGTGTATCGACGTCCTCCATATGGGTATCGTCATCATCTTCGTCTTCGTCCTCGGACTTGATAGTTTGCTGGTTCGTCGCTATGCTGCGATTTCGCTTTCCCATGACCTTTTTTGAGACCGAAGCATTCTTGGGTCGGAGAACAGACTTTTGTGTCCGGCCCAGTTCTTCGTCATCGCTGGAATCATCCAGTAGTGGTAGGGGTGTCAGGAGAGAGGGTGGTAGGGATGTGTGTTGTGAGGCCGCTTCTGAGAGTTCACGGTGAATGACATAGCGAGACCACTTGAATCTTGTCTCGCCTTCTCGGTCTTCTTGATCCAGTCTCTCTAGAACGTTATTCGATCTGGCGCCGAGGATCTTGCGTGCATCGTCCTTGTTGAATGCATATCGAGCGGACAAACGCTCTGCCAAAAGATCGAAATTCAACCGGCGCTTTGCCAAATGTCCCTCATCTTTTAATTCGTGAATTAGCTGATATACGGCATCAGTTTGTGATTTAGAAATGGTAGCCGTGTCGTGTCGAGGCGTTGAGATTGTAGGCATTTCCTCGTCTTCATCGTCGTCAGGTTGCGGTGATTGCTGATCAACAAGCTTCTTGTACTCGTCCTACATCAACACGGGTTAGAATCAAGGGAAGGTGCCACCGGTGGAGAACAATGGGGACTTACGGGGAACTGGCGACGGAAGTGAACGAAGACATTGGTCTGTTTCCAGTCCATACTTTCATACTCGTCTTCGATCATACAGCGGAGCAAGAAAGGCGCATGTTCCGCAAATGCCTCGGCCGACTGTTCACCGGTTTCGCAATCGCCGTGTGTGTGGAAAATATACTGTTCGGACTTTAGACGGGGGAAGGTTCCGGGTGGGGACAAGAAGAGCTCACCTGTCGACAAAGGTTCTTGAATGTGGGGTTGATCTGTTTCTTTCCTTGCTTGTGCCTGTCGATCAGGAAATACAGCATATCAACAGCCCGGACCATGCGATTGAAGGTAGGCAAGTAGCCTTTGGCAGGCGAGATGAGGTACCAGCCAGCCTTGCCAGCAACCCAGATCTCGACACTGCGGTCCTCTGTCTGTCCATATGCATAGTGTGTGACATCGTCGATGATAATGCGATTCGAAGTAGAGTCCGGATCGAGAGCTGAAGAATGCGAAAGGTTAGCAAGAACGAGCTTGATAGAAGTGTACGATGTGTACGATAAGCGTCACAGGCAATCGAGTACGCACCGAGATGTTCCTGGTTCTTCTTGAGCTCTAGACACCCAATTACTTGCACGGGATTATCATCGGAGGCATCAAGGACATTCGCGTAGAGCATCTTGCCGGGTCGTAAGACCTTCACGTCGGTCAACTCGAACTCCCACCAATCATTCTCATCGGTGACGGAGGGATCGATGGGAGGCAGAACGGTTTCTTCGCGGGCTGTCATGGTTGCGATCGCGGCATGGTGGCTTGGATGGAAGGGTATGAGGAGCGAGTGAATGAGTGAACGAGGTCGAAGTCGAAGTCGAAGACAAATTCGAAGTCGGGGCGAAGAGTGAACAATGTTGGAATCTCGCAACGTCAACATCGAAGGTCCATGTTCGGTAAAGTTACCGATACCTTATCGATACCCGCGATCCCCATAAATTACGTTCTTGAGCTTTTTCTCTTCTCCAATTGTGCTTCAGATGCCATTCCCCCGAGGTTTCAGGCTTTTCCGTACTACTATGTCAGGAGAGAAGATCCTCGAAGGCGTCTTCGGTATGTATACTCTGACTTTCCCACTGCGACGCACTACTGACTTCACAGCCGTTCACAAGCCCCAGGGCGTCACCTCCGCCGACGTGCTCCGCACCTTACAGAAGCATTTCAACCCCTCCAAGGCCTTCAAGCCATGGCTCGACGAGGAGAAAGCCCGCCGCGACCGTGAGAGCCAGTTCCAGAAGAAGCGCCGCCGTCATCCCAAACGATGCGAAGTCAAGCTCGGACATGGCGGAACTCTAGATCCGCTTGCGACAGGTGTGCTCGTCGCTGGTGTCGGCAAAGGCACAAAGTCGCTACAGGACTTCCTCGGCTGTACCAAGTCCTACGAAACAATTGTGCTCTTCGGCGCCGAGACAGATTCCTATGACCGCCTGGGCAAGGTCGTGCGCCGGGCGCCGTACGAACACATTACGCGCGAGGCTGTCGAGAAGGCGCTAGAGCAATTCCGTGGAAAGATCATGCAACGGCCCCCTATCTTTTCGGCACTGCGAGTGGAGGGAAAGAAGCTCTATGAATATGCGCGCGAAGGCAAGATGCCACCGGTCGAGATTAAGGAGAGGCCCGTGGAGGTTATCAGTATGGACGTTGTGGAGTGGTACGAGCCTGGAACCCACGATTTCAAGTGGCCCGACGAAGAAATGACCGGCGATGCCAAGATTGTTGCCGAGAAGCTTCTCGACAAGGAATCCGCATTGTCCGCGGCTTCAGAAGGTGAAGCTGCCAACCAAGAGTCATCCAACAAGCGAAAGTCACCCCCTCCGGCTGATTCGACCGAGGAAGACCAAGAAGCAGGCAAAAAGCAAAAGGTCTCTGAGGATGGCGTCGCACAGGCCGTGGCAACCGAGACTGTCGCCCCGGAGCCAGCTACAGGCGAGGCTCCTACCACAGAAGTTGAACAGCCGAAGCCCCAGCCGGCAGCCGTGAAGATTAGTATGACTGTCACATCCGGATTCTACGTCCGCTCGTTGGCACACGATCTGGGCAAGGCTGTTGGCAGCTGTGGCCTAATGAGTGAGCTTGTGCGGAGTCGCCAGGCTGACTTTGTACTGGAATCCGACAAGATCCTGGAGTATAAGGATCTGGAGGCGGGCGAGGAGGTCTGGGGCCCTAAGGTGCAGAAGTTCCTCGAAGAGTGGGAGGCCAAGAGAGCAGCCAAGGCAGAGGCCGAAAGTCAACAGTAGATATATCTGATTACAAATGTTATGATTGTATAAAGTCTCTAAATAATTAGAAAGAAAAGGCCTGCAATAGAAAATTATCTGGTTTGTGCTACCTGGATATGCTCTCTCTGCTTCTAGCTCTTCTAGACATACGGTTCTTATCCTCTACATCCAAAGGGCCAAGTTGCGCAGTAATAGACCAAGGCCCTCCTTAGTTTATTTCTGCCTCTGCTTAAATTTCGAGTCGATATAGCCACAAACGATGAATGCAAAGAAAGTGTTCTCATAAAAAAAAGGTAACTTGATTGACCATGTGCAAATGCAGGGTAAAGATTCTAGTTATTACAGAAAGCAACGGTGAACACATCACCCTTGGAATTTTTTGTGCGCCTCTTGCGCCTTCACCCTCTCAGATCCTTTTCATTCAAAGACGTCCCTTGGCAGCACGCTTGCTCTTGCCAGGGCGCTTGGCGCCACTAGCCTTCATCTTCTTCTGGGAGAAGCTGCGCATATCACCACTGGAGGCGGCGTCACCACTCTTGGAGAAGCGCTTCTTGCCGCCGAAGCCGAACTTCGATTCCTTCTTTTGGCGCTTCGAGTTGCGGCCCTCGCCATCACGGCCGCGCTTGCGGCTATCGGGCTTGTCAGTATCCTCGATAGCGACGTCGAAGAGGTCATTGGCATCGTCGGTGGGGGCGGAAGTGTCAGCCTTGCGCTCTGTGGAACATTGTTAGCATTTTGTGTGAAGATCAATGATTAAGGGAATTCCACATACTCTTCTTCAGGGTGGTGATCTTATCGAGAGTCTCGCGCTTTTCCTTGGCTCTCTGCTGCAGCTTGGCGACCTGCACCTGCTTGCCGAACTTCTTCAGATCACGCTGGCGGCGCGCCTCAGCGGCAGCCTTCTTGCCAGCAGCCTCCTCGTACAGCTTCTTCTTGATCAAGTCCATGTGCTCGTCGTTCTTGACCATCTCTGCGAAGTAGTCACCGGGACGGCTGAAGGAGATACCCTCCTTCTTGAGCAGGTCGCGGGCCGAGAGGGCGGCAGCCTGGCAGACCTTGTAGAAGGCCAATTCGCGGTTCAAGTCATCGTTAGGGTCCTCAACCTCGAAAGGCTCTTTCGAGACTAAGGAGTTGTGCTCGGAGAATTGGGTCTGAGAGGAGATGAAGGAGATGCGCTTGAGGGAGGAGGTAATGGCGGCAGAGTTGTTGATGGTGAGACGCTGGTGGGGGACGACGTCCTCGCGCTCGTCGTCTTCGAGGTCTGAAAGCGGGATATCTTCTTCGTCTTCCTCCTCATCCTCATCTTCGTCCTCCTCGGCAACAGCCTCCTCGGCCTCATCTTCCTCAAGCTCCTCCTCAACCTCTTCAGGTTCGGAGCTGGCGACTTCCTCCTCGACCTCGGCCACCTTGGCGACCTTCTCGGCGACTGGGGCCTTCTTCACGCCTTTGCGCTTTTCCGCGGCCTTGACCTGCTTCTTCTGCTTCTCAGCTTCATAGTCTCGGCCCTTGTGGGCGTCGAGCGCCTGCATAAGCTTGCTTCGTTTGACCATTTTGACTGGTCTGCGGGGAATTGAAGTTGGAGAAACACGGTGAGAAAAGCAGCTGGCAATGCTACGGGATTTTTTTGAACTCGGACCAGTCCTGATATGGTTAGCGCGGGCGATAAGGCGCTCTAACTGGTTAGCGCACACCGGTGCTGGAGATACAGATGATCCGGCCTTATCGGGCTGGCCTGCTCTGCTTCTCCGCCTCCGTAAGTCTAGTAAACATCTCGAATATCACCATGGCTGAGGACTCTGCAACCGAAAAGCCTCCTGCTGAGGAATCATTCCTCTCACAGCCGGTATGTGATTGTTTGATGAGCGCAATGTAGGCTCGCCTGCTTAATCAAACGCAGAACTCCGATGCCCAGGGCCAACTCACCGCGGCCGTGGACGAACTCCTAGACCAACTTCAAAGCAAGTTCGACAATGTCTCGAAGGAGGTGTTCGGAAAATGTACGTTCAAATTCTGTTTGATTAGCGCTTCAAGCGCTTCAATCGCATCTATACTCGACTCGCGACTGACTCTCTACAGTGGATGACATGACCCGGCGTCTGGACGAACTGGAGGCTTCTCTGACTTCCTCGGGAGGCGACTCGGCTGCGACACCAACGAAATAAAGGCCATCTTTTCAAATCGGGGCAATGCGGTGCATACGTCGTTACATCGAGCAGGACGACAATTGAGTGCCCCGTTGGATCTTATCGTTGCGCACACGGATCCTACACTCATCTTCTACTAGTCAACTGTTTAAAGCTTGTCCTGCGACTTTTTTGTTCATGTGTTAATAAAGATACCCTACAGTACAAATTAATCCTTTCAGAAGGATAATCATCATGCCTAGAACCTATTTTCATATACAGACACGGGTTCTGCAAAAGGCAGACCCTGCTTTTCATTCCAAGATTTCTCAATTCGTACAATACAGCATCATGACAATGTTCTTCAGTCTAAACGCAGTATTCATCAGTGGGCATAGGGGTTGTTCAGGTTCCCCCAAACCACGATCCGCTCAACAAATCAAAAGATAGAACGAGCCTACAGCTCATCTTTACCAGGCTTCTCAGTCTCACCAGCAAAGCCACGAAGGATGTTGCTGCGGGAGACAATATCATCAAGCTTCTCAGGAGCAGAGCCACCCTTCTTCAGGATCTTGATAAGACGAGCGAGCTCCTTGGAGGCATACTCGCCGTTCTCGCTCAGCTTGTTGGCAACCTTGACGTAGTACTCGGCGTACTTGTTCTGGAGGCCCTTGGCAGTCTTCTTGATCTCGGCAGCGAGCTTCTCGAACTTCTGCGCGGGCACGTACTCAGCAACCAGCTCATCCAGCACCTCAATGGTGCCAGCCTTGCTGTTCAGACCACCGCCGACAGAGCGGCTGGAGCCAGTCTTGCTGTTCAGGAAGTCGACAAAGGCCTGCTCGGAGCGGGCGCCGGCGTAGGCCTCGGGCTCGGTGGAGCCCTTGGGGAAGAATTTGATGGTAGGGTAGCCGGTAACACCCTGCTCCTTGGCCAGGGACTTGGCGTTCTCGGCCTCGGCGTCGACCTTGGCGATCACAATGTCGTTCTCGAGGGCGAAGTCACTAGCAAGGGTTTCCCAGATGGGGGCAAGGGTCTTGCAGTCTGTAACGAGGATTATGGTTAAAACAAATGCAAATAGAGTAGAGGATAAGAAACAACTTACGTCCGCACCACGGCGCAGTGAAAGCAACCAGAACATCCTTGTCACCACCAACAACGGTCTTGAAAGAGGCGTCGTTCAGGAACTCAACCTTGCTAACCTCCTTTTGCGCGGCACGGGGCTTCACGCCAGTCTTCTCGGTGATGAAGGCAGACAAGCTCTCGAGATCACGGCCACCCTTGTATTCCTCTGGCTTATCACTCTTGCCATCGAAGTACTTAATAGTGGGGAAGCCCTGGATGCCGAAACGCTTGCCCAGGTCGCGGTTCGCATCAGCGTCGACCTTGCCGATGGTAACCTTATCCTCGGCGAAAGCAAAGACACCAGCAAGCTCCTCGTAGACGGGGGCGAGAGTCTTGCAGTGACCGCACCAGGGGGCGAAGAACTCAACAAGCGCGGGCTTGCCGGACTTCAGGACGACATTGTCGAAGTTCTTGGGGATGAGGTCGATGACAGCGGAGCTGGCGTCGGCGAAGCCGCTGAGCGCGGTAAGGGTGCTCGCCAGCACGAAACTTAGGCGAACCATTGTGAGTGTGGATATAATGAGGAGATGTTGAAGGGTGAATTAATTAGAAATCGGGGATGTGATGGCGTCCCCGGGATGATGACAAAACAACCAAGAGGCCACTTGGTGCCTCCACACCGGAGCTCCGTAGATCATCCCGTCAGCTACTACGAGTACTACATGTTTCTCCGACTCTCTTTTCCCATGGGCTTTCAACCTTTTTGTATTTATTTATTACTAGATAGTAATACAGTAGAGAGAATCCGTGAAATTCCAGGATAATTCATGCAAATTGATCGGGAGGCTCGCGACCCGCGTACATAATAAGCCCGAAATCCTCTCGGTCGTTGAGCTTTGGTTCATTTATCGTCGCTCCGACAACCACTTGTTCGCGTCGTCCCACAGCTTTGCATCCTTGACTTCCTTGCCTGCGTGCTGTGTTCCCTTGTAGACCTGCACAAAGTTATTAGTCAAGCTCTAAGCTCCATCAGCCGCAGAGAACAGGTACATACCGCATCCCAGAGCTTGAATGCCAGGTCCAGATTTCCAGTGAAGCTCTCGCTGTGCTGGAACCACTCCTTGCCCTTCGACTTGACCTCTGCCCGAGCCTCGGGTGAGGTGGGGTTTGCTTGTAGAGGAAGGTCATCCAAGTAGGTGCGTACAGCAATGCCGAGGCCGCAGTCATTATCGTCAATAAATGGTAGCCTGGAAGATTAGGTTAGAGGGCATTCTTATACCAAAGCAAAAAGAGAACGTACTTGATTCCTAACTCCGGCCAGTCCTTACGGTCCCGGTTGGCCTCTCCACTAAGCAGCATGCTAGCCAGCACCACCTCCACCAGATTCCGCAATGCAGATCGCACCTCGGAAACCAAGGAGCGGTAGCACAGCAGCTGTCGGCTCAAGGGTCCAGAGTACCCAATTGCCTTATGCTGCAGCTTAGCAACACAAGCCACCCGGGAGACCAGCATGTTGAAGGTCTTGTCCTCCTCTAGAATCGGTGTTAGCCCGTCCACTCTATGCAGATACTGTCTTGAAACGACCTACCTGATCCCCTCATCGGTCCACCAGATACGTGTGAGAACCAGTGCTTAGTGTTGAGAAGATCCATGCGGAGCATTTCAACAGCAATGAAAATAGCTTCTTCGAGGTTATCTGCAGGGTCGACAGCCGAAAGTGCAGACTCCAGACACTTGCCCCAAGCAGTGAGCGTGTGCTTATCATCGACATATCCGCGCAGTTGCAAAAATCGCCAGAGCACATTGGACAAGATGTCCTCTTGCGCTGACAGGATCTAGAAACTCGTTAGCCGTGCAGATGCACAAGATCAGTTCAGATCTAACATACAGGTGTCTCTTTGGTAGCAAATGTCTTCGACACAAAGTCCGAGTTGTTTAAGCTCTGAATGGCAAACTTAATTGACCCACGAGAAGCATCCAAGCTCTTGACATTCTCGGGGAATTGCTCACTGGAAACTTTCCAGGACGAGATGGTATCCTTAACCGATGGGAGGTTCTTCAGGTTAATTGACCGCTCGGCGTTGTCATCAAACCATGGTTGAATCTTAATCACTTTAGTCTGGTAGAATCGGTGGAGGCAGTTTGCCAGCAGGCAGATTGACTGTGTGCGGATCGGGTTGAGGGTGTCGCCCACGAGCTGACGGTAGACCTCGGTGTCTTCTGTGCCAAGCGGCAGGGCAACGCGCACCTCGCCAGACGTCAAGATATTTGGTACGTCCGGACCCAGGATTCCCTTGGACAGATAAAAGTAAAGCTCTTCGGGGAGGCGCTGGCCGATAAGCTCATGCAAATCGGAGGAAGAAGTCTCAGGATGCATAGGGCTAACCCGGCCATCAATATCCATGTACACATGGTGCTTCACAACCATCCATGCTCGTTTGTAGCGGTCTGTGTACTGGAACTCTTGCATGCGACGGTCATCTTCGAATTGGGCACACAAGGTCAAGGCGTTCCGTCCGGCTGCGTTGAACATGGGGAGCGCATCGCGGATGGCAGGAAGTTTTCCAGGGAAACCAGGATTCTCAAAAAGAGGGCAAGGGCGCAGGAACGGAGAGCCCAGAAGCAAGCAGAAGTCGAGGAACTGGTCATTCGACAATCGTCCCAGCTCCTCTTGGCAGGTCTGTTTGTTGATCCAGAAGAACTGCGCGGGTTCGGTCTCAATCTTGGTCACAAGCTTGTCAATGTCAAACATGAGGGTCTCGGAGGGTCCATAAATGGCATCGATAACGGGGTTGGCGCCACGGTGGAGATAGGCAAGCTGTTCGAGCATGGTATGTCAGTTCCCAATGTCCTCCACGCCACATTCTTGTCCTGAATACTGACCTGAGCAGCTGCGCTATACGGTGCCACCATAAAGGAGACACCGTTCTGGTTCAAGATCCGCTGCAGGAACTTGTAGAGGGTTTCTGGGGGTGGGGTCCCTGAGATTTGGCTTTGGTCAGCAAGAACTGGCGAGAATTGCTGAGGCGCCCGGGCGAAGCTATGAGCTGCCACACGGTAATTCCAGAGCGATGTAGCTTGGGGAGTAGAGGATGTTGGGCATACCGGCATTGCTGAAGGCATCGACAACCTGGTCGGCTTGTTGCTGATCGTAGAGGTCCCAAGCTTGCTCAAAGGAGCGCACTGACGCCGGCGAGGTATTCGTGCGGTGCTCTTTCTTGCCGAACTGAAGACCATTGAAGACGAAAATATATCCAACACCCAGACTCTTGAAGGTCTGTAGCTCCTTCTCGATGTTATTCTTCAGAGCGAACGGGAAGCCACCGAGAGCTCCTAGCAGAGCCTCGCGGGTAGACTGGTTGGTCAGGTGCTGAGAAATGTAGTGCGACGCATCGATACCGACGACTGCGCCCTTCAGAGCGGAGAGGGGGAGGGACTGGCGGCGGCCATTGACCCAGTCGTCGAAAGGACGGACTAGTTGGGCGTTAGGGAGAGCGCTCGGCGGGGAGGGGGGGGCAACTCACTAGGCATTATGAAGCTGGGCAAAGAGCGCGGCTATCTGCCGAGCATTGAGGCCCCAAAAAAAGCCGATGGGAGAAGGTGGGTTGGGATGAATCTGGCAGGTTTGCGTTGCGAAATGACGAGGGGGGAAAGCGGAGTCGCAGTTGGCCTTTGTTTTTTCTTGAGCGAACCCCCTGCAATGCAACAGCACAGCAGGCCAGCAGCACGGCGCTTAGCGGATGCACTCGTCAATTCTCAACTGGGATCTTTTGCAGTTACTCTAATCTCTGGCACTAAAGAGTTCTAGCCCACCATACCCATATGCCAAACCCTGAGCGCTGAGCTTAACTGCTGGCGGATCGCACGATCTGCTGGGGCTAGAACACCTTGACAGTATATAGATGGAGCTAGTTCATCGCTCTAGAATTCCAACCTAGATTCTCGGACCGTTCCTCTTCACATAATGGCTAGTGTTGATAGCTTAACTCAGTTGAGGGACAGGTCAAGTTATGACAACATGACTATCGGAGACTCGGAGGATCAAACTCGCCCGCATCGAGTGTCTGTCGATTATCGCGGGGAACAATTCTGCACGTCGGATGTCGCCTGTGCGGGCCCCAGGAATGGGTCCGGATGTCTGATAGTGACACTCGGTTAGGTCTTAGTCTGAGTTAGATATGCCAGATATGCGATAGGCCCCAGGACTGTCATCGGGTGTAACCGATATCTTCCTAGCGTCCCAATCCCAAGTATATATGTCCCGCCTCCCTGACCCAGCAATCTTTGCTTCACCCACACTCAAAATGTCGGACACTACGGCCCCCATTGAACTCCCGGTCATTGACATTACCGATCCTAATGACCCTGCCGTGGGCAAGGCCATGCTGGATGCGGCTGCGAAGTATGGTTTCCTCTATGTGAACAGCAAGGGTTCCGATTTTTCGGTGGAGGATGTGGATCGTGGGTTCGGCTTGGTATGTACCGAGACACTCTCTATTCGATCAAGACCCTCTTCTAATCGTCGCTATAGTCCAAGAAGTTCTTTGCCTCTCCTGCCGCGGAGAAGGAGACATGTCGCATCACGCCCAACGTCAGTAGCTCTCCAGTAATTGTATCACCACTGTTCATACTGACTCTCCTAGAACCGTGGATGGTCCGGCATGCATACCGAGACCCTCGATCCTGAGCACCAGCGGGTATGTCAAGAGCTACACTCGTACACGAAGATATAAACTAACATATAGACCAGACCGGAGACTTCAAAGAGTACCAACCCCAGTATCATCAACCAAACCCAAAACCCCTCACTAACATCCCCCAGAGCCATGAACTTCGGCGACTTCGTCAACGGCAAAGCCCAGCAACCACTCCCGGCCTCACTAACCCCCCATGAATCAGAGATCCACGACTTCGCAACCCTTTGCAACAAGACCTGCTCCCGGATCCTCAACCTCCTCGCCCTAGGCCTGGAAGTGCCTCAAGACTTCCTAACATCCCGCCACGACCCAAGCAAAGGCCCAACAGGCAGCATCCTGCGGTATCTATACTACCCCTCGATCTTCTCCCCAGCAACAGCATCCTACAAGCACGACAAGGACGTGCGCGCAGGCGCACACTCCGACTACGGCAGTATCACATTGCTCTTCCAGCGTCCCGGGCAGCCGGGATTGGAGATCCTGACTCCAGAGGGAACCTGGGCGCCTGTTCCCATTGTCCCTGGTCCCCAGCCTGATGCGTTCCCATTCCCGCCTATTCTTGTAAATATTGGGGATTTGCTTAGTTATTGGACTGATGGGCTGCTTAAGTCGACTGTGCATCGGGTTGTGTTTCCATTGACTGAGCAGCGGAGTCCGAATCCGCAAGATCGGTATACGCTTGTTTACTTCTGTCATCCGGTTGATACGACGGAGTTGGTGCCTGTTCCTAGCAAGGTTGTGACGGAGCATCGGGAAAAGAGTGGTGGTGTGGGCGTTGTTGGGTTTGGTGGTGGTGCGGGTTCCATGGAGCCTGGGAAGAGGCCGTTGACTGCGGCGGAGCATTTGGAGTCGCGGTTGGCAGCGACGTATGGGTTTACGAAGGAGTAGTTAAGTTACATTGTTATAGAGGAGGCAATTATCAGATGCAATGTGTTCATTCACGATGAAACGACGGAGCTAATGACTGAAAAGAAAACGCCGGTGCCGTGGTGGCAAAGTGCAGAGAACAAAGAGACGAATCCTCCGGGACGTAAATCAGTATCGAAGATCGGAATCGTAGATGGAATCACGAGAGGAGAGAATGCTGGCAGCGACCGGATGGTCGGAACGTGATGTTGTCCATCTACGGACATAGGAAACTCGTGACAAAGCGCGATTAGATATAAAAGCATTGTAGTTCTGGTGGGAACAGAAACATAAAAAACTGGGAGGGAATCCAACATGAAGAGATGAGTTAAAGGGGATGTACACTCATGAAGGCTGAAGACACTATGTGAGTTTAGAGTATGAGGGCCTCAGCCTATAGGGCCCGACATGAAAAAAAAAAAAAAAAAAAAAAAGACCAACGACAAAAGTGAAGGGAGTAAAAAAATGATGCGCGCGAAGAAGCCAGACGACATGTGAAGAGGTATCTTTCGGGAGGCCGATGGAAACGCCGCCAGACTTTGCAATGCCATGCGCGAGTGAGACGTAAGACTTGAACAAAATGTAGGATGAAAGCGTGATAGGATATGACGCTATGCGAGCCAATATGCATGGAAATCAGAAATGGAACACCTTGGGAGGTCATCGGGTCGTATCAAGGGGTCGTGTGGCACCAGTGGCGGTGGTACACCCACGCGGCCTTCTGGCAGTCTTTGCTGCAGTATTTGGTGCGGCGGCAGCGTCGGCACTTGGCAAACTGTCTCTGGAATTCCTCCCATTTGCCGCACTTGTAGTAGGCACATTGACGGATGCCACCCCGCGACTCGTCCTTGCGGCAGAGGTTTCGCATGACCACACACGCCCAGTACTGCATGTCCTTCGAGTGGTGTCGAACCGTGAACTTCTCCACCAGGGGGAAGATGTTGACATCGTCGGGAAGGAGGTACTCGTCCTCGTCCTCAGGCATCTCGACTGGAGAAGACGAATCCGGGTTATCATCCAGGAGGTGCAGCTCATGATCGATCTTGAGCTTGGGCACCAAGTGAGAGCGCTGGAAATAGGATCGAAGGTTGCAGTACTTGGACACATAGGCTAAGAGCTGCAACGACATCAACACATCTTCATCGCGAGGCATGGTCGTCAGGACGTGTTGGGACACGGGCATGTTTCGATCACGGAGGTACATGGCGTAGGGACTGGGTGCGAGAGTAGGAGAATTAGGATTATTAGGGGCTTGAGTGGGGGAAAGACCCAGGCCACCAGCAGTCTGAGGGGTGTTGTTGATGATGCTGCCGTCAACGGCAGAGCGGTGAGCAATGTTGAAGGTTTCGGCTTCCTGGCCCTCCTCGGAGGGATCAGTTACTGTGAGGCCATGTGTAGTAGAAACGTCGTCAATCATTGCCGTCTGTCGCTCATCGACACCATCAATATCCATCCGGTTCGGGAGACCAACGATAGGCTCGTCGGTTTGCCCAATAACGTTGTCATCTCCCATGGTCGAGTCTTCGCCATTGGCGTCGTCCGACTCGCCTGATCCAGACTGCTGCTGCTGAATAGCAGGACGTGATCTGACGGGCGGAGGAGGTGGGGGAACGCTTCGAGATTGAGGCTGGAGAGGGCCACTTGGGGTTGTGGGGGAGTCGGGTTGAGAGATGATGCCAGTCTGCAAACCGGGAAGCATGCTGGGAAGGCGCTCCGCATCACGGACAGGTCGCAGACCAAACGCTTCGGCCCCATCTATGGGAGGGACGGCAGTGGCAAGGGGCTGCATTGTGCGCAAGCGGTGGTTTGAACGAGAGTACCGGCCATCATGAGACCGATGGGTGTGAGCCTCCGGTCGGAAGGTGCTTCGCTCGGGAGGTGAGGTCATAGGGGCACGAGGCGGAGAGGTAATATCCATTGCATCGGAGTCGGTCGGTTGTGTTTCTTGGTAGTAGGTGGGTTGCGGGATTTCGATACTTGGAGGAGGGGCCTGTCGGCGGGAGGAGCGGGTTTCGGCGTGGGCGGCGGACTCGGAAACAGGAGTGCGTGAAGTGACTTCGCGGGTCGAGGTAGTCGATTTGCCGACCTGGCGGCTGGACGAGTGCTTGTGAGGCTCAGCCTCGCCGCGGGCGCGGACCTTGTCCACCACCTTGATGTAGTTGTCCAGAATAGTGGCAATCACCGGAACCATGTCGGCTTCCACCACTCTGGTCCGAACACTTTCGGAGCCGCGGACACCGATATTGACGACACACTGAAATGCGAGACTCCATTTCCACATTTCCATTAGGTCCTTGCTCCTGCCCTCCTTCAGGATGCACACGAGTCTTTCGATTCCGCCATCGACGGTAAGGATATCTCGAATGCGGGCAGACGAGGTTGTGAGGTACGCAAGGTGGTTGAGCGAGTTGATCAGGGGTAATGTTGATGTGCAGTCAAGGGCACGTCGGTCATAGAGGGTGGTGGTGATGTTGACCGAGGCCTTGTTCACGTTCGGGATGCTGAAGTTGACTTCCCGCATCGTGAATGATGATTGAGAAATCACCAAATCGATACACTAAAGACAATATAGGTGTAAAGGATGAAATGGCATCCAGGAAGAGAAGAAAAAGGGCCAGTTGATGAGGACCTTGACGCCGGCTGTACGGTGGGATTTCAGCCCCCTACCAGACTGGGTTGGCGCCCACAGCGACGAGATGAAAGAAACGTCGCAGACTCGGTCGAGTTCAAGCCAAAGACATCAGGGACTTCCAAATCGGGGACTATACGAGGCCCGATGGATGAGTTGCTGGTAGTCGTGATGACTCCACGGGGTGAGGGACAGGGCGAAAGGGAGGCTGGACGTAGGGCGGGCGTTAGATGAAGAAACCGGAGGAAGATGAAGTATAAGCACTCCGATAAGGACGAACGAGAAGAATTAAAGATGAGAGTGCAAGGGCGAGGCACGATGGGGGTGGGGGAGATGGAGAGGAGAGGATGAAAAGCCTTTGAGGGCAAAAGCGGAGAGGCGTCAGGTGCCTCCTTAATATTACGGTACCCGCCCGAGGATTGGTTGCCACCACCCTGAACTGAAGCCCTCGCTCTATTTTTAACGTGGCACAGATGCAGGGAATTCAAAGATATAAGAGATACCACATCTCATAGTCGATGTTGCTGGTGATTGTGATGTTGATGTTGTTCGGTCTCAATATTGCCTGGTTTTGCCACTCCGCAGGGCTCTTCCGAGAACCCTCGTGGCGGCAACGGTAGCGGAGTTCCCGAATATGAGGCACTGAAAGGGCCGAGCGCCCGTGAGATGTGAAGAATCAACTAGTCTCTTATTCTATCACATTTGAGGTTGATACGAATTAAACCATCCCATATTCGAATTTAATCTGTCCTCTTCTACCGTTCGCATTTGATTTCTTTGGCTATCACCATCAAGTACGTAACTATGGCAATGGTTTGAATATCCAATTCACAGTAACTTACCCAAAACGCCGTGATCCGATATAGTGCTGACTATACCGATGGAAGGATGACACCGTCATCAGCTACCATGGGCATTGGTTTTCTCCGAACTGATGCTTTAGGGAAAACCGTTTCGAAAGTAGATCAATAATTAGTGGTCTCCAGTACTAGAACAGGGTCTGTTGCCGAGATCGACAACACCTGCTCTAAGGACGGGACGTATGATAGCCTGTGGGCGGTCTGCATGACATGGTAGGATAGACGACTTCCATAGGTCGCGAAGTCAATACAATCTATGTCGAACCACGAGAGCACAGACATGGGGCGAATTAGAGCCGAGCCCACTCCGTGCTGCACCTATGGCTAAAGAATCGAGCCAACTTTGAGAACGATGTCCGTACACAGCAACTCCCTAGGTAAGTAGGGAGAAACGAGGACAATTGATAATGGGCTAGTCATCCAGACCCTTGTCTCTAGTGCGGACTGCGTCAAATACAGACCCACGTAACCCTACGGACTGCACGCCTAGTACTGTTTGAAAGAGTCGGACCGAAGGCGAGTTCGTTGCAATTGGGGCTGCGATGTGTTCGGCTGACACTGAACACGGTTCCTTTAGCAAATAAGTGATCTGTTTCAAGGCGTACCAGGTCTTTGCTTCGCACTTAACTAAGCCTCAGCCCAGCGAGATAGTCTCATCGGGCCTGGCATCACATAGACGAGAGCAGGCCAGCATACACCGTCGTACACGGAACAACGATCGGATGTTCTCATCCGATTTCATGTATATTTCAGGGCTTGACTGCCGATCCTCCGGGGTGGATCACGGTGGAGAGAGAGAGAGCTCGGCACGTTGAAAATCCAGTGGGTTATTGAATAGGGACATGCGTGCAATCCGACTCAGCTCATGAACCCGGTCGTGCTCTGCTGACTGCAGAGATACCCCAGAACGGTTCCAAGAATTATTCCCAACCCGGACATGGAGTCTCCAGAGATGAAAAACAGCAACACAGGAACCATTCATGGATCTCGGCTAGGTCTCTGGCAAATAGTGATCGGCCATGACCAATCCGCCGAGATCATCATTTTGGGGTTGAGTTCAGGTAGGAAAAGGGGGAAACGGTCTTACATAGGCGCAGTGGAGAACCGGGGAGCGGTCTTCATCTTCCTGACGCGCGGAAAACAAGCCCATTCGGCGATATTGGAAATTGAAGGCACGCACCAACGGGCGGGACCCGCCAGCATGGGTACCGGAGCAAGAGGACCGCCTGCTTGTCCTCAAGAGGCTCTCTCCTGAAGATGGGGGATGATGCAGGTTAGTCAGCGTAGTGGGGTTCGAATGGTTCCCTTTTAGCGCCGTGAACCAGAGCTTGGGCTTGGTGGTACAGGAGCTGAGCGATTCCTTTAGTACGGAGTATGGAGTATGGACCATGGAGGAGGTCTGAGGTATTGATGTGAAGTCTGTACTTCGTGATCCGTACTCCGTAACATGTTTTACCTCTGACCGCACAGTTGAACAAGGGACGAAACCGAGA